CCTGAATACTACCTCTCATCATAATGAAATCCAAGTTGACCAGAACAGCAAAAATCTTGTCTTGTAAGCAGTTCATGTGAAAATGTCCCCCATACGACACATTTCCAAGCATACATATTGAAAATTAAAATATAAGCTTTTTCTACCTCCAACAGAACCTACATATGTCCCTATTAGAGAGAAATTCAAACCAGCAAAAGCTTCCAGGGCTTTTGTGGTTGAGTAAAAATTCATAAAATTTGTAAAGTTTTTCAAAATTTAATGTTTCCAAATTTAATAGTTTTTAGCGATCTCAAGGTGCATTATTACTTCTGGAAAAATCGAGTATTTATGGATAACGAAATACATTATTATGAGCAAAAAAAGTATATCCGTAAAAAGAACTTGTTATGGTCTATCTGTAGAGTAGTATTAAATAATACATGATCAGTTAACCTATTCCGAAATTACTTTTCTGTATCACTTGAAACCTGTGATGGTAAGGGATGGATTCGTTGATTTATTCCTGGTTTCAAAACGTACAATATTAAAGAACTAAACTGCTTAGCTGCCGTAAAACAACTTCGTCTCACGTATGATAGATGTTTCCAGCTTTTAGAATATAGTTTTAAGGTAAAACCCAGTTAAAATCCATTAAAACCCGAATAAAACCCATTAAAACCCAAATAAAACCCATTTAACATGGTAAAACCCAATGGGTTTTATTCATTAACAACCCATTAAAACCCATTAAAACCCAAAAAACCCAACCCAATAAAACCCTGGGTCGGAATACCCTGCTCACGATCGAGCGGAGGGATAAAATCAGAAAATCGAAAATTCATTGACATTGGTAGAAAGAAGAAGGCAAATATTTTCCCTCGTCAGACAGACAGCATGATGCCCACACCATGTGCCAATAAAAGAGAAATTGACATTAGTCACGTTACACGAGTTAAATCCCTGTTTCCCTCGCCACAAAGTATGTATTGCGCTGAGGTGAAAGCATGCCTACGTATACTTGAGGAATCGATGGAGGAAGGGAGCATTCCTTCCACGCAATTTCTAGGCCTTCATTATGTAAGAGAAAGAAAAGGGCACCATATTGCCAGCCAACTTTCTCTGAGAAAGTCTTTTACTCACTTTGAACTGCCACTCAATTCATGGAAAGGTAGTCAATTTAGGGCTATTTGCATAATGCACATTTACCTCAAAGTGGTGGGGAAAAGAATGAAATGAGGTAGTCATTGGGAGACGACGACAAAGTGTGGAGCAAGTTGAGCAGATGAATTTCTCTCGACTTGGGTAATAATGGCATTACCACAGCGGCAGGTGTCATTGATAACCCAGAAATGCAGAAATGGTGGAGTGGAAAGCCTCCTTGGTTCTCCACTAATGTTACACTTTTCTACTCATTCAACGAAACGAACTGCCGGGGAAGGAGGGACTCACTTATCCAAAAATATGGGATTGGGAAGATGCTCCCCTAGCAAAGTCTTCGACATTCATGGGAGCAATTCACCCAGAACTAAGGCTCCCATTAAGTAACGAGCCAATAGCATTGCATGATACTTGGATATTCCCCCTGCAACATTCTCTTTTATGATCAAAAGTCTTTTACGTTCGCAAAATCGTCACATATCTTCCCATCATTTTCTCTAATCATCCATTTGTCATTTCCAACAAATAGCGACATTTGCCAATAAGTCCCATCGACGACTAAGCATGTACATACATTTACGTTGCGGCGCAGCAACTCGAAAATTGCGAGATGATCAAGTAAAAATTTGGTGGAGTCAAAAGGTCGATCCAGAAACTTATACAAGAGATGAGAGAGATAAGTGGGCGTGAAGACTGGTGTTGACGGCGGCCCAGACTTTCTCCTCATCCGCCTCGCTTCACGGTTTGAGAGATATAGCAAAACAACTATATTTAGCTCCACGAGTTCCTCCTCCGTCATTTTGTTTCCCAATCACACTTTCCGTGGAATATAATAATTGGTATTGACATCTCGCAGTCTAAACGGGAGCTCTGTTCCCCTTTGAGTAAATGACAAACATAATATCAAATCTCTCTCCTCAGATGAGAACCTAATTCGTTTTGGATTGATAATAACGGTGAACTTTGCATGTAAGCCTGAGCGAGAAAGTTCTCAAATTCTACTTTTATACACACATAAAACATTTTATTAATTTTCTAACTTGGCCATAATGTTGCGTAAGTGTAGCATCTTAATTCTATATCCGTACACGAGTTGAAAACTTTTTGGTATCTGCACCCCTCTCAGAATAAGTAGATGTTATGTAAATAAAGGTAAATGGGCTTAGGGTTTCTTGTTTTGTGTGCCCACATGCATAGAGAAATACATATTGTGTAAGGAAGTGGAGTAAAGTAGCCAAAGTTTAGAAATAATATTGTCTTGGTTGAAGATCCCATTACTCAAACTTGGGTCGATGATTCCTTTTCCTTGCAGATACTCGAGTCATGTTGAGCAAACAAGAGAACCCAGCAGCACTTTCCTAATATATTCTGTACTTGATTTTGCACAGGAAAGCTGCAACAACTGTAGACCTGTAAAGTGTTTGTTGCCATTAATTATCACCCATTCATCCAACACCTCTTAACTCAATTACTCGTTACTTTCCCCGCAGAAGCTGAGACTTTCGCACCAAGTCTTAGCCCACTTTCACCACCAAATTTCTCCTCCCCAGAGGAATTTGATGTTCTGACCGGCTTGCAAACTTTGCGTAGGAATTACATCCTCGTGTTTCCTTTATTAATTCACCAACAGGGTTTGGAAGTTGCTTAGTGGTGGATGGGGATTGATAAAGGACACCTGCTGGCCACCACTAGCTCCTCTCCGAGATGACCTTTTTACTTTGATTGCAAATTCCACTTGTGTGTGTGGAATGAAGGCTTAGGCGGCTAATATACCAAGAGGGAACTATTACTTGATAAGTAGAATGCTTTTTCCTTCCCCTGTTATATAGTGGCAATAGATATTGCACCTCATCTCTCCGTCCAGAGGGTTTTGTCATCGTGGGCGGTAGAACGGGTGGAGAGCAAGATCTATGTATTAACGTCATAAATAGTTCGTCATAGTAACATCTTCAAGTGTTATGGCCCTGAACTATAGGCTGAGCAGACTAGTGCTTCAGATTTATTATCAGGACTAATTGGAAACCATCATTAAATGTCGTACTTTTGATTTTAATAATTCTCGTAAATCTTGTCATCCCAAGCTATAAATACAGTTCAGACTTATGTCATACGTACATATGAGACGAGTGGTTGCACAATAAATAATGAAATACACCTGACGAAAAATCTGGAGCTGACGTTCATTTTTATTACTACGTACTTACGAGAAAGATGGTATAATTATCCAGAAGCTTTCACTCCATTTTCCATATTATATGTAAATAAGCATTAAATCACGTAGAGATTTGTTGAACGAGGAAATTAGCCGGATTGTAACAGACTACTAAATATGTGACGTGATGATTAGTCACTAAATTATTTTGATGAGCTTACATACAAAATGGGGGGCTGATATAATAGCTTCAAACATGACCTAAAAATTCAAAACTTTCTATCTCGTATCAATTTTTCAAATGAATTTGCTGAGGTCGAAATTATAAATATCTGGCAATTATGGTACAATTTATGAAATCTACATACTTTGTGAAATTATAAATAAAAATAATTTAATCGATATTGACGAATCCTCAAAACTTGTCAATTGTCAAGGGAGCTGAAATCTGGACTCATAATGAACAGATGAATATGGTTCTTTGTTGTCACTCGCACTACTGTTGTTGAACTCTTTTAGCACGGTTTTGTAGCTCAGGGACCTGCACGGAATCCTAATTCTTCAGCGAGGCAGGTAGTTATCGTCGGTTATTTTTAATCCTGGTAGGACGAGTATAAAATTCAGGAAAAGTAAAAGTCATTCCTCCAAAACCCAGGAGTGCATTGCATACAAAATTTGCGATTAATCCTCGCTCCACTTCCTGCCATTCGTCTCACGATCTTTCATTCATTACTTTCCTTTGAAGGCATTATTATGAGAACAATTTAAATTATTTTTGTTTCCTGCACAAAGTTTACAATGCTGCTGAGCCACCAACGTTTCTGGTAAGTAGATTCAAATTACCTATGTGTATATTTTATATTTAATTTACAATTGCAAAATTATTGAACTAATTGCAACATAGCAAAGGACATGTACATAGATTTAGTTATCTATAGAAATCCTTAAAATTTATGTCAAATCAGTAAAATGTTGTACAATTAAATCGTTTAACGGGCTATTATATAGATGAGTAGACTCTGTTTATATGTTTAAATTAATCCTTTAAAATATATGTAAATACATACTGGTTTTTATTAGTAGTCTAATCCCCAATAAGCTATGGAAATAACGTCTTATCAATCCCAAATCTCAATCGCCACCAATCTCTTAACTACACTCTCTCAATATTGATGCAAATATTTGTAATTCATAGCAACCGATGTGTACAAGCTGGGATATTAGAACTACCATCATTATACACCTCATATTGCAGGTGCTGTATGTGTAGGTATGCAAGTATGCACATTGGCGAATTGCCGATAAGTAAATGGTGGTGACAATTCCATTAAGGTTAAACTTTCCATTAAAACTTGCAATTACTGCCGGCAACCCTTTTCTCCAGACTTGCAAAGTTTAATAAAACATTCAAGCTAAGTAAGTATTGCTCAAAATAAGTTGTTATTTTCTTCATCGAATTGTTTCCCAAAGTTTGGTTGACGTGAAATTGTGTGGGTTAAGAAGTTGTGGAAGCATCGCCCAGTAGTTCAAAAGACCGATACAATCAAAATTTAAACCGAATTCAGGAGCCCATGGTGAATGGGACACTACGGTTCTCTGTAGCACGAAGAGAGAGCAAATTCAACCCAGTATTTATAGTATCAAGGAAAACATTGGATGGATGTTTTGTATAAAAAATTCAGCTACTGAGAACAAACTTCTTTGAAATTTGAGCATTTCACGGCACAATGCTCCTCTCCATCTGAAATGAAGCAGCTAGCTCGCCCCATAAGACGAACGGTAGACGTATAACTATGTACATACAAGAACGACGCTACGGACGGAAAGTACTTCACATCTCGAATGACCCGATTCAATAAGCGAACAGAGAAAGGCCAAAACTTTTAAGGAAAGAGGGATCAGCCAATGGCAAAAACATGGAATTCATTTGGTCCTTCTTCTTGTTGGCTATTTTACACTTGAATTGTTGTGTGAATCGACGTGGAAAACAATGTTCCTTAGTCAAGGTACATCGCACATGTTCTTGTTTCGGTCAGCTTCCTCGCACCGCCGATGTCGAGGACACAATGGTTGAGCCGTCCTCCTTGTCGAGTGGCCTCTGGCCTATAATTGAACTCCTCATTTCATCGCGTTATTATTATTTCGTGTACAATTTTGAATCTGAGAATATTAGTTGAATGACGACAGCAATAACAAAATTCAACATAAATAAAAATAATGCTAGAGTTTTATAAACCCGCAAAGCTGGATATCTAAAGGATGCAAAAGTCTGACGTGGTTTCGCCCTGAAAACTGAAATCTTCTCCTATGTAACACGCTTAACAAGCGCAATACAAAAATCATTGTTATTTGCTCTGATGAGAGAAATGGTTTTGTTTCATACAATTTCGACCGACCAGTAAATGAGGAAACTCTATACAATGCAATCAACAATAGGTTTTTGGTCTGTCTGCATTTATTTCTTGAACAACAGAGTTACGCACAGGAACCAATTAGACTGGAGTTCTGACATGGTGCATATCGTCGTGGTTTGCTTGGTTTATTAAGTGCTAACTAAATTTTCATTATGCTTCTGAATTCAAGGGCTTCACGACTGTGTGAGCACAATATTTATACTCCAGTGGTCCCCACGCTATTCACACCTCGGTTCAATTTTGCATACAGATCTACGAATTCCGAACATATGGCACCTCCCGTACTCTCATTCGCAAATTAGCATAAGCTTAAAACATATAAATGAGTCAGATATTATATTTGCATACATATTACACATTTCCTACTAGAATTGTGAATGGATCCATGAATTAATGAAATTCATGCAAGTCGTCGTATGTCGACTGCGAGCCCCAACGGATATCGTTAGAAGAATGTAGGTTGCTTCCACATAGAGAATAAGCGTTGTGACATAATCTACATATTGTTGAGGTGCATAGGAACTTTTGGTGGACCTATGGGCATTTTCCTCATGTTGAGTGAGGTACAGTTTCTAACCCTCGCCTTAAATTGCGCCCACAATCAATCACTACTAGGGAAGAAACTTTGAAACAAATGGTAATTCAGGAAGGAACTAAAGGAATGAAAAATGTGAATCCTTCCTAATTTGCAGTGGATCCTGTGGTAAACAATGACAGTCAATTCAATGGTCAGACAACAACGTTTAATTCTGCACCCACTCAAGCAATATAATCTATAACAATTTAAACTTTAATGTGCCACAGCACAAAATTCGGTCAACTGGTCCAATTTAGCCTGAAGTCATTTGGGGCATTAATCAACAACTTCCGTCATGATTCTCTACTACAACATATTCACAATAAGTTGTTACTGTCCAAGTAATTCAACGGTAACTTGTGATATTTTAAATTGTCGTAATTTTATTATTTCGTGCGTATGCTAGATATTTTTTAAAGTTTTCCAGTCTACGTTTAAGTGAATCATTGTTATCCTGTTGGGCGATAGGTAGAAAACATAAGATAGCTGCTGATATTTGCCGTACATATGAAATGCGACGAGCTACTACATACGATATGTACTGAATGACTAAACCCTTTGCGCCGTATTTGTTGTAAATATTGTTTTGTTTTATGGAGGAAGATCCTTATTACATACACGCTTGGTCGTTTTACTGAATAAAACATGAAACATAGAAGAATGATGAATATTATGCGAAGCGAAGAAGGTTGAATGTTGAAGGTGGTTCTTTGTTGTTGTGCGAAGCATTTATTTACTCGCATTTTACATCTCGACACGAAACGAGAATCCCTTATGTACATTTTCATGAGTGCCATAAGAAAAGAAAACTTATAAAACTTGATCCATGTCATCCATACTTTCCGTTGACACTCTTCTTGAAATAAATTCAACACTATTAGCGAACTGCTATACATTTGTGTATATGGATGTGAAGATACAGAAAGATTTTTATTTTTCATATGGTAAAATAAACTAAAAAATTCAGAGTTCTCGTGTAGCCTTTTTATAGATACTAAAAACTTTGATATATAAAATGCAACCATTCATCACTGAAATATTGTAATGTATATTTTTGCCAACCTAATAATAGTCGAAAAATATAAAAAAGTGAACTATAGATGCATATCAGTCTCTAAACAAAGGTTAGTCAAGTACTTATCTTAAAATGCGAAAAACCTACAGGAACAAAATAATAGTATTATGTTACTTCATTGTTGTAATGAATGTGTGTACATTGTCATTATTGTTACACATAACATCGCACTTTTACTTTAAATAAGCTGCCGTCGTGACCCATAACACATGATGTATTGTCTAATTCAATAGCCAAAAGCAGAAATATGTCAACTTCTTGGTAACACCTTGTTTTGGCACCAGTTGGGAGTCGTCTACCTTAAAAAGGTGCCTTTGATTGCCCACCACAGCGTGTAAACAAACTGACGACTGTTCGTAAAATAGATTAAAATAAATTAAAGGTGTGTGGCTTCTTAGATAATAACAATGATGGGGGATTCCCTTTCACTTTCCTGAAGATAAATACATATGCAGCCACGCAGTAACAAAGACAACCTAAGAATATCTTCATTTGTGCATCCTAATAATGATAATAACGCCACAAAATTCCCAAGGCTCCCAATTATGAAATGTGCATGTACGTGAACATGCATTTACGTACACATCTACACTGGGAAACAGACCACTTTGACTCAGTGGATTTTCAGACGTTGATACGGCTTGTAAGATCTCCAACTCTAACTCAAATTCTCGGAACCCAGGCCTTCAGAATATCCAGAAAGTTGAAATTCCCATAAGGTCACGCTGCAGAGAATCTCATAATAGTTTTGTCGCTGAATCACGAACCCTCAAAAAGGAAGCTCACGAAAAACACTTGATTGTAGATACAAATAATTTCATTTGGACCAAGGCAAGATACTTGAAGGGGCTCTCAAAATATAGACAAGTATAAATAGGACTTGCATTTCATGGAGCAGAGTCACACTCAATAGCACTTCATTACTGCAAACATAATACGAAGCAGTACAAGGTTTATTATTAATTCCAATCAAAAAATATATCAAACATGGCTCGAGAACACTTGACAGTCGTTCGTGCAATGGTTACAGTTTTGCTGTTAGGAGTTTATTATTGCGATACGGTTACTGGGGGCTCGATGAGATTCCCAGAAAGTGCTTCAGAAGAAACATCCGAAGCTGGCAAAGTTATCGATGAAATCTTGAGTGCATCTCGAGCAGGACGAAATTTGAGGCTGAGTGTCGGAGGCAAAGACCTTGTGGAACCTTTAGCTCTCGGTTCAGACCCCGAGTTTAAAGAGTTATCAGCCGGGCCAGGAAAGGAGACGGAAGCCCGAAGTTATGTGGCCTCGAAATTGTGTTCTCTGGGATTGGCCAAATGTGGAGAGGAGCGACATGGGGGTGGGAGTGGGGGGCAATATGGACTCACTAACATTCGGGATGTGACCCTGGTTCAACCCGTGGCTTTGCGACCGGTGGGAGAACCAATTGCTGCAATTCCGTTGGAAAAACAACCTTTCGCTCCGACCACGCTTCATGGGAAATATATGAACTCTGGTTTTGGAAACTATGGTTCTGAAAACCAGAATTTCCCCAACTACAACTCGCAACAGGGGGGAATTATATCAAGTTCTCATCAGGATTGTACTTGTGTTTCAATTAATCAATGCAACTCGTACGATATTATCAACAACCAAGTAGCCTCAGGAACTGGGAACCTGGGAGTTATTAGCGGGATTGGGCAACCGCATTTCGGTAATGTTGGTGCTGGAATAGATCCGAGAAGCAAAAAATCCTCAATTGAGTCCAATGCTACTGTTGTGGAGGCGGCCGTAGAACCACTTTCGAGAAGCGTCCGATCTGAAACCGTAGGTGCTGACGAAGGAACCGTGACGACAAATCTGACTTCCTCCGAGCATATCGCTACCAGAGAGAAACGAGAAGCTGCAAACTTCAACTCTGACCCTCGAATTGTGAACGGTGCTTATCGAAGTCGGTGTTACGATGATCATCTTGTTTGTTGCCGTAATCCAATAAAATCTCCCTCGTCGTCATACCCCATTGGTGGAGGTAGTAGCTACCCTTCCGGTGGTAGTGGTTCTTCATACCCAATTGGTGGTTCCAGCAATTATCCTTCTCATGGTGGATCGTCATATCCAAACACTGACTACAATCGGCCACAACAGTCTTACCCACAAAAACCAGTGACAAATGAATACTATCCTGCGACAGGGAGTTCAGGAAATAATGGAATTTGTGGCAAGCGGAACTCTAATGGGATCAATGGTCGAGTGGTGACTGGAAATTATGGAGGAAATAGCGCTGAATTCGGCGAATATCCATGGTACACACATAGATCCACTATGCATTTAATGATTATAATTTTTCATTTTGTCGCAAGTGTTAATAAATTGGTTAATTACATTGTACAGGCAAGCAGCTCTCTTGAAGAAGGACGGGTCCAACAGCGTCTTTGTCTGTGGAGCATCAATTGTAGACAACAAGCATTTGCTCACTGCTGCCCGTAAGTAACCAAATTTATGTCATGTTTTAAACGTTTTCTTATTTTCGAAATACTTATTTCACTATCAGACTGCATCAAGAGCCATCGACCTGAAGATCTCCGTGTCAGGCTAGGAGAATGGGACGTCAATTCCGAGAATGAGTTTTATCCACACATTGAGTTCGACGTGGCTGCCATTGCCATTCATCCGGAATACTATGCTGGCAACCTCATCAACGACTTGGCCATCATCAAGTTGGCAGGTTATGTCGACTTTGGAAGGTATCCTCATATTTCTCCAATCTGCCTCCCACCTCGAGGCCACGACTTTACGGGATCTCGCTGCTTTGCCACTGGGTGGGGAAAAGATGCGTTTGGTCAAGGGGGAAAATTTCAAAGAATTCTCCAAGAAGTGGACGTCCCAGTCGTGAACCATTACGACTGTGAACAGAGACTGAGGAGAACAAGACTTGGTCCTGATTTCAGCCTTCACAAGGGATTTTTGTGCGCTGGAGGTGAACCGGAGAAAGACGCATGCAAAGGTACCACAATTGGTCATAAATAATCTTATCGATGCCTCATGTAAATTCTAATCATCATATTCATATGCTTTCTTGTCTCTCTCGTAGGTGACGGCGGTGGCCCATTGTCTTGCGAAGTTGGGGGAACCTGGCATTTAGGGGGGGTTGTTAGTTGGGGGGTGGGTTGTGGTAGTTATGGGACTCCAGGCGTGTACGTAAAAACGACGTCGTATTTGGACTGGATACGGCAAACAATTCAGTAGATGCAGACAAGTCCTAATCTGAATACTTTACACAGAATGCTTAATGTGCAATTGAATGAGACTGAATTTCAATCGAAATAAGGTCGTCCAATAATGGATGTCTGTTGATGATGTCCGTGACTATTACATAAATAACTTTACTATTTATTAACCATTACGAGTAATACCAGATTGTATAGTTCAAACCCTGTTTAATAAATAATACGATAAAATAGCTCCTATAATTTTTCATTATTTTAATTAATTCAACCTCAGCAGACGAGCAATAAAATATGTGGTGAAAGTTGTCTCATTTTCCCATCTCACGACAAGATCTACCAAAACGGAGAGAGAAAAGTGAGACCGAACCCGCCTGCCAAATCCAACTTGTACATGCGACTTGTGCCGACAATAAGAAGTCGTAATTCGGTTGAAAATCTTAATTTTCTGACGGTCGAAAGGCCGATAATTAGTGATATTGGTTTGCAAACATTTAGTTTAAGCTCACTCACAGATATATTCAAAATGGGAAAAGGCTTGTTATTTTTTGCCGGAGTTTCGAGGGTCCGGTTTTCAAATGTTATACTTCAGCAGCAAAAACGTGAGTATTATTTACTAGTTCAATATGCAAATTAGACTTTTCAAGTTTTCAACTCTAATTTTTTGATAGGACACTTTGACATGCATAGCCAAACCGGTCCTACAAAAGAGGAATTTGCAGCCGTAAAACAAGACCTTTTCGGAACATTGTGTCGTGAAAACATTCGCCTCCTTCAACAATTTCCTTTGCCCGAAGTGACAAACTCTAAAGTGCAGGCCAAAAGATCAGCACTTTTCACAAAAGAAAAGGAAAAACAATTGCGAGAAGTGGGGAGAATCCAAAAAATAACGGTGGACTTTAAAAATATAGACAAATTCCCGGAATCTGCGTCGCTAATCATGAATAAGAAAATTTCGACACCCTATCAGTGTGCTCAACGTAAGTATTACGCTAAGGCACAATTTCAAATTATGTATTGCTCAGAATGAGTGTCACAATTTAAATCATTTAGATTTGGGAGAACTAATGACAGAAAGAAGCATAGTTGCAGAAGTTGACGGTCAAGTATGGGACATGCATCGCCCACTGGAAGACAATTGCACCCTTAGACTTCTAAATATGAAGATGAAAGACGAAGACCCATATCAGGTAAGAAATATAATCAAAATATAAGCAGTGTGTTGGGTAAGAATTTGGAACATACAATAGTTGCATGTTAAATATGTATGCATACATTTGACAGGTTAATAGGATATTCTGGAGAAGTTGTTCATTAATGTTGGGAGCTGTGTGCGAGTCGGCCTTCAGGGACCATATTTATGTTGAGCTGCATAGTTTCCCATCACCAAATGGTATTTGGCTGAACATTGAAACATCTGTAGTATTTACTGTTGGCAAAGTATTTTAATTTATTGAAATAATTGAATTGCAGTTCGGTCCGGAAGTTTTGTGTATGACGTAGATCTCAAGCTAAATGGTTGGACTCCAAACTCGGTAACATACATATATGTATTTGTTTAATTATTGGACAATTAATTATTGGAATGGTATAAATAAATTCATCATACAAATTATATTTTTATAGGATGAGACACGACTACTCAGTGCTGAGATGATTAAACTCTCCAGGAAAAACCTGCCAATCGAGCGTCTTGAAGTTGATGTAGACCTTGCATCAGAAATGTTTAAAGAAAACCAGTACAAATTTCAACAAATTCCTGGGATTGCACAGACCTCAAATAATGGCAGGACCGTCAGTTTGTACCGTGTTGGCGATTTTGTTGACATTAGTAAAGGACCCATGATGTCCCATACTGGACACTTGAATAAGTGCACCATAACTGCTGTTCACCATTTACCTCAGGCGGCAGCGGGGCAGATCTCAAACACACTGTATCGAATCCAGGGGGTCGCACTACCTTCTGGGATTTTGGTGAGTAACTTATATAAATACATCAAGTAGTCTAATGAATACGAAAATTTCCTCCAAGTATTTGTACAATTTCACAATCTCTTGAATAGCTAAATCATTTCGCATACGGAATAATTGAGCAAAGGGGACGTAAACTGAATACGGCAAAAATTCCTGGTACGGTCCCTGCTATAACTTCTGTTGAGCCAACCCAGGAAAAGGTTCGTGCCATAACCAGTGGGGCATAGACCATGAAGCTAATGGATTGAACTCTGACAACTATCAAATATTACACAATGTAGAACAGTAAATAAGCCGATGTGAAGTTGGTAATTAAATTGTGCATAATATAAATTTGTATTATATTTGCTCTTTTTTTAAACAAGTCATTTTGTTAATATAGTACGTATAATTAACAAGGTTAAAAGTTAACATTTCGCAGTAAAATACTATGTAGAAAGAAGAACACAATATTAGAATAAACTAAAACGCAGAAGAGACTTGCACAAACAAGCCGTCAAAGAATGCAAGACAACGAATGATTTACGAACAAAATTATACAAACTATGAAATGCGACAAAAAATGCGTAATTAAAATAGGATTTCATGGATTATTTCACTTTGGCTACATAAAAGTTATGCGTTGTTGTTACGTGCGAGATTCTTTTTTGGGTTGAGAGGTTTGCCTATGAGCATACATATGTTTGTACATGACTCCTTTCGAGCTAATTTGTTTTCCACAAATTGGACAAGTTAGTGTTATTCCGTCTTCCAAGTGAGTTCGCTTAATGTGTACTTTGAGACTCGACTTTTTAACTCGCTTATCGCATCTTGGACAATTTACAAATTCAATTTCAGCACTTTGCACCGGAGATATTTTCGGTTGTCGTCGCCGATTTTTAGATTTCGAATCCTTACTAGAATTAAAACTACTTGTGGCAGTTGATGTAGTTACTTTTACTTTTGAACCACTAGCACAGGCTTTCGGTGCATCCGAATTCGTTAAAGTGTTAGTCTGAGAGTGTGAAGGAACACGTTTCACAGCATAAACTGGAGATGTTGAAGGGACAGCGGAAGACGAAGTATTAATTATTTTCCCATTCAAGACGATATCATTTGGTGGACGGTCATCAATTTCTATAATTTCTGTATCTTCTGTCGCCACTCCGGCAGCCATTGCAGCTTCATGAATTAAGTGAGAATGGTTCGAAGAAGTTCTGCTGCTTGAATTATTCTCATTGTCATGCAAGTAAGCCAGCCCAAGTACTTCCTCCTGTTCCTGGTGCACCTGACCATTGTAATTATAGTCGTTCAAGCCTGATGCGACTACCGTCTCATGTTGCATAGACGAAATCTGATGAAACGAACAAAAATACCAACATTCCATAAGACATTATAGAAAGAGAATCTTTGTTAGTCGGAATTATTATGATTAGCATATTTACCTTTCTGTCAACATGATGAGGGGATAACCCATTGTTCATTCTTTCAAAAACAACTTGTACCTGCTCAGTCGCAGACGACCGCAACGATTCCACTGTTCCTTTAGAACTTTCATGATGATGCGGATGGTACTCATTTTGTTTTTGTTGTTGATTGTGCACAATCAGAATAGGTTGAGTGTTGTACATTAATTCGTGACCTCCCTGACCCTGTCGACTGCATGGGTTAGGCAAATTGTGGCTGTTATAACTTAAAGGAGGAGCAGAAAGCGTTATATTATTTGATGGAGACAAAACAGGTTGATGGTGTAGGCGACTTGTTTGTCTACTCGGAATTGGTTTAATTACATTTGTAGAGAAAGGGGATTGTGTCGAAGGTAAAGAACTGTTACTCATAACACCAGAACTATTGTTCGGATTGACTGCACTGGGGTGAACGGTATGCGTCGCCGGTGGTGCATTGGAAGTAGAACCCGAACTCGACATAATTTGGACTGGAATTCCATCAATTGACGAAGTAACAGTAGTGTTCGCGCTGCTGTTAACCCCTTGAATTACATACGACGGAGGTTGTGGCTCCAAGAATGATTGCTGTGAAAGCGATGACTGTGCTGAATTTCCAGATAGTGACGAAGGATAGATCCCCACATTATTAGAACCACTTGGTCCGATTAATGACTTTGCTGTTAGACTCCCTGTTGGATTTCTTTCAGAAGACGACAAATGAACACGCATATCCCTTAATCCTGCAATTTGAAAGTACTCTGCAGTCTTCAAAAACCTTTCCGTATCTTCAAATGGCACGAAAAGCTGCCCCTGATAGATAAATCGCAAGATGAGTTCAAGGTCGGATGAAGTAGTTTCTCTCAAAACAATTACAGGGTGCGCGTGAGTTGTGGTCTATATAATATAAAAAAATAGTAAATCATTCCGTGCTGTCAACGTCATCATTAATTTACTGTTATTACTGCAAAAATTTCTCTGAAATAAATGCTCCATATTGAAAGTACAACTTTGTGTGCCTTGAAAGACCTCCCGTCACAAAACAAGGTCGTGTCGGACATGTCATCCTTTTGATACAGATTTGACAAACCACTAACCACAAAGTTGTCAAAGTCGTCCCATTTTAAACACAGTAAATTCTTGTTTAGATTCATACTGGATAAAGCTTAGTTATTGATCTATGTACTTCTTTGTTTTAATTTATTCTTGTGAATGATCTTGGACAAACGCTGGTCCAAGAGACGAGATTGGGAAATTCTGTATGTTTATTTAAAGTTTGGCTGAAATTTGAATTTATCTGCAAAACAAAATATCCCCAAATTGGGTTATCCAAAATAGAAACCAGAAACATTCACAAAAGCAGTGTTGTAAATGTAGTTATAGGTTTGAATTACTTGATTATAAATACTGATACTCGAATGTTCAGCAATTTTGTCTGTGCACCCAATTATTTGCACCCTTTTTGATTTTGCAATAGTTTAAACTTCAAAGTTGAAAACTTGAAACTATTGAAAAAATGTGCTCGATTTTTCAGCTTTTCAGACAGTCATTGAGAAGAAGGAACAGCGCGAAGCCAGATCCACCATCGTCGGCACACGAAGCGTTCTTTCTTCCCTTGAACGTGAGCACTTCTCTTCGCGGACAGAATAATAAACACGGTCAACAACGGTCACCCTTGTTCACTCATTTTGGTATTAACAGAGTCGGAGAGCGGCTCATATCAGTTCATACCGCAAAGTTCCGCAGGTATGCACTTTTTAAAGTTCAATCCATTTTGTGTTTATTTTATTCCATTAATTTAGTTAAAGAATATTTTACAAGATTCATAAATATTTTGTTCATAAAATTATTTGATTTAGAATAAATAAACGAAATGCAAAATTAAAAAAGATTCATAAGGTTAACAGATTATAATTTTATTGACTATTTCAGACAGCATTCCAATTCGGAGAAGACTACGAGTCTAATATGTCGATCGGAGTACCAATAAAAGTCCTTCATGAGGCTGAGGGTCACATTGTCACGTTAGAGACCACGACGGGTAAGCTTTGTCCAATTAATATTTATTATGATGCTCAAACAAGCTTATGTAGCCATGAAACTTATTCAATATAGGTGAAGTATTTCGTGGGAAGTTGCTGGAAGCGGAGGATAATATGAACTGTCAAATGTCCAATGTTAACGTGACATATAGAGATGGCAGGAATTCTAATTTGGAACTAGTGTTCATCAGGGGATCCAAAATTCGTTTTCTGATACTACCCGATATGTTAAAAAATGCACCAATGTTCAAACGGGTAGGGCAGAAGGGCGCCGGTGCCGGCGCCAGTACCAGGGGAAAGGTTCCCATGATGCGGGGTCAAGGTATGCACATTTGTAAAAAAAAATATTTATTTAGGTTTGATGGATTGTCTAATATTAATATTTTGTGCCTTAATAATATTTTTAGCAACTCGAGGGCGAGGCGGAGGAGGGGGTAGAGGTGGTAGTGGTCCTGGTGCGCCTAGAGGGGGAGGAGGAGGAAGAGGTCAGTGGCCTCAAGGTGGAACTCGTGGTGGAAAATGAATTATCATTTTAGATGAAATTCTTAATCATCTTGTTACTACTTTGTCCCATTACTAAACTAAATATAATTTTGTTAATTATATGTAGAGGTGTTGTTACTTGTAATTTACCTGACCAAAATTGTGGCTCAGATTTACTTCTAATTATTTCTTAGAAGTATTAAGGAAAAAGAGAATTTTGTATCCCTTGGTGATTCAGAACCATTTTTCTCTATAAACTTTTCTAATACTAATGTTATAATCGTTTTACAACAACTTAATTATTCATTTATTGTAATAAAACCATTCGACGCTTGAATTTTGTGTTGTTAATGATATACGTGTCCCTATTCATGGAATGAAGAGAATATCATTCTTGACATAGTCAATATCCAAAATATTTAGGGAATTTTGATAATGTACAGGTTAAATTAGTATGCAATAAATTAGTCGAATTTTCAATCAGGCATAAAATTGAAATTATTCGAAGCATTGACATAATTTTTAATCGTTTCTAAATTAAAAAAATAAAATAATGCAATAACACATAAAATAGGAACCATTTAGAATACCAAGTGATGTGTACTATATATCTGCCTTTGACTCCTCAATGACAAATTAATTGTAGCATTTGTCATCAATCAAGTGCAGGATTTTGCGTGAAAAAGTTGTACGGTTTAATCCACAGCTCTCGACCCTCGACGGGCATGACTGGATAATCTAGAAAGTTGAAACATTAATTAATATTAACAATATCATAATAAATACGGTTTAACACAATGGTATCAGTACCTTCGACTCTCGGGATGTGCACAGGTGAAAACATGTGCCAAAGAACGACGTCTGTATTTTGTATTGAGACCTCATTGTTTATTCCCCACTCTGGAAGTCCAGAGTTATTGAGATAAAAACCCCCTGCGTGGAGTTGGCCTTCTTCATATTTGGTTATCCACATGTCACAATCCAAGAAACCCATTTGGGCATAAATTGGACTCTCTTTTTTCATCATGATAACGGGATCAACGACGGGCATCACTTTCCACCCCACAGGCGATTTTGTGTAGGGGTGGATCTTCCCGTGATTCGTGACCACCCAACTTCTACCCGTGAAGGGGTTTATTCTCGAACACCCTTCCGACTGGGTTTTATAGTCGTGACGAATTGTGGTAAACCCGTTGCCGAGGGGATGCGATGGTGACCCCGAGGGCGCCTTCAGAGGGGCCGCTTCCATGCTGTGGACAGAATTACTCGTACCATCCACCTCCACATCGAGGCGGACGGCAAATATGTGTTGGTGGAATTGAGCATCAACCTAGAGATGTGAAATTATGAAGATATGTAGAGTAGATGGCTTGTAGATGTACTTCATCATCCTAAATACCAACCATTTGACCACAAATACCAAATTTGAGTATGATGTCTACCTGAGGAGCGACGACGGTGCCAAATCCACCAGGCGTCGCATTAACGGATAGCATGTTGGTACTAACAATTCCAGTCAGTTGCGTTTTCAAACTGATGCTGGCGTCTTGATGGAAGCTCCAAGTGATTATGTAGTCATAGTTGCCAAAATTTGCAGAAGTCATAATGTTTAGTCGATGTGACCGGACAACAATGTTGCCCTCAGTGGTGTATCGATTGGGGGCATGCTTCCACAAAATTCCGGCATCATCTTCGAAAATGCAAATCCCCCGAGGGACCGTGATCGGGTGACCAGTGGAATTGTTCGTTGTCACGTCGATAAAGTGGGTGGAACCCAAGCAATCCTGTTGGTCTATGAGGGGAGTGGTGGCAAACCCGAAGCCTATGTTCCCCTCATCGTATGCCTGTTGTTTTTATAAACAGTTCACAATTTAAAGAAATGTTTCCCTGAGAAATTGTATGATAAAACGATACTGATTTCAAAGTTAAATTGCTATAATGTACATACATATTTCCTGTGGAAAGATGGCCTAGGATCAGCGTAATAAGTTGCAACTTCAGACAAGGAAGCGCGGTACATAATCGGACGATATTGACCCTTGTCGTTATACCCGACGTTGTGCAAGACGAGGCCTTCTCGAGGATTGAACCTAGTAATTCATTCATTAAACTTAATGTACATAGAATGGAAGGAATAGGAATGAGTTTTATTTTTCTTACCCAATTCTTAGGTTGAACTTCTGCCAAGAAATTTGATTCCCTTTCACGACATAGCTTGCCCCTTCTGGCATTACGATATCAACAGGCTTGTCTCCTTTTATTCTCGTGTTGGAGTCATAATTTGAACTTGTCTCAGGGACAAAATTCCCATCTTTATTCGACCCAAAATCATGATGATCATGTGTTGGAAGATCCTTAATATCAATGACTTGATGGTGGGCTTCATCCATAATTACCAAAAAATCAAAGGGATGCGCTAAGAAAAAAAAACAAGTTCTATCGGTCCAACTAATCTGCTTATCTAGTGCTAAATCCATTCGGCCAATCTTCTTTATAATACTTGTGTAAGAGGAAAGTGCTCACCATAATAATTATCCGTTGGAAACTTACGCCCATACATAAATACTTGATAAGGTCGCGTCAGGTTTCCGTAACTATCTCCCACACCTAAATTATGCAAAACCATTCCCTCGGCGACGACAAGATTCATGTCGGGATACCCTAACATACGACATCTCTCTTGAACACGAAGATCTGCCTTGACGACGTCGTTAATTACTTGAGCTGCATCTACTGTGGCAAGAGGTTTTGAGCCTGTTGGGGCTCTTACAATGCTTTCCACGACCCCTTGAAAAGTGAATAATACGGGATAAAACAAAATTTTATGTTTCTACCATGTTATCATTTTCCTATAAATTATTTACCCAAATCGAGGTGAACGACGGCTTCGTATAGGACTCCAGTCCCTTCTTCGACAAGAATGGCGAAAGCTTTTCTGGCCACAGCATTTCTTGGAGGGTCAGAATTGGCGAGAAAGTATGGGAGCAAATCAGATTTCAAGGGCTCATTCAAGTTTATTATATTAAATTTTAATTTCGAGAAACGCTCTGGACTTATTGATTGTGCAAGTATGTCCCGTGTTTTAGTAATTTCATCGGGACTAAGTGGATCCAAGGGGTGTGGATATCCTGATTTTTAAGTATCATTATCACAGATTATTAGCTTTGCTGTTGGTACTAATTTGCATGTGCCGTAAAAATAAATATTTATGTACATTAGGAGCTTAAATATTACCATGTTTCGTTGGCTGATAAGCCTGGCTGGCTGGTGGATTTGGTTGGACAATTAAACTTCTTGGACTAGGAACGCTAACACGATTGCTGCATTTTGCAGACAGCACTGAGGTACAGACGCATGATGTTGTTTCGTCCTTTTGATAGACGAGACCAATCCGTATACATTCAAAGGAAAAAGTGTTGTCTGCACCAGCAACTATCAGTCAAATCATAAACTTGACATTTTACAATCACATTTCTTTGTTGGATGGATGAACAGAACGAGTAGTAAGTAAATAAAAATAAACGGCTTGCATACCATGTTGTCCAAATTCTTGCGACCACACACTAGCAGCTAAGAATATTATGAGAAAAAATTTCAAAATACTAAAACTGCAATTGTGTATAAATTTAATTGAGCAAGACATTGTGATTGACTTAAAAATGGGAATTAAAAAGTGAAGCTGGTATTTAATTACACAGAACGAGAAACACAGCCAAAACTAAATTCCCACTACAATGCAATGCAGCTATCGATGTATACTGCCACCAGATAACTGATGACACTTGGCTACATGGCAGTGCTGATTGAGCCTTTTGAGACACTTGTTCCACGAAAGTCCAGCCCAGAAGATCGTCCAGACGTTACGCCCTTCCGCGTTCGTGAGCATATAATAATTGCGCAGGAATGAATAACCTGGATGTTAAGTTACAGGCGTGAACTGGTTTCTGAAGGTGAAATAGAACCTACCTGATGAAATTTGAGAAAATATATCAAATCCGTCCAACTGCATACAAAATCTGGACACGGAACTGGATATTAACTTTATGTATCAATAGAAAAGGAAGCTATTTATTATTGGCACATTAAGATTAAGACATAGTGTACATGCATATGCACTAGTAAATCGTTTTAGGACAGACGGATATCTACCACGATATGATGAACCTTTTCGATGAGCATGCTTTTTTATATTTCGTTTAGTTACAAATGTATGCATACATTATTTTAACTCCAATAAAATAGTAAAATTGAGAACCTGGACCTGGTTCCAATACCTATGTGTATCAATTAATATGCATGTATACATATGCATTGCTCAAGTGTTTGCCTATTATTTGACTGCTAGTATGCAAATGAAGCGATTTAATTATTTTTTACGGACAATATACATACGTATATATAAGCATTTAGCACAAATTGGATACAATATAATTTCGTCTCATTGGGATTGTCCTATATATTTATACAAGTATAATTGAAGAATGATTTGACCAATTTTAAGTTCCTTTTGCAAGATATATGTAGATAGTTAATTATAGCTACATATATGCATGTGGTTTACATATGTAACCAGGTGCTAAAGTTGGTTAATAAGTAAGGTTATAAGAGCGTGGAAAAATGTTTTTCACGAGTTTAGAAATGGCCAAGCCTGATATATGGTGTATATTTTCATATAATTGCAATTTGTTCAAAAACTGGTAATAATCTGAGGAGAAATAATTGATATTTGAGGTACATTGCATGATCCAGAATTACGGCCAATTGCTACATATTATCTTCTAAAATTATTATTGTCCAGCCACCGCTTGCTTTCTCGATCCAAGTTGGGCGTGAGTGAGGACGAATGTGAAAGTGAAAATTTATTCCGTTGTTGGACTCAAGAGGGTCAATAATAATAATGTTAGGAGATACGTAAGTATATGTGCAAACACCTCAATGCAATATTTGAAGTGTGCAAACATATAACCTCAATCATAAAATAAAATACGTGACAATATCGGGTTTTTGAAGAAGGAACAGGAACCATATTTGAAATTTGAGGACGAATCGAACCGTAATAAATTAAATGAATTAAATCCTTGCAACTTGTGTTGCTTTGGAGACATATCTGATCGTGTATGTACATACATACTTTGATAATATTTATTTTTCATTCCCCCTCCAAAAAATGTCCAACCTTTGATTCTAACAACCAGGCGTTGTCAGGGCAAGTGAAGCCTTACATATATATCTTCCCATTTCTCATTTTATCTGTGGATCAGATTCTGTTCGATGAAAAAGCGATACGAGTAAAGGAATAGATGTAAGGGGGCCAAATTGATGCATTTGTACGGACTATGTGACAAAAAGGTCCTTCAATTCGTTATTAGATTTTGAATTCAAGAGAGAGGAAAGTGAGAAGTGGAAGTGGGGTGATGATCTGATTATTTTTGGTGAATGTTCATGTCTTGTTCTCTTAACAACCTATAAACTTGCATGATAGGTATCCAGGAACAAAAAATCTCCAGTTATTGCAAATGGAGGAAACCACAGTGGTAACTCTAGTGTCAACATAAGCCCACACACAATCTTCTGAACAAGCTACTAAAGTCGTCCTAATCTGAGCACACTTTTAATTCTCGAAAAAAGAACGAAGTTGAGGATTGAGGTAGGTATTTCTGTCGGAAATGGTGCTAAACTGTGACCTTTCCCTCAATGAACTCTTTTCTTTTGATGAAACATTGAATTTGAATAAGAAGATTTGGTTGAAATTGATTTGAACCTCCTGACAAGGTGAAATAAGAAAGTGCTTTTTAGTCTGAGGCAGGACTTATGGAAGTTATGTCCGTCCGTCCACCTGTCCATCTGCGAACATGATATAGCCAACTTAAATTTTTGACCATATGCATATTGGACAAAGTTAGCAAACGAGTTCGAAGATGGGCGAAATCGGTCCAGTGGTTGACCGGTGGGGTCACGTAGGTGGGTGAGGTATTACGCACCAAAATTTCAAAATTGTGGTAGAAAGCTGAAATTTGGTAAAAGTTGTTAAGGGCTTCTAATAGAAAAATATGAATTAAAATTACTATGTAGTGACCTATACCGATTTTTGAAAATCATCTAATCGAGCTGAAATTTGGAATGGAGGTTGGTAATTAATTAGATACTTCGAGCAACTATGGTGACGTCGAATTTCGAAAAATTATCAACCTCAAATACCCGAGGGGGTGACTCACACTGATTTTGTAAATCGGTTGGAAATGGTCAAAACTTGACATCAAGGTGCAAGCGTATTTTAGATTTATGAATATGAAGGAAATTTTTTGGTAGCAGGGTGACCCACACTGCTCTTCCCAATTATTGACTAATTATTAGTCTAAAGAACTGAAATTTTTCATGCTGGATAAATGTCAAATGTGGCAGTTGATGATGATTATGTATATTACGTCAGGTGATATGGCAACTTGTGCCGAGAAAACTATAACATAGACATAACCTGCACCTTCGAATTTGCATTACAATTTGACCCAGAATCGGGCTAAATGAAGTCTGCACTGTAGGTGGATCTTTCTGCAAGGAGAATGTGTTCCGACAAATTCAAGAATTTTCAAACATCTAGAAAGATTCTTGCTCAGCAGGACAGATCAAAGTAAAGACACACACTTGTTGAATTTGCGGAAGATATGGGAGGAATATGCGTGATCCGGAAAGCTCTCATCCATTTTCTCTTTTCTCCTCGTACTTAGGAGGTTGCACTTCACCTTCTTTCTTCATTCGAACTCGAATCACGAAGACAAAGGGCACACAATCATACCTTTCAATCAACAAGATTCAGAACCCCACATTGCCACAGGTCCATTTTTGCGTCAAGTTTATTTTTCTACAAAATTTCTTATTTTATGAATAAACTATCCTAATTTCTACTCGTACCTGATTTTTGTGTTACCTTTCTGCTACCTGAAGACATAAAAGATCGTACCTGAAATATTGCACCTGAAATACATAAATATTGTACCTGATTGATTTGGACACATAAATGCAATATTTTGCTTTACATATATACATACATAAGATAGAAAGCGAAACCGAAAATATACACCACGTTGGTTTGTTTCGGGTTCGAATGCAAATTTGTTGAACAATGCCGAACGTTCTCATTACGGTAGGACAATTACAGTATACAATTGATCTCTGTTTCAGACTCCATGAGTACTTGTTCCTCGATATTTTTACAGGAAAATATTCGACGACAAGAAATCCAGAGCAGTAAACGAATGGTTTTCACCCTGCGACTGGTCTGCCTCCTTATTTTCCACATAATCCTGTTAGCGGGTTTATTCTCCTATTTCATCGCCGTGCTGCTAATTCCCATCTTTCTGTGCGAGATGCACATCATGGTCGTGGCGACAAGGCATTTGAGAAGACTTGAAACAACTGGCACAGAAAGTACAGAGGAGATTGAGCCAAGGTGGGTTCGACCAGACCCCTCGGTCAGTTTGGACGATTCGGAAGGTAACAGTAGCCGAGATGCGTGGCCGTTTCAATTGCCAGAGCGATGCTACTGTTATCCATACCCTGTTGGTAAGTATTAGTAAATATATCGTGAGTGAAGTTACGTCGTTGAAATATGGGGCGACTGGTTTAATATTGGTTTTAATTGTCGCAGAGCAAGTGGCACCTTCTGACCCCCCCATTTATTCTGTAGCACTGGGAATGCGCAACCCTGCTGACGAACGGAATGAAGAGTTATTGTCCTCAGAACAATCCCCCCTTCATACGAGGTGGCAGTCTTAATGGAATAAAAAGTTCATTAATATGCGGTAGGACTATGTAGTAGAAAGGGTAGAAAATCTTTTAATCCTTCAATTGTAAAAAGAAAAATGCATGCCAAATATTCAAATATAAAAACAATAAAATGAATTTTAAACGTCAACATTTATAATTAAAATTGCTATGACTGTCATATATGCATAGGGAATGAACATCCCTTGAATGTCTACTTTATGAAAAAACTTACATACGACAAATTAGGTATAAAATTCACTGGCGTACAGCATTTAAAGGTAACACAAACGTAAGACGTAATGCAACGTAGTAATGTTATCTTAAGCTCCGTTTATAGTTTACAACATCATCATGACATGCTCCCTGGTTGAAATTTTTAATTGTCGTGGGGATATTTTTGATGGGGAAAAATCGGATTGGGAGCATGACATAATTGATGACATGATTGACATGAACTATAAACTGGGCGTATAGTTACATTACTACATACGTTATTATGTTACGTATGCGTTTATCTTAACATCGCTATATGAGTCTGTTTTAATGGGGTGCAAAAGTGCGTGTTAGAGAAGATTCACCGATTCATGTCCAGTGGAGAATGATCTGATTCAGATCATCTTTAGCAAGTATAATTGTGTTCCTACATAGTTACAAATTTAGAGGCGTGAACAGCAATTGTGGTAATCCTAACGCAAAAAAAACGATATAAATCTCACCTTGCCACATTATCGCAAGGAAATGGGACCAGCCACACATGGGGAATTACGATAACAACCGTAAAAAGGGGTGGTTATGATATGTAGTTTCATGATAGTTAGTTGCATCGGTTGGGTTGAGAAGCAAGTTTCGTTCGTCGCTGATACCAAGTGCATTATTGCAATAGTCGAAATGTACACATGTAATAAAATAACCGCGGAACGCCACGCAAAAAGTGCAAGAAGCCAAGGGTTGCCTACGTCTTTTTGTGTGCAGAAATGTGTGGTTGGTTTGTTGCGGTTGAAGTGAGGGGATCAAGTCTTCTGTGTGAGTCGTCTCTTTTTCTACTCCTTGCAATTCAACTTCATTCACCAAATACGAACCACGACTCGCTCAGTCGTCTCGTTTTTTCGTCTTTTTATTTTAGTCGAAAGAATAGCAATAACACTGGTTATTGCAAACGTTTTATTTTTGTGACACACACACACTTTGATTCATAATTTTTTAATGGAAACTTCTCTGTAAGCTTATGTGTGAAGTATTGTATTCGTTTTTATGTAAAAATTGTGAAACTAAATAAAGCAGGGGGTGAAAAAGTGTATTTATAAAAGCGATAGTAAACTTGTAAATGGACGGATGAATCAGACAAGGTGCCCGTTGTGGCAGGTAAGACGAAAGTTATGACAATCTTGGCGAATAAGAATGTGGTGCATATAAATTATGGATGCTTGCGGGAAGTGCATGTAAATTATAGGGTGCAATTAGTAGAATGCCAAAGTACATTAGTTTTTTTTCTTCTGGAGAATGTCTTCAAATATTTTAGTCTTAGAAGGTTAGCAGTAGTCGAATGGATTTCATGACGATATCAAAATTTCATTAGATTAGTACGATATAGACAATCATTTCGTTGGTAGGAACTGTAGGAAGTAATTTTTTGTGCAGTCGACGAGAGTGTGGACCTGCTGAGCTAGTGCGACACCACGAGCCTCGCAATCTTGACCCTTTCACTTATTGCGTCGTATTTTTCCATCCACAGTCGTCTCGCCCATGCTTCGCTTGCTTTCAGATAGAATAACCAAAGCGATGACATCACAAACAAACACGTTTATTGTCGTTACATGAATTACATGATGATTTCTCCTCTCTCAATAGGCGGTGGACAAGGAGGAGGTCACTCCATCCTCATCGCATCATCACGACCACGGTTAAAAAATTATGAACTTGATGATGGATCATCGGAACAACACTTGTGGCCGTTGTGGTCATCCAAAAAATGCATTTCAAACCATTAAATTCGCCGATCTATTCACCCATCTCCACCCCAACGAGGGGCATAGTAGGGAATGTCAATGTGACGAAGGGGGGCGACACGATGCCAACTTGAGCAACAGCCATAGTAACGTTGACCATCACAATCCTCCCGTTAAGATGGAACCATCATGTGTCCCCGTCATCCAGCAGCACCACACCCAGTATCTCAGTCATGGATCTCACCCCCAGCAGCAACCCCAGCTGCATCATCATCATCAACACAGTGCATTTAGTAATTCCGCATTTAATTCCGAAATGGATCAACACCATCACCAAACTCAAGAGGAGAATAAGCAGCAGCAGCAGCCGCAACAGCATTTATTCGGCAATAATTATGATACTCATCCCAATAATAATTATGTCATCTCCTGCCCTACGTCGACAGGAACGACATACTTGACGACCGCTCTTCCCCCTGGTCAGCGTAGTAGTCATCCCAATGGTGGAGGGGGAATAATATCGACGATTAACAGCATGAATATTAACAATAAGGCCCCGATTCTTCTACAAATCCAGCAGGATCAGCAACCAAAAGTATCTGTCGGAGTTATTACGAAAAATCAAAGCAAAGAAATCGTCACACCCAAACCTCCTCCACCACCCACAATTCCTAGTATTCCTCCTTCTCCTCGCGTCCCATGCTCCTTGTGCAAGAAAACATTCGTCAACGAAAAGATGGCAACAGCTCATATGCAACGAGTGCATGAAAAAATATCGAGATTCGTGTGCGAAATATGCGGAGCTTCCTTTTCATACAGGTAAGTCATAAATATCTTGAAAAAAAATCAAATCGGGATGAAATTGTAATAATCAGCGTCTCAAACTTTGGGAAACAACGCCATGTGTATGCGGCTAGGAAAAAAGGCGTATATTGTATACATACTGTTAAGTTAGGTTCTGATGAAGCCGGATGACTCACGAGGAAAGAATCCTTGGCTTTGGCTTTGCAGACTAGATCTCAATCTTTATCTAAAGTAGTCAAAGGGAGAGTTTTTGTCTTAATGTAATGGCATGATAATGGTTACAATCTTATTGTTGGTAGGTTTTTGGTGAGTTATATAGTGCCCTGCCATGGCAGGGAAAGGGGGTCACACGTATAGGCACAAACCAACCAGACATAAACTTGCTTCACTCATTCAAAAATCGTCGTCGTCGCCTTTTCAACAAAACAACGAACCAGACAGTGCAGACACATATATTCATTCAACAAGTTTTATCGTCGTTCTGCGTTCATCGTCTTCGTCAACTAAGCTAAATCAATTGTTCATCAGCTATAGCTCTCTCAAGGTTAATGCAATTACTGATTATTATGACAGTCACTCAAATACATCCATTCAGTTGTGTTGTTTGTGCGATTCAATGTCTTGTGTCTGTACAGATTATCTGCGAAAAGTCGATGATGATATTCCAAGAAATCCTTGGATTTGGTTATTTGATTTGCAATTTTATTATCACAAGTTTTCATTCATTATTAAATTGCGATGTGGGTTGAACCTAGTTAGACTACACTCACTACAGAGTAATATATGATGTCAAGCAGCTTAGCTTCGCCCTTTATGAATGAAACTTAATCTAATTTAAAAAGCTATAAAGAGATAAGTGCGTTTTGTATGAGCGAGTCGAATAAGATTTTACGAGAACTCTATATAATTTTCAATAAATCTGTACTTTGTAGTAGCGTGAGTATTAAGAACGTTTCACTGATTGAGTTCCGTTATTTTTATTATTATTATAAAAGAATTAGAAGAGTATGTAGGAGAAGCAATTCCTTTGCCGGAAACAAGGGTCGTTATTATCGTATACAAAAAGCTAAAACATCCCCAAATGCATCATATTTTGTAGCAGCAATACAATACATTCTTTTTCTTTGCTAATTAGTGCAAGTAGCATGATCAGATAAACAACCAGACAGGGTGGATAATAAATTAACAAATGTGCAAAAAATAAGATAATGCACGAGGGATTAATGATGCAGGTGTAAAGAAGAATCGAGAGGAAGTACAATTTTCATGAGGTTAAATTAGCACAAATTCCAACAATCTTAATATGTTGATCTAAGAAAATTTGTCCAGTTTTCAGTGATTATATTGACTTGGAAGTGAGTGAATGGGATGAATGTATGAGGTGTAGGACGGATGGGTGGGTGTGGATGGTCAGTATATGATGGTTATATAAGAGCTATTAGAAGGGTGGAAATGGGGTTAAATACCGTGTGCTTGAGCGGAAGACAAGACGTAGTATAACTCGATCCTCGTGCGTCATCATCACACTCTCTGGCCAAAGACCTGTTTCCAATTACAACAAGTTTTTTATCAATCAAATCAAGTTTACAGTTGTGCCTTGCTTTGGTGGTGGTGATATTATTGTGCGAGACGAAATGAAATGAACGCACACGTGGTTTGGCTTGGTTGGCTAGTCTGCTAGTGGTCCATCCATGGAGTTTTTTTCAAGTGGGTGTGGTTGATGATAAAGAAGAAATATATTCTTAAGCGTGGTCGAGTCTGCGAAGAGAAAGCAATTTAATCCATGTAATAATCTGCCTGATCGTTTCGGCAATCAGTATTGGGATTGGATATTTAGTCCCGTCATGATTTTTACGTCCGCTTGTGACGACGGGAGTAACGAGGAGCAGCTAATAAGTTGTTGGGTTAGGTTTTGGCTCAAGCGAAGGAGGGATTAAAAGTGAACAAGGTCAGACACTTGTCGCTGAACTTCTTGGGTCAACACCATCAAAAGGAGTAGATTGCTAAAGGAGATTGCTAATGATGAAAAGCCCTTAGACATTGCGTGAACAATGATCCCCCACAAAATTCTTTTAACAATGGTTATTAATGTAACGACGAGTAAATCAGGGCCACGTGGCTGCTTCAGCGACACTTGCATATTAATTAATCATTATAAGGAGCCAAAGGACCCTAATTCCTCTCGTGGGGATTCCCCCTGTTTTCTATGCTTTACATATTACAAACATTGATTGTTTGCACGTCGTTTCATTTTTGTTGGCATGACCATTTATTTTCTTCGTTCGTAGAAATTAAAAGTATATTTTGTGGGGATAACCAAAGATGAAAATGATTACTCAAGTTGTTTAAATGTTATTACCATTATTTTTATTTATTCATTGCGTGTCATGAGTGAGACTAACATTGTTTGTGAAATATGTTTGCTTTTCATGAGGATTTTACATACATAAGAATTGCGTAAACAATCGTAATTAAGAATTGTCGCTGTTCAGCTGCTGCTGACTTGCAATTTAAGTACAATATTATTAACGGAATGTTGGAAATGTGCTTGATGGGATATCCGGTTTCGTTTACAAACTAGACTAAACATATATTGCAAGTTTGCAGATATGTACATGTAGAGCTTAAAGGTATACCTATGGGGTATGCATACCCGTATTATAGTCAGTTGAAGAATTAATTGTTTCCACGTGCAAATTTAATAGTGAACTCTTGCGAACTATTTGGAATATTTTTGAGAATTCAGACAAATAATTATCACCACAATTTTTTATGTTTTATGTATGCTTTTCAGAGGAAGCCTTGACTCACACCTTTGCTCCCACAACACCACCCCCATCATTACATTCGATTGCCCAACGTGTGGTCAAAAATTCAAGCAAAAGACAAACCTCGCTCAACATATGAAAGGTCATTTGGATCTTCCCAAACGATTTCCTTGTCCCCATTGTCCCACTGGGTTCTCGAAGCGTGTTAATCTGCGCACCCATATGAAGAGGAAGCACCCAGACAAGGAGGAGGAGGAGGCGACTACGACAACGATTCCATCCTCGTCAAACTCTAAGCTCTCCGAAGTCAGACCAGCTTCTGCAGATCTACCTTCAACTATTTCTTCTTCTTTGTCTTCTTCGTCATCATCCAAGAAAAATAAAAAGGAGAAATCACAGGGGCAAGGAAATTTCAAATGCGACGAGTGTGGCAGAAGCTTCCTTTTTAAGAATAACCTTAAAGCCCATCAGCGTGTACACTCAAAAGAGAAAAAGTACACATGTGCAGAGTGTGAAAAATCCTTCATTTATAAAGAGAGCTTAAAAAATCACATGGTAAGGGTATATTCCAATGTAGTTTTATAACCGTATTAACGTTGTGATGACGAGAAGTTATTGATGCCTTATTTTATTTTTCACAGCTTCTCCATTCCAACGAAATGCCATATAAATGTGACATCTGTCACAAGCAGTTCCGCGACCGGTCAAATCGGAGGAAACATGTCAAAAATGTGCACAAATACTTGTTTCTCAACAATAATAACGGTGAAAGTGGACTCAATGAAGGTTTAATTGGAAATAATGGGAACACGCAAGATTTGAACAATAAAACGCAAAAGATCAATAAAAACGGGAACAGTAGTAGCAATAATACCGCACCTCCACAACCGCAACCAGAGTCTCAACCCGTGTCGAATGTTATAAAAAAGGCGAGAAAACGTGTAAAGAAGGTGCCCGCAACTCCAGCTCCAGAAGTTAGTGAGATTAATCTTTTACCTCCACCAACCACGGGAGCAGCAACAGCTTCGGTCATCGTGTCACACATGGCGTCAAATGCTGGTGTGGAAACGCTTGATCGGAAAATTATTATGAGTCCTGGACCAAGGCCGACAATAATGGTTTTGCCTAATTATGCTCCTCCTCCTCCCGAATCACAAAATGCTGGGACCAATGTGATTGTCAAAACCCCTGTCCAGATGCAAAATGTGATTGTTTACCACAAGCAGTCGAGACCGGACATCATTAGTTCGAATGGGGCCAGTTTGCAAAACTTCCCGATCAACGAGTTGCAATCGTCATCTGGTGGAGTGCTCCCCCCACCACCACCGCATAACACGCAGATTGAGATGGAGAGTGTTGATGGAGAATTATCTAATGGTCATGGAGGTTTTCAGCATTTTACATTGTCGAGGGGAATCATCACAGCCTCATCTGCGGTGACGAATAATGTCCATTACAACTATGAACCCCAACAACAACAACAGCAGCAGCAACCACAGTTTCAACAATGGAATGATCAGACGGTAGCACCCCAATCAACGACCCCAACTCTTTCTCTCAGTCATCATGACAATAATGCTATTAATTATATGGAACAGACCTCCCAGTATGGGTCTAACTCATCAAATATTATCTACGCAAGCTCATCAAATAATCATGCTCATCAACATAACAATGGTGGCGACGGCACGAATGGAATGGAAAATGAACACTTAGATCTTTTGTCGTCGCAAAATGGTAGTGCCTTTTTTTACAAGGATTTATCACAATTTGATTTTAGTTATTTGTAATTTTATAGTGAAAATGCAATTTTATATAGCGAAATAAATAGTCTCAATCCGCTTGAATTAACTATAACGTGTCACTTTTAATTTCACTGATGAAGAACATGCCACAATTTCGCATGGATGAACCTTTCCAGCTGCACAATTAAACATGGATAGATATTACAAAAGAAGTTTGTCACTTACAAAAAATAGTATATGCGAAACAATTTTTAATTAATTTTTTTTCTTACATGAAACGATCACTAATTCTGGCAGTTGAAAAAATTAAAGTTCGTATTTACCTTTCATATACCAGAACCAAAAATAAAATTGTTTGAAAAATGATCGACCTTTCTTATACATGAAGAATTTTAAATCGGGTGTTAGTAACTACTGATATAAATTTGTGGACGAAGGCACATATATCTCTGCAAATTGTATGTTTGCATGTAAATCATGTTTTATCAGGTTCGGTCAAGAACATTTCAGATGCAAAAATAGATGGCCGAAATGCCATGCATACATATTTGCGCTCCGAGCCGAACGTCAAACGTTGTATCTTTTATTTTTAAAATCACTTGTTTCACTCTTTTATTTATCTTACAATGCCATTACATTTCTTTGCGTATTATTTGTATCAATGAATGCAAACAATCATGGAACCGAGCGTACATATATGTATGCACATATACATACGTAATTTACGCATGTATCTATATATACATATGTACATATGTAGATCTGGGTATGAAGAAATGTAACTTTATACATAAGCTACAGAACATGGTAAGGGAAATAACAATTCCATTACAAATTGTAATCGCTACCCTCGAATAAAAGGAATTCAAATCCAGTTCACAAGTTTTTTATCCACTACATCATCCCTTGGTCAACACAGTCTGCACTGACTTTGGTTAAATGACACATACATATTTATTTCAATCCTACAAGTCTCAAATTACATATCCAACGCATTATTGTCCAAGTACTAATCCTAAGCATTTGTACGTACGCAGCACGTATATATATTAAATAATATTTCCATAATTCTTATCTTGATTTAAAATATGCCCTGAGTCACAAATCAAACAAATGTGAACAAGTAAAAAGTTAATATTAAACTAATGTGGATTGGATACGAGCTTCTTTGTATTTAGATCTCACAGGCATGAATCACCAAGTTGATATATATACACTAAGATATATGTACTTTTATTGGTATGTAAATGAAAGATTTCTCGTTACTGTATAATGTGACTTCTCGATAATTCTCCAATATTTTTCACACTTAATTTCTGCTGTTGATTTGGCAAGTACGATTGAGAAACTACATCTTATCAGGAAAGATTGACGACGCAAGGCTGTCACATTCGCAAATATATAAATGGCCGTGCATGGAAAATCAAATTAAAATTGTCTAAACCGTCTTAACCGTCGCATTGGTTATAAATTTCCTAAAATACTTTTGACAAATTTTAAATTTTAGATTCTTTTGAACGTTTAAAAACTAGCAATTAATTTACGACAGTTTGTATCTTTATTTTATCCTGGATTACACGCATACGATTAAAATGAACTGTTATCCAAGTTTTATACTCTTGTGGTTACTTATAATCTTCACCAGTACAATTGGGACAACTAGACCGTACCACACAATTGAGATTCGAAGGCGAAGTGAATTATCATCTGGTAAATCCACTGATATGGTTTTGCTTTAAATTTTATTTTACCTTTGCCTGTTTTATGTTTTTTAGTGTTCATATGAACCATATTAAGTTTCGAATGTCTGTTTTCAGGAGGACATGTTTATAACATTACAAACTGCAATCCAAATCTGGCGGAGTTTGATGAGCATGATAAAATAATGGAAATAGAAACCAACGGAAACTGTTTCAACATTTACTCTGAGAAAGGCTGCACAACTTCTGAGGGCCGACTTATCCGATACCAGGCAGGCAGACTGCTCACAGAACTCAGCAAATTTAATAAGCATCGATGGGATGGGGATTTGCATGTGGACGACGAGCATGTTCAGGTCAAATCAGTCGGACCGTGCTTTGACAAGTGTGATCCTCGCAATTGGCAAGGAGACTCCCCAAGTCGGCCTGTGACCGTGACAATCTATGAGGATGAAGACTTTACTGGTACTTATTTTTTTTTTGCTCAAAAATTTAGCACCGAAACAGTATTTGTATTGATTTGTATGTGCATACGTATGTAAATATGAATGTATGCGTAAATGTTGCTTCCGATAAATCCTGCAGGAGATGAAATGACTCTAAAAGTTGAGGGAGATCGATGCTTTCCAATATCGTCGTCTGGTCCAGTGTCGACAAAAGCATCCATCAAAATATCCGGAGACGAATCTTCTTGCATCGAGCTTCATGATGACCCGTCTTGTGGTGGAAATTTTACCCAATTCCGACCAGGATACCCATACCTTCATGACCTCTGGTTTTGGGGAATAGCTGGGAACGATATCGCTGTGTATGCCACAGCAATTGCCAAATGTGGTGTTCACTGTAACAAAACTATACCTGAAGTGAACTCGAACGTAGAAACACATCCTGGAAGGAATTTTGTTAGTCTTTACGACCACCCTGGATTCTATGGTACTGATAACACATACATATGTACAATTTCAAACTATTAGTTTAAAATACTCAGCCACTAGCCAGGATATTTAGACTCTACTTGTGCTTCGTTATTTTAAATGGTCATATCTTGTATGTGTATCCTAAAATTTTTAAAAACAGAATCTCAAAAAGTAAACTTTATACTTACAAACGTACACTTGACCTTACTCGATGCTATTTTGGTTTAGAAATTCTGCCTTGCTGAATTATATATGTACTTGTATAAATATATGCTGAATATATGTAAATATGCACATCTTTTACGTTCTACTTAGGAAACGCACGTCACGTAAACTTGACCGGTGGGGGTTGCTATAATTTAACACAGCGAGCTGCCTCAATACGGACATACGATCAATGTGTCATTCTCTATGAAGCCCCAAATTGTCAACAGAAACGGAATTCATACACCATCCAGATAGGCGACCAAGAGTCCGTGGATTACTATTTGGAAAAATTTATGTCTTCAACCTTGCCCACGCCAGTTACCACTAATTCCATTCGACTTTGCGATAAGCAGCCAAGTCTTCAAGTGACCTCGTCATCACCGCCGACAGTTCCCATGTCATCGGATGGTGCAACTTCTCCATGTGCGAATCAAGTTTCAGACACAATTTCAACCAACAATACCAGTTTTCCAATGTGGGCAGTTACTCTCATTTTTCTGGCTGAACTTATTCTAATTTGTTTCTCAGCCTTGGGTGGGGCTTACATTTTTAAACGTTATGAAAATTTGGGCTACTCACGTAGTGAAAATTATAATGTCTCGTACCAATTACAATCTTAAAACTTCACATGTTCAGAAAATGTTTTTTTTTGTTATACGATACCTCTGCACGAGCTTAGACAATAAATAAAGTAAACCATCGAATGTAAAAATATAAACGTACAGAAATTCATTTATTACTTTATCGCATGGCTAATCAATTTTTATCAGAAATTTCTGATTTCGCCTTCTTTTAGACATACAAACTTATTTGCAAGTCAATGGAATATGAAATCATTAGTATCTTTCAGGATATCGATGGCTTTAAAAACACACCACTTGCAAAAGTCATCTGTAAAGAGTCGTGATCTTTCCGAGACGGGGACATTTTCCATGTAAAAAATGACGCTTCGAACAACTTTCGCAATATGTTCCTCGTCCCGTTCGACTGCTTTTGTGATCAGATTATTCCACGAAATTTCTTGATTTTCCTAATTTTTGATGTATTAATGAAGTTTAGTTCTAATTAGTTAAGTTATGTTGAAACTTATACAAATAGGTAATAAATACATATTTACCTTTTCCACTTTTGCTTTCTGATGGTATTTCCGAACATAATCGATATCTATTTGAGGCCTCTTTTGCACCACATAATCCGTCAACAGTCCAAGCAAATTTATTCGTAGGAGATTCCTTTGATGTTTCTCATCTAAATGCCTGAATACCGTTCGTATGGCATGATTCCCAGTAACGCCATGTACCAAAAAGAAGTCAATTTTATCTGGATGTGTCGCAAAGGCACCCAGAATCGAGGCCTCGGTCAATTCATTCAGTTTAATTTCAAGCGATTCGTTAGATAATGGAAGTTCCCAACTAATAAATAAATACAACTATTTATTGCATTATCAATTACCAGTTTAATTTAAAGCAAACTTTTAGTGTAACTATGTATTCACACCTTAATATCAAATTCCTAAATGTTTCTCCACAGTTTTTGAGCAGATATTCTGTCTTGTAGTGAAAATTACCAATTTCATCCGTCAACACTGGCAAGTCAAGTTCACCTACTTGGTTAATAAGATCCAGAACTGAAAAGTTTAAATGATAAAAAAATTCACATCTTTTTAAAAATAGATCTATTTGCAAATCTTTTTTTAATAAGGGTACCTGTTGCAGACTTTATTGGTTTCTGAGTTTCTTGATCAATGCCAAGAATTATTGAACTGCCTTGAAGTGGATATGTACATGCGTACGAGAGTCCTGAATTCGAGAGGATGCAAATTATTTATTTATGTCGACAATGCAAGAGAATTACGTAATTGAAAAATTAATTAATTTACCTTCCGCTAAAACCCAAGGATCAGTGTACTCCATTCCGTAGCCAATGTGAATCAGTGGGTGCAATGCTGCACCCAGCGAGAATCCCATAAGTTTCGGGAAATACTGTGAAAAAGTTGCTTCCAAACCATTTTCTTTTATTTCCTGGTCGAAAAATTGTAAGAACTCTGGATACACTCTAAAATTTGAGCATTTAATAGAAACAACAAAGTCAATTTTAAATTGTTTCGCTTCTCATACGTCTTGTCGCCAATATGACTTTCCCAATTTGTGATTTGAAACTTTGCTGGTCTCAAAGGTTCCAATCGTTTCACGTAATGGTCATAATATTCTTGTATCCTCTCCAGCGATCCTTTCACGTGCATAAATAGATTATTTTTGTATTACAAGGCAAAATTACACTTAAATGACAAATCAAATCCGATGTAATACCTCCGAGTGACAAAATTGTGTACAATCCATGCGGTAAATGGTTTGCCAAATATACGTCGTAAACAATGTCAAACTCATGATGAGCTTTTTTAATCAAGTCTTTGACTAGCTCAAGCCCACCAATAGAGACTTTACAAAGGGGTTGTGTAAGGCATGACATTGTGAAATGTCGAGAAAACTTTATATAACTCGTTCTTCAAAAAATTAATGGACGACGAAATAGAAAAATAACTAATTAAAATGGCAGAGTGAAAATCTTAATGCAATGTTCATATGAGTGATAACAAAACGAGGACAGATGTGGTGAGATAAATGTCAATGTCATCGTCACTCGTCACCACGTTCATGGACATAAACCAATGGCTCACTCAAGTTTAACATGCATGTACATATTTATGTACACTAACCACAGTGACCTTCAATTTTAGTTGTAACATGGGAAAATTAATGAGAAACTATGCAACTATGAATGCATAAAATCTGAAAACTGCAAAATTTTCGAAAGAAAATTTGGGTTACATGTAATTTGTGACGATGCACATCAAAGGCGTCTTTTAAACACTTATCCTCGCAAAACATACGTTTAATTTATTTTTCATGTTCATTCATAATTTTTGTGTCTACTATTTGTGATAAATATTAAATATTTATGAGTATTCTTAACCGGGTGTGTGAATATATCTATGTATTATTTGTATCCTGCTATGAATGGACTACATATGTCTTCTCAGAATACTGGTATCGATTCATGATGGCGTCCTATTAATCCGTCATCAATGGTGAGAAACATCTGCAATACCAGCCCAAAAATATAAACATGTATAATTATTAGTATATCTTTAATGGAAACGTTTACCATAAACGAAAAAAAGAGGGCCGGCGCAGACAGCAAGTGCCAACTGTATCAAAAATGGTTATCCATTTAGCATATACACAGTTATCGTCTAACCCCGTCTACCGACTTCATACCTCAATGCACCACCTCGTTTACTTACGGTGAATATTGAGCAATGTGTCCTCTGATTGAAATATCTAGCTCAGACTCACCCTAAATAACTAAGAGGTCATCGAGGTATGACGACGGTACGAGGAGGTAGGGCACGATAGTTGTACATATGCATGTACATACATGTCATGGTTATCATAAAAATGAAGCAGGTTGCACGATTCGTTAATCTCCCTCGAACTAGCTGGCGACAATTCCCATGTGCTTAGCGGGTTCATGAAAAAGTACAGACCAGGGATCCAGAATAAAAGTGAAATAAATCCGTAAATCCAACATCCTAAAGTTGGATTGCGTATACCATGACTGAAGAAACCTTCAAATTCTCCATGAATTACCTGCAGCGTTATTATTATTGAGTAATATTTTTCTCTCAGTACTTGGTCACTGCTGAAATAATCGGTTACTAACCTTCATGATGCAGTAGTAAACTACGTACAACGCTAAATTCGCTAGTAGAATGTACAGAACTTGAGTGGCAAAATTAGTTCCGTACACCAAGGTCCAAGAGTTTATAACGAGAAGAATATTCCAAGCCACACTCCAAATAAGTAAAGATTTATTTGGGTGGTGTTTTAGGAGGAGATTTGGACGATCATTGTTGGTTTGGATTCCGAGAAGTTCTAAAAGCACGTTCCAAGCCTGTTTCCATGTCGGAACTTCTTCCCATTGTGAATCTGTTTAATTTTAAAATGCTACAATCAACAGTTGGTTTGGGAACTAATTTTTAGCGCAGAATGTAAGTGTAGTAATTTTATAATGAAATTCATGATACTCTGACATGGCACATTCTGTACCTCGATCTCTTGAGATGAAGAGAAGAAAAAACTGGAAGGCTATTACGAGCCCAAGATGAACGAGTGAAAGAAGTATTTTATACGCCAAGCTGGTTGAGAAAAGACCAAACACGGTGCAGGTCAGGACCAGAGCGAGAAGAAGGAACGCCATCAGCCTGTCAAATACATATTATTTACTTCATTAAAATTTTATATAAATGCCAAAATTATAAATAAACTCAGTTTACTATTACTCATTCATGTAAAGAAAGTGTCGAAACTGGTAGATTTTAACGTAGCTGAGGACTGCCATTGCATACATGAAGGATGTATCTGTACAATGAATTAGTCAATTAAACATGCACAGATAATAGTAATTGTATTGAAATAAGGCCTGGTAAAAATTAAATATTATCATACCATATTGAAAATTTGCCTGAATTAATTACAGTTAAATATTAGACGACAAAATATGAGAAATATTAATTGATTTAGTATATTGATCACCTTATTTGGACATATATGGTAGCTTGCCGAGAGAAAGCCTTCCATGAACAATGCAAATCCCATGGAATAAAATATGCCTGGAAATAATGAAGATGGGCATTCCGTCATCTGTGTTGTGTTATTTGTTTCATCTTATCCTGCATGCTTATCATACACTTACCGTATTGATCAAAAGTACCGTACTCCACCCTCCTGGGCAGCGTATCTAATAAAGAACAACACACTGGTTTAATCTGAAAAACAAAGAAGCCTCGCCTCCCCTCCATTGTCCTTTGTCGGATGAGAGTGAAAACGATGAATAATACACCAAAAATCAGGTATCCTGAAAAATATCAGTTTTTTTACTTATGTGCGTCCATACTTTGCATAAGGTTTCAATAGTTACCAATGTTTGAGTAGATATGGTTAAAGTCCATGATTTTGTTGAGTGGAAGTGAACATAGATTATTATCTAACATGAATATACATTTTAGTATCGTAAAAATTACACGTATTATAATTATAGTGAAGTACAGTAACAAATGTCCTGTTCTCCTGTCCTGTACACGATCTAGAATCACCAGAAAGGAATTCATTGACATTAGTTAATTCGTTTAGAGAAGTTTTCCTTTCAATTTTAATTCGTTACCCCGAGGTAATTGATGATTAGTTGGAAAACCGGTATGCAGTAAAAAATGGCCACGGTAATTAGAAGCCATAAATAGCGGGATGATTTGCTCTCGAGTTTTTCTCGTTTCCAACCATCCACTTCGTGCGAGGAGGAACAAATGTATTTTTCCGAACGGAGAAACGACTTGACCACGGGACGCTTGTTTGAAGTCACGTAACGTCGTACACTACAAATTTAAAGAGTAATATATTAATTATTACATTGTTAATGTTAAAATAATATGGATATAAATGTTTTATTACTTTTCTCTGTGAAACCAAATGTAAACTACGAAAGTTATTAGAATTACGACGACGTAGATAATTAATGGGAAAAATGTGGGCCATACATATTCCGAGTAAGACAACATTTTCTGCACTCGGATTGACACACTTTTTTCTCTGGCGAGTCCACTGGGGATAGTTTGTTTTTGTTTCTGAAGACTTTTATCATATCGAGTGATTGCTGTAGGATCTACGCCTCTAGGCTGGTCTGAATCGTAGCCATCTTTATTTCTACAGACAGCATCCTCAAACTCAGTGACAAGGATGAGAAAAAAACCGGAAGGTAATTCTTTCCGCTAAAAGGCGAGAAGTATATCAAAGGGAAAGTGAATTGAACTGAGAAATTTGACAAAAACTTGAAAAATGTACCTCCACGGTAATACCAGCCGTTGAAGAAAATGTTTGCCAGTACCCTGAATGTCTCATTGTGGACACTTCATCATATACAGGACACTAAATAAAGCAAAGACATTAAATCACACAAATTATTCCTCCTTAACTCATTCCCCTTTAATGTTCATCAATTAGTACACTCAAACTTTGTACACTGGCCGTCATGCAATTGCACTTCTCCTCGTCACAACGATCACGATCTTGTTCTGCTTCTAATTTTATGATAATCGTGTCCGCCGCGTTTCCATCTTCGTTCCAATCATACCGGAAAAATGTCGACGTTGTTGGCGCAACGAGAAGGTTTGTTGACTCACCGTCCAGACGCAAACTTAAGCTGGCACGATAGTGATAGAGAATTACTCGAAACTGAACGGAGTGTGAAGAGCATGTTGAAGCAACGAATGATATCTGCACTTTGTTTCGAAAAGGTTCTGCAGTTGGTATCCGGTCGACATCAATGCAAATAGTTTTTGCCCAGATATGGTAAGTTGATCTATTTAAAATAATTATAAATGAGCGTTGGGTTTGTGTTAGAAGTATACAAAGCTCGTATAAGGGAAGATGATTATTTATATAGACGTATATTTAAAATTAAATATTTACGGTTGAATGGACGATTCTTTAGAAGTGAAGTTGTGCGGGAGATCGAAAGATGAAACATGCTTCCCTTGAGATACTGTCAGTAACAAGGGGCACACTTCCGGCGGGTAGATTTTGTCGCGGAGCTCAACTAAAAGTCGGAGTTGGTCGCGCTGTTCATCAAAAGTAAGAACTTATTTTTTTTCTACTGGACAGGATGCATATCTACTTCCGTTTAAAACTATGATTTTACTTATTTTGTGTACATATACCGAAAAATCAATGTCGTCGCTCGAAAGGAGGAACTGCACGGCTGAATGTGTTCCATTGACGACGCTTAATTCGTAAGCCGTATTGACCACGCCCGGAATGAGATCTACTTCTTGATATATATGACCTGGTTGTGGGGACAAGGAAGATTCAACTAGGTGGATGACACACTCAAAACAATAAACCCAGACAAGTAATGTTTTGCAAGAAGGAAACATTTTTAAATATTTGTTTGTCAACCAGTGTTTTTTATCACTCCGTAATATTCTAATAAAGGCCTTGAATCAAGGCCTTTTGTCTCCTACGTAAGAAATTACTTTGCTCAAGAGAAACCAATTTCCACTTTGGGTTACATGGAGAGAGAGAAATAACCAAAATTGCAAGTTTTTTGTTATCTTTATCTCCCGGATACTGTGTCAACATGTTGAAAATGCATGCACTTATCTTATCTTATTTGGTTCTCCTCTTGTGGACGAGTATTGAGCATTAGCAATTAGTAACCCTTTTGCACTACATGTATGTATCTGTCGCCATGCAAAATGAGATACGACGTGATGAAGCCGATACGAATGCTACTTTAGGGCACGTAACTGTTGACACGTAAACACAAGTATATGGAAATTGACGTCAAATTGCACAACGATTCAAATAAATTATAGAATAAATACGTTGAACATGAGGTGAGTCATTCCACGGATAAATGACTTTCTGTACACCACAGACCATGAACATGGTTCGGATCATAGCCAAGGTGAAAGGAAACAATGCGTCATGGTTCAATGCACAAAAAAAGCATAAAGTGAAATGAATATTTATTAGTAGTCATTGTAACTTTGATGCTTCAACAATCTTAGATTAGAATATTTTCATATCCAGCAATAGGAACGTATAAGAATTAAATACAAAAACTAACAATTGAGGTGTCCCAGCGAATACTCTTCGATGTTGGCCAAATTAGTGTCAATCGATCCAAGTTTAATTAAATATAGAATTTGTAAAAGAGACGATCTGCCAATGCTCAGGTGTGGCAGATATATTTCCATCCGGAGAGGAGAAAACAAGTAAATTTGGAACGTGTAAACTTTGTCAACTTTAGGGCGCATTTTTTTACTATTTCGATGCAAATATCTCCGCTAAACCTGAGTATTTGCAGATCTTATCTTTTGCTAATATTAATTCAATTTGTGATTGATTGACACTAATTTGGTCAATATCGGGGAGCAAACACTGGAAGACTTCCATTGTAAGTGAAAAGAACTAATATTTATATGCATAAATGAAGTCAAGGCTTTCCTGTTCTAATCATGTTGGTATAAATATTTTAATTCAGATTTAGGTTTTTGCACCCCATCCATATCAAGACTACGAAAACTTGCGACAACTTAGACAACCCGGTTCAAAAAAGGGAGAAGCACAATTACGTGGAACCCTTGTTCCAAAATCTTAAAAGTCCGGTTTGACAGGCAATCACGGAGTGTTACATGCTAAATTTCTACATAGAAAATATAGACCACCAAAAATAAGTTTAGAATAAACAAATCTTTTCATAAAATTTATTCGTAAAAAATGTTTACTTTTTCTTGAAAACCATTAACGTATTTTTAAACCAAGGTAAAGTTGCTACTTTTCTCAGTGTGACCTCCGCTCTGTAATCTGAAGCATATCCACTTTGATGAAACAAGCTACGAATGTAGTCATTGTTTCTGTTGTTCACATGTCCAACTCCTTGAAGTAATAATTTAGCAGTGGTTCACATTATACATTTTCATTGCTATATATATTCATCAATACTTTAAAATTACCTCCTTGTCCTTCGACAGACCAACTCAAGATCACACCATTTTTCGCGTGTTGCTTTATATTTTGTATAAAAACGGATTCGAACTCGGCAGGAATGTGCTCGCCCACTTCGAGTGAAATGACCCACTCTGCTGGAGACAAATCTAGAGCCTTACTAAAGTCTAGGACGCCGCAAGTCCCCTCAGTATTTTCTTGGGTGGACGGATTTCCATCATAGCAGGACACGTGGATGTCGTGCTTCTTTATGAATCTAGCATAAGCACCAGTCCCAGACCTACATATTTTCGTGATAAGAGAGCGCTTTAAAATTATTAGATCTGAAAGTTCATAATTTTCCAGTTTCCAACTAACCCCAATTTCAATATGGTTTTGCAACCTTCAGATTGCAAAAATTTTAGCATTCCTTCGGCCAGTGGAGCGTCAAAATTATGACCCTTAACGGCACCCTGACCCACCCAATAGCCATTCTTCGAGACCTCCCAATTTTCAGCGACAGGTTTGGCTTCTACCACCTCTTGGGGTGGATACCGTGTCGCAGACGATTGGGACGACACGCGATTGTTTTTTACGTTAAGTAAATGCAAATAGTAAAAAGTAACTATTACCTGAAAAAAAATACATTTTTGAGTAATGCAAAAGAACAAAGGTTATGCCCATCGAAAGATATAAAGGGCCAGCTTACAAGTGTCATAAAAAAGATGACTCCAGAATTATTCATTTTAAGACGCGTGTATATTGACTCTGGAGGACTCCAAGTGGAATAAATCAACGAAAATCAAAAGTTCCTTAACTTAAATCATGTGCATTAATTATGATTTATGAAAAAATACATGCTTTAAATTAAATTCAGAATACATGAAATTTATAAACTTTAGTACCGAATTAATACTGATACACTTAAATCAGTGCACAATGTATATTAGGTTTTTTCACACTTGCAGATAAATAAATATTTGCCGTTGCTATCTGGTCTGCTATTTAACAGGCGAGAACCATTAGCTATACACTAATGTTAATATGAATATTTGCAAATGCAAAATATTAATTTCGTAATAGCCATTTGTCGAATTTGGAGACTCTGTTTTAACCTTGTTCAACATATTTTTCAGCAATAGCGTTCTGAAAGTTAGAATGCAAATTAATATAACGGGGATCTTAGCTTTCATCCTAGCATCGTAATTAACAAGTCGAAAATTTTACGAAATAAATCGACCAGGGATGAAAATAATGGACCATGCCAACCAACGAAGACTCAGCGTAAGTACGTATTCAAATTTGGTTTTGCAATTGAACACACACGACCACTGTACTCGTTCAATTAGCGTAAGGAACTAATTTTAAGGCCTTAGTATGCGACCCTCAATCCATAATCGTTCAGAATAATGAGGCGTATTTAATTCATCTATCTTGATGCTACTATTATACCTGAGGTACAATAAGACATGTATGCGGAGATGGTTATTAGGTCGGGGAGAAATTGAATCTTGCTGCTAATCCATCCCACACAAACGAACAACTCTGATCTGCTCTCTCTCATCTCGACTATAGGGCAATCCAGGGGTACAACTACATATTTATTGTGCATAAATAAATTGTGTAAGAAACTGCTCTAAAGTAGAAGTGCAACTTTCACTCCACTTTCATATCATAAAACTCAAATCTTTGAAAATAAGTTCAAGGAATGCTACATGATTAATGCCACGCAATTAACTTTTATTAGTGCCTCGACACCATACAAAAATCTAAATTTAAACATAGCAAATACTAAGAATGATCGGGTTGCTAGATGCACACATTAGCGTCAGCAGACAATATTTACTCTCTGCAACATCATCATAGGTACCGATATTTTAGCAGGGTATTAAACCACAGATGTATGAGTGTAAATGCATATATAGATGCTTACGTTGAACGAGATCAACGGTTAAAAATATCTAAATTTTAGTTTGAACTGTTTTAGACGTTATTTAGGGCGGAGAGTTCAGAAATCGAAATTTTTACTTTTATTCAACCAGAAAACGCATGACATATTTTGACGTTGCTTATAGGTAGACCTGGAAATCGTTCAAAAATATCTTGATTGTGTGACTTTTAACCGATTTCCCACATGGAGCATAACATAAAAAATTGCACAATTATAGCCTAAAATTTATTCAGAGTTGCACTATATCAGGATTGATAGAAAACTTCTATCAAAATGCTCTTCTTTCTACCACAAGTTGACAATCAGTTGTTTTATATCTATAAAATTGATTTCTTTTGAAACAGAGTATAGGTTGGGTTATTGGGTACACCAGTTTTATTCTGTGGTTTTACCCCTTGGTTACATGCGTTTGCACCGGTTTATTACTGCATTTATTAGTACTGTTAGCTGTACGTGCGAACCAAAATTAACCGAAAATCTTGCAAAGGTCACGAACGATGAGTTCATAAGTTTTGCAAAGTTTTCCTCATTATATACTTTCATACCAACGTCATACATCCACATAAGTCAGCTTTATTTGTATTTGTCATTGCTCAAACTTGGAAGTGTGGAATTCCTGTTGATCAACATCCCTGACTCAAAAATGAATGAAGGATACACTAGCAAAATAAGATGTATTTGCATTACCACAACTTAATGTCATCCCACTTATTGTTAGATACTTGCAAAACTCAAGCTGCTATCACGGCGAAATTGTAACAATAAATATTTGCACGTCCAATCTTTATGGATAGGAATTTTGGAGTTGACTTATCCACCATGAACTCATCGTATAGCTGAGCTTGGAGCGGTGCTGGCTAACCAACATGACGCTTTTGTCAAACTCACTCTCACGTATTATAAATACATCGCTAATAAGTGTGCTAACAAGTAAAATGTAAGTGTAAAAAGACAAAAGAGTGTTTGTTGTATCATGCAAAAAAGAGTTGAAGTACAAAGATTTTGCCGGTTGTAAGGCTTTAATATTTTGAGGTGATGACCGTACAGAATAGAAATGCAGAACAATGCAAATATTCAATTTCGCAATTTTAGGAGCAATATTGTTTCCCTTGACGTCGTGGTCTGTAACGACCAATAGAAAATTATCAAAATGTATCGAAAGTGTGACCCAGATAGAGTGCACCATTCCAGTTGAGATAGCGTGGTCGTGCGTCAAGCCCAATGTGATTGAGATCAAAGCGTGGAATGGATCGAAGCAGGGTCATTCTGAGGACAGTGTTGTCCCAAGTTCGTACTTGTTGGTAAATTGTACTGCTCCGTTTCCCATCGATGTCCGAGTATCAGGGTCCCAGGTGAGTGCAAATTATGACAATAGCGATCATAAAATATTTGACCATTAGTACGTGGTTCCATGTATGCACATATTTCGTGATGATTTAATTTGACCCTGTGTTTAAGGTTTATGATTCAACACGATCTGTATTCATTCGAAATGCGGAAAATGTATTTAATGAAGCAACATTTGTCTACACGGTGGGAGTTCTGGACTCGTCCCACGACTTCTCAAGTGTGCGGACGATATCTGTGTTTCAACTGAACGATGACACACCGGCGACGGTGACCTTTTCCGTCTTTAAATTGAGAGAACAGATGAACATAACTGAGGGACAGGAATTGAAGGTGGGGACTAGCACTGAGCAGCATGAATTAGAACAAGGTGTCGGTATCACTACTCTCATTCCCTGCATTTCACCGACACTGAACTCATCCCCAGAACTAGTGCGTGTCGGCAGTAATAATACGTCTGCAGTGGTAACCGACGCAGAGTATGATGTTACCAAAGGATTTATTATTCAAAATAAAAATATTTTCCATTCGAACTCTTCCAACGGAGAAATGTTTCAGTGTTTCGTTGGAGGAAGCAGTAAAAATGTTAATTTGTCAACCCAAGCGAACCACGAAATTACTAAATTTAAAATAGTGCCTAGAAAAGGTGATCATGATTGTTTAAGTAATAGAAAAATTTATTATTTCTCCTAAAATTTGTGTATATCTACATTTTAGATCTGTACATCTATCCTGAATTCCAACGGGTAGTTCTATTCCAGAGAGATGAGCTTAAACTAATTTGTCGATCAAAGTCAAAAGTGCAACTAAATGGGACGTTTAAAGGCGAAATCATAAAGGCAACAACGACTCTCGAATTCGACGAGTTTACTGCTACTTTGGCGCATAGTATTTTCCAAATTGGAGATAATGGAAGTGTCGCATGTGTCGATGAAGAGTCGGGGAAATCCCTTTTCTCATGGACAATTGAAGTTCTTGGTACTTTATTGATTAAAATGTGAAAATGTGTTTATGCGAATAATGAGATGGGCTGATTTTTGTCAGATATCGAGAACAACGATGTACTTCGTGTTAACAAAATGGACGACTATTTGGTCAAATGTGTTTCACCAAAGCCAACTCAACTGAAGATGATCTTTTGCCAAGGTGAGACCAACTGCGAAGAACGTAAATGGTGCTTTGAACCGAGTTTCGCTGCTAATCCGACATGTACACAGTCGAGGATTGGGAACCCTTGCAAAGACGGTGGTGGGACTTGCATCGAAATGCGAAGGTCAGGAGACAATGACCCAATCTACTCTCAAGGAATGCTACAATGTCGAGCTGGAAACTACTCTTACACGACGAAATTCTTTCGAGGGTTTGATGGAATTTTATGTACTAAATTTGAAATTTAAATATTTTAAACCATTCAGGAGTATGGACTAATTGCTACATACTTTTTACAGATTTAGACTGGACAACTGCTCCGGCAAGTGGCTTAATCGAAGTTTTCGTTCCACCAGATGATATGATCATGTACCCACATAATTCATACCCGTTTGGGTGCAGGGCAGCCCCATTTATTTCTGATGGTCGAATTCAATGGATCATCAGGGGGAAGGATGGCTCAGAAATATTGCTACACAAAGGCATTATAAATACATAAAAACATATTGTTATAAATTTGGTGTTGAAATTATTGGTACCAATTCTATAGATCGTGTGGAAGACTTGCGTCATTCCTATTACGGTTTGAACTCCTCACTCTACACGATAAGAGAAAGCAACATTCGTCTCATCTACCCAAACGATTACGACGTCCTGTGCATGGTTCCTCTATGGAATTCGACCGCTGGATTGCGACATCACAAAAGGATCAATGTTGCAGGTACAATAGGTCGTAGGGTTTTTAACATGGTCGAAAAAATGTCGATCTAAATTATTTGACCGTAAGAACCAGTAAAACTATAAGCGTGTGATTTTTCTGTGGAACAGCTCACATCCCCCCTGTCAAAGAAATTGTAATTACTTCAGCGTGTATAATAATTCTCCTCGTTATTCCGCTAATTGCTGTAGCAGTGAGGCTAAAAAAGGCCAGGGTAAGTAAGTGTACGCCAGTGAAAAAAGAATCTTTTAAACGTTTTGCATTGGTATAAGACCTTTTTCGGTTTTGCTCTTGAGCTTAGGAAGCAATCAGAAATCTTACTGAGCAAGAAGTGGAAGAGTTTATTAAAGGCGACCTTACGACGCTCAACTCAAAAGATACTGATCCTCATGAACAAATTGTCGCTTCCCCGTACAATCAAGACTATGAGATACCGAGGAATAAATTGCTTATCGGTAAGAACTTTGTACAGATCAAATTTTTACCGCAAGTAACATATGCATAAAATACATAACATATGCTTCGTGGGTAATTACACACAGATCGTGAAAATAAGCTTGGAGAAGGAGAATTTGGCCTTGTGGTGAAAGGCAAGGTCGAGGGAATTCCGGAAGTTGTGGCAGTGAAGACTATAAAGCCACGATGCGAGGTGAACCAGTTTAAAGGATTTATGTCCGAGTTAAAAATAATGATCTATATTGGAAAACACCCCTTCGTTGTGGGACTTATCGGTGCGCACACGGATAAAATTAAGGAAAGTAAGAACTGAACACCTCTATTAGAATGTGAAACTGCGCTCGAGAAGTGATTTTTCTTGACGGTTGGTGGTTGTATGGTTTTACTAGAAATAATGTATATCGTGGTCGAGTATTGCGCCAACGGGTCACTGGATAAATTTCTTCTAAAGAAAAAGAATCGATATGTGAATCAAGTGGAAGAAAACGATAAAATCAATCCCAACATTACACAACCTGTTGAAAACTTGTGAGTTACAGAAAAATTACCACATGAAAAGGATAATACGAAAAAATTGTTTTCTATTATTTATGCTGATTAATTCCTTTTTTTAGTAGTCAGAGTCATTATGTTTCAATTTGTTTTGCTGGTGATGATGAGTTTGGCTCAGAAACGAGTAATAATAATAATCTGCTGAAGACTGTAGATCTTTTACGTTGGGCTTGTGAAATTGCGTCGGCAATGGCACATTTGAGTAGAAAAAGGGTCAGTAGACTTATTAAGTAATTAATTATTTTTGTAAGTTACAAGTCATGAATATATAATTCGTCCAAATCTTTCAGGTGGTGCATGCAGATTTAGCTGCGCGAAATATTTTAATCAATGCACACGGAATTTCAAAGATCACGGATTTTGGACTTTCTTTTGGATACCGAATGAATTATGCACAATATGTAAAAAAGCACGAGGTTTGTCATGTAACTTACCTATTATTACTTGTACACTTAGGTAGCATTACATTCAGTGCGAGATATTGGAATATTAAGAGACCACGATAAGAAACAACTAAAGTCGTGTGAAACATTTATGAAAGGAACCGTTGTTGGTGCCTTGGAGATGGATGAGTGAAGAATGCCTACGCAGTCTGACTTTCTCAACTCACTCGGATGTTTGGGCTTATGGAATAGTGCTTTGGTTGGTAAATTACTTATGAATAAATTTACATATTTTCTTTTAATCTGTACTATTTAATTATAAAGTGTTGATTATGATTAGGGAATTGTTCTCCCTGGGGGACGTCCCTTATTCTGGCCAATCATGGGACATTGCATTCGTTGATGAGTTGGCCAATGGATTGAGAATGTCCAAGCCGGCATATTCTCCAACGTTTGTGTAAGATTTCTGGAGGTGATGTATGTATCTGTTTAAAAATAATTTACCTTATCCATCCATTCAACAGATATCGTACGATGCAAGAGTGTTGGCAACACCGGCCAGAATCTAGACCGTCGTTCGAACAACTTGAGGCCCAGTTTAGAACAATCCTCACACCTTTGGGAATTAATGTTCAGGTTCACTTTTACCCGTGCATTTTCAAATAACTGTTCTAGTCACTATAAAAACTAGAATTTTCTCATCTTTCAGATTCATGAGGATAATGAGACTTAATGTTGTTTATGTGCATATTTAATTAACTTGAGAACAAATTTAAGTACCAATAACTAAATACATAATTACGTTTTTTAGTGTGCATGGACTAATTAAATTTATTTCCAGCGATATTTGTTGTTTCACAAATAAGTACGTATTCATAAGGTATTCTTACTTGGCTCCTTTTTACATGAGCACACCTTTCCAGACATTATCGCCGTATTTCCGGCTTTTGTAGATGTTATGTTATTTGTAATAAGGTAATCTACAATTTTAGCATAAGAACAGACCCCCCACGTATTTCCAGTTAGCATGCACGTCGCACCACGTTCACACCATTGGGATGCGTTATCCTTTTCCGATTCGATTTCAGGGGTACAGTATCCACCAACAGCCCATCTAATAAAGTGTCGAAGTTGTCAAGTCTACATGTAAGAAATGATTATTTAAATAATATTCCCTTCTTACCTGCAATATTGTCCGTCTTCTACCGTAAACCCCTCGCTTCCTGCAACGCCTGGGTTGAAGACTATTTTTGCCGGATTCCCACAATCGCATCGATTTGTTTGTGGGTTGCATACTAAAAGTTTCAGGGCGTTGCACATTGGTTGCTGTAATCGTTCTACGGTTTCGACGTATCTTCGTCTTAAAATCCCTGCTTGGCTTGGATTTCCTGGCACAAGATAATTTTGTCTAACGGATTCAATTTCATAATCACAGGAATCATTATAATTCAGAGCTTGCAGAAGTTCCGCGTAACTATATTCGAGTACAGCGGAATTTACTAGGCAAATTATAACCGAAAAAGTGAATGTGGAAAATGAAAGGTAATTTATCGTCTTCATTGCAGAATTATTTATTTGTGATTAATACGGGCTTGAGCTGGAGAAAGAATGAGTCGATGGCTGGTAATTGTAATTCTTTTAAGTAATAACTTCTTTATTAAAAGAAATGCAAATTTTCATTAGTTAAAATTATTTACGAGTGCATTTGACGACTCAACTCCACTTCATACCATCCTTTATTGCAAGGTCGCATTAAAATTCGTGACTTGCAAGATATCTGCAAGACTTTTCTCGGTTCTTCGCAAAATATTTGCACACAATATAAATGTATTAATAAAGTTGTGATCAAATGCCAATTTACGTACAAGTTGGACTGGAAAGGAATGTAAAAATGACATACAAACAAAAATATGCATAATATGTGATAACCAAATCGGATAAATGCATGACTGGCAAAAGATTCAGAATACTCAACAAATAAACAGTTTATAGGAATGTTTAGTGTACAGACATTTATTTATAAGGCGTAATCATTAGACAACTCTTGACTGGAATTGAACACTAATGATAAAATATGTCAATAATGTGCTGCAAAGCTGTAATTCAAAATATGGCCAATGAGTTAGTCACTGAGTTATTTGTATAAATATGATGACAAGGATATTGTTCGTATGTTTCTAACGTACCGTCGTTATAAAGGAGTAATTAATGAGAAAGAATCCATTGCCACTGATCCCATAGAAATGGCTGGAGAGTTGTATCCGAAGATTTACAAGATTCAACTGGTTAATCCCAGAAGAATTAGTGTTGATTAGGATGAATTTGGATTTCTCCATCTATTTAAACCCCAATTTTGAGAATGATACGATACGATAGAATGATATGATACGATATTATGATACATATGTAAATGAATTACAAAAATGTATAAAATTTAACGCATTTACCAAACTTGATATTTCTCCACAAAGATAAAACACGGAACAGAATGAGAAGAAAAGGAACCCCATTTTGCACTGCATGTAAATGCACTCTCCGTCGAATACGGTGAGTTCTTTGAGGTAGACCGAGTAAAAGGTGAAGGCCTCCAAAACGTAGGTTAACATCAACCTCGAGAATGCGGAATTGACCAGTCCTATTAGTTTACAAATGTCAGAATATTTGCTCATTGTTATGGAAAAACATTCCGGATTTAAAAGAGCAGTTTCCTGCAAAGTTTTATAGAAGCTCGAGATTGGGAGATACAGAGCGAGCAGGGTGGTAAGAATTATGACGTCGGTGTTGTAGCTTAGCATTATCCTGGAGAAGAGTAATAGGTACGAAAGCACCATATTTTGCACGTTCGTTTCTGCTAAAATGTAGAAAAACACACATTTTTTTACGCCAAATATATTTCTGTATAGTATCCAGGACGTCATTACCGACATCATTCCGTGTCTGATTAAGAGACAAAGTTGTATTTGGAAGATTGCATTTCGGGTTGAAAAATGGGCTTCTTAGACCAATTAAAACCTCAAAGAGGGAATGATTAGGTGGAGGCGACTCGTGTAAAACACAAACGCTGGTAAGTCCAGCCCCCATGTAAAGCAAGGGAAGGAAAATGCACCCCCATGTTTGCAGTGGACCGTCGTGGTCATGCTGGAAATTTTTGGTAAGATGGTCCACCACTCGGACCAAGTGGGGCTTCCGGGTCCACAGGATGTGGACTAGGTTCATATGGTGGACGCAGGAACAGGCCCTTAAAAATAGACGGAGGTGCTCGATCGGGTTTATTGAGCTTCGGGTCACGTGCATTTGAACTACTTCATTTGCATAGACAAACAGACCAAGAAATTGCAGTGCGGCGCAGATTAGCTGAAATAGTATTTAAATAGGATATTTCAATTAAAACCGATATAGGACTTGTGTACCAACGAGAAAAGTAGTTTGTCTGGGTTACACGATGGGGGATGTTTTTCAGAAGCCAAAGTGCAGGTTTGTTAATCCTGCTGGTTGACTTATCATTTCCATGATTATTGTTAAATCGGAGAGGACACTGGGCCGTGAAATGGAGAATGTTGAATGGAATGATAATCAAGTTCTCAAATCGCCTCTCACAAAGTTTGAAAGCCATGATGATCTTGGTGCAACTGGTAACAACGACAAGCTGAACAAGACGAACATACTTGTCTCATTTTATTAAGTGCTTTTAGTGTATCATCGTAACAGTATTTTCTTTTAGGGTGTTTCCACGCAGGGATTAATCTGATAATGGAGTATCGTAGTCATCATCTGAATTAAGTCAATTCTACTTCCGCCAATTTTGCCATTAATCCGAATCAGAGTTTGCATTATGATATTACGATTTGCTCGGCTATCTAAGAATAGTGCAATTTTCAGAGTGGAATCAATTTCATAGACTTCAAAATGCTTAATCGTAAGCAATTACTTTATATTTTAAATAGTAATATGACACTTGATGCTAAGGATAATTGATGATGGTGATGATACCAACGAAAAACCATGTTTGAGATCATGGGGCCATGAATGAATTTGATGAATTTCACCACTTCATACGGAGCTACATAGATATGCACATATTTATGAACATGTGTATTTATGTACAAAGTTTTTATTGTATAACTCATATTGTGTAACTGATGCTGAATGAGCTTAACTTTTCCAATGCTTGCTGTGTAACCCTTAATATGTGCCCTTGTGTACGTATTCTCTTATTTTATTAGGGTAAAAGTTCATAATGTGAACCGGGACGTGGTATACGTAAGAAAATCAATAACCAACCATACAGATTCACTCTCATCTGTTTCATATCAAACACATAAGAGCTATTCAACGGTAGGTTGTGGATTTGGAATATCTGCCAAAAATGCACATTTGTTTAATATCTCAAAAAAGTTACAAATTAATAAATTCTTCCGCATAGAAAGCCCCTCTTAATAAATCGTAATGGGTCTGAAAAGAAAAATAATTATATTTTCTGTGATATCAATTTTCTTACTGTATAAAAATATCTCGAGAAGAAAAGAGGACCCGAAGCCAAGTGACCTTTTGCAAATCGTTGTTGATTACACAGAGTATTTTGAACTTACCAAGATGAAGGTATTCATATTAAAAACTTGTTTTTTTTAAATGTACAAAGTACAATTTAATGCCAAAAATCCACAGGTTATGGATTCACTTCAACACACGACGTTATTCGAGGGGTTGGTTAGAAATCATGTAAAACCAAGTGTGGACAAGTTAGCGAGCTTGCGAAGCCAAACTGAGAAATACGAGGAAATGATGCGACGCTCCTCGTCCAGCTTGGGGGCTGGCAGTGGGGGTGGTCCTCAGCAGTTCATGACATCCTCACTCGTGGCCCTGGAGGAAATGCATAATCAGCTCTTGGTCTGGGAAAAATCGGTCTGTCCTCGTTTTTATGACCACCTTTGTTAAAAAAACCACGTGGGTAATTATTCAGAGCTTTGATTGATTTGATTGGGGTGCAGTATCGGATGGCTATTCTCCGAATAGGACGATCTTATCCAGGACTAGTTGCTCAGATTGAGGATGTCGGGCAGAAAATAAATTTTCTCGATAGTGACAAAGTCTTTGAACCATTGGACTCATTTCAGATTCACTTCCAACTAATGGATTATGATGATCCAGATAGAAATGAAGCAGTCAGAAAGGCAAAAGAAGAACCACTTCCAATTTCAGCCCTCTTGAATATTATAAAGACTACAATTATCCCATCCATCAAGAAGTTTGAAAATTACAAGGTGTGAGCAATATGTAGAAGTTATAAAATTAAAAAATTCTTATATTTATGGACATATAAAATGTAACTTATCCAAAATTGAACATTGATTCAGATTCAAAACGGATTACCTCCAATTTTGGATAGAGAAAAAGATTTGGAAGGAAGGGATGTGACGATAATACTTATACTCAAAGATTTGCTCCCTTATATTAAGAAATACGGAGGTCAGTTCAATCATTTTGGTGAACATTGGATTAAGACGTACACCGAGTTGAAAGAAATGAGCAACTCAGCTTTAGAAAAGGTACCTATTGTAAAACTAAACTAATGATGTTTATGCTTTTCTAAAAAGAAAACAGGATATTGTTACAACATTGTACCATGTTTTGTCTATAATGATTTCAGTCGGAAACTGCTAAAACTATGTATGAAGCCCTCGCAGCAGGAATAGACTCGGACATACTCAATTTACAAGAACGCATAAGAAAGTTGTCGTCTCCAAAGCCAAAGAAGGAATTTTAGACATAGTGACGACAGATCTCAATGACCAGCCATATCGAAACAGCAGAGTATTACGATTTCATGCATAATTTCAAATAATTTGACACATTCCTTACTTTTAAGCTTTCCATAATAACATTGTTTCAAGAAGTGGCAGTGCAAACGTTTAAATGTAATTCAAAGTGTGCAACGCACATCAATGCGAAATATATGTGTGCGTCAATAGCTTTAACACAGGGTCGCACGAATAATAAAAATCGTAACCGTTTTTAAAAGATGCTTAGCTGAATGCACAGCACGTTTTATTTTTATCGTTCAACCAACTCTACTACCAATCAGAGAATTATTCACATCGTAAATTTAGAACTGCCTCCATCATGTCAAAGTTGTACTGTCGTACATGCTGCCAAGCCATCCTTGTGGTCCACGCTATTGGGCCTGGGCCCTTTGCATGGATTCACCACGAGCCCTAGCCCTTTGCTTCGCCAGCATCTGCTCCGCCATGTCCACTCGGCATTCTCCTTCCTCCAACTCCTGCTGTGCCTTCCGGAACTTTGAGAGATTTATTGCCCCAATTTCCTCCTATAAAAATAAATTTCAATAAAACTGGCAAACTGTGGCTCTTCCAAGGTATGAATATGCATATTTATGTATGTAAGTATCGATGATATTATTATCCATTGTTCACGTACCGCTTCTTCAATTTGTCTGTAACATTGATCATTGAAATACGTTAAAATAACAATTTGGTAATCAACTTGACCATAAATATCTATGAAACCTGCCTTTGGAAGGATCTGATCTTCTGTTGGAGTTTATCCACCAAATCCTGCATTCTTTCATGGTTCTTGCGGTCCTCATCTGCTTGGAAAGTCAGTTCCCTGATCTGCCTCTCGCCCTTTCGCAAGTTCTTTTGGGCATCCCCATGTCGTCTCTGCTCCGTGTCAAGCTCTGCCTCGATTTGACGAATTCGTTCTTCCAGTTTAGCAATCGTCTTTTTCCCAGCCTTGAGTGCATTGGCTTCAGCTTCATTCACTCGAATTTGAAGATCCTTCAACATCAACTCCATGCTTTTCCGCTCTTTTTCCATTAGTTGGGCGTGTTCTTGTTCGGCACGAAGTTCGTCAGAAAGACGTGCTGCATCCAACATGGTTCGTTGGGCCTTTTCCTCAGAAGCTCTGGCTTCTCGAAGAATCTCCTCAAGATCAGAGTGCAGAGTTTGAAGTTCGGCTTCAAGTTTCCTCCTGTTGCTTGAAAGAGAGTCAGCTTGTGCTTCCAGCTCGAGAATGGACTCATGTCCCTCAGCCAACTCCTTTTCTGCCTCACGACGTGCCCGATCAGTTTGTTCAAGCAGGGTGCGAGACTCGTCTAGCTCGTTGGCAAGGGCATTTGCACGTCGTTCAACCTGAGAACAGAGCATTATTTTCACACTTGACATCAAACTGATTTTTTGCATGCATATGTACATCTCCTCAATTTCAGATCCTACTTGGCATGTGCATATGCCCTTGCTTTTGTATATTCCAAAACATAATTTATGTTTTACGTTAGTTAATATTATGGGAGTCAAATTTTTTCCAACCTGAAGACGGGCATCTTTGGTTTCCTCATGAGCCAGCGTTTCCGCTTCGAGAGCACCTTGCAGTTCCTTAAGTTGGGCTTGGTACTGTTTGATGGTTCGCTGAGACTTGAGTACAGCCTCGTTCGCGGATTCCACAGCAGATTCTAACTCAGCAATGTCCGATTCCAATTTTTTCTTCATTCGGAGCGCCTAAAATGTACAACATTTGTTATGTGAGATATGATTTCTAATGAAAATCCACCAAATGTCCATATCTACCTCAGCCTTGGCTTTCGCTTCTTCCTCGAGACGACCTTGAAGTGCTTCCAAAGTTTTGAGGTGGTTCTTTCGAGTATTTTCAAATTCTTCTTCTTTCTCTTGGATGCGACGTTCAATATCTTGTTTGACTTGAGAAAGCTCAAGCTGTCCTTTGAGTAATTTGCTTTCTTCTTGCTCCAAAGCCGCCTCTGCTTCTTCAAGAGCACATTGCAATTCTTCCTTTTCGGATTCGAGGCGGCGTTTGGCCTTGTCCATCTCTACACACGTAGATTGTTTAATACATATGTTATATTTTCATAATAATAATATAATTTCTTTATATATCACAAAAAATATTCTTCTACGCATCAAGTCCTTATTTTGTGCAGAGAGAAAGGGATACTTGCTGATTAGTGATACTAAAGTTTCATTTGATTCTTACCATGAATGGCACGACCTCCCTCCCCGATTTGATCCATTAGGTCCTTAATTTCTTCAGAAAGTGCTTTATTCTCACGGTGGATAGTGTCGCCTTGTTCGGTGGATTCTTCGTAAAGTGCTTTCAGCCTGAGGAAAGAAATTTGTAAAATTTTGAAAATCGTGTAATTTTTACAGAAATATGTACAATTACTCTATAATTACCTAAACAGCTCGGTTGAATAGTTGCGGCATTCTCTCTGGCTTGAGTCTAAATAAAAACAAATATGAGTAAATATACCTAAATACATATGCAACTAATGTATAGGTAATGTGACTATGGACAACCTTGACCACCAGTTAAACTTGATGGTCAAGGTGATCACATTTGAATTTTTGTGGGACAATGACTGTGCATAATTCCATTCCATATTTGAATATGCAAGTTTCAGTAAAACTGTTTAGATAAGAAACGGGCATCTAACCCAATTCAACGGACAGTGAATCCACTTTTCCACTCCATTCCTCGACGGTTTTGTCGAACATGGCTTGTTTCTTCTCCAATTGGTTCGCCAAGCTCTTCAATCTTTCCGACTCCAACTGAAGATCTGTAAAATAAAATTCAATTGGAATAAAACCATAAATTTACGTACAATTAATTCTTCAGAATATAAAAACTAAATAAACGTGCATGTACCATGACCTACCTTCAACCTCGGTGGCGAGGCGTTGTTTGCTTTTTTCGAGGTAAGTTACCTTCTCATTCAGACTCTGAATAACTTCCTCACATTCAGCCAATCGAGCTTGCAACTTGCGTTTGCTTTCCTCCAACTCTTCCGCCTTAGCGACACCTTCAACCTCATACTTGTGACGCCATAGTTGTGCTTCAGCATTGGATTTTGCAGACACCCGGGACAGATTGGCTTTCCCTTCCGCCTCTTCGTCAACTGCCTGTCGCTGTGAGTCTACTTGCGCTTCCACATTACGGAACTTGGACAAAAGTAGGGAACGGTCACGAGCCCTAGTAGAAATTTTGATTACAAAAGTTAAATAAATCAAAATTTCTCAGTATGTAACGTATATAATTCCATGCACTACTCACTCCTCGTCACAGTGTCGCTTAGCCGCCTCCAATTGAGTAGCCAGATCAAGCTTAATTTTTGATAGTTCTGTAATTTGTTGGTCAGCATCCTCCTTTTGTTTGGAAAGGTCAGAGTTCTCGAGAGACAGTTTTTTACGGCTGTCTTCCATATCTCCCAAGGTTCGAAGGGCGTCCTCAAATTTGTAGTTGATTTCGGAGAGTTGATTTTGCATCATTTTGTTGAGTTTGTCTTGTGCGGAGGCTTCATTTGTGATTTGGTCCATAGCAGAGCGTACTTCATTGATTTCATTGGTCATGGCAGCACGATCTCGTTCAGCTTTGATTTTCATTTTACTCAGAGTGTCGATTTGTTCAGCGAGTTCAGTTACAGCATCGTTTTGCTTTTTACGGATGAGAGTGAGGGCAGCTTCCTGTTGAATATTGGATTCCTCGAGATCGCGTCGCAATTTGCCTAGCTCGGCTTCACGTTTCTTGTTGAGTTCAATTTGTGCAGCCGTAGCACCACCTGTAAAACATAGTATTATATAATTTATTGTATAACTTTATTTTTTAATTTAATGAAAGAGTTATTTTTTTCAAATTGTTTGATGTTGAGTTGTTAAAGCTTAATTAATAAGTAAATTTATTATGTGCTTACCCGCTTCATCAAGACGTTCTTGGATTTCTTCCAATTCTCTGAGATAAATAATACAACAAAAAATATTAATGCGATGGCGTTAGCACAAAAGAAACAACGTCAGTAATGCAGATAAGACCTTATGGTTTCTCACCTCGAAAGATCAGATCGTTGTTTCTCTGCCTTCGATCTGGCTTGACGCTGTGATAAGTATGCATACATTAACGTTTCACTTTCAATAAGTTGCCCAGTTTCACCTTACCTCAGCTTCGAGCTCCTCTTCAAGCTCTTCAATTCGTGCCTTCATTAGTTGGACAATTCAAATAAGACTTTTTGATGGATTAATTTATTAATTAGTAAATAATAAGTGAATACGTAAACCTATTTACCTGCAACTCTTTGACAGCTTTTTGTAATTTTGCTACCAGAGATTGAGTATCCTCCAGTTTTAGGGTTTGGGACTGAATGTCTTTGTCCTTGCGTTGAATAGTTTGTTCGAGCTCTTTTTTATTGCGTTCAAGATCATTGAGTGCTTCTTGAGTTAGTTTTAGGTCGCCTTCCACCTTCCGCTTGGCCTTTTCCAACTCGGTCTTCAATCGTTTTTCTCGCTCTAGAGAGTCCTCCAACTCATCTGGAAATGTTAAAAATTAAGGGCATTATTACAGAACAAAAGTTACATTATTTAGTTTAAGAAATGTTTAAGGTGGTGACGACTCACCCAAAGTTTGCTCAAGTTTTGTCTTGACTTTGTTCAAATGGTTGACTTTCTCGTCTGCGCTGAGGAGTTCTTCACCAGTTTTGCCTGTAATTATAACAATAAGTCATTGCAACTTGTGGTAAACATTTAAGCACACGTTAGAAACATTTACGGACCGGAAAGTTCTGCCATTTGTTTTTTTTCTTTTTGTAGCTTGTTAATAAGTTCATCCTGTCTGGACATTTCATCATTAAGGGTGCGAAGTTGGTGATCTTTCGTAGCTTTGTCTTGCTCTGCCTTAGCTAATCTTAATTCTACGTCTTCGGCCTCTTTTCGAATTGCAGCCACCTCTTGCTCCGTCTTCCTCTTGGCTACGGCTTGGCGTTGTCGGTCTTCTTCAGCCTCTGCGAGAGAACTTTGCAATGATTCCAGCTCGGATTGCAGATCAGCCGTCGCAGCGTTCACTTTCTGCAGACGGGCTGATAAATCACCACTCTTGGCTGATTCTGCTTCCAGTTGTCGTTCCAAGTCTTCTTTGTCCGCCTTCATTTTTGCATTTTTCTCGTCCTGGGATTTTCGAGTTTCTTCCAATTTCTTCTGCATCTCTTCCATTTTCGCAGTTTTCTCTTGAAGTTTCTTGAATAAAAATAAATATTTTTAGGATTTCCCCATGTTTTCGTACTATTGTCTCGCATATACGTTGATTTGGGGAAGATTTTTTTCCACATACGAATTACCTTGAGTTCTCGAGCCTCTTTGTTTCCAGCACAAAGTGGAATCACACGTTGCATAAGATTGAACTGGAATAATAAGTCATCTTTTATGTACGGAGATGCTCTAATTTTAGACGAATTTCATGTGATTTTGTTACCCATGGCCATTTCTTGTTTTTCATGTAGTTCTTGAGGGTACGTTGTACAACTTGAAGTGCTGCCCTTTGGTCCATCAACCTCTTGTATTCTTTTCGCGACTGAAATGTCCGTATGTTGGCTTGCAAGTAAGTTACGATCTTGGACACTTTCTCATCTGGTCAGGAAACAAATATGAAACAATGATTTAACAACTAGATAAATTATGACAATGCAACATCTCACACGTCATTATGTTTTGAAGTAACTAATTCAACGCATCACTATCAAATTAAAATTAAGGATGCAACATTAAGCAAATATCAAATTAACTTCACCTCTTAGTTCTTCCAGATAACCGAGGACGCCAGCGCGGAAGAAAACCTGTGCGAACGAAACGTTGTTAGAGTGATAAGTTTTCCTACGCAAATGCCATGGCAGGGTTCTCAATAAGCATTAACAAGCAAAAAATCAAATTATACAGTTATAGTTATTCTAATTTAATGTCACTTAATCAAATGGTCAATAATATCTTTCAACTAAAATAAAAAGGGTTTTAAGTTTGGAGCATTTTCCTACGGTTAGTTGTATGTTAAGGTTTAGGTATTTGGAGGGTGCTACATATTCTTAAGTCATGCCTTGGTATGACCAACTCTCCACTTGTCCTGGTCCAGCTCTGTAAATTACAAATTACAAAATTATTGTAATTTGTTAAAAATAATGTAAGATTTACAAATAAACAACTCACCAATCTGGGTGAAGCAGGCCATCGCCATTTTCTTGTCGTCCTTCTCATTTGCACGCATTTGCTCCACGGCGAGGATTATGTACCTTTTTACGGTGGGAAAGGGACACGACAAAGGTTGGGTCATTCATATCAACATTGACAACTCACAAGAGGACAATTCGTCAAACAATTTTATCATCACGCAAAATTTTCTAAATCTAAATGTGGTGGTTTATGTCACTTTGGTCAAATTTAGGGTACAATCAAAACATACAACTCTCGAAAGACAGTGCTTGTCGTCTATAAAAAACACAGGTAGGTATCTTGGATAATGGGGATACATAATTGAAGTACTTGGTGAAAACTATGAAGGTATTGCAGGTAAAACTACATACGTAAAGTTTTTTCGCAATTGCACGATTGAGGAATATGTATTCTATTGTTGTAAGTATCATCAAATACCTGTGCTTAAAGTCCTTGTACAGCATTCGATTTGGAAAACCTTTCCTGTACAAGAAAATCATACCATCAAACAGACGACCCTCTGATAGTATTCTCCTTGTTAGCATTCATTAGATCGAAACTTTCAAACCAACTCACCTGCAAATTCGGATACCTTCCAGCACACCGTTACAGGTGAGCTGGTGCATAACGAGGTGAGAATCAATTAGACCTGGTAAAATTTAATAAAAGCAGATTTACGAAAATGTGACTATAAATTGCAGCATAAGGAATAAAACAGCTATTTACCTGGAGTCTTCACCTCGTTAGGGATAATACATCGAATAAATGAAGGATAAGTAGCACGCAGAGTAGTCATCAAATTGTTAAGTTGCTCCTGAAAATATATACAGTAGTCTCATCTTAAATGATCATCAGTTAAATATTCATCGTATTTATTAGTGAGTTAACAAGTTACTTATGGTTTTATATCTGAAGGTGTCACAAAAACGGCAAAATTAGTCTTGATGTTATACACAAAATGATTAATTATTTAAAAAAACACTTTCATAATTAAAATGTGGTGTACAAACTCGATAATTTGAGCTGACAGTTCTCATCATGCCACCCTTGCTTCTTCCACCGCCTGTAAAAATATGATAAAAATGACAAAAAGTTCAATAATATAAAAATATGTAGGAGGTCCTCTCCCCTTACACAAAAACTGTACCTTTTCCTCCCTTTCCGCCATCCGCTTCCGGTGCCGCTGATTGACCTGGATGATCCGCATAAAGGATAACTACTAAAGGATTGGCACCTTTCTTATACTGATCTACGACGGTATCATTCAATGGATCTTTATTCTTCTCCAACCATCCGTTGACATTGTAAGGCACCGTTCCGGCGTAGTGGGCAACGGCGAAATGTGCTTCCTTCTGACCCGGCTTTGGGGGCTTTGGTTTGCAGAAACATGGCGATTTTCCGAGTAGATTAGTTTTCAACATGTCAATGAAGGTTAAGTCAGTTGCTTTTGGAAATAGAGACTGGAAAAGTAGAATTAGGTAAGAATTTAGGTGTAAAAATTATATATATATATAAATAAATTACCTGTTCCTCCAGAATGGCAAACACACCCATGGGCCTATTAATAAAATAATATTTTAACATTTACATATTATTAAGCAGTAAAGATGAGGTTTATTTGCATACATTTCCATCAGTGAGATGCAAGCCTTAAAAAAATTAAAAATTAAATAAATATAATTTGTCCATAATTAATACATTTTTCGTTAATTTGTATACCTGTAGATCCATTCCGAAATCTTCAAACGTCTAAAAAAAATAGGACATTATTAATTAAAAATGATACGAGTTTATTGTGAATTATTTTAAAACTTGCCCAATCCAAGCCTTCAGCTTTATATTCTTCCTGCTCTAGGACGAACATGTGATGATTGAAAAATTGTTGTAGTTTTTCATTAGTCTGAAAGATATTTAAAAATGTCATTGTTAATTTACTTTCGAAAAACAATTAACGAGACAAATATTTAGTACTAACGAAGTTGATGCAGAGCTGATCAAACCCATTCTCGTCAAAGATTTCTGGAATTAGAACGTGTGTTAGTTTAACATTAGAGAAATTATTGGTGGTTGGGAATTGAGAAATTACCGAAACCAGCAATGTCCAAAACTCCAGCGAAAGAACTTTTCTTTTGCTTGGTGTCCAAAGTATCGTTACCTTCGCATTTTAAGAAAGAGTTGAAAAGTAGGAACAGTTTTTAAGGGTTAAACAATTTCAGCATGAAATCGATATGTATCATTACGCACATCGTCGAATGAGATATTTAAAGAGACGATCGTAAATGGATTTCGTCATAGCTCCGAGAGTGTAGCTAAAGAACATGTAAAATAATTAAGAACCATTTCTTCGATTTAAGTAAAGGAAAATTAAGTATTAACATTAATTAATTTGCATTTGATATGCATATTAAAAAACGTTTTTGTAGGCATAATAACTGGATCTTACCCACACTGGGCCACATTCATTCCCTTTGTTACAAATTCAGAGCCGACCTATAAGGACAAGTGCATATCCAATTGATTTACAATAAGAACAAGGCGCTGACAATTGACAATAACTTAAAAAATAAATGTAACCTTGATCTTTGGTTTGCATATGTTCTTGTATAGTTCGACACCATCTACGCCAAGAAGTTTAGCGACGCAAGTTCCAGTCTGATGTTGTAAAAAGACAAATTATAAGCTAAAATGATATTCAAATTTTAAAAAATATGATATTTGATAACTACTGACCTCAAGACCATCAGGCTCAGCTTGTTCTTCGCGACCTTTCTGTTTAAATTTCATCGCACCCATGTGCATGCAGGAAGCAGTGACTCGGTAGATATTTGTCCTCTCTTCATCGGGGAAGGCAAGTACCTCGAAAGCTTCATGCGTCATTTTCATTTCCTTCGCACAAATCAGTCGAATTAGACTTTCGTTTCCTTGAGACATTTCTGACAAACTCAAGAATTGCTCAAAATTTAGTTAGTAAATAGTTTCATGGTGTCCAAGAACTTACTTCAAAGTCGTCAATCGAGGGCACGGTCACTTTGCCTTGTGAGACAAATGGGTAGACATAAATATCTTGGCCGAGGAAAAGTACGTCCTTAAGTCCCGGAATGGCACCGGTGTGTAATTGGTAGAAAATATGATAGCATCTGAAAAGGAGGGGAGAAGAGTAAGTGGCACTCGTATCGAAAATTCGACATTTCACTGAAGAGAGAATTCTCAGCGAATATTTCGACCTGTTATCTGGGTTACCATACGTAATAATTCATATTTAAGAGTAATTCTTGTTTATGAAATACAATTTTGATAGAGATTCATGGAATCAGATTATAAGGTTAATTTAATGGAGAGGTATTTCGGAGTACAATTTGGATTATTGAACTATTAAGTAATCAAGCATACATACCGTTCTAGCGGCATTTGAGAGATGCAACGAGCCTTTTCGAGCAAATCTGGAACATGAATTTCTCAATTTTGAACAAATATCTATTATTTATAAGAACTTATGGTTTAAACTATTTGTGTACGTACAACTCTCAATGTCACCACCGGCAAGTTTTCCCGTGGGTCCGAAATGAATTCGGATGAATTTACCGAATCGGGAGCTGGATACAAATTAAAGTAAATAAATACTGATTTTGAAAATACGACAAATTGCTCAGTTTCTACTTACGAGTTATCATTACGCGTAGTTTTAGCATTTCCGAAAGATTCGAGTACAGGATTCGTCTGTACAATTTGGTCCTCAAGTGATACCTTTTTCTCAGCAGATTTAGCAGATGCACCCTGAGATTACAATTCATATGTATCTATGTGTAGTTATTCATATGTGCGTCCTTTTGTATGTAATACTTACCACTTGGGCAAAATATGCAATCTATAATAAAGACAAAACACGAAATTATTATGGAAACATTAAAAGAGAGATTATCTAAAATAATTATCTAAAACAATTTTACATACTACACATTTTAAAAACACTTGGGTAAACTTACAACTTTCTTTGTATTTTCCGTTTTCCCAGCTCCAGATTCTCCTCTGGTTTAAAAGCATCATCATAAAAAATGTTTATTTGTTTTATGCTAAAGTACATATGCTGAACATATAGCGAGGAGCGAATTATTTTTCTGCACAATAATTCCCTCCATGCACTTACGTTATGAGGATGGACTGATTTTCCTGTGCTATAAGAACAAAATAAAAAAGAAGAATTTAAAAATTTTGTTTGGCAGTGGACCAAATAACCTTCTGACGAAAGAGGTTAATCCTTCAGGGGACGGAAAATAAACATTTTCGATGAAAAATGTATCAGAGTCATAATTTGGGTAAGAGACGATATTTGAAACCCAACCAGACTTCGAAATCTCGACACAAACCCGGCCACTTTTTGTTACTTTCCATTTTCATATCGGCAAGCAAAACCAGTTATTTTTACCAAAGTAACGAAACCAAGGAAAGCATTGGATGAGAATTAAGTGTAATATGTACATTAACCTATAAGCCTTTGGAATTTTTTAAACTTGACGAGGCGTGGATCTGCATCAATGACTTTATGAATTTTGGGTATGGAGATTTTTTGTCTGATTTTTGCTTACTATGCACTTATTCATGCATGGGATGATCACAAATAGACCAAGTTGACATCTCCCTTCAAAAAATGCAGATGGTCTCCTACCAATCAATATGATTGTCTGAAACGTAGTAAAATACATAGGTTGGCCATGGCTTCGTATAAAGTTAAAATAATTTTTTAAGTACTGGGTGCAAATTATCTGGCTGTGCTATGTAGAATTCTCCAACATATTATTTGACATTGTTGCATACTAATTTTCTTGTATTATAATCGCATTCGAATTATGAAGAAAGTTTAAAAATTTATTACACTCATTATTTTAGCTTTACTAATAATCAGAATGACAAAATGGGATCTGAGAAATGATTTGTATACGACAGGTTTCCGTATATCTATATTTACATAAACCGACATATTTCCTAATGCAATCCAGCAATATTTGTGAAAACTCGGTACATATGTATGTATATGTTCATTCAGAATTCCAATCTCTTCTTCAAACAATTTGTCTCATATGATGTCGCATAAATACACATGTACATGTAGCAATAAAAGCCCAGGAATCTTTGCAGATAAATATGTACATATTCCACTCACCCAAAATGCATAGGAACAGGAAAAAGAGAAATATTGGAAAGCAAAGCGCTTTTCCATATTTTTTTGCGTATAATTCCTTGCGATAGGAGGAGGGTATTTTTGGCCAACAGTTGGGCTGCATGATTTGTTGTGACAGTGGCCACGGTCTGCCTGCATATGCGTGTTCATACTGCAGGCATCTATGAATATGTCCGATCATGGACGAAGAAGAAGAAAAATGTGCAAGTATTAAAGTGGAACAGATTTCCGTCCCCAAAATAGTGAAAGGAAGGATTGACTTTGCGAAAAGTAGTCGTAAACTCTTTCATGGATATATTCACCGAGAAGAAGGGCGGCTATACATACGTTCGTACAGACGTACTTCGAGGTGTGGGAGTTATTGATGAGAGCTTATTATCCCCAAAAAGCCATGATAGCACCACAACCCACCAGCACTACGTGGGCTATTTTTATCCGAGTGGTGGATGATTAGTACTCGAGTATGACAACCATAAACGGAAATTTAGGAATGTACGAGTTTCAGGAGATGCAGAGAGAAGAATTTTTATGAGCATATTTTTCAACGCGTTAAACTTTTACAGAATTGAGAAATTGAACATTATTGTTAATTCTTCTGGACACGTGAAAGTGAGAATGCGAATGCAAAATAATGAGGTTCAGGTGTGAAGTAAAATAAAGTAATGAAATGAAGTAATTACCTGTCATCATGTTTTGATATGCACCCTCAGCAATGGCGAAGATGTGTGGGGGCACTTCATTCCGTCGCTTGTTGTGGTAGATCTTCATGGCCCTGATGGTGTAGATCGGGTAGCGTTTGTAGGGGTTGATAGCCACACAGAAGAGACCGGAATATGTCTACGCGAAATGAAGATATAGGCAACATTTGAAAGAAATATTTAGTAGATTGATGTCATTAATAATAATTCATGACTTACATAAATGAGTCGTGCATAATATCTCTGCTTTAGATTGTGCAGAACGGATGCATCGCTCAAATACGTGAGGTTCGACATGTCCTCTGATTTTTCGTATTTCGGAGGATTGACTTGTGCAACGAGATCCTTTTTGAAGAATTTCTCTTCATGCTTGATGTCCACGATGACCAGGTCGCCCTTGGTCCCTTTTATTTCTCCGATGACAAACCCATCCGCCTCGTCGGGGACCTGTTAAAAACGTTTTAAAATACTTGCACACGTTTCATTTGTCTGACAAATTTCTCTTGTTCGTTTGGCATGGTGTGAAAAAGAAATTTTGGCTCAACATTCACAAAGAAATGAAAGAAAAACAGTTTTTCACCAAGTAATGATGAAAAGAGAATAAGAAAACCATAAGAAGTTGTAGAAGAAATGAAATTGAGAGTTGGCAAAAGTGAGAATTATTCAGACCGAATATTTTTTACTGATTGTGCGAAAACCAATACTAAATATATCAATTATTTTCGCAAATTCTCACCCAGCATGAAGTTTTTGCATCGTAAGGTTTAGATTGATCCTTCATTTTCTGCTCCATGGACACGAATAGGTACTCCGTGGGGTCGGGTTCCTCACCCACTTTTAATTTCAAATTTTGTCAATTTAATTTAATTAACTAATTAATCAATTATACGTTACCTTTGAATTTCTGCTCGATAACCATGGTGGATACCGGAGGTGGATAGACGAGGAATAATCTGTGGACCAAGTGAGATTAACTAGATCCTGGGAAATTGAGACGACGACTGCTGGTTGTGGTCTTGACGAAGAGGAGAGGCAGACTGAGAATGGGTTGAGACGGGTAGAATTCTGAGTCATCTATGCGTAGTTGTTTCTTAAATCTTTTTTTTTCATTTCTGGCTTCTAGACATTCATGTTTTAGTGGTTTTTGAGCATAGTAGAATACATGGATAAGTATGCTCAACCATGTATTTACAGGAGTTTGATAAATGTAAAATTTTGATATCATTGCTTATGCAGTTGAAAAATTGTCCTTTAAAGTGAAAGTATTTAACTTGCAACTTCCAACATGCTTCGTTCTACATAGAATTTCGTATTTATTAAAATCGTATCAAATTAGTCGCTGGGTAATGAAGTTCGTCCTCATTAACTAGTTTTCCTATTTTAAAATTGAACGGATATTGATTATTAGTGACACCAATAGGTTAATTGGTGACAAGAGGATAATATGTAATTGAGGTTGGCTCTTTTTTACATATAAGCTCCGCAAACAAATTCCAGGTGATTAGTTCCTTAGCTATGTATAGCTAAATGTGGGGTTACACAAATTGATAGAGAAAAGCAGAACACAAAAGTTGTCGCACCATAAATAACTAATCAGTATTGTTTATTACAGAGCCTACACCAACGCATTTTTCTTTACGATAATTATGCCAGTGGCTCAACCGTCGATGACAGGATGAAGGGATTATAGATATCAGGATTTGTATCCGGAGTCGCAGATAAGGTTGGTCGTATATATAGCAAGCACCTGAATTCATTACTGGATTCCTCTCCTTCACAAAAATATACTCATACACAGCTTTAAAAGGTAAACGAAATTCAATTTTACCAGGAAAAATTGCAAAAATATAATTGAAAATCCTCGGTTTTATACATTTATCAACAAAGCGGACCTCTTCAGCAAAGCTCATTCAGAAATGGACTCAAAAGGTAAATTTTTGTACATCCATTAAAGCATTGCACAATATGTATTTCTGACATTATAATTCAAAATTATTGATAATGTACAATATGATTTTTCTGTAAATAAGTATTGTAAAATTTCGATATTACAATGTCCTATAGGACAAGGCGAAGATAGTCAAGCTCAGGACAATCGGGCGAATCAACAGAATCCAAACCACGAGAAAACTGGGCCTGGACATGATTCGAGATATGGAGGAACAGCCGATAAAGCGGACAAAGACAACCATTCGAATCAACTAAACCCCAACAATGACCGCTTCCAACCGAAGCAGTAACAAAAGATTAATTTTCCAAATTATGCAAACGATTAAAACTTGTCATATTGGCGTATTTTTAAAGAACGACATAATAAACGACAACTTGCATTCCATATTTAGTTAACTTTTATTAACATTGTGTGTCTTATTTTTATTAACATTGTGTGTCTTATTTTTATTAACATAAACATTGATAACTATGAAATACACTTACAATGCGATGGTGTGAAGTGTAACCCTCCGATTTGGTTGAAATTTTGAAATTATGTGCTCCATGTCAATGGAACCAACGTTTCTTGAGGAAGTTTGTGCGATGGTCACAATTTGTCAAAATATTTTAGGGCAAAGTTAAAAAACATGCGATTTTTAGCACGGGAAAGGAATAGAACTTGAGTTTGCTTCCTCCGCCTGGTAAAAATTGCCCGCTTTTCAACTTTGACCTCAAATATTTTGACAAATTCTGACCATCGCACAAACTGCCTGAAGAAACGTTGGTTGTATTGATATGGACCACATAATTTCAAACCAAATCGGAGGGTTACACTTCACACCATCGCATTGTTAGTTGGGTTGGGAAAACCTTTACTTGATCCGGATAGGCGTCCGAGATCACCATTCGGCCCCTGACAAGATTTTTGTAAATAAAATGACCTATCGTTTAAAATATAAAATAATTCTTCTAATCCTCGTTGCATTACTTGCATTCCATAATTATCACCATCGCTATAGCTCAATTAATAAAATTTTGGCCAGAGCAAGGGCTTATGTAATCGTCATGTCCATCCGTCTGACCTGCGATAACTCTTGGACGGGGTTGACCAAATTTGATGGAAACATGAAGATGGGTTGGGAGTCATATCAAATGGGAGTCATACAAACAAATCAAGTGGGAGTCATATTAATGGTGTGGTTCGATTGTTTGGCTCAGAATATTCAAAACAAATAATCATAAAAGGCATAAATTTGGCAAATGGTCCAATGGTAGCATAAACTCGGAGTATAAAATAAATTCTAAATTTTTGATCGGGGGGACCGTACGGAGGTGACCCCATCTATTTTCTGAAATTATCTTGGAACGCTGAAATTTGGCTTAATTTTAATGAGTGTAAAGTTAAATATGAACAAAATGCCACAAGAGTACCGAGTTCTAAAAGTTGATATGTGTATTCACCCGAGATTGACCTCTCGACCGGACAAAAAACTTGCCAAGCTATAATTAGACACAAGCCAAGCCAAGGCCCATTGTTCGCAGAGGTCGAGGGACGCCATCGAGCTCATATTTAAGGCCGAATTTGTGTTCGTGAGTGCCACTTGTTGCTCTCCTTCGTCTCGTTGTGGTTGCTGGAGCTGTGGGCCTCGATTCATTTCTCTCTTTTGCTCAGATTCGTCAGAATTTGCCAGTTTGCTCAAAATATCGTACAACTTTAATTTTGACAATTTGACAATTTGACAATTTGAGATTTTGACAATATCTTGTTTCAACTACTACATTGTCCAGCGCTTTGAAGTTTGGAAGTAAGCAGTAATTAGTAATTTTAAAGTTCATTTCCAAGAGTAGAAATTTATTAATTTTCCGTCGAGTGTGAAGTATATATTGGTCAGATTTATAAATTCTGTCGTTATTTGCAGAAATGGCCAGGAAGATGGAAAAAATCACTGATGAATGCACTTACCTTATCGACGACGGGGCCGGCGCCAGTGGTAAGTTAAATTTTTCTGTTAATGTTTTTGTTGCATAATTGCGCCAAATATTATTTCTATCACTATTTTATTGCAATGTTGTTTTGTTTGCAGCCAGTGGCGCTGAGAAAATGAAACACCCCACTTCTGAAAACATGGACGTGGAGATTGCCGGGGGGTTCCGTTTCAGACCAACTTCAAATCTGAATGTGACGAACATCTCGGACGTTACAAACGAAATGAACAAACTGGCCATGTCCCCGCCTGATAATAGCTTAAGGAGTAAGAGTTGTTCATATTTTTAAGCTGTGGTTTCTGCATGAGTTTAGATTATTGGGTTGTAAATAATTTGGTATACATTTTCCATTAGCCTATCTATTATTATTATTTTGTAATTATAGTTTCTGAACGGAATGAACCTTGCACCAGCCGGTCACTTTTGTACAACCCCGTACCCCGAACCCCGAACGATGACAGAAATAATTTGAACCGAGGTCGTCGTGATTTCGAAAGCCGAAAACGTGATTATGAGTTCTGTGGAAGCAGCGGCGGCTCATTCATGCACAATCAACAAGATGGCGAAAGGAGCGAAAAGAAGTTATCTAGAAAGGAAAGGGAATGGCTAGCAGAGGGGAAAACGCTCGAGCCAATCGTTACCGTGTTTGGTCCAAACCATTTCAAGTTCTATGATACTGGATATCAAGGACAAGGCCCATTGATCGAATTGGAGGACAATGAAGGTTTCGTCAGCGGATTGCGAGACGGTGAGGAAATCCCGAAGCGAGAACTGACCCCGTTGGAGCGTACCCTCCTCCGGGAGCGAAAGACGGAAGAAGGTCTAGACTAGACTTGACTTTACGGAATACTCCCTTAACTGACGACGGAATATCTTTACCTGCCTTTTTTGTCTCAATGGAAGAATACGGAAGAATATTGTAATTGATTTGACTGACTATTTGTATACGTTATTTTAAATATTGTTCTTATTTATGCTGCGATTGATCAATTAATTTTGCCATAATGTTTGCTTTTTATGAGGAATAAATTGTCGTACCTTGTTTTATATATAAATAATTTGTTAAAATGTGTTTCACACTCGTCTCAATCTATTCATCATATGTATATGTTACCTCATATTTAAGCCTTACGCATTCTTTAAGAAATCTGCTTCATCCACCGAGTTAAGCGATAAAATATGTTGCTCATTTATTTCGTACTTTTTTATGATTTGCTTGTTGTTAGACACGTAAGATTTATCACAAGGCGGACCAAAATAGCATAAAGTGTGATATGCTAGATTTGGGTCGTAGTTTCTCAAAGGTCAGGTCAAAGTTGCATCTTCTCGAATACAACCTCCAGGTAAGAGAAATTTGAATTTGTCACTAAATTGCATCACACTTGACGGAATTCCAAAGGTACTCATCGTCCGAGGCACATTTCCTAACGAGGCAAACAGCTCTCTGAACGAGTAGGCTTCAGGGAACATGTCAAATATATTGGCACCATCGCATATTTTCTTTTGGATATTCTCTCTCTCGAGCAGGTGATCCGCTGTGACACGGTCGTGGTGCGAGTATGAGGTCATCTTGAACACAAAATCGGACAAGTAGCGAAAGCAGAAGGAGCAGTGCCACCCAGCATCAATCAATGTGTGGTTGGACTCTGCACCCTTGCTGTGATGATAACCAAAATTTGAGTCATAAATATCGACATGAGGTATCCAATTCGATGAGTCCACATAAAACTCGAAAGAGTAAATGTAATTTCTCATCTGAAGATGTAGCTCTTTGGGAAATCCGACACACGATCTGGAATTCAAGTGTTGTTTTATTTTTTATAAAGTACATTCGATTTACTAATACTTGTTGTAAATAATTTGATCATATATTAAATAATTCCGAAGATAGTATTCATTTACTGAATCCTGGAACTTATTACGATTCAAGATCAACAGAACAAAGATCTCACCTTAATAATTGGATTGTTTCTTTGTATGGTATCTCGTCAACATCGCTAACAATTATCAAATCTCCGGGTTTAGGGTCAAGATTTTGAATGGCATTTGTCATTTTCCTTCTCATCTTGACCTCATTGTCAAATTCTTTTTTGGGATGTTCATCTAGTTCTCCAGATACAAGTGCGATTGTGCGCAGTTTTTCTTGCGCCCAGTCAAATCGAGACAAATTTTCATGGAGAAAAAGACGTTTTGGTTTTCCAGTGAACGTGCGATCTGCTTCCATGACTAAGAAGATGTCGACAACGTCCCATAACTCCCTGATTCGAATTTCTAAAATGTCTAACTCGACACTGAAGATGACAGCATCGATTACTTTTGGGGCTGTCGGGGTGACGAGCTGGCTCCATCCGTGCAGATTACAAAGGGTTTGAAATGACACATTATCAGCGTGAAAGTGCGGAATCAAAATTTGAGGTTGAGGACCAGGGCGGTCCCAAATTGGTCTCGTGAGATAGCCGAGATCACGAACAATTAGTTTAGGACTGAGCTGCCTGGTCAATAGTGCGAGCGAAAAAAACGTAAGACCGATGCAGATTAATACTGATTTGACAGCAAAACGCGAACGTCGTATCCTCATATTTCTATTTAATATTTTTTATCGTCACTCTCTGTTTGGAAGAAGTATCGCAAAAAGAATTAAAGACATACATTGTGCGCAATGCATGGAAGTTTAACCCAGTTTATCACTCGTCTACCTATCGTTTTAACAAGGTACTTGTCATGTTTTGTGTGTCACCATACAAAACCTGAGTGTTTGTCACTTAACAATTCAACATCTTCGATACGTTCCTTTGTCACTTTTAATGTCTTCGAAAAGGTGTTACTCCATGTATACCAGACTCAAGTGAGGGTATGAAACTTTAGAATTTGTCATTTGTTGAGCAACTTGGATCTAAACAAATATTTGCAGTATTCTCAAGTACGTATGTATATACTACATACACCACCGAATAATATTTTCGGATTTGGCACAATAAGTATGATTTTATGTATGTCACGGTTTTATGTTTTGTGGAATGACGTGCTTATCCGGAAATCGATTTAATTATTGTATACGATGATCTAGTACGGATTCGTTCATACGTGTGCGTATAAATGAATGCGATATACATACTTGCATATTTATTACCAAGCGTTTCTAAATACATGGATGGTGTACAATATGTACATGCACAGTTCGAATTATGGAAAGATTAGATTTGTGCCGAATCTAATCTAAATCCTTCCAAGGTAAGCATTTACATGATAAAGCATTACATCAGTGTGATAATGATATTATTATTCATCGTGAAGCTGCGTATTTAGGCAGTACTGACATCGGTTATACTTTACAAACCGCATACATGTATGTATACACACATTAGAGTAGCAGTGGGCAGGTATTTCAATTGCTACCTTCAATTATGGCCCCATCCAAAGAAAATGCATGCGAACATATGAACGTACCAAAGAAACAAGTGGATTAACTCCAAGACCTCAGGTGCGCCAACCACACCCACTCAAACTAGTAAAAAACACTACAAAATTTCTGTTTTCGTTCGCTTAAATCTTAACCATTCATTCAATTTTTCTCGAGTTTTGAATATTTCTGCAGAATTGTAGTTCTACATGCATATAAAACTCAATTTCTTCCTGCTACTATCAATTCCTGTTGTGCTCTGTAGGCTGTAAGATAAATTAAGTCCAAAGACCAACCCACCAAATAAATTTAATTGGTACAATTGTATGAATTTATCAATTAGTTTGCTATTAATAAGTCAAGATAATTCATGCAATCAAGTCACAACAGGCACCACATGCGTGTTCCAACTATCTAACTTTGCTTTAGGCCCATCAATTGACGCTTCCATTCCCAATGACTTCAAACAGAGGTGGTCAATTCGAGATAACTGAACATATATAATCTTCTGATGTATCAACACTTGACTTTTAGCATATACATAATTCTTTATTTTTGTAAAAGTCTTTAGTTAGTAAATTATTCCTCAGAGAGGAGAAAATAATTCGGTTAGCAATTATTTCACTCATTTGAAGTCATATATTGTCTTCATACAATTAACATGGCAAGAACTTTGTCTCTTCAACTGCTAGGATTTGCACTAGGATTCTGCATTTTTGCGAATGTCTGCGTAGCTCAGTATCCATCTCCAGGCAAAATATATGCTATTCAGACCACCATGGACGGCGGTGTAAGTGGGCGTGGTGACAGCGTTTAATTTTTAGGACAAAAACCTGTGGCATAAAACTTGATTTAAATTTTAAATATTTATACATATAAATAATTTATCTCAGACAATTAAGCCACAAGGAACAGGACAACTTTGTAACAGACTTGGGTCGATTGGCTTTTCCTATTTTCCACCAAATCCATACACGACCGAGTACAAATGGCGTGTTGCTTCAGCGAACAATGCCAGTAAGCGTATTTGCTTAAAGTTGCTTCTGTCTGAAACTTTTATTGTGCATTATAACGAAAATTGTGCCATAAATATCAACATAAATGTAAAGCATCACTTCTTCTTGTAATTATAGCTGGAACGATTACAATTCATAGCTTGCTGGACGAGGCATCTCCAACGATGAATCAATTGACGTTGGACGATGACCCCCCGTATTGCAACCCAGTCGAGAGAGAGATCACCTTAACCCAGCATCCTTCAGGCCCCTTCATCATTCAGGATGTCCGCAGTGGCAAATGTTTGTATTCATATGGGTAAAAATACATACATTTTATTTGGAATTTGTTTTCTTAACCTGGATCATTATTAGATTATTACAATCGTAATATATAGATCCGAGGTTGGAATCGTAATTTGGAGAGATGACCCCTACACTCAATATTGGTTGTTTCATGAAGTGGAAGAATAGTATGGCTGCTCACATTCATTATTGTCTTCAAGCGCTATACATAGCAGAATAAGTCTGAAAATTGAATCATGTAACTTATACAATATCAGTTTATTTCAACAAGACGATATTTATCAATACATGCGATCAAGGTCATACTTGCACTTAATTTGGGGATCATAATCTAATTCATAAGTCACCAATCTAATAAAGCTTAAAATACATATGTATATGCCACAGAAACATAACGAGTCTGGATTTTTATTTGCAATTATGTATTTTATAGGTTGTGTACAAATACGAATTATGTATGTAAATACTATTATGAAACGCAAAAAGCGCTGCAATCTGCGTCATCCACACAACAAATCTCTCCACCACTTTTGTTGCACGGGTAGTTGCGACAAGGGCTGACAATATTTCGACAAGGGCCTGGACGTGGTGGACATGTTGGTTCGCCTGTAAATATGAGCAGCATTATATCAAAATTTCTTCCTCAGATGGTTCCTCAAAAGAGGTTTTATATATTTTATATGTACAAACCTGCAACATTTGATAGACTCAAGACAAGGAAACTACCCAAAACAAGAATTAAAAACAGTTTCATGTTTTCGCCGTTGCTCTCAACAAAAACTATTCTCTACAATTGGCCACACACAATATCCACGTAGTGAAGAACCGAATATTGCTGGGTGCAGATTGGAACTGATGTCGAAAAATATAAAGCATGGCAAGTCTATTTATATGGCACACAGAGCAAATAAAACTGATTTAAAAATTCATGACACGTCACGTCACATCATGCAAAAAACTTGGCGTGCACAAATTGAACAAACAAAACAGTGCGCTAGGAATAATAGAATATATACTTCTAAGTAATTTTGGTAGGATTATGTGCTATGAATTTTAGAGTATCCTATTTTGCTTATACATACCTTTGATTGTGCATGCAGAGTAAATCCAGTCAGCTAAAAAATGTTAGTGATGTATGCATGTACGTATTACTGATTGTGAAATGTGACATTTTAAGTTCTGTAATTCCAGTATGTTCATAGTATATGCTGTATATTATTAAGCATAGCTTTATTATAGCTCACTCTTAAACCCATCCAATTTTGAGAGCGATGTAAATATGCTTTTTAATTGGTGTCCAAGGTATATATGTAAATATTTGGAGTCCCCTTATGACTCCGAAAGTCCGAGTATATCTCCAGCCTCATTTAATTCTGCGTCATTAAGCAATTTTTTAATATATTTCTGAGGATAAACTATTAAGTGAGTTGTTTATTTGCTGTTCGGTTTGCAAGTTAGATGAACGAAATGACGTCATCCCTCTATGCATTGGTAATTTATATTTATATATGTTGCCTAAAAATTGTTGGTCACCATCCGTATGTAGTGGTGAACAGCAGCAGGTGCGGTGGGTGTCTTGACCTGATCAACATTAACCAAGTTCATTGTAACTTATCATTACGCTGATTTACTGCTGGCTAATAAAATTTGACAACATAATTACAATAAAGAAATTTGTTCAATGATTGGCTCTCATCATCCAAAGCGATCATTTATTCTATGTTCACGGTTACTCACTTTAGCATCATACAAAAGTTTGTATTTTGATCTGATTTCACACATGTGCAGTTCTAGTCGGAACATTGTTTCATACCACTCGTCACTTGAAACCATGCTGAATGAGATTCAAGACGATGAAGATAACAATGATGCAATCTTCAGGCTTGAGGGTCCCGTCAGTCTACGACTAGTTTACATGTTGAACTAGTTGAACTTGCTTATTAAATGTTTTCATCAATTAATCAACTGATCTTTAACATTCATCTTCTTCATGTGTAATTATAGGGTAACTTGCAGGTTTTACATCTATTGCATTATGAAGACTGCATGGCAACGTATAGAAATAGTAGCGCTTAGTAAGTCTTCCATTGTCAATGGGAAACTTAACATTCTTATTTTTAAGAGTTTAGTTGTTGTGCTGGTCGTGTTGTGACCTACATAGCTAAAGATACATTAATGCTCCTTATACTGAAATTTTAAAATGGAACGGTTGTATTTGTTAATAATTGTACTTTTAATTATTTTTAGTTTTGTACGCTCCAGTCATTGTCAAGGTGGATCTCAACGTAGCAGCGTTTCTGGCAATCTCCTAACTCCGAAACCCGTTTTTGCTACTCCAAAACATAAGAATGCATTTATAATTCCTGAAAATTACAATCCTCATCAAGCACCACCCCTGCACAACGGGGATGAACCACTTTCCATCCAATTTTCCATCCTGGTCTTTGGAATTTTCGATGTGAACGAGTTGGCAGGTGACATTTCACTGGAAGCAAACCTTAAGATTTTCTGGAGGGACACAAGACTCGCTAATTTGACCAGAGAAAAGGAAGGCACGGAAGTAGTAAGGCCGAGCAGTCAATATATTGTGGTCAATCCATCCTTAGTTACACAGATCTGGACTCCTGACATTTTCATCGATCATATGAAAAGCAGTTCCGAACCATCTCTGATTTCGAAAGCGGCATCACTCCGACTATATCCAGATGGTGCGATAAGTACTACAATTTACTTACAAAATATATACGAGTCAACCAATAACTTTAAATTTGAACCCACAGGATCACTTCGTTACTCTGCCCGAACTTTGATAAACTTAAGTTGCCGCATGGACTTTGTTTTCTATCCTGCAGACACTCAAAAATGTTCACTGGACTTAAAAAGTTACGCGTATTCTAACCAAACGCTAACTCTGGCCTGGAAGAATAACCTTGGCCCTGAAATGGCATATCCATTAGACCTCCACAACTTTGACGTGGCTCTAGAAACTGGACCTGACTATATACAAACGACCAGATCTGCCTCCTACTCTGCAATCAGTTTTTCTCTCTATTTACGTCGAAAATTGAGCTACCACATTATCCAGACGTTCATCCCAAGCTCTTTGTTCACAATTGTCTCATGGCTAAGTTTCCTCGTCCCACCGGAAAGTACGCCGGGCAGGATGGCCCTCACCGTGACCACGCTGTTAACGTTGACTGCCATGTTCTCATCGGTACGGCAAAACGTGCCGAGTGTCAGCTACGTGAAAGGCTTAGATTTTTGGATGCTCGGATGTATTGTGTTTGTCTTCATTTCACTGGCCGAGTATACGATATATCTCAAATTGAGGAGCATGAAGGAGGAAAGGAAACGGAGAAAGGAAAGCATGACATCGACCCAACAAACGATGCATCGACGAAGGCGAAGTGGGAGGATATCGTCAACAAGTTCGACAGCACCTTTAAACTGGAGCAATAATAATTCTCTGGTGATGGACTTTCGTGATTCGACTGTTGCTGCTCCATTGTTGTTAAATAAAAGTAACAATGGGAGTAGTACTGGTTGTGGCAGTAGTACTTGTCCTACATCATCACCTAGAATAAATGACACTACTATCGCCGATGCCAATACCGATTTGGCAGCCATGCTAGAAAAATATACACCGAGAATTTTGCCGATAGCATTTGTTATTTTCAATTTTATTTTTTGGCCTTGCCTTCTAATTAAGTCGGACTACTATAATTTGAGACATTCAAAAGAAATGTATTACTCACTTTGAATAAAAAATCAGAAATTTTTAAAATTACAATTCATTCAATTACATTATCATCACAAAATGTCTCAAGTACTTGTTTTATATTGCTGATACATTTATCTGTACGTAGATATCTACATACATAACTCTGCTGACTATTGTTATTTGCAAAAATTTATATCGCTAAAATTCTCGCAGTATACTCGACGACACAAACTTGGTCTATGTAGAATAATTCATATGAATTTTCACCTAAATAGCGACCACATCTTGATACTGGTTTTTTATTTATTTATAGTAGATAAAATTAGGATTATGGAACTGCTACATATGTATGTACATACGTACACATATTTACATATTCACGTCCGAACATGTATGTATGTACGCAAATAATGGTACACTATATATGTATGTGTTATTCGTATGCATAATTTAGAGTGCACCATAATATATGAATTGTGCATATCTAGATATTACGCAGAATTGAACTTTGAAAGCATTTTGTCACTTGTCATTCCAGCAAAAAATGGTTTGTGATTCTGATGTATGCAGATACATTTGATTAATCCACAAATCGATGAACTGTCAATTACCATATGCCACACATTACAGCATTATATTCTATTTATATTGATAATGCTAGAAGTTGGAAATTGACAAATTGATGCTGATTTCCACAAGTTGTACGCAATTTCCTAAAATTATCGTCATCAATGATTGTGCCGCATAGCGGTGTCATTTTCTTGTCCGACATCACCACAAGACCAAGTTTCAAAGCTTTGCAGCTAAACAAGTGATTCCAATATTTAGCAAATGGATCCGTACTACATTCCTCCCCATTTGCCGACAGGTTGTAGCGTAGTTATTGTTCTTCCTGCTGAGAAAACTCAATATAATCAAGTGGTTCCACAAGTGACGCTGCTAAATCAGAATTCAAATCCTCTCACATTGTTGAAACCTGATTACTTATTGAATCCTGGCAAAAGTAATAATTCCGTGAAAGGGGGAATTTGTGTAGTAGTCATGACTTTATTTTTAGCCCTTGATGAATCCGTCACATCTGCCCTGCGTTTAAATCGTATGCTTACCAGAGAGACAACATATTTTTTGGTTTTATCGTCATCAGAAAATGTACACAAAATAAATTTTAAACTTTTCCAATCCTCTGAGTTTCAAATAGCCCATCCAAACCTAATCCTAGTGAATATTGCGAATTCGAATAATAATTCAAGCCTTATTACTATGACACCCATTTGTTACCTGTGTCCACAACCGAATAAAGACCAAGTACTAATGAGAATCTCGAGTAATGTGACCAGTAGCAGTCTACAGGATTTGAAACTCTTCATGAAACGGTTAAACTCTCAAGGTTACGACAGGCCTGCCGTGGTGGGTAGTGTTTCTGACAATAACACAGCATTCATCCGTGATTTGGAAATTTCTATGAAAACCAACTGGAAAATAGGCTACACAGTGAAAGTCCTTTTGGGAATCCTCTCAAAGAAAATGAACTTTACCGTGAGCTTATCTCCCGATGAAGTAAAGGGGCCAAGGCTCGTTGTGTGCAACCATTGTGAACCAGCCCTCCCTTCGTCACCTGAATCCAGATATGGTCACAATATCATGCACGTGAATGAGGAGAGTTTCTTCTATTGCACCAAATCCGTCCACTCCGAGTCGGCCTACAGCTTCCTCCTCGCCCCCTTCGACACTTGGATATGGATCACAATCTTGGGGGCTATCCTTCTCACCTCTCTAATCTTCCAAAGTCCGTGGTTCAGTCTAAATATTTTGTGGGGACTCTTGGGTATCCCATACCTGAAGGCATGGCAACAATCCAAAGTGCTGGTCATCGTATCGTTGTCCCTTTTAGTCCTGCAGTACTATTACGTCGCATTTTTCACGTCGGATATCATCCTACCCTTCCAACCCGTCCAAGTGGGAAGCAATCATGAACTGTTTGTCAAAAGAGGTTATCGTTATGCCAAGTCCAGTTGCGATAAGCCATCCGACTATGACGCCTACGTTGCGCGCCACAACCACAGCTTTGCCAGGTTCAAAATTAACCCTGATCCGGAACACTTCCTCCTCATCGACCCTGTCTGTGGGGGTGATGGGTTCTACCGGTGTGGCAAATTTGTGGGAAAAGCGGCCGATATTATCCAGACCAAATTTACAAAGCAGACAGGGACAAGAGTGCAAAAGGTGTATCCCTTATTTTACTGCAATGTTGTGAAGGAGGCGTGGGACGTGGTCACGGTGACGATGAACTATCATTCGCATATGTCACTTGTCTTTGGAGAATTGTTGAGCTATTTGCAGGGAGGGGGAATTGATATATCCTTTGAAATGATTTTCATGGCCGGAGCCCAACGGGAGGCAATGTCAGGAACTGGTGGGAACACGTATGGGGGCCCGGCTAGTGGACATTTGTTCTCCTTGTTTAAATTGTGTGGAATTCTGTTTGTTGTGTGTGGGGGGTGTTTCGCTGGAGAAATTTTGCTAACGAGGGGATTTATTAAGCGTAAATACAAGTCGAGTGGTGCAAAATAAATAAATTTGACATTCATTTTGGGAGATCGAGGCGTTTGATTATTGGAAATATCTAGTTCACGGTGTTATATAGAAGACGTAATACTAGAAGTCATATTTCGGAATGTGAGAGGAATATGTATTCACATATGTAATATATACAATGTATAACCTGCATGTATAAATTAATTATAGACAACAGGAAATAAAATGTATTTGAAAGTGAAAGTTGAAATATCTCGAGTTAATCCTCAATTTGCACACATTTATTTATATATCATTTTTATTGCTGTCTCATCAAGAACCAAACCTCAAACTTCATAAAATGGAATCAAAACCACATGCGCAGTAGTCGGGGAAGCTGATCCATCTTGATTTTAAAAATATTTCGAAATTGAAATCGAAATCGTATATATCATGATATTTATGTATGCATACGCAGATACGCATATGCTCCAAGCTGCCAAGTTCACTACCGACACGACCCTGTCTATTTATGCACTATACTTTCATTTTAATAACGACCCTTCTTCCTTGCTTGGTAGATAAGATTTCACATGTTATCATTTTTTCGAAACCATTTTTAATTGGCATTTTTCATGAAAATTTTACGCACGTATGCGTAAAATGTCCCATTCTTCCCTTGCCTCTCACCGCAATTTGGAGCGAGGTGTGAACTCAGCCGCCAAATGAACCCACCAACTCGAACAACTGCCATTGCACTGCACAAGCTCGGAGCTTCAAGTTCACGAGAATGTGAAAAATCACAAGAGTTGATAAAAATAAAAATTACAAAAATTAGTAATGTGACTGTTCGAAGAAGAGTGCTAAGGTGATGAATGGTGTGTCGGGAAGGAGCTATTACTACTTTTAGTTGATAATAATAATAAACCATCTATGTTTTGTATTTAGTTAGTTTGGTAGTTTGGTTAGACCCTAATAATTAAAAATGGTGGAGTCACTTAGCCCAGGCCCTATTCCAATGAGCGAACTGAACAGGTGGTGTGGAATAGGTCACCTGGATCCTCAGTACAAAGAAAATGTTAAATTAGCCTTTGTATTTAGTAAGTGAATTAATTTAAATGCCGTTAGTGTGTAGTGTATTGGTCTTGCTTCAACATTATTGCAACTAATTGTCGTGTTCTCACCCTGATCTATTTTAGGTGATGTTACTGCATTAGTAACAATGGACGACGATTTTTATTTACATGGAAAGAATGAACATGGCAGTTTAGCAACAGCCAGCGAAGTTAAATTCGTTACGAAAATCCCAACAAGAATCGAGGCGCTGTGTGGCAAGAAAGTGTGCAGTAAGTGAAAATGGTCAGCTTTGTGGAAGGAATATTATTATTAACTAATTCTAACCCAACATAATTTGCAGACTTTGCATTTGGAGTGCAAAAGAAAATTGTTGGACAGAAGAAAAATTTTCTCTTGTCGTTTTTCGTATTGACAGAAGATGGATCAGTTTTTGCGTGGGGTGCGAATGGTAAGTAATTAAAATATTTGTATTATTATTAAGTTTATAGAAAAATGGTTACTACAATACTTTCAACATGTTTGCAATATAAAGACTATGGAAATTTGGGTCTAAAATTTATCTCAACACATCCCATTCCTCCCACAAGGTAGGGGTCAGATCAATAGTCATGAACATGATGGGCGAATATTGTGTAATTGAGAATTTTTCACATTATAATTTATAGGGTCCCGTTGAATGCTCATGTAACCCAAATCGCTTGCGGTGCAAGTCACTCCCTGGCTTTGACAGCTTCGGGAGAAGTCTATGGCTTTGGAAGAAACTTTTTTGGACAAGTTGGAAGCGGAAATCGACAAGATCATCCTTTTCCCGTTAAGATCACAATAGGAGACGGAACAAAAGTGGTATCGGTGGCTTGTGGGAGGTCTCATTCAGTCGCTTTGACAGCAGATGGAAAAGTGAGTTAATTAAAGAACTACATATAAATTCAGATGAGAAAGACTAGCAAGTAGTAATTATTAATATTTGGCTTGTGGGCTATTTACTTAGGTTTATACTTTTGGACAAAATCAACACGGTCAATTGGGTCAAAATACGGAAGAAGAGTTTTGTCTCGTACCCACACAGATACAATTTCCTAAAGATGCTGGAACAATAATTAAGGTGAGTTATTTTGTATTATACCAAGACGACTTGCCATACAATAAAGGCTGTGAACAATTTATAAAATTATTATTTAGATAACGTGCGGCAAGCATCACACTCTCGTGTTGGACCAGTATGGTGAGGTTTTCTCATGGGGTGATAACCGTGGCTCTCAGCTTGGCTTGAGTGAAGATGAAGACGTGGAAAAGAGCATTGTTCCCATGGCAATTAGTTTGGAGGATTCAGATCGTATTTTGGATATAGCGGCTATCCCACATCTTTCTGTATCCGTTTGTCGTTCTTCGACGAAGGTAATCGTAGTTACATAATAATAATATGACTTATTAAATTCGTCAAAAACCGAGTAAAGTTACTAAAGACTCTAATTTACAACGTAGGTCATAATGTGGGGCAAATTTCCAGAGCCTTCAGGGAAATGCATTGCACCATGGGAAACGTTTATGAACTCCATGCCGGATGTATTTTCCAGCTATGTGATGCCGGCTGTGACTTACCGCCCCATTTCTACTGCTAGCATGCACCATTATGCAAACTTTGATGTGTATCCAGATATAGTTAAGTGGAGTGGACTTAAATTTGTTCATCCGTCATCCCTCCAAGATGTTCAACTTGCCTTTGTCTGCGGTTAGTTCAGCTTAATTGTTTCGAATGCTTAGTGGACATCTTTCCTAAAATATACTAATAATAATAGTTGTACGTGTATTGTTTAAAAGGAATTGGATTTGAACAAACAGCGATGATCGTGTCAGCTAAGAAACATGAGGTATTCTTTTGTGGCAAAAATGTACATGGTTCCTTGGGCACCGGCCTTGCACACGAGTTTGAAACGAGAGCACCTATGAAGAACAAACAGTTGACTGGAGAGGATATTATACGTGAGCTATTTGCTTAATATATAAATCAATTTGGACGAACGTTTTTATTTCTTAATTTTGTGTAGATGTCACATTCGGACTAGATGTAAAGGGTGGGGTCATGTGCTTATTCGCTCTCACTCGAACTGGCTCAATCTTTTCATGGGGTATGCATACGTAGAATGTAAAATAATTTCGCCATGTAATTTAAGAACATTGAATTTAAATCAAGGCTATAATGAATATGGTGAACTTGGATTGGGGCATGTGTCCGACCCAACTGATGCCATACTTCCCACAAAAATTGAAGGTGCCCTAAAAAATGTTAAAGTTACGCAACTTACTTGCGGCTCGGACCACGTCCTTGCCATCACAAATAAGGGAGAATTGTTCAGGTGGGACCAATATCACAGAAAATACGCATATATTATAGTTGATAAGTGATTCGTAATCAATAACTATTAACCTTCTAATGTATTATTAGTTGGGGCTATGATTACTTTGGACAGTGTGGAACTGGGAGTAGTGATGGGATTGTTACTTCTCCAACAAGGGTCAAGTTCCGAGGAAGTGGCACTAAAGTCCTCGCTGCTGCTGGCGGAATGTTTCACTCGGTTGCCATTGTCGAGGAGGGACATGTATGATTATCCCAAATAAATTTACAAATTCAATCAATTTATTTAGTAGATAATACTTGTGTGTTTTTTATTTAAGGTTTATGCCTGGGGAAAAAACGACAAAAACCAATGCGGTTAGTATTTTGTGTGTTCATTTGAATTTAAATCATGCAAATCATCATTCTCATCATGCATTAGGAAATAGAGGAGATGTTTGCACACTTTCCAAGGTTAAAGTAGCGTTGCCTCAGTCAATAGCACTAGATCCAATATTAAGTTTATTAACCACTGATAATAATAAAAATTTAGATGACACTGAACATTTCAATTTTTGCAGGAGTACTCGGTGGTGGCACAAAACAGGAGAGCATAGCAGTTCCCGTCCGCGTAAAGTTAGTGCGTTTATTACTTTAATTTTTAAACGATTAGACCAAAACCAATGAATTTTGAATATAACAAAGCTACATGTTTATTAGTTTATTATTAAAGTAAAATTCACTTTTCCTCGAATTATCTCTACTTATTATCTTTACTCTGACTGGACTTTGTTTTGGCGAAACAAGTTTCCAAAGTTCTTTCGTTCTTATCACTTGACTGGATTTTACTCATTTTCAACTTTTTAACTAATTCCCAATTATTTGATCAATTTAAAATACTTCTGCTGGTGACATGAATACAGAGATAACATTTTGATGTGCTCTTACTTTCAATTACACGGTGACATTGAGGACGAGAAAGAGTGAGTAAAGGAAAAATAAACAGGTTAATGACATCTATTTTATTTTCAGGTTTCCACCAGGTGTCAAAATAGATCAGGTTAGAAGCAAGTTTTTTCTTGAATGAGTTTGTAATTTGTAACGTATTTTGTTTGTTATTTGCAGATATGTTGTGGACCTGACTGTACCTTTGGTATCTCGTCCAGAAAAATGTTATTCTTCTGGGGCTATTGTGATTTCAACAAAAATATTGCCACGAAGCCCGTTCGAGTATGTACAGACTTGGGGGAAATTATCGATGTTGGTACGGCACATTGGTCTTCCATTTACGCCATAAAGACAAGTGTTGGTCGTGTATTTGTTTGGGGAAATCTTCGGGGTCAAAAGAATGTGGTCAAAAGTCCTTTGGAAACTTATAAAGCAAATTCTGTAGCCGATGTATTCTCCATGTATTCTAATCCTCCAGCCATGATCAGACCGATTTTGCCACCAGTTGTGTAATGTGTTCTTATCTGATATGTGGTTGAATTTTATGATGTTTTTTTATTGGAACGCCATTATATAGCCTTATACCCAATACTTTACTATTATTACCGATTTATTCTCAGGATTCACGCATCGCATCAGAAAATTTAACAATTAACGTAACGCTGTTTGTACTGGCGCAACATGAAGTTATTTCTCAATTTCGAGACTGAATAATGACTAATTTTTATATTTATTATTGCTTGTGTAGTTTATAATATATAGTATTGATTCGTTTAAATCAAGGTTAAGGATATTTTTTAGTTTGTATTTTATAAACTAGCAAACCGTGCTTAGAAGATACATATTGCATTTGTCAAGTCCGCAGAACGCGTTCGTACATGTAAGATATTATTATCATACAAGCAGGTTTTAAAAAGATGTTAATTCCAAGCCATTGATTATGCTCGAAATATATTTCTGAATATATAATATATAAAAATTGTCATTATGTGATTTGTATTCCAGAATTTCACGATCATTCCTACATATGTACATATACTCCCTGTTGAGGGATTGTTAAATTTTTTCAGAGTTATTTCTAGTACTTGTTGTTTTAGCATATTTTGAAGCTCATTTACCGATAAATTAGAAGAGCGGTATACATTGTGCATGAAGCCTAAAACTCTCATTATAAATCGTAGAAATTTACATACTTATTTTCTGTCTTCTGACGAACTAGGCAACTTTTTTGTATGAAAATGTGAAATCCAGAAATAGAACAACTCCAGGCTTCTCCACGGCAATTCTCTATGCATGCATTCCGTACTTATATGTACATATCGGAACATTACGTAAAGAGTGGCAGTGATATTTTTCTCTTGCATTAATTTAAACCTACCTACTCAAGGCTGCTCAATTCCTTCCATAAATAGTAGGAAGACAAGTCACACGCGTGACATGTGTGTAATTTTAGAATCGGATGAACAAGATCTCGAGCCCAAGCTGAGAGACACCAGTCAAAGTTTTTTTACAAAACTGTACACCAATTAGAGGTGAGCGCGGGTCCAAATTTTAAAAACCCGACCCGAACCGTACCCGAAAATTTCCAAAACAAAAACCCGAACCAACCCGAAACCGCGGGTAACAAAACCCGAACCGAACCGAACCCGAAAATCCTAAAAATGTAAAACCCGACCCGAACCCGAACCCGACCCGAAACCGAACCCGACCCGAACCCGAACCCGAAATTTTGTAATGACCGTGTAAATATTATAACATGTCAAAATCTTAATATGACATTAACATTTGTGATAAAAATCAACGATGAATTTCCCATTAATAAATCCTATTGGAGTTTTACTCCTAAATTTAAAACCGTGTAAAGACTCAAACCTTTTGTCAAATAAGAAACGTTAATAATTGCCAACAAAAAACTGTTAAAAAGTTAAGAAGCTTACAATAAAGTAACTCTTAAACAAATAAAATAAATAATTAAATGCAGTTAAATAATGTTCAAATATATTTATGCATATACATACAGTGTTTGCAATATAAGCACAACATAAGGACATAAGCACACACCCAAGTATATGCCTCCAAATTAAATAAATTTAGTGTTTTCGGGTTTTTAGGGCCCGAACCCGAAAACTCTTTTTAAAACCCGAACCGACCCGAAACCGTTTGTTAGGCTTTGTCAAAACCCGCCCGACCCGAAACCGTACGGGTTCGGGTTCGGGTCGGGTTTACAGGGTTGGACCCGAACCCGCGCTCACCTCTGACACCAATCACATCTCCACTCTAAATATTTACGTTGTCTATTTAATTTCAGAGTAAACTTAATCAGTGTTGATGTTGCATAAATTGTAAGAATGCAAGTACAATTATGGCTGTGGAGGTTGTCATGTGTCTTCCTGTTTGGAATTTTATTGGGTTTGACAGCAACGTTCGTGTTGTGGGACGATGTTAGATCGTCGCCTTGTGAACAATTTAAATTCCCGATACCTTACACACTCTATGAAGTAACGCTACAACATTGCGAGTTGGCCTGGGTTGTAGTGTGGCGTCTGATTAAGTTCGATGTCCTGCGATGCATGCTGTTATACGTGGCATTTACACAAGGAAGTGCATTCTTCAAGTACATTTTCACCACGATTTATGGTAATCAAATAATAATAAAAGTTATAAGATTAATACATGTACCAATAAATACATGGTTATTTAGGATATGCAAAGTTGAATAAGGACCCACCTGAACCCCAAAAACAAGTTCAAGAAGATTACGACAACAATAAAGCCCATTTTACACTCCGGTGTCATTTTGAATTGTTAAAATCGCACAGTTTTGACGAGGATATAATATTCGATCCGGAACAAATTTCTCAATTTTTGATAAACTCCATTCACCATCCTAGAAGAACTACAAGAAATCAAGTCGGAAATGTAAGTGATTTTATTTAGGATACGTTGGGCAGAAATATTCTTTAAAAGTTTTCCTTCTGTTTTTATTTTAGAAGAATGTGTTTGTCACGAGAAAGTGGCGATTTATATTTCAGTCTTTGCCAATCACACTGGAAAAGGTACGCGATTCCACATGACATGTGAAACTCAATATTAGATTAATATTAGATTTATAATATGTAAAATTTGCATTGTAAATTCTTAATTTTGTTCCAGAAAGGATAGCCAGACCTTGAACGACACGGTGAAGGATGATTTAAAATCATCTCCGAGCAGTATTCTTCCTTACTTTTTGATGCAATATTCAAAAGTTCGTGTTCACGTTTCATACATAGGTACATAGATCTGCAAGATACTATATTTTTTTGCTGCTTTATTGAATGCCAACAAATCTCACTCAATGAATATACGAGATTTCTGTATTGATTTTATTTTAAGTTGAAATGTAACAAATTGCCGTCTAGAATAGCTTGATTAAACTGTTCAAACTAACTAATGCCCTTTTCAGATGCAGTATTATATATGTATGCACATTGCGTACAGGAATTGACTTATGCAAATATAAATATGGATCAATTATATAAAATAACTAATTCTCAGTTCATGTATTTTGTCAGTCTCATTTTAATTTTATTTTGGGATTATCAAATTAATAAAACATTTAAAAAAGTTTCTACTCTTTGCCTTTAGCATTCACAAGCATCGATATTCGCACATGACCGACATGTCTCAGTAGCTTGATCCCACAAAAGTCCACTTGGACAACTAAGGTTTTCCTTCTCGCTCATCGTTGCGGGGTCCAAATACCAGTACCGTTCTGAGCATTTGTCTGCCTCGTCTTGTCCCCACGCACAAACTGGAGGTATGTCGACGCAGGATTTGTCATCTTTGTACTTTTTCTGCGTCTCTGGAGACAAATTGTCCCATTTGTCACACGCCCCACCCACAGCAACACCTTCAGGCTTGAGGTCAGGGTTCCACCACAAATCTGAATCACAAGACTCGAGGACCCACTTTCCAGTAATTTCTAGCTTTGGGTCGGATGGGAAAGTACGATTGCATCGGTAAAAGTGTGACATTTTGTCCTTGCAAAATCTAATTAAAAAATTAGAATTATTATAAAATTGTAAAACAGAAAGGAACGTAATGAATAAAATTATGCTTAATGCATCTATATTATTTTACCCGCAATGTTCGCAGGTGTCCTTGTCGCAATCACCATCCACAGCAATACCCTCACAGTCACTGTCGCCAGATGAATCATCGCCATCGGTGGAGCATTCTGTGTCGGCAGGCCATTCACAGTTTCCTGTGGCCGCACTCCAACGTAGGAACGGCTCTCCAGCGCACTTTTCATCATGTTGGTTGCAGTCGGGACACGCCATGTCACTCGCCACACCGCCTGCAGAACAGGAGATGAAGCGTGTGCAGTCGGTGGGGTGGACGTGTTTCCCGGTCGCTTTCCCCGTGCAGTCGTAGTAGTCGATGTGGTCATGATTGGGGCGTTTCAGAGCCTTGTGAGGAACTGAAAGTTGAGACATTGTTTTTCATCGAGTACAAAATAATGGCTATTATTATTTACGTGTTTTAGAATTTCATAAAAATTTACCTGCAGCCACTGCCGCAATCGTGGCAAGAACTAGGAGAATGATTTTAGATGTCATGATCGCGAGTCTAAGGAATGACTTTAATTGTTTCTGCTATTGGGTCTAACAATCCCTTAAAGGAAATGATGTATTTATTTATCACGGGAGTAGATTTCTAGTGAGAGAATAAAAACGTCTGATGTCCTTTGAATCAAGCACGACGTATTTATACTCGCGATCTACGTCGTTTTTGGGAAAATGATGAGTAATGGGGGATTAATCCAGGTTCAAATTCAGCATTTCGACATGACGTTCTAAATTTAAGTAAAGGATTAAGCCCAATTTCGCAAAAAGATGGATTAATAATCTGCATCATCCGCGTGCAAATTGAAGGTGTGATCTCTATCCGACGCACGGGATAAATATTGACATTGACAAAGATATTTTCCACTGGGAAAACAAAGCTTTGATTTATTGCAGTGAGCCTTGCCTACCAATTTCAAGTGTTTACCGGATTTTTATATTTAGTGCTTATCGCATAAGCGATTTCATAAATTTTGATGGATTCAGTTAATTAGTGGTGATGTTGACGTGTATATTGCGCCATCAAAACGTTTCGAGAGACATTTTTATTTTAACCAGATTTCCTGTTGGATTATCTGTAGCCACTCAAACACCATATACTCGTCTGTACGTATGTAATTTGTCTAATTTGTCCAACGGAGAAAGTACACAATGAAAATGATGCAGTGATTGAATACTTGAGCGATTTTTGGTTATCCATGTATGTAAATATGCAAATGTCAATGTCAGGGATGATGATGATGCACAACTTTGATTGATATACTTATAATTCAGGTGGGATTTAGGTTTTTACACGCTCAGATATCGTCATTAATATAATCATATTTATTTCACTTTTCACTGAAATGTTGGGATCAAGGATCATATAAAATAGATGAGCAACACGCAATTAAATCCTGTTGATGAGTGAGTACCACGAGAACTCTTACAGACGAGCAACAAAGATATCAGTATTCCATTACAATGAATTGTTTTTGGACCTTAAGTCTCCTAATGGGCTTAGCTGCCATTGGGTGGGCAGGTACATGACTTTTCTACCTATTACATATTCTTGATCTTCTTAACGTTTCTTCAACATCCTTAAAAATTCTAAACATATTTTGTCCCTTTAGCAGCTAAAGAAAATCACCACAAAGATAACGTGGCACCTAGATCCAGACCAAATTACGACCACATTGATTACTACGACTGTTCAGGAAAGCCCAATGGGACATATGTACATCCAACTGATTGTACAAGATTCATAATGTGTTCAAACGGATATGCATCCGATATGGCTTGTCCAGACTGTGATCTTCCCAACACGCTCTGCCACGGGTCACCATACCTGACGTACGATGGGTTCAAAGAGAGATGTGAATGGCCCAAGATCACTGAATGCATTGTTGACCCACCTGCAACTGATCCACCCACCACCGACCCACCGGCGACGACCACAACCACCAAAAAGACAACAACGACGACCAAGGAACCCACTACGGCCACTCCGATTACGATTTGTCATGGCATAACTGCTGGTCACACATGCGAAAAAGATCAATGCCAACCTTGCGGATACTGTTGGAATTTGCACTCCTTCTACTTTAGGTGTCAGCGTACCTTTCCCTCTGACCCAAAGTTGGAGATAACTGGAGAGTGGGTTCACGAGGAGTGCGACCCTGATTTGTGGTGGAACCCTGACCTCAAGCCGAGTTCCGGAGTGGAAGATGGATTTGGTGGGGCTTGTGACAAATGGGAAAATCTAAGCAACGCCACGCGTGATGGGTATCTCGCAGACGAAAATTGCGTTGTCATTCCCGACGTTTGCGAATGGGGTCAGGACGATGATGATAAGTGCACTGGACGTTATTGGTATTACGACCCCAAAACGATGGAAGATAGAGAAGATTTAGAATGTCCCGACGGCCTTAAATGGGACCAGGCTAGTGAAAATTGCAGGAAATGTGTTGATGGTTGCGAATGTTAGTTAGTGTATTATTTGTAAAATGTAATCATAAGAAAACTTTATTATTAGTATTTTAAATATTTATTGGGTTGTTTTAATAAAAAATAGAGGTTTGCATATGGTACTGATTAATCTGTTTTAAACAATTTTATGAGATTCATGTATGAAATGAACTGTATCATCTCTTACATTCACAAATACAACTTGTTACAAAGTCAATAGATTAATATGCCTTGATAGATATACATACATGTGAAAATTGTATATAAATGTTCTAATATTTTTACAGGTTTTTATCACATCTTTATCCCATTTAGCCAGAAAATGAGTGAGAGAATCGCCCACGTGCTGTAATTAGCCAGCACTCTAAATATATTACTCTTGTAAATGGCAATAGGTAATGATCTCAGGAGAAAATACGACAGCTTATCTCTCCAGCTCATCCTCTCCCACAGACAAGCACCCTCAAAATTCACGACATTCAAGGATACAAAGAGTAAACTCTTAACTCTGACCAGAGGAACTTTTGAGGCTATATAATCCCACAAAAATACCACCGACTCGTCAGCTCGCTTTATGTTGGGCAATGCAGTATTAGTAAATATTTTCGAAAACAGTTCCCTGTCCGGGAAAAGGGCGAGGTTAAATTGGTCCTCAAGTCCGAGTAATCGACCAATCACGGCCCAAATGTGGAAATATCCACGAAGCCCATTACCTGAAAGTTAATATATGTAAATAGTTGAATTCATGTGTTTGACGATGCATGTTAATTTTGCTCGGAGATCTATGATTTTACTAAACTTATTCTTTATTCAGCAAAATATTTTGCAAGAAGTGTTTCGAAGAACTAAATACCTTGTTCTTCCCTGAGCCCACAAACCCTTGGATAAAGAAACAGGGTTGCTATCGCTCCAAATTGAATCAATGCCAAATTCAGCTGAGAAAAGTGTATCGGTGGATCCCAAGTCTGGAATTCTTCCGGGACCAAAGAAGTATCCACACGTTTCAAATCCTTTTGCAAGGCTTCAATTAGCTCCCCATACTCGACTGGAAATTTGAGATCACTTGGTGGAAATTCAAGCTTTTTGCCTAGACGAAATTTTATCCAATTATTTTAACGTTTGCATGTGTATGTATATACTTTATTCTGCCATTTCGCATATGATATATTATTCTGTCGTTTACATTACCAGTTGACTTGGTTGGCTCTGCAAACATGGTGTGCAATTTGTAGATGTACGCAGTTTGCTTATAGGCAGGACCTTCTTGGTTCATAATATTTTGGGTGAGCCATACCAAATTTTTGCGCAGGGCTTCAAGAAACACGGATCCTCCCACATTCTCAGGATAATAGCGTCTAAACTGAAGCTTAGACACAGGTTTTCCCGATAACCCGATCCACATTGAGGCAACCATTGAAAAAATCACGACTGCAAAGTTATGCCGGACAAAAGAATAACCTTCGTTTAATAGAATGGGGTCAATCCAGGGGATACTCTGAGGCGTGGCTATCTTGCCTCCTTCTTGGTGACCACTTATTCTCGGTGAGTTCACCAGAAAATCGTAAAGGATTTTTTCCCTCTTATCGACCTCCAGTTTGGATTCAAGGAATGACATTTTCTTATGGCTCAGAAAATCAAGTCAAATCGTGGTTTGTAAAACAATTGTTTATCCGAAACTGAACATGATAAAAAATGCAATTTCTAGAATGAAAATTATGTTTTGGTGGAAGGTAATTATGGAGTGAATGGAATGCGATGGAGGATAAGTAAAGAAGGATTTCAGAATTTCCAAAAGTGCAACTGTACGAAAACAGTGGAGTTCCCATACAGGTATGTTACACAAGTTCAGCAAATTATGCTGCACCAAACAAATACATAAATTATATTTTTCCCTATGCAAGGTAAAATCTGGCTGTGCGAATAAATAATTATTTCATGAAATTTTCCATTGCTACATGAGTATGTAGTATAAGTATGTAGGTGAGTAATAATTAGAAGATACGGGCGATAAGCCGCTGGTTCCCAAGCCCTGTCTCGGAGCACAGTTCATAAGCATATATTTATTATATATAAATACTAATACACATAATCTACAGTATGACATTTGCCATCATTAATATACATCAAGATACATTTGTTCACCTTTGCAAAATTGACCTAATCGTCACATTAAAATCACAAGGATTTGTGGGCACTAATGATTAAACAAGGACTTAACAATTATTTAGCATATTATTAATAAACTTCCCATGAATACAAGTGTATATTGTGATTAAAGTCGTTGTAAATTCGTTGCAAACAAATAGTTTGAATGCATTTGTACAAAATATATAATAATGAGTAGTTCCCTTTCTTTAATACAAGTATCTTAGCTGCCGTACAAATCAGGATCGTAGTTTGGCATAAGGGGATGTGCAATGAAAAAGTTGAGTGTACGGTTATCGGTGACGTTAGGCCCTGGTTTAAGATAAATGGGTCGTGGTAGTCGCCAGTCTGGGAACCAGCTTTGCCAATAGGAGCCATCATTACACGCTTCCATGTACCGGGACGAGAGTCCACCAACATATTCTCCAAAAAGGTGTTGATACACTGGATCAAAGTTGCCAAAAATATACGCTTTTCCATTGGGATCTGGATTCCCTTTTTCATCCAGCGGTTCGGCATGTGTCCTGGATAATTTATTACCAGGCCTTGTTGATGAAACCAGCAACGCATTATCAGTTAGATATATAAAAATACATAGTTACCACTGCTCCACAACCAAGTCTAGAAAGTCTGTCGTAAAATTAGCATGAAGGGCGACAAAGACCTTGTTATCCGGAAAGTCGCTAAAATGTGGAATGCAATATCCAATCACTGTTGAGTAAATACGCCAAAAGCTGTCAATCACCCAGTCGAGATCATAATCTACTTCCGCCGCTTCAATGTGTCGACCTAATCGAATTTTCGTTCCATTTCCACGAGCAACCGGTGGGGGTAGCCAGATTCGGTAGGGTTCCATGACTCGAACTTCTTTAATTGCTTCATCCAACTAGGGATGCAATGTGTGTTCATATGTATGGACACATGAGAAAACGATTTTTTTTACCTGAGACCTTGTATATTGCGACGAGTCGGGATTGAAGGCTAGTTGCTCCAGCTTTTGTTCCAAGTCTTTCTTTCTTTTGACATTGTTGGGATCTTTGGTACAATAGAGTGGAAGTTTGAATGCTTTGTCTTCACAATTGTTAAGTTCAGTGATTAGTTGTTTCCACTCCATGGTTTTGTCTTGGTTTATTAGCCTCCACTTTTCCTCTCCCTTTGGATTACTTGGGTTCGATTGTTGGGTTTCTGCACGCGATGCAATCCGATTAATGAAAAAAGATACAATGGAAATAATAGCGGTTGGCAAAGCAGGCGAAACTTGAGGGCAAACTTTTTTGTAAATATTGACAAATTGTGTCATCACTTTTCTTCGCCAACTTCCTGCGTTGAGTTTTGGATCAGTCCAGTCCGTCATGTTTTGAGTGAGCACATGACCGAGCAAATCACAAGCCTCGACACTATTAATAGTTTCATCACAATCCGGAACGGGAATGACCTCTTCGCAATCAGTCAGAGTTACTGACACTATTCCCGTCTCTGCGGTTGAATTTGGCTGCGCCGACGAGGGAGGTGGCGGTGAGGCATAAAATCCAGTGGAGTTGATCAGTCCTGGTATAAACCATTGTCCAGGACTTGGTTCTGAAATTGCTCCGGGATGCACAATCCTAAAATCTGGGAGCTGATTTGGTACCAAGGATGAGTTTATGACAGAGCCATCACCGTCTCCATTTTCCCCACACCCAGTCCAAGAAAACATGTCAGTGGACAAGTTTGGGTTCTGGGTGAAGACCTCGTCGAATTCGATGTCTTCGCCTTCTTGTCGTAAGCAAAACATGGGACTCATTCCCACCGTTTGTCGCCCGTGCACCTATAATTTCATGACACAACAACAAACCTGTAATACTCGCATCAACGTACAACCATATTATTTACTTACCACTCCGAATTCGTCATAGTGGGATAAATTGAAGCAGTAGGAGGATGGTTTTGGTGGAATTTCAATCTCGTCTGACCCCCACATTCCCCCATCATTGGTCACCATAGCGAAGGATGAGTCGTGCACTTCTGCCCCTGGAAATGAGACCCCTTGGGTAGTAGCAACCCCACCACTTGGAATGTTCCTTAAAAACTCGAGGGGAATCCGGAAAAAATTTCCAGGGAAGAAGAAAAATGCGGAGCGGCGATAATCCTCTGTTGATGTGAGGAGAAATATGCCAGTGAATTTGTTATGACCAACAACAGCAGATTGGTTATCTCCAGATTTGTAAGAGTCTGGATTTCGTCGATTAAAGGTGAGGCATCCATGAAAAAACAGACTTGGTTCGCCCATGGAAAAGTCATCCGTAGAGTAAATGATTGTTCTTTAATCGAGAAATTGCATATGAAAATTTAGTATGACGATATGATATAGTACACAAATATGTGTATACGTGAGAATAATAACCACTCACGGTCCATTGATGCAGACAACTCCAGAGTAGGGGCGGACATCGATGAACCCAGTGTTGTGAAGAGTTTGAAGGACAAACCCTTTTCTGGTGATTGAAATTCGGACGTATGGTTTGTAAAAGTCGGCAGAATCGCAATTCGGCAAGGTCCAATCTGGTTCTAACGCTCGGATTATTATGTGAAGAAGCAATAATGGAAAAAGTAGGAGACGTAAGCAGGTGGTACAACCCATCGTACAAGAATTTGTTCAAAACAACTTTAGTTGTTGTGCAATATTTGTATTTATAATCCATTGTAGTTAATGGTGTTCTTATTTATGCCTTGATTCATTGCTATTGCTATTTACACGGTGTGCAGGGTTCGGAAAAACCCAGGGTTTTAATCAAAAATTATAAAACCCATGGGTTTTAATGGGTTTTACCATGTTAATTGGGTTTTATTTGGGTTTTAATGGGTTTTATTGGGTTTTAATGGGTTTTATTGGGTTTAAATGGGTTTTATAGGGTTTTATTAGTTTTAAGTAATAACTTAACAAAAATAATTAGGAATTTGTATCTATTCGGAAATTATTTTGTTTTATAACACTTGAAATCTGTGATGCTAAAGGATGGAGTCAATTATTGAATTGTTCCGAATTTTCATATATTAGAATAGTAATGAAATAAACTGCTTTAGAATGAATTGAGATAACGTCTTCTAACGTATAGGAGATGTATTTAACTTTTAGAATGTAGTTTTTAAGTAAAACTCAATTAAAACCCAATAAAACCCATTAAAACCCAAATAAAACCCACTGGGTTTTATTCATTTAAAACCCATTAAAACCCAATAAAACCCAACCCATTAAAACCCAGGTCGGAATACCCTGACGGTGTGATTGGCGTGCATTGTCCACGGTAACTCAATATTGTTTCTAAATATATCTATGTACATAATAGGGCCAAATATAAACAATAGCATTAACTAAATAAATACATATAAAAATTTTGGTGGAGTATATTTAAAACAACATTTTAGTCACTTTTTCACATTCAATTCCAGTTGTTAAATAATTACAAAAGCGTATTTCTGAACTTTATTGTTACCAAGCGGCTATGCGCATACCTGTAAATGCATAATTGCTTGCATTTGTTTTTCCCATGAGGATGTATTGCTTGTAAATGAACTGCTGCACTGAAACCACACTGAACAGATAAAGTATGCGTTAATATTTGAATAATTATTATACCCTATTTATCGTTGTTATGAACATTACAAGAGGCTCATTAAGCGACCACAGATATTGTGCGCGTTTTTAAGGTATTAATATATATTAATATGAAATGACTGTATGCACAGTATGATAAAGTAAATGAATTTCGAAATGCTATACAAGAAAAAAAATCCGCATGGTATTCCAGTTAGTTATTATGTACTAACATTTTAAATTTCGATAGTTTTATTCTTGCTGATACTCCCACAAGACCCCGTTAACAACAACGTTTAGTGTAATAATATCGTCTACATTCTCGGCCACATAGTGTGGGTCGTTCTCGATACCATTGAATGTTGCATTTTCCAACTTTAAACCCACAAAGCTTGTTGAGGGATGACCGGGATAACCTTTCATGTAGCAGGTATAGGGTGCACCATCCTGCAGAGTTAGATTCTGTATGACGAAATCTTTAATAACTGGAACATAGCCTGCATCTGGTCCTTCCTCGTAGAAGAAGTCGACTTCAATAACCTGCTTGGCAACCCTTCCCACAGTTATGTCTCGGAGAAAGAATCGTTCCAGCAGTCCACCCCTGAGAGCGTTATTCTTGATCCTAATCGCCGTGTCCAAACTCTCGCTAGAGAGGAAAATTCGCTCCGCAAACACGTTTTTTACCCCACCGCTGATACACGAACCGAGCGTAAGTCCCCCGTGACCGTTTGCCATTCGACAATCCTGAATGACAATGTTTTCCGAAGAAACGTTGACCCTTCGCCCGTCCTGATTACGCCCAGATTTGATCGCTATGTCATCATCTCCGTTCATGAATGTGACGTTGTGAATCCAAACATCTTTGCAAGACTCTGGATCTACGCCGTCGGAGTTGGGGCCCAGACTCGTAATGTTGAGGTTGCGAATGACGATATTGTCGCAAAGGACAGGGTGGACGATCCACATGGGCGAGTTGGTTATCGTGATGCCTTCAATGAGTATATTTTTCGATCGATACGGCTGGATGAATTGTGGTCGGAGAAAGTGGCCCTCGCCAAAAACTCGTTCCTCTACCGGAGTCTCATCCTCTGCCATTTGAAACAACGCATTTCTAGCGTTTGTCTGATTTTCTGGCGTAGTTACCCAACATTGTCGAGACCAGGTTCCCTTCCATGGCCACCTAGAATTTTGAGTAAGTTTTAAATAAGGTACATGTATACACAATTAGTAAGAATAATAGGCGATTTTTTGGTATTTAAGTTTATTCACGGTGGAATTGAAAATAAAAAAATCGTACCAATTGTCACAATCGCAGTTTCCGTCCAAAATTCCCGAACCAGTCAACCCAAGGTTTTCTTGTTCGAAGGCATAGACAAATGGCGAGTAGTTAATGAGTTCGATACCTTCCCAACGCGTGAATACGAGTGGGTAGGCTGTTGTGTTGCGGGTGAAACGGATAATTGTCGAAGGTGTGGAAAGGTGCAAGTTTACATTGGATCGAAGGGTGATGGGACCTGCGAAATTAAAATAATTAATAAACCAGATCGTGAAGTTAGACGAATAAATAATTAAGCACGAACTTAATTACATGCAAAATTATTACCTGTAATGAATGTTCCATTGGGAACGAGTACAGTGCCACCTCCGAAAATGTTTGCGAGTCCGATCGCGTTCCTAAAAGCGTTCGAGTTAGCTTCCACCACGTTCGCTGGGGCTTCGACGTCGTCGGCGTTGGCTGACGGCAATGCTCCGTAGTCTAAGATGTTGAATGTCACGTCCGGGAAGGTGGGAATGTTGGCTTGAATTCGCGAGAGGATTGTGGGTACTTCGTCCCATGGATCAGTTTGACAACGGATGCCTGACAATAATTTAATGACATATGCACAAATAAAGTTTAAAATAATTGCAAGATGTAAGTACCAGATGTGCAGAATATCAGCAATAGTGTGAAAAATAAGGGGGAGGCGGATGGTTTACCCATTTTGAAATTATTTTTACTACTAAAAATGCATCAACGGTTGCGGCGTGATTTATACTGGATCGAATAACTATAAATAAGTTTGGGCAGCAAACAAAGTGATTGATTATGAATACTGACATGGCATTTTAACCGTGTGACTTAATCATTCCGCACTTATCAATTCATACCTTCTCCGTTAATCTCGCATATCACAAATTTGTAGTGTCGTGTGCTACATGTACGCATGCATGTTTTTAATCATTCGTGTATTAATTAAGTAGTAAATATAACATCTCATAGGGAAAAATTGACATGTACACACGCCTAGAAACTGTTTAATTTTTTGGCATATCTACATTATCAATCTCACTCTTGTCCAGCAAACAATTACAAAATATCAACAGGTTCAATATTCGTATCTATCACCTCACTTGAAAACAAAGTGATTGAGTGCATTTTTTATGCCGTGGAATTTTTTGCACACGATGACCAAGTTGAATAAAATCATAAATAATGCAATTAACTACATATTATCAAATTTAGGTGACTCAGTTAGATTGCTTATAGTTTGTTCAATATCCAAATTATAACCATGCTATATGCTAATACATGTAATAAGAAACGGGACATGTCATCCAAGTAATATTTCCATATGGAATGTTTAATGTTCATTTAATTTAGATTCTGTGTGGCCATGAATTATTTCGCACTAAGCCTCATTTCATTAATTTTATGATTTAATACGGTTTAATTTATCCCCAAATTCGCCGTAGATATACTTTGCGCATGAGACGATTTGATTAAAATTGATTGATTTGATTAAAATTTTAAATTTTATGTATTTCATGAAATGCATAAATACGATTGGGATAGTTTACTCGTGTTTCAAAGCTTGCATATGTACTTGTGTACATTTGACAATGCTCAGGAAAATTATGTAGACAAACAATTTATCAATACGAATTTATTTACAGTAAAAATTTAAAATACCAAAAGTGATGTTTAATGAATATGTACATATAAAAAATCACTAGTTTAAGTATTAAATCGGATATTTAGCCTACACTACTAAATTCATTCTTCTAAACTCTTATTTTACCAGATATTATATCCTCGTGCATTTGTTTGTCCATTTGAAGGTATTGCTTCCCATTGAAAAAATAAACTTTGTCCTGGATGAGATTCAAGTTGAATCCAGACTTCTGATACTCGTTCTTCTTCAGTTTGTACGTTCCTATAATTTTTGATTGCCATTATTTTTTAATTCGTCTAATTTGACAAGCCAAAAGTGTCAAAAAGGCCGTTACCCGTCATCTCAATTTCTGTGGTCAGGATGCGAAGGAAGAGTGGGCGAGCGTAAGACGGGAGAGATTTTATGACCCCGATTGCCAGTTGATGCAAGTCCAGAGAGTTTTCAGGGTCGGACATGACCGCCATTCCTGCACGCCCGTCGGTCCCAGGAACTTCCACGCCAAACACAGTGGTCCCCTTCAGGCCGCTGATTGTGCTGATAATTGACTCCACTTCGGCGGTTGAGCAGTTTTCTCCTGCAGAAGTATTAAGTAGTTTCCTTGCCGTATAGTAAGCTTTGTGCATTTTAAGGAATATATACAAAAAAAGATTGAACCTTTCCAGCGGAAAGTATCTCCTTTGCGATCTCGGAAAAAGAAATAGCCAAGCTCATCTTGCACCAACACGTCTCCAGACCTGAACCAAGAGTCCCCTTTTCGAAACGCATTTTCAAGAATTTTTCCACCCGTTGAGCTCTTATCAGCATACCTGATAAATAGTAAACAGGGTTAAATTTAATTTTTTTAAAGCTTTCTAATCGGACTAATTTTAATTTGTTCATATCCAAATCTGCACAAGTTCATCAATTTTGATCAATTTTGCAACTAAAACGTCAGATTTTCATAGTGAACTTATCAAATTTTTCAGGAATTATTAGAAATAATTGGAAACTCGAAGGAATGCGTGGGCTTCTTTTTACTTAATACTTAAATTGAAGTTAAGTTACATACATACCCTTCAAAGTCTGTCATGGGATTCTTTTTGATGATCCTTCCCACGAGTTCACCAGGTTCATCTTGTCCGCACTTATAAACGAACCCTGTTTTAGGATCACGAATGGGTTCGCCAGTCTCCTCGTCCACTTTGATAAGTCGGAGAGGAAGAACATTTGGAGCCCATATAGGAACGAATCCTACAGCTCCCAATTTATCGTCCATATTTGCTGGAAGAATTGACATGTATGTTTTAGTTACTATTTAAGCCCATGTCACTAGCCATATTATTGCAAGCTTCGAAATTGGCTGAAACTTTCCAGTAGTTTTTCTTACCCATGCCACAATTTCCTTCCGTGCTTCCATAACATTCTCTTATTTTGACTCCAAATCTGGTCACAAAGCTCCCCCAAATTTCACTCCGTAATCCATTTCCAAACATGACTCGAACTGTGTGTGCCTTATCCAGTGACGATGGTGGTTGAGCCAAGATGTACCGACAAGTTTCGCCAATGTATTGTGCAGCCTATTGCCAAATGAACAATTTGTAATATTTCATCGACATCATCTTTGAGATTTTTACTATGAATGATTTTGTAGTTGACTCACCGTCACTTTGTACTTGATACAATCACTCCAGAAACTCGAGGCGGAGAACTTTTTCCGAATTACTTGCGAAGTTCCGTAAATCAGTGTGATTCCCGTTCCAAACATAGTTCCGGATCCGTGATAGAGCGGGAGTGACGTGTACATGACGTCTTCACGCCCAAGACTTGATACGTAATAACAACTGGTTCCCATCAAGAAAAGTCGCGAATGCTTAATAGACGCTGCTTTTGGGAGACCTGGCGTCAGAATTCAGCATTATAGCCTAATATTACATACAAATAGCAGTTTATGATCTTCACCTGTAGTCCCCGAGGTGAAGATAAACATGGCGCGGTCATTGAAACCAAGGGACTCAGAGACAAGAGGAGGTGCTGCGTGGACATTTTGGAGCAATTGGTTCAGATCCGGGACAAATGAGAGAGAACATTTGGGAGATTGTATCTCTGACGTTGCTCGTGATACTTGCGACCCATCCACAAAGTAGTAAAGGGTTGGGTCACCCGCAAGAGCGCCTAAAGTTTCCATCAACTCCTTCAGAGCTGAAAGGTTTAAAATCACCATAAAACAATTGGTCCTACTACATTAGATGGTTTGCTGAGTTTAAAAAGTTGAATTTTGAAACCCACCATCAGAAAGGTCCGCACTGAAAATTACAGCTTTACAGTTCACAGCTTCAATGCAGTGTTTTAAGGGTTTTAGACGTAGGTTGTAATTAATTAGGGCAGAGACTACTCCGATCTGAAGATTTCAATGCAATCAATTAAAATTAAAAATCATCTCAAAAACCACTTGTTTCTTATTGCTTCACAAATTTCCATTAATAGTACGAGTCAGTGTGTACCCGAGAAAGTCCTAGCCATAAGGCTGCATATTCCGCACAGTTGTCCATGAAAATTCCAACCGTGTCGCCTTTCTTGAAGCCAAGAGATTTGAAGTAATTGGCGACACGATAACTCAGTTGCTGAACCTGAGAATTAGAATCTAGTACTCCGCACAACTTTAAGACAAGACGTGCATGAACACTGTTTTACCTCTTCAGTCGTCATTTTAAAATCTTCAAAGTAGATCAGAGTTTTCTTTGGGTCGCGTTTTACGACATGGTCAAAAGCCTTGAATATTGTATAGTTGCCATTCTGAAACTTTCGCAGATCTCGTTTTAAGCATAATAGAGTTGGAAGGACCCTAATATGTTTTACCAAAAAGAGGTCATGCATTTTATAATTTCCAAGTGTATGAATATTCACAAGCACTGCAAAACCTATGTATCATACCCAAAATCTCTCGGTATTGTTCTTAGAATGCAGAGAAAACGTCTTGGATTCCGTATAAATTTGTACAGTATCCAAACCCCAATGACGCCAAGCAGGAGGTAACCCCAGTTGGAGGGAACCACAGCAAAATTTTGGAACCAAACCCAAATTTGGTTGAAATCCATAATCTTAAATGTTTCCGTGCAATTAAAAATGTACTCTACTTCTGAATGGAGTCGGAAGAATGACTGGAATGGAGAATGCCACATATTCAAGAATATTCTGATGCGAAGATAATAAAAGTGAACTTTGAATCTTTCCGTATTTTGGACTTTATAAATACAGTCATGCGATCACATAACGCACTTTGCTCGCATGTATTTTTTAACATTTAAGGCACAATTGTAAGCGGAAAAAATTATCATGGAATACTGTAATAAATGATGTTTTTATGATTGTACGTATGTATCTGCATGCTGCTGCTCTTAATTAAATAAGGATTCAGTATAAATAAGCCTAGCCGAATGAAAGGGTTGTACTCTTCCGATTAGAGGGGTCATGAGATGTCAACTCGGTAAAGAAAACGCGCACACACAAGAATAAGTTTGTTTAAGTGATCGGAATCTGAATGTTAATGGGAAGGAAAATTATGTTTAAAATTATTTAGAATGAACATGTATTGAACATGTACACGTGCATCAACACAAACTAATGATTATTACGTATGTATAATAATAAGTATATGATTTGTATATCAACATTATTAATTTATGGAGTTATAGAATTATACTCGTATGCACATATAGTTATGCATACGGAACACCACCCGTATCGTCTGTAAAGATTTGCATTTCATTTCAGATCTTGAACCTGGATTGCATTTATTAAAATACTTCAGTTCATATTAAGTAGGACAGTTAAAAATGGAGATTCCAAATGGTAGACACACACAATAATTACGTGTATACTTGTATAAACCCATAACGCAGAATGCATAAACAAAATTTGCTAAATTTTCAGAAATTATTTTGTATAAATATGTGTCAAATTTTCAAGACGCCAAAAAAGAACGTTGAAAACGTATAAAATATTTTCGGGTTTTTAATGAAAATATAAAGTACGTTTTTTCCGAGGTTAATAGTAAAATAACAAATATATGTCCGACGTTTGATTACATATTACCGAACTTCTCGTTCTTGTTTACAACTGCAAATTGTAGGCAACAAAAAGTACGGTAAGGTTAGTCAAGGTGACATATTTACTTATATAAATAGGCCCAGATCCCCAAGCTCTGGGCATATTTTTAGCTAAAATATATTAGTATTCTCATTTTCTATTATTCACTTCATAAGTATGTATATATAGAATTGATTGGAAAAGCCACCCTATTTTTTACTTAATTATCCATTGATACTCAAAACATGACTCGATCTAACTCGAGATAAAGTTGAGCATATTATAAAAACGGATATCAAGTAGTAGCGGACGACATAACATCATCGAGAACTTATCCAAAGTTTTATAATTTGAAATTTAGACATTTGACATTTTATTGAGTTGCCACAGGTTTAAATCGACAAGATTTTCTGAGGCTCTCATTGATATGTATCACCAAATAATTTAAAACTTTGACCTAGGTCGGCCACCTTCGTATTTTGAACATCAAGTTCCTTAGATACATATCATGCAATGACAATGACAATGATGTTAAAAGCTTAATATTTTATAAAACCGACAGTGCGGTATATAGTATCTATGTATACCGCACTGACTGACGGACAAAGTGAAAGCCAGACAGACGGAGCGTCTACATAAAACAGCTTATACTATTTAATGACAAGTTGAGTATTGACTATACCAATTAAAGTAAAAACCATGCAGAACAAAATGATGCAAAGGCAGTTTTTATAAACTTTTAAATTTAGTTGGTCTATAATTTTTTGCAACTTTGAACCTTGTAAATCGCAGACTTTCCCAGCTATTTGTGTATATTTAATAAGTATGTATTGTACTGATATAACTAACCATTAACCAACCTGCCTATTTGCTACATTTGTACCTATGTCGCATGTAATTATTCCCTACTACTCGAAAAATAATAATTACGGATTTACAAAATGTTGATAATTACAGTTTTTCGTAGGCGGACAATTTTTGCTTGTTTACCATTCGATTGCATGACTTTTCTCAACATGAAAATCTACTCGATTTTTTTATTATTAATTTACATGCTTTACAATCAGTGCTGATCAGAACGACCCCGAAGTACAATGTCTGTGCTCCAGTGCAAAGCGGTGAGTCTCCTTGCGACGCTCCATGAAGATTTTTACCCTTTCGTGTATGGATGGCCCATTACTTTGAATCGGACCTCCAGACGCTTGGAAACTGTTCAAAATTACTCGTTTTTACGAAAGCTGTTTCCAACTGCACTAATGGTTTGCATGTTTGGTGGTTGCATGATTGGTTTGTTTCCTTCACTTCCGTCCGACCACAGCCCGGTGGTGGAAATCGAAGCACTGCTGCTCAATAATGACCAGCCATTCTTGTCCGTGGACCAATCTATGATGAAGTCCATGCGAAATGGGGTGTCGGCATGTATAGCGGTGCTAGCAGGTTCGGCAGCCCTGTGTGCATTCCATTTATTTTTTCGCCACATGGACGACATAATTTTGGGAACTAATCGGTTGATAACACTAAGCCAACGATTTTCAGTGCAGAGAAATGAGCTTGGAATATCGTTTAAATCATTTAAACGACATCAAAATTTTCAATGGATGGACTACTACTCGGGACCAACATGTCATGATAGGAAGACTGATGGGCTTGGTATCGGACTAATCGTGGCCGTGATCTCTTCGTATGTCGTCCCCCCTATTTTTAGCCTTCTACTAATGCTAGTAAATCTGGACCCACTGCTCCATGCTGTTTTATATTTGTCCTCGAACCTTGATATTTTTAACAAAGTGATACTGCTGATCTCAAAAATAATTGGTTCACCAATCCGGTTTAAACAAGGATTCTTCATGTGTCGACTCATCACTGGTTCTTTTGGACTTCACGAACTCATGAGAATTGGCATTGTCTCCTCAACTATAGGAATACTCTGGGGTGTGATGTACAATAGAAACGCATTTATTGCAATGAAAGTAGCAGAGTATGCGGTTTCGATAGGACGACAAGAACATCTCAGCCACATCAGATTGCATCGTCAACTTATGTTGTGCATTAACCTGTTGAAAGATGCTAATAGTGAACTTGCCTTCTTATTGTGTTCAATGGCTAGCTTTGCGATAATATTGTGCAATTTTGCCATCATTCACTCTGCAAAGCACCTGCCTTTCGGTATTACTGGAATTGTTGTATACGCGTCGTTGACCATGATCACAGTGCTAATATCCATTCTCTCATTAATTACAAAATTTAATGGACAAGCTGTAAACATTTCCAGAGTGATGACCATGGGTGCGTCCCAACTGCGTGGTTTTAAACGGAAACTTGTGGTGCGAGAGATTTTGGGAATTCCACATTGTTTGATAGGATTGTCTGTACTGGGACATTTCCTTGGAAATTTTACTAAATTTACTAAAATTATCGTAGTTCGTGTAATTTTTGAGTCTACTCTGAATGTCTTAATCACATTCAAGTAATGCGTATGTAATTTAATTAATTAATTTTGACTTCATTATAAGCAATGTTTGCTCAGCCTTTGCTGAGAATTAGTGTGAAAATTGCTTAAAACCAGATAAAAATGAGCACTATACATAAGAAGCTTAAATTCTTTATAAATTCTATTCTCTTCATTTTGCATAGTTTTAAAAACATAATTTGTACAATTCTTGATTTATATAATATAAAGTATCAGGTAAAACAAGTACAATCGCACAATCGCACATTTCCATGATTAAGTATTTTGTCTCTGGAAATTAGCATTATTTTCTAAATTATTAACAAAATGTACATACTGTCGTGAAGTACCAAACTCGCACCACTTGAGTTAAAAAAGGTCCAAATAAATGAATTGTTTGATTGATACATTATCATCCATTATCTCATGCATTCTGCATAAATTTGTATATGGCCTGCTTAATTTTGTTATTATGAATTGGTCAGAAATGAGCATTGGTCAGATAAGTACGTATCTGTATTCTGTATCATTGTGAGCAATTGTTTGAAAGTGAAAAGAGACATTTTGATTAGGATTTTTATGTAGTTTGTTACATACATGAGTAATTTCTGCGATTATGGAAAAATGTTGTTTTTTACAAATCCAGCACACTCATCAATCAATGAGATTATTTATGTATATCGGTCTTACTGACCATAAATACTTTTCCATCCTTTCTTTCCATACCTTTTCAGCCAGTTCTCGAGTACAAACACCTTTTGCCTAAACTTTATTAACACCAAGTTTAGTGTTCAATTAGCTTTGCTGTGGCACTGTTGTTTTGACTTGTTCATCCAGTGCGAGCTACATTTTGTTGTGCAAAATGCATTCCAGAATAATTATCTGGACAATGGCCATGCTCATGGTCTCGTCAGTTTGGGTAAAAAAGGCTCCGACACAAAATTTAATCCAAAGGGTTGGTTTTTTGTACTTAACGTTGACCTTTTGCAGGGTGAGCAAGAACCTCCAACGCTTTACGAGTACTTTGCGAGTCCCAATGGCGAAAACGTTACCGGACTTGTTGCAGAGATAGATGGGTTCAAGTAAGTGTTATGCATAGCTATACCTCCTGAAAACACAATGTGTATAGGTACTTACAACCGAAATAAAACATACCACATATATATTACTTCTCAAAGACTGAATGCGAGACCACTCCGAATTATTAGTGGAGCAATGCATTACTTTCGTATCCATCCAGCACTTTGGAGAGATCGTCTTCGGAAACTACGAGCGTCTGGTGCCAACACGGTATGTTCAAACTAACTTTCAGCTTTCAAGCGCTGCACGAGTACCACGAGTTCATATTTTAAGTCATTAATACGAAAGTCCCATCTTTCAATCGCAATATTTCTGTAACTCTTAGATATTTTACAAGGATTATCGTTAATGGCTTACAGGTAGAAACGTACGTAGCATGGAATCTTCACGAGCCGAGGAAGGACGAATGGGACTTTGGAACGGGGGAGAATGATAACTCAGTCTTCCTCGATATTCGGACATATATCCAAATGGCGAAACAGGAAGACTTGTTGGTCCTCTTGAGGCCGGGTCGTACGTAACCCGTAAATTTTTATTCATAAACCTAGTTTTAAATATAACATTGGACACTTTTTACAGCGTATATTTGCTCGGAATTCGAGTTTGGTGGGATGCCCAGGTATGTATGAATGTAGAATAATTTCGCGGCGTTATGTATACAGCAAAATAATAATGCCTCATTAAAAAAGTTACCTGCTCCGAGACCCCGACATGAGGGTGCGCACTGCTTACCAACCGTATCTCGATCGTGTCAAGGTTTATTTAGATAACCTTCTTCCACTTGTTGCTGATCTCCAATTCACTCGAGGTGGACCCATTATTGGGCTGCAGGTAGAGATGATTTTTGCATGCACATTTATATTCGTATCTACATACATACACATGATGGGAGTTGGTCAAAGCGTGTGTATGATAATTCTAACTTTGATTTTGATTCGTCCAGTTGGAGAACGAATATGCCTCATTCGATCAAATAGAGCTCGAATATTTGGAATTTCTTCAGCAAACATACTGGGACAATGGAATTGATTCTCTTCTCTTCACGTCTGACGGGGCATGGAATGGTAAATAGATATATACTTTTTGCATGGTTTACGACAATTTCAGATTTTATGTACATACTCTCAGCCTTAAACTATAAGTATGTTTTTTTTGTAGGTGACAAGGGGAGCTTGCCAGGAGTTCTTAAAACTGCGAATTTTGGTGGTGATGCCGAAACAAGTTTTAATGATCTTCTCGCCTTCCAACCCGATAAGCCAGTCATGTGCATGGAGTTTTGGTGTGGATGGTTTGACCATTGGTTCGAAAACCACAGCACAACCACGGCTGATGGCAAGTGGAATACATACACAAAACATAAGAAAATGCTTATATTTGTTACTGATTAAAGCTATCCATGTGTTTGAATTTTTCAGAGGTTGCGGAAATTCTAGAAGTTATTCTTGGCCCAGTGTTCAAGGGTTCTGTCAATATCTACATGTTTCATGGATTAAGTTTAATTTAATTTAATTTAATTTAATTTAATTTAATTTAATTTAATTTAATTTAATTTAATTTAATTTAATTTAATTTAATTTAATTTAATTTAATTTAATTTAATTTAATTTAATTTAATTTAATTTAATTTAATTTAATTTAGGGCACTAATTTCGGGTTTAATGCAGGAGCAAACCATATTCCTGAATACGCACCGGACATTACAAGTTATGGTATGACGGAAAATGTAAAAGCACGTAACAATTGAAACTGAGAAGGGTGAACATTTTCAATAGACTATGACGGACCACTTTCGGAAGCTGGAGACTACACCCCAAAATACTATCGCATCATGGAGGCATTTGCCCGATACCAAATCCCAGTGTTGAAACGACCTCCGCTGCCTTTGCAAAGTCGGAAGTTTGCTTATCCCACCCTTCCAGTCCAAACCTATCTGTTGTACTCGGATATTCTGGAAAAGGCCCCAGCTTCCAACAAGTTCCAAATACAGGACAGAATTTCAATGGAAAACTTTCCAATAAACGAAGGTTCCGGACAGAGTCAGGGGTACGTCCTGTACAGGAAGGCAGTCAATATCATGGGGAGCGATGTTACCCGTTTTTCAGTATGACCAACATTTTTCGATTCTGCATCCTTTCAAGTCAATATAATTTTCTATAATTTTGTATTATTGCCACCTTCAGGCCGGTCGTGTTCGTGACTTTGGTCTTCTCATCGTGGACGATGAACTGCAACCTTTTCCCCGAGATGAAAATGGCACGGTGCAATATTGGCTAAACTCTGTGCAAGAATACGACCTCACGCTGGCCGAGGGGGAACACACCCTTGACCTCTTAATTGAAAACATGGGTCGTGTCAACTTCGGCGCGCTTTGGAGTTTCGATCAGCATAAAGGACTTGCAGGAAATCGAACCGAAGTGGAATACTATCACTTGAATGGGGAAGAAATCAGAGACATCGACGTGGTTTCACTGGAATTTAAGTCGTCCTGGGTTAAAAAGTATGCACTACAGAGTAAAGTAAATTAATGTTTAGCGTTAAGCCATGGGAAAAAACAGGGGATTATTAATCCCGATATGGATAATCCTGATACTAATTTGTCCTGATATCAATGTTACTAGTTTGACTGGATGGAGGACGAATGATGGCGCAGTCCCACTTAAAGCCCCCGTTCTTGTCCAATCCTCCTTCGTGATTGATGGGCAACCTTCGGACACGTTCGTGGACATGAGTGGCTGGAGCAAGGGCATCGTTTTCATCAATGGTTTCAATTTGGGAAGATATTTCAATGTCGGACCACAGCAAACGCTGTATGTACCTGCACCATTCTTACGATTTGGTGAAAACACGGTGAGTGAGGCGACATGTCGTAAACAGTTACAAAATCTTTGATAAATGTTTGCATATACTTTTGTTCTCAGATAACGATTTTTGAACAACTGCAACCTCACGATGAAATCAAGTTTTCAGCAACTCCCAATCTGGGGCCTACAGCAGTGAGGAAATTTGGACAATACGGACCGTTACATTTAACTCAGAGGGGACACTAGTTCACTTTTGTTAATTATTATCCAGCACTTTTTTTCCCTAAATTATTCTATAAATTACTGAGCATAAAGCAATAAATATTCCTACTTAATTGTGAAAATGGGACGCTATTTCAATCTATAAACTGAAATTATCCCATTCTCGCCATATTTTGGGCTCCTTCTGGGGTGCTTGATTTTAAGAGCAATAAAAATTGACTTATTTTTGGTACATATATGCAACATATAATTTGCGTTTACCAAGTGCAATAATTTGAATAATTATTTTTCATGTTTTTTTTACATCATTCACTCGAATTTAGCCGACTTTGAATTTTAATAATTGACTGAATACAATTTGAATTAATGATTACTACAATTGAAAAATCCGCCATTTTATTATTTAAATGAAATTAATATGAACGTTGTATTTGTCGTAAACACCTTTGTTTGAATACCAGTACTTATTTATGAAACATCAATTTTGTTTCGGACTTGTTACATAAACTGACATGCAACAACTATTCCGGTGAAAGTTGAGAGTCAAGCCAAGTGTCAATTTTAGGACCCCACGTGGCGATCCAATCTGCATTTGCATCTAATTGTGTTCTTGAAGCGGTGAGCGATGATCTCACATTTCCGTCGGTAACCACCTCCAATGCGACCTCAATAAAGCTCCTCAACTGAAACAAAGTCACCGTCATTAGCTGAAGTATACACAATGTACTTGGCTAGAAGGTGCCTCTATATTCTACTTAATGTAAATATGTCACGTAATTTAGGCATGACATAGGATTTTGCATTACATACCTGTGCACTTGTAGTGGTTTCAGACGTATACGCTGCCATTGATGATACCATGCTACTTACAGAACTCTCTCCAAGTCTAAAAATGTATAAATTCTTAAACATGTAAGATTGGTTAACATGAGAATACATTCAGGACCACTTACACGGCAATAATTCGTACGAGATCGTTCGCGAAATAGTTAATGATCATTGCTCGATTCACTGGATTTTCTGTGAGTCGTTGAATCAACTGAACGGCGTGAGCTGTAGTGATAGGTGACGACGTCGATGTCGCCAATTCCAGCCAGCTATATACACATTTGAGATTAGACGTTCTGAAACTTCTTAAATACACGTGATAAAGCAATTATGATAATCTTGACGTACCCCAAAATGTAGCTGGGGGCATCACAAGCTAAAGCATTAATGAAAACTGTAAATCTTTCTGCCCTGCTTGCTCCAAGATATTGCTGCAAGAGGAATCCTTTGACGCTAAATTCTCCCGGAAGATTGAGGGAGTCTGAAATACTAACGGCTTTACAGAAAATCATGGGCTGGAGGTCAGCAGGAACCCTGAAAAGAGTATTATTCCTATAAATTCACATCCTAATAAATTAACATTACTGCTAATAAAGATTTCATGTCGCAGTATTTCTATACCCGGTGCCCTCAGCCAACTTTATAGCGTAATCTTCAGCAAGAGTAGTGCATTGTGGGGAACCAAGGGCACAGGCCCAATCCAGTAATTGAGTTCGAAGAATGATGGTCACCGGACGGTCTGATGGTAGTTGTTCCCATCCAATTCTGGTCAAGGCGGGGGTGACTTTGCTCAGCATGTAGGTCTACAGAAGGAGAGAATAAAAATGTACGTGCTGTAGCAAAATTTAATGATAAGATAAATGAATGCTCTGATTTTTTGCTAACCGAAAACTTTGTATAAAATGGAGTGTCAATCATTCGTCGGTTTGGAGTCCTAAGATTATTGAAGACTGTTGTCCATACGGTATTTTCAGCCTCGTTTTCAAGATATTTAGTAAGCTCAAGGGCTTCCTCGATTGGAACGTAACCTATTTAAACTTAGAGACTTACGTACATGTATTATCCATGACTTGTTTTAACTTAATTTATGGAACCAAACCTGCAAAGGCACTCTTGAAGTAGTCATCAATGAGTTGGCTTCTACTCGCAAGGCTTACCACGGAATGGTCACTCAGTAATTGGACGTTAATCAATTGGAAGAAATGGGCGTCGTAGAGGACTCGATAGTAACCTAGATAGTATGGATAATTAATAAATAATACATTTTAGCGTGCCAAATTATGCGCCTTTGTAATAATAGTCTAACTTCTGGCATCAGGATTTAAAACGATCCAGTCCGTGCCGGCTCCAAAAATCAAATGCGTTGCGCTAGCAGTTGAGTTATCCAACCAAAACTTTGGCTTCCAGTTTGTGTCAGAAAAGTCTGGATTAGATTTCGTAGCATATGAGATTGGGACGAACCACAAATCATTGGCTTGCGTGCTGTTAGCATTTCTTTGTTGTTGAGAAAGTCGGAATTTTTCCTTTGATAAAACACGAGGTCCAATTAAAATGCGAACACAAGTTAAAATCCATACACATTTGTTATGTAAAATAAATATATGCAAATTATTTTACCTGAGAAATTAGGACAGCACTCCCTCCAATCCACGAGAGAGTAACTATGGGAAATCCTGATTGAAGGGTCCAAGAGTCCAGAACAGCCTTCACCGGATATTGCGTCAGAGTTCCATCGATATCCACTTGTGCTTGTAGTTCTTCAAATAATTGGTCCTGGACCGTATTGTCGTAGGCACTATTCATGTAAATACATACTCGTGTAATTATCCTTTTGAAATATTCGTTTTTGTAGTATTTATTACTATTTATCTAAGTAGTTTCTAATCGCTGCAATAAAAGTGGCTTCACCCAGGAAACTTTGCATCATTCTTATAATTGAGGCCGCTTTTTCATATATGATCCGACTTGGTATGCCCCCCAGTTCATCAGTGACATTGCTTCGTATAGGCTGAGTGGTTGCACCGGCGTCAAAATCCATGGCTAGTTGAATCTTATCAATTGGGTATCGGTTCATTGCATCAAAATCGCTGCCTGTGGCGCTTGCGGCTCCAATAATCTCCATGTACGAGGCAAAGCCTTCGTTCAACCAGATGTCATTCCACCTAATTTAACGTCATTTGTTAACAAAAACCTACTTTAAACAAAATCAGCTTTATTCGCTTAGACATCATGGCTCATGTACTAACCAGTTGCAAGTAACAAGGTCACCAAACCTGTGGAGCAGAGGTGTCACTCATTGTATTTAATTATAATCTAATATACATAGTTTTCTACACCACCGTAAATTCTTAATAGGTGCACGTAATCTGTCGATTTCTGCCCATTAAAAAACTACAACGACTTCAGAAATGGCAATTCAATATTTGTTTAAAAATTTGCAGATGTGTCAGCTTTGTACAATACCAATGGGACAAGATATGTATTTATCATACCAGTGATGCGAAATTTCATGGGCTGTGGAGAAATAAACAAAGCGAATGTTAATTTGTATTGCATTTTACAAGTGACATGAAAAAGGTACCAATGACGGCGGCTTCTCGCCACTGTTCCATTTGGGTCGACTCTCCTTCAAAATATATCAAGTAGGCAATGCGATATGTATTCAAAGCCCAGTTCTCCATAGCTCTATAAAAAATGGAACATTTTGACTTGTAATAGCTTATAGTTCGTAGAAAATGCAGAAAAAATATCCTCACCCTGCCGCAAAATCCGGAATCGCTGCTGAATCAAGCTTTGAAAATTGATACGGAGATTCCAAATAATTTTCGAAAAATGACACAATTTGGGCTAGAATATTACACGGTGATTACAGCTTTGCCAATTAAACAAAGTAGCCAGATGTGTACCTGCCGATCTTGCTGAGAACTCTGCAGTGATACTGTTTGTAATAGTGGGAGGACCCCAAATCTAATCAGAACGAGAAAATTACTTAATTCTTTGCAATAAATAGCATATCACATAATTAAAAATTCCCAGTCAGCCGAGCAAGTGTTTAAAACACAAGTAATCATTGTGTAATTTACCTTAACATCATAAGTGCTGATCCCTGTTGGGGCGTCTACTGAGACAAAATCTGATATGACCATTGCAACCAAATATGTTGGCATGCTGACAGTTACCTTGCGTTGCAATTTTCAAAATCTTAATACCATCAAAATGAGATGATCATTACATATTAAATAAATAATAACTAACCTCATGAATATCCCAAAACCAGTTTTCCATTCCGGGACTAATAAAATAATCAGAATCAAATCGTAATCCTCCATACATTGCATAGGATAGCTTACGAATAAGAATTTTACAATTTGTACTCACATTGGAACGGTTTCTTTGAGGGGAGCATTTGCTAAGCTATGATAACCCTCCGCCCGACCAATAGTTACGTTGAATGTAGATCTGAACCCAGGTTCATCGAAGCAAGGAAAAGCCTGTCGTGCCCCAATTGATTGAAATTGCGTGGTTGCAAGCCATCTATTTATTAATTTCATGGAGACGATGATATGAAATGTGCACTCAATAAAATAAAATAGTCCACGAATTAACTTACTTTTGCTGTCCCGCAGCATCCAAATAACTACTTCGGTACAGGCCTGAAAGTCGGTTGCCCACTTTAGCCGTAAAGGGGATGAATACTTCGTACTCAAGACCGGCGTCCAGACTGCTTTCTAGTTGCATGGAGTAAGTCGACATTGACGAGTCGTTCGTGTGAGTGACAATTCGGATGGAAATACTGGTTTGGACAATTCGTACCTGAATTAGCAGTATTAATAATATTTAGTTTTATGTTAATCTATATTAGTAGTTATTTATACCGTGACATCGTCATAATGAATATCAATGTCATTTGAGTGCAGAGTAATGTTTGTGGTGGGAGTGACACAACGGAGTCGTATGGTGACCTCGCCGGGTGCAGTAAATTGTTCAGGGTCGTCCACAGGGAGGTTGATGATTGGACGAATTTGGACATCGTAATGCAATGGAACTAAATCTTTGGAGAGACGCACCCCCGCAAGTATTCCATTAGAAGGAGAAATGTCCTCTTGGAACCCGGTAAATGGGGATAGTTGAAGAGGGGGCGAGCCAAATGCGGCCCCAAAAAGAATTAGAAAAACAAATGAAAACGCTTGCATTATGCTAAGAGGACTTTTTTTTAACCCAATTTCAGTGTGACCACAACCAATGTAATGTAAACTGTTGGCATAAAGTAACGTGATCCACAGAAAGCGAAGCCGAATTTATCAAGTGTGAATCGGGGAATCACACCGGTGTTTTGTCCTGTCAGATTAGGAATGATTTATGTTGGTTCCACAAGTTAAATGTTTGCCAAGTGTAATCTGACTATTGAAATTAATATTATTTAAGCTTGACACATTAACATAATTAGCATTAAATAAATTGCAATATGTGAATAATTTAATTGTTGTTAAAAACAACATATAATGCATAATGCGTTCAATTTGAGATTCTCAAATTAATGAAACAAAGACATCAATGATGCCAATAAATGCATGTCATACATCCAGGTGTACAAGCTAGATAAGTAACTAAACAACGCCAGTCCAATTGACGATTTTAATTATAAATGATATTTTGATATACTTTTAGCTAAGTCTCGAATTTATTTATTATTTATTTCCGAATTGAAGAAATACCAATAATTTTTGCCAACGTTAAGCCGTTCCATGAAATTAAATTTGGGGTGCAGCTGTTACAGGTGCTGAGACCTCAATTTCGGCACTGACGCAAATTTCCTCAAGCCGGATCCCAGCTCGAATAAGATGAGCCTTGAATAACAATGTTTCACCAGCGAAGATATCGTTGGGGACGATCGTATCTGTGAAATACATTTACATTATTGTGCGCATTATCAACTTAAAAAGCTTTTTTGCTCAAAAAAAAAAAAAAAAAAATTGATACTTACATTTCGCAGTATATTTAAATCCTGGCTGGACACTGGAATTGGGAATTTCTGCTTCAAGAACAGTCCAACAAAATCCGGTCAGAACGCAGATGTCTACCACGAGGATCAGCGCCGGCGCAGCTCCAGCTAATTGCAATTAGACATATACATGTATATTTGCCTGATTTTTAAGATTTAATTAAATATTCATACATGGCAAAAAGTCCATTTCGCATTCATAAGGGGTTCCGGCAATAAAATTGCAACGACCATCACAATTACTGATTCGAAGCTCAACCAGTGTACCTGTTGAGAAAGCAAGAATTTAAGTCAACATAAAAACTCTAACTGACTCTTTTTTTTACACTGCGTAAAAAATATCTTATCATATTTCCAACAGTACCAACACCGCCTGAAAGGGAAATTTCAAAAAATTATCAATTTGCAAATTAAAATGACATCTTTTCTTTAAGAACAAACAATGCAATTTTTGTCACATACCACAACGAGTGATGGGAGTAACTACTCCGCGTGGTTGCAATTGGCGAGAAACTGCGGGGCTGCCATTACATGCGCCAAGAAGGCACAAAGCCAACAAGCCGTAGAAAAATTTCATGTTTTGTTTCGGAATAGAAAAGTTTTGAATCTGTAATTCACAAGATTTGTCAAGCTACTGGGCTTTCCCAATTTAATTTCTGTGACCACTTTGCCTACTTTTGCTGATAGTGATGTAAATTCAGAGTATTGCGCAAGTCGAATAAAGCGATCAATTACAGGGATTGAAACTCGAATGGATAAGCCTGTCAGGCTGGGAATCCTTGTATTAAATTCGCCTGATAAAAGCAACAATTATGCGTTCCAGCGTTACTTACATCGAGGCTATTGTGTACATTCAGCATTGGTTTCCATGCATTGTTTTGATGTATGCATATGGGGTAAGCACGTTGACAAGTAAGTGTGTCTCGCGTCATTATTACGTGGGTTGTTATCAAACGAGTCGCTTGATAATTTTGGACAAGATATGAACGTACCAATTGAATGTATCAAAAATATCTTTTCGAAAATGAATGGCAAACATATGTAAAAGCATGTTAATACCACCTGGTCATTAGCAGACAACACTATACGGACATTTGTGCGATCAAGGGCAATATCTGAGTGCTGATATTTTTTATCCGAACCACGAAGGATTTCTGATTCAATAAATCACATAATATTTAAATCGTACAATACTTACATGTATAGATTTGATGTGGTAAATCTTTAAGAGTGTGCTCCCAGATTTAAAAATTTACTTACAAGTCCTTATGCATAAATGAAAGAATATTCGTTTGTAATATGGTGGATAAAAATTCACGCCTTTGAAAATTGGGCCCTAAACAACGTTATAGTTTTTATTGTACATTCCATCAATTTCGGATTCAATATAATCATTAAATACACAAGTCCATTCCTTCTAAATAGCAGTAGCTCTAAACCAGTATGAGATAAGCATACCGAAAATAATTGTTGTATAACCAACGTTCAGTTTATTGACTTTATTCATACAGAGGCCAAACCCATCCTTCGTTGCTCCCGGTCGACACACCAGACCTTGAGTGCAGAACACGGTCTTTGGGTTGTGGATGTCACAGGCAGAATTCCTGATGCTCAGACATTTTCGAAGGGTGGAGTCCCACACGGTGTTCAGCTGATGCGTTCCTCGTGTCCAATGTATTTGGGGACGAGCTGGACATATGCACTTTCCCTTGTCGCAAGTTAGCACCGTGTTGCCTCCATCGCATTCAAAATTGCTGACACAACTCCTCCCTTTTGACGAGTGAGAATGAATTCAGTACATTTCAATATGATGGTTTGATAAGTGTCTGTATAAGATATTAACAAAATGTGTTATCTTGTCCTACCTTCGTGGGGTGGTACAGCTGCAGGTTGTTGCACTTGTGGTGGGTATGGCACCTGTCCGCCCTGTCCTTGCAGTGGGTATTGAGGTTGTGGATATTGTTGCTGAGGGTACTGAGGGTATTGTTGTGGGGGGTATTGTTGCGGAGGATATTGTGGTTGAGGGTATTGTTGCTGTGGTGGGTACGGCTGCTGCTGTGGGTCAGCAAAAGTTGCCACGAACGCACCAAGCACCAAGAGCACTTGCAGCACGGAACACTTCTTATCCATATCTAAACCAATTTCTTAAACTGCTAAAGAAAAACAAATTAAATACATTGATTTGCAAAACAATCAATCTAATTTTGTACGCATACTTTTTTTTTACCAGCAGCAAAGAAATGAGTAAGCAATATTTTTATTGTAAGCGCAATAAGTTAGTAATGAATGGATATGTACTTTGGGTTTGGTCGGAAGTTGAGTATGTAAAATGGAAATGTAGTTAGATTTCTGGACCTAATCCAAAAGATCATAATTCTTTTCATATTGCAGATGTAGAAACTATTTAGGATCAGACATTGATTACATAATTTATAGATTTACCTTAATTTCTAGTGCAACTGGTACAAATACAAAGTAAACACTTAGTACAAATTGAACGCAAAATAAAATATTTACTTGCTATGCGAGTGCTCCACGTTCTATTTTTAGATATTTCCTATCCTGTTAATCCTTAACATTGGGATTTGATGATCATGTAGTACGATATTTGCATACACTATGCATATGTGTGCATGCACTGTCGAAATAGCTTGTCCTTTTTGCATAAAAATTAAATAAATATGTACAATTTGACTTCTTTCCATCCTCGCATTGTTATTTTAGTGTATCCCTTAAATAAATATGATTTTTCAGAAATTCTATGCTTCGATCGAGAACTTGCTCCTGAGTGTAGAAAGTATGATTATAGGCCCCGACTGAAAATTAATTCAGAAGCACATTTTTTCTAAATTTGTAAATTAACCCTTAGCCGAGGAGAAACGGTAACTATGTTTGGCGTTGCTGCGGGGCGTTTCGATGACCACAATTGTGATCATTCGGGAAGCCAAAAAATAATTAAAATCTGACAAGTTCTAAATCTGGAGACTTTTATCATATGAGTTGCTTAGATTCGGGAGGATTTTATAAATGCTCAATACGGGAGAACGGCAAAACACGTTAGGAGAAAATTAGCTGCGGGACAACGTCAATAAATATGGTACTTAAATTGATGAGTATTAAAATTTTACAGTGTAACATTGTAAAGCAAAGTTGCATTATAATTAGAGAATTATGATGAACTAAATATGGTCTATGGTGCAAGATTTTGGGATGCAAAACTACTCAAGACATTTGTAAAATTTAGCTATTGGTCCCAAACCACACATGTTTGTGGATGTGCATAAGGGGTTTTTCTTACTTGGATCAAAAGTTCTTACTAAATTTATGCGTACATTTGGTATATTTTAATTTTTTAATGCAGCCAAGAACTCAATCTAGACGAGGAGATTAATTTGATAATTGATGAGTTTGATAAAAGGTGTATATAACCCCTTATTATTGGCGAAGCTAGTTTTACCTCATATTTTGTATCTTAAATGATCCCATATACCTTTATAAATTATCTTAGATAGTTGGTGCACTAACCAAAATATTTGTCGAGCTTCTGGAAAAACCCGAAACTAATTTCTCCCACTAGTTTTTCATCAACGTTGAAATTTAGCAAAAATGAACATGTCCTGGCAAACCAAGATTACACGAGATGGGTGTGCTTTGGCCTCAATAACTTTCCGTTATAAATTTCTTGAATAGTTTTAGCAGTTAGTGAACCAGAGTCAAAAATTTTGCATGCAACCCATCCTATGCAAAGCAGGGGCGAAGTTATATGAAAGTGACCTAGTGTTACCACGGACGATTCTGATCCAAGGCCCTAAAAATTTTAGTTTTTAGTGCCAACGTGTTTTGCCGTTTCCCGAATCAGCTAAATAATTTTTACCACGGAAATATCCGTTGTCCCGCACCTGACATGGAAACGTGAAAACGTGAAAAGCCGTTGACCCCGAAGGCAGAGACTTTTCTTGTGAACGGCTTTTCACGGTCTCCCGAATTAAAGCAAAAAGTCTAAAACGTTTTAAAACGGTCTCCCATGGCTAAGGGTTAATATTGAAGTAGCATATAAGTAAATCGAGTGATGTGAGTTATGTATTTTTGGTCGATAATAATGTATCGAGTCGACCAAAATATAGATTTTTGAATAGGAATGAACTATGACAACAGTTACCCAACAATTATGCATTGTTTATTTGTCACACATGTTTTGCAATATTCAATCAGACTTAAAATTCAGTAGTGTAAATATTTCAAATATTTTAAATTTAAAGCTTCTTCTCAGCTTTGACACTTTTAAAGAAAATCAAGCTTTTTTCATCCATGTCACTTTTCTACAAGTATGGAAAAAACATTGCACGACATTTTCGCTCAACCACCAGAAGTATTAGCACAGAACAGACGTCGCCACGCATCCTCATTACGGGTAAAGCATTTAGGATGGGAAAATACATGTAAATTTAATATTTTGTTTTATAATGTAATGTTTTTATGCAAATCATTCAATGATGAACAGGCTCTTTGGGCCAACTGGGCTCCGGTCTTGCTGTCATTCTACGGGAAAAGTATGGCAAGGAGAATATAATCACATCGGATATCAGGAAACCTTCCTCGGAAATCGCATCCCGTGGTCCATCCATCTTTCTGGACGTCATTGACTTTCAAAATCTCGAAAGAATCGTAGTCAATCACAGGATCGACTGGATCATTCACTTTTCTGGAATTCTGTCCGCTGTTGCTGAAGCGAATGTGCCTCAGTCAATGAGGGTTAACATTGGTGGCGAGTGCATTATTTAACATTTTATGTCATTAAATAGGCATTAGGTTTTCAATACGATTTGATATGTTTATGGTTCAGGTATGCACAATATGATGGAGGTTGCCAAACAGCACGGTCTCCGCCTCTTCATCCCATCCACGATAGGAGCCTTTGGTCCAGAATCACCTAGAAACCCGACCCCAAATTTGTGTATTCAACGACCTAAAACTATCTACGGCGTGGCCAAGGTTCACGCTGAATTGCTGGGGGAATACTATCATGCAAAATATGGACTGGACTTTCGCTGTCTCCGGTTCCCAGGGGTCATCTCCTCTGACTCTGTGCCTGGTGGGGGAACAACAGGTTTGCTTGTTTATTCAGTCCTCCGTCCACAACAAAGCCACAATTAATCATAATAAACTAGTTTATATTTGAACCCAGACTACGCTGTCCACATTTTCCATCAAGCTCTGAAAGAGGGCAAATACACTTGTTACCTCAAACCCACCACACGTCTGCCCATGATGCACATTGATGATTGTCACAGATCCGTGGTTGAATTCATGACCAAGGCTTCCGACACTCTGCCTGGACGGACGTATAACGTGACAGGTGTCTCATTTACACCGGAAGAACTTGAGCAAGAGATCAGAAAATTCATTCCAAACTTCGAAATCATTTACCTCCCTGATCACCGTCAGGATATTGCTGATTCGTGGCCACAAGTGCTTGATGACTCCTGTGCCAAAAACGACTGGGGCTGGGAAGCAAAATACGGGCTGAAAGAAATTGTTGAAACTATGTTGCGAGATCTAACACCGTTCTACAAGACCACCAGTAATATAAAGTAGTGATATGCATAAAGTCGTCAATTAAAGTAATTTTATATGATCAAAAATAAACAATTTGCTACAGTATTATTCAATTTTACTAAATTATTGTGCTTGACTATTTTTCCTTTATTTGGAAAATCTCAATGGCATGATAATATAATTGAGCAGCGATTTCACGTCCGTAAACAAAATCTAAATGACAAAACTGTTTGTACGGTGACTCGTAATACTCTATTAAGGTTGGCAGTTTACTTGCCAAAGTTTTTGCGTCCTGTAAAAGACAAGCGAGAGATATTTTTTTAGAGATAGAAAATATAGTAACCCTTTAATGATGAGGGGTTGGTATTAATACTTTGTAAAATGCGTACCTCTCGATGTCCCATAAAATCGTACAGGCCAACAAATAGGGCAATTGGCACGGTAGCCTTTGTAAGATTGTAGCTTGGAGGGGTTTCGCTGTGATATATTTCTAGATTTTTACGGCGCCCGTAATCATATTCTTGGAAACCCTTCGAACGCCAAAGCTGCATGACGTGATTTGTCAATTTTAAACTGCTCCCTGACGCTGGTGTGGTAGCAAATACCTGTGCGACTTGCTCCTGAAAATATTTGTTACAAATACGATACTATTAGCAGAAAGTGTCTAAATTAAACAACAGAACTGTACTAAAAATACCTTAGTAATCAAATCCCCATCTTGTCCGTACACGATATGTATCCAGTTAACACAAATTCCAATAATATCGACTTTCGGACTGCACAAATATGGGAGCAGGCCGTTTAGTAATTTTCCTAATGTCGGCGAAATGGCTGGGATGGATCCAAAAGCGTTCAGGAACATCTTCAACAAACAGATTGAGTCCAGATTAATTTTGCGACAATCTTGGTACAGTTTTAAGTAAAAGATAAGGGAAAGTCCTAGTGCTAATACCGTGATAAACCGCGAAAGGAATGACATGTAGTAGACAAGTCCGTTATAAAAGTGGGCCATAAAAACAGTTGGTCCCATAAGCACAGCAGATTCAATTTTGCCATTGTACTCCGGATGGTGACTGAGGCCAGCGAGAAACGCCGCCGGCCCCATCGACAGAGAGACATAATTCAGCTTTGATTTCCCAGTTTGGTTCAAAACGTGGTCGATCGTTGCCGGCATATCGAAGAGGCCCATTTCGTGAAATCTAAAAATGTAAAAAGTGTTCATTATGTAAAAGCGCATGTAAGATTTTATTAGTAAATTCTAAACCATTCGGCGTACGTATAATTCCAAAAACTTGGAGAATTTGTCGCAAAGCTTTTGTGTCGTCTGCCGTATGGGTTACCACGATTGTTCCCAAGCCATACATCATATCCCATAGAGTGCAATATGAAGGCTGCGTATAGTTTTTTTTTATCTCCCGTCATTAATTATTCATAGCTAAATCAATATGCATATAATGCAAATTTATTGGTACCAAAAGAGTTATTTGTCGGAGTATTGATAACCCATTCTGCTGATGACTGAAAATTCCCGTGAGTGAGAAGAACAGGAAGTTTGTCATTTTTTGCTAAAGGTGGAATTCGATGTACTTCCAAAATATAACCATCTTGAGTTTCCACAAAATGTGTTTCTACTGGGTAACCGTGCTGTTCGATAATGTCGACCTACATACATATATATTACGAAATGTTTATACACCTTCTATCAACAATCAAGACCAATATTGTATATGAATTTGTCTAACCGTGTGCATGGGATAAGGTCCTCCGAGGTCCCCTCTTTTATCCCTATTACTTTCAAAATTAGTCTGAAGTGGTACAAAATTATTTAAACTTGCAGCATGTATTTCTCCCAGTGATCCTAATTGAAGCAATATTACAAATAGTGCAGACAAATACTTTAATTTTACAGAGATAGCCGTGTAAATAACAAACATTTTACCGAGCGAGGTGTCAAGATTATGCACTCTGATATAGTTCACACAAAATGATCAAATGCCTGATAAATGGCTCTGGATTCTCCCATTATTGCATCGTATTGCACAAGCAATAAGCATGCAAGTCTTCTTAAGCATACAGAATCACTGGTATTGCAGTCATGGATTAATTTGGCATGATGGTTCTGGGAGAGTAGGAAGAAATTAGTATCAACCTCTTGGGGAAAACGCCATAAACTGGTTTTTGGACAAACGTGGTAATAACGTACTGGTCAGTATGCTTACTGGTCAAGTTTAGTCTTAATGAATATAATAATGATGGTTTGTAAATCGGACCAATTTATGGTGGTTGCAGTATTTTTTGTAACACAATTCTCGCACTGCGAAATACAAGACGTATAAGTAATATCGTGTCGAGGTAAATAAATTCAAGGTTTCTTCATCCGTAATACATATTTTTCTCCCTTTGATGTAAAAAATTGCCTCCGGTTCATGATGTTTATAATAAATATACATATTTTGAAATATAATAAACAAAACTGATTTCTAAGCATAGGTCGCAATCATCACTAGATAATTTATGCATAGAGCTAATGTTACGCATGTTAATAGAAAAACAATTGAACTTAGCGAGAAATAATCTTTGTAAACCAATATCAAGTACGTTAAATCAACGATTAAAATAAATCGTATCTCTTAATTGTTTTATATTTTGTTTTCGTTTGTAACCACAATAACAATAGCGTAATGACAGATCCTGGAGTGATTGGCAAATGTTAAATCAAAAATGATATTTATAATCATATCCGTGAAAATATTTGCTAAATTACTTGAAGGCATTGCATCATGTGCGGAAACTGAATCATCCAATAATCAAGTCTAATTAAAAAAATGTAATCCCTTTAAAAAATTAAACGCAGAGTCAATATTGCCCAAAGACTCAGCAGCTGTGACAATAAAGCACAGATTTTGTGTTGGACTAAAAGTGGTTTTGATTTAAATTATTATGTAGAACAAATCTAGTTGAACAAAAATCCACAATTCCATATGATGAAGTTCAAATTCACTCCAAAATATGGGTTAGCCCATCTTTTAATCGGGTTTGGAATTGGTATTTTATCGTCCCATCTGTACAACACTTTGTAGGTTGGGAAACAGTGACAAAATTAACTGAGAAAATTGGCGGATTTAAGAGAATTGCATTGTTGCTGTGTTTCAGAGGATCTCATAATGCGGACATAATTGGACAGCATAATTTTGATATTGGTCCTGCTCCAATAGTGCATGCACATGAAGTTCAAATCACTCCAAAACGACTGCTTTGTTGGGTGTTAACCTCTCCGAGAACTCATGAGCGACGAGCAAAATACGTGAAGCAAACATGGGGAAAGAGATGTCACATTCTTATCTTCATCAGCACAAAATATGGTAATTGAAAATTCTGGTTACGAATTACGGTACACAGAAATCGTGGAGAAAATACCTGCGCAATTTCAGACCCGACCCTGCCAACTGTGCCCCTGAACATGACGGAAGGACGGATAAACCTTTGGGGGAAAACGAGGGACGCTTTCACACACGTTTACAACCATTATCTAGAAAGTGCCGACTTTTTTCTGAAGGCGGATGACGATACGTACGTCATTGTGGAAAACTTGCTGCACCTTCTGCAACCTTACGACCCGAATGAGACGCTGTATTTGGGATGCGAGTTCAAAGGCTACATGAGTGGTGGAGCAGGTGCGTTGACAAAACATTTCGAAACTTGTTATCGTTATATCTCAGAAATTGAATTGATGTAAATTACCTTTAAATTTGAAAGTGTAAGCACTTTATATTGCACATAAGCACAAAATAAGCACAATATTGTGATGCTTTTAATATTTATTTCCAGGCTATGTCTTAAGCAAAGCAACGGTGAAATTATTGGTGGAGAAAGGACTGTCAAATCCTAAAATCTGCAAGCAAGGAAATGACGGCATAGAGGATGTCGAACTGGGTAAAACAATATTAACCTTTTAAGCATTTACATTTTATAGTCGAAAATGGGGAATGAACTTTGACCATGAATGTCATGGAGAAAAATTTTACACCAAGTTTCCTAAACCATGGTGTTCATGTCATATTTTTTACACATCGAAAGACCAAAACCATGTTAGTCATGGTCGCAAAAATTTGCATTGCAGGACCAATACCATCAAAGTCATGGCGATTGTTTTTGCAAGAAAATACTTTGACCATGACATACATGGAAGTCGAAAATAATAATTTCCACAGCTTTTTAGCCCGAGTCAGGGCTTATGGAACCGTCATGTCCGTCCGTCCGTCCGTCCGTAAACAGGATAACTCTCTTTAAACACAAGCTACCGACTTGAAATTTTTACCATGTGCATATTGGACAAAGTTAGGAATCGAGTTCGAAGATGGGCGAAATCGGTTAACTGGTTACCCGGTGGGGGTCATCTGAGTGGGTGGGGTCTTATGCACCAAAATTTCAAAATTGTCGTAGAAAGCTGAAATTTGGCACAGAGGTTGCTAATGGCTCCTAATAGATAAAACCTACAGTGCAGACTCCATATAGCCCGAGTCAGGGACATAGTCCCTGACTCAATAAGTCAGGGACATAGTCCCTGACTCAATAAGTCAGAGCCCGCTTCTAAATTTTTTTCCGAATTGACCAACATAATATCACCAACTTCCGTGTTGTGGATGGTTAAAAGTTTGTTAGATAGTTTCTATTATTTGGTCCCAAATTTTTGAGCAAGTTACAGATCATGTGTCTTGACCACCATGACCAGTGGGCTTCTTTAACATCCTGAAGCTCTAAGCTGTATGTATGTGCTATCCAGCAGTGGTTTTCAGCCTCCATATCAAATTTCAGCTCGATATAATGATTTTGAAAAATCAGTATGGGTCACCCCATAGGGTCACTCTGGTTGCACTTTACTCACTTTTAACTTCATATTCTTTAATTAGAAGCCATTAAGTACCATTGTGCCGGATTTCATCTTTTTAAAGTAATTTCTAAAAATCAGTATGGGTCACCCCATAGGGTCCCTCAAGACTAAAATTTTTCCAACCTGAAGTTATTTTTTTCTATTAGGAGCCATTAGCAACCTCTGTATCAAATTTCAGCTCTCTACAACAATTTTGAAATTTTGGTGCAAAATACCCTACCCACTTATATGACCCCCACCGGTTCAAAACTTTTCTGATCGAACCCATCTTCTAACTCGGTCGTTGCATTGCCCAGATACATGTCTGCACCAAATTTGGTCAAAATTGGTTAACTCGTTCGACAGTTCGACTGACATGACAATTACATAAGCCCTGGTTCGGGCTAAAAATCACGACTCGAGAAAAAGTCAGTCTTTGGATGTAATCCGAATATTTTAACGTTGCGATGTGATTAAAAGTCGACAATAATTACTTAATAAATTTCGTAAAAAATTGATATATGTAACTAAGGACGGATCTTTTTAATTGTTGTGTTTTCGTCCGGCACTTCGTGTAAAATTGTTCGCCATGACATACATGGTCAAAATGCTTAAAAGGTTAAACATTTAATTTGCGACGAGTTTGAAAATATAAGTTACAGGTGCTTGTCTAAGAAACCTCAATGTCACATTGGGCGACAGTCGGGACGAATCAGGAAAACACCGTTTCTTTCCACTTCGCGTAATTGACCATATCAATCCTGGCAGAATCACCAAGTTTCGCTATGACTGGTTTTGGGAGTATATGAAATTTCGACCTGAAGATGTTTGTGCAAAAAAACAACACCAATTTGGAATGTTTAGATAAAGATGAACTACATGGATGAAATGTTTGTGTCGTGTGATACAGGGTCCCAATGGCTGCTCAGCATATCCAATTTCATTCCATTATATAGAAGGACAAGAACTGGTGGCGATGGGTATCAATTCAATATATACAATGTTTAATATATACGGGGCGAATAGTAATAAATTGATTTTATTCCACTTGTTTATGGCAGATCATCTAATTTACAAAGTTCAGGTTTATCCGGTCCATATTTAGAATAGGATTTTGGAGTAGTAGCCAAAATTAACATGTCAAGAAAGGAACGTAATAAATATGGTTGACTTTGATATGCATGACTTTGAACCGTATTTGATTTGCGCAATAATGGTTGAAAATGAAATCGAAATTATTATTAGTATTCCAACCAACACAAAAAATGGATTATTTCATAATTGGCGTATATCACATAAAAACATGTATGTGGTAACTAAGTATATGCCACATGTACGGATTGATTTTCATGTAAAACTGTCAATTGTGTGTATTTAAAATGCACGCATATGTACAACAGTAGAACTTAACGCTTCCTAGTTCTGCTGATACACATGCTAATTGTATTTTTGCACTCGAATACCCCGGAATCAAATTGGACAATTATGTCATAAATTAAGCAATTACATATTATCATTATTTAATTCTGGAATAAAAAACTTGGCAAAACTTTAACACCTTGACGGTAGTTTGTAAAATATAGATCATTACTTCGTCGCAATTAGGGCAAAGTGAAGGTGAAAGTTTTTCCAGCCATTTTTACATAATATTTTAAGATGTGCAACGACAAAGAAAATAGTCCTTCAAATTTTGTAAACGTAGACTTAAAGGATCACAACGATGAAGGGACGATAGTTACGAAGCCGACTTGGCTGCATAAAATAATTCCCAAGAGTTCTTATGGATATACGAACCGTCAAATAAAGATTTGTTGTGTATTTGCCCTGGTGGAGGTTAGTCTATGATTTCCTTGCCTTCAACATTACTTTGGACATGAGTACTTTAACGAATTGTTTTTTTAAAATTTATTTAGTTCTTCGCAGCAACTGTGATCTCAATTCAAGCTCCCTTTTTCCCTCACGTGGTAATCTTTGCAATGTTCTTATAAAGTCAAAAACTTTTGCAAATATGAATATGCAAATATGAAAGTATGAATTGCATTTCATAGGCGGCGTCTAAAGGAGCGACTTCTGTAGAATATGGTTTCGTATTTGGAATATTCGAGTTGTCTGTGTTTATCATGTCACCAATTTTTGGGGCGAAGGTTGTACGATTTATTTAATCTAAAAGTAATTAAGTACTATAAATTTTAAAAATATGTTTTTGAAATTTGAATCTAGATGAATTCTTGCGATCCAAAAAAGGTGTTCAACTTGGGCATTCTAACCACTGGAAGTTGCTGCTTGATTTTTGGGTAACTTTAAGAATTGACTAAATTGCTCTGCAATAGCAAACTATTTAAACTGACTACATGTTATTGTATTTATTGACATTTATGTTTATTTTTTTAGTTTCTTGAACCTGTTAGAAGACAGGGTCGCATTTATCGCTTCCTGTTTAATCGTACGGATGGTGGAAGCAGTCGGGGATGCAGCCTTTGTTGTAGGTAATGTTAAATTGTCCACCAAATTGCCTGGAATAATTTCAATTACGGTTCAACTACGATGAATTTCGAATTCCAAAGGAATTAATTTGTTGTATTGATTGATGTTGTAGCTTCATTTACAATCATCGCACTTGAGTTTCCAGATTCCATTTCAACCACGTTTGTGAGCACATCTATATAATGCAATAATAATTATATAATATTCTAGTTCATCCAACCGTATTATGCATGTACGTAATATGTATATAATTTTTCAGGGGACAATGGAAACGTTCTATGGTAAGTGAGACGTTCTATGTATGATTCTAAGATAACGATTTATGTACCCTTTGTAGATGTGCATATTTGTGTACCAAAAAAATTAGTTACACAGAAAACAGCTACGTACTTTTGCAACGAGCAGGTCGTATAAAAATTTATAGTTTATTTATAGTTTTGTTTTTACGGACTGTGTATACATATACGGAAAATACGTATGGACGCAAAATAGATACACATATGTATATGGAAAATAGTGTTGAATAATGCATGTACAAACACCAAACGTTCGTTGGAAGAGAGGTTCAACTTTACACATATGTCAAATTGGACCGAGCTTGTTTCGAAATGTATTTTTTAAATGTATTTTAAAAGGATGTGCGTATTTCACCCATTTATTTTGGGTGAAATATTGTTGATCATACGACGACGAAGCAAAATGTCAGGTCTGAGACTTTTGTTAATTCAAATTCTCAAACTTATGTATATCAGGTCTTGGAATGATCGGGGGTCCAACAATTGGAGGAGCCCTTTATGAGGTACCAAAAAGTGCTTAGTGTCCTGAGAACTGGATAAATATTTGCATACCAGAAATACATATTGTAGTTATGAATAAATTTCAGGTTGGTGGATACTCACTTCCGTTTTCGACAATGGGAGCACTTCTTTTACTCAGTGCATTTGCAACGTACTACATTCTTCCGGAATTACCATCGACTCAAGAAAAAGTGACCACGTCAGGATTAGAGACATTTTACCTGCTAAAACACCCATCCATATTTATTACTGCCTACAGTATTGTTGCCACAACGGCTGGGGTTGGTTTCCTCCACTCGACATTAGAACCACAAATTGATGTTATCCAGGTAAGTAAGGTCGCAAGACCTTGTAAAGGATTTGTAAAAGTTGACGATATCTTAAACATATTTATCTTCCTCAATAGCCTGGTCTGAGTAAGCTGGTTATCGGTGCTGTGTTCATTCTTAATGGTGCCGTCTATGCATTAGGGTAAACACTAACTAGTATTTAATAATGTAAGTTCAACAAACCAAGAACCAAACAAATTGAAACAAATCTTATACAGGGCTCCAACATGGGGAAAACTATGCGACAATGTGCCTCAGCCAAAATTTTTTACTCTCTTGGGATCCGTGTTTAACATCTTGGGGTTCATCTTTATTGCTCCACTTCTGACGATCACTCCGTAATTCATCCATTCAACTTTAACCATAATCATTGAAAGAGATTATATTGTGACTTGGTTTTACAATTTTAGAAATTTGTGGAACATTTGTGTCGGGCTTGTACTTTTTGGCTTAGGATTGGGATCCACCCTCGTCTCGGCATTTACTCAAGCAATGAAAGACGCAGTGTAAGTGTAATTCGTTGTATTAAGCATGCTTATTCGAGTTTTTAGTGGAGTAGGATATATGTATTTTATATTGCATTATATTTTTTCGTCTTTTTCTACGCATGTCTTGATAATGAATTGCAAATAGCACTCAAAATATTGACAAATAAAATAAAGCTTTTCCTCGCTTTTCACTAAAACTTTCGCGTCATCCAACTATTGTATTTTTCTACACAGGGCGCTAGGTTATCCTGACGATGTCGCGACGTATGGAAAAGTCTCTGGATTGTGGACATCAATGACAGCACTGGGATTTTTCATTGGATCCGTTGCTGGTGGGGTTCTCCTCTCCATGGTGGGTTTCCAGCTGGGAACTGTCTTCGTCCTGGGGGCGCAGCTACTTCTAGTAATCAACCAGTCATTTTCCGACCCTTGAAATTATTACCTAAATTTGGATATCAAATAATAATGTGTATCTGTAGGTTATCATGCTCCTAGTGAATCACTACAGATGTAGTAGGTCAAATGGGAAACAAAAAATCCAACCTCTCTCCCCAGACCCCCTCTCAATTATTAACAAGGAAGGCAGACTCGACAACGACATTAGACTATGAAATGGGAACAAAGCTTCGGATCAATAATCATATTATTCCCAATTTCCCGTTGCGTGGATCATGCAACCTATGAAAACGATAGAAATAACTTTTTTAATAATCTTATTAAAAACTATTTTGTAATGTGATATCAATAAGATGATTGATATGATATGAGACTGAATAAAGCTTGAGCTTCAGAGAAAAATGATACGCAATCCCACGCATACCGACCCCAAAAAAATGATATATTAGAAATGAGTCATTCTAATCAGGGGCGTACTCTAAATCATCATTATACTATTATATATTTAATTTAGCAATATGTTTTTAAATTTTGTGAAAGAGTATTTTCATGTAAATCAACTAAAAGTGTAAGAAATCAGATGCACAAACATTGAAATTTGGTAGGTACGATTCTGTTGGGCACCACCACACTTTCCACAAAGAGAGAACACACAGCTAGACGAAAGACGAAACGAACACGACGTTTATTTTAATTATAATTATTCAAATTGAAAGTTAATTTGAAATATTTCCAACATAAATTTTGTACTACTGTTTAAAACATAGCGACACAACTGGATGCTGGGAAATTGATATTTAAGCAATTGCCGTTCCCAAGCTGCCTAAAATAATCGCTAGATAATCTAGCCTAGATTTATTTTTACTGGAAGGTAATGTTACATTAATTGCTACTTTATTATAAAAAGTCTTATAAGCATTTAAGATTTCTGTTTCTGAATAGCCTGAGTTGGCCTGAGTTTCTTCATTATATAAATTACGCAATACAGTCGAATAATGTGATGTTTATTTATAAGGATGTGCCAGCTGCACTGGTTTAATGTGGTCTTTGCTGCAACTTCCGGTTATTAATATGTAATTATTTATTTTGCGTCATAGGTTTGGGCTGGGGTCAAATGTCGCCTAACGTTGAATTGGAAGAATCGGGAGGAGGTCGTCGTTGTCGTCGCTCAAGTGGTGTCGATGGATTGGTGGCGCAACGACCAAGTCCTGACAAAAGTAGCAAGAAGGATAGTCCAACTCTGCGGGTTGTGGGTGGTTCACGCCGTACGACAATGGTGACACCAAAGTTTAGGAGAACACCTGTGTTGACCACGCCCGGTAAGAAGACTCTTGAACCTGCTACAGCTGCCGGAAACGACGGGAAAGAGACGGCCCCAACGTCCAGTAATAAACCGGAAAGCTCATTTGCTGATCATAAGGAAATGTGCAGCCGTGTTGCTAAATCTTTATATTTTGCAAACAAGATGCCAACCACTCCACGACCGTCGCTGCCATTAACAAGTGAGTATAATAAAAAAAGAAACTATATATTTTTTAGTGCTAATGCAATATTAAATGAATTACAAACGGATGAATTGTGCTGGGCTAATATAGAACTGGCAGTTTCCACTTTCTCCAGACGAGCGAGACAAGATACTCTCGACTTTCTGGATTTGGAACAGGCTGCGGAAATCGGAAGGAATGCTTGTGTTACTCCAACTGCACTCATTATGGCCCTTGTCTATTTGGAACGACTGTCAACCAATAATCCGGCGTATCTTGGAAGTGTTAAACCATCTGAACTTTTTGTTGTTTCATTGGTATGCTTTATTGCAATTTGCAACTGAACATTTGTCTAGATCTATTTTGATAAAATATCTAACGGCCAGTTGATCAACACGTGTAATTAACGACAACTTATTTTAAATTTTCAAGCTGGTAGCATCCAAATTTATCCAGGATGATGGTGAAGAACTGGGCATCTTTAATGACGAATGGGCTACATCTGCACACCTTGAACTGAAAAAACTGAACCGAATGGAACTCCAATTTCTTACTGCAATTGTAAGTACAAACCCAATCAGTACAGTACAACTCAATTTAGATAGCCCGAATGAAGTCAGGCCGTAGTTTAACCATTCGATGTTTTTTGTTTAACTATACCACGTGCAAGTACACCAGATTATTTATCTCTCGTTAACGTGTACCTATCTTAATAACCTAACCTAATAATAATACCTACATACAACATAATAATTTATTTATATTTACATTTGATACTAGGACTGGAGAGTAAAAGTGGACCCGGACGAATATACAAAAGTCTTAGAGTGGTTAGAACGAGAAGTTTCCTTGGGGGAAGGGAAAGCCCGAGGTTGGTTTACATACACGGAGGTTACTACTTTGCTGTCATTCCATTTATTGTGGCCAACGATATATCAACACTGTGTCAAGGTAATGTTATGAAATATCGAGTCTACAAATCTGATGAATAGATTACTTTGGGTTTACTTTCTTTGTTAATTGTTGACTTCTCACCCTGCTCAGGTAATAACAGCTGCCTGCATGACCTATGCAACTCTTCTCGCCACTCTGGTTACGACATCAATACTCGGTCCACACATTTTCATTTTGTCCAAAAGTTGTCTCAACACACTTACAACAACCGGACACTCATATCAGCCATGTGCCGCCACAAATTCGTCATCAAACTCATTCCAAACCTTAGATCACTACAGGGACTATCCACAAGCGACGGATGAACAGCAAAATATGATTGATGAAGAGGAATTGACGAATCTCAACCAAGCCGAAGTTCAACTAGAGTTATCACTATTTAATTTCGAAAATGAGACCTACCTAAACAAACCTGGCATTGTAAAGTCCAAGCTTCACAGCAAAGAATGGATAAGACCTGGTGAGTGGCCGCACATAAAGCATGTGATTGATTTTGGGAGAATTTTGACCCCTACCTCACTGGTGTGACCTGTATGCCCTATGTAATAATTAACGTTGGGCGGATAGATTGTCTTGACCTTCTCCCCGGTCTCCTCCCCCCCTTCAAATCGATCACATGCTTTTCGTACAGTCCCTTCGAATTAATATTTCTTCTCAAAATTGCGTCACTTCTGAGTATCATGTGCTATGCTATGTATCTTGTAAACATTGTAATTTTTGATTGTAGGATTAACACATTTTTTTCACCTTCAACCACATACGGCCCAGAAGCCGTTCAACCACGGACTTGAATCTTTGTTTACTCAGGAAATCCGTCGATTTTTCCAAGCCCAAAGGAAACATCAAAAGACAATTGATGGCAGCGCACTTCATAATGACTGTAAGAGAAAAAACATTGCAGTGACAAGTCGGAAAACATGCTCAATCTCAGACGCCAAAAATAATGACAGATTTTCTCCTTTTGGGCTCAGTCTCCCTCATGCTAAATTGATTCGTGTTTAATTCGTAAACATTACCAGATTATATGAAAAATAAATATAATTTCTTATCTAACAAAACAAAGATATTGTATTTGATACCAACCTACGTACTAATGATGATATCTATGTATCTACATGCCTACCTTTAATTATAGATTACCACCTACTTGGCCTCTTTCAAAATTTTGTCAATTTCCATAATGTCTTGATATTTCAGGATTAATAAAAAACTTTCTTCTAAACGATTACAAACATGTTTGGGTTGAGTAATTATGAAAGCTTATTACGACAATTGCAAATTATTCAAAACATTAGCTAAGGTATTTATTTGGAACATTCAGGTGGCATCAGCAGTAACTAAATTGTAAAAAATATAGCTATGGCGGTCGCTATCATTTTCAAATCGACATAATTAAAATTATTGTCAGCAATTTGTTACTTAAATTTGTTTGTGATTAGTAATTAAATGTATTTGCTACCCAGTACCCACGCCCACTGGCCCACAGTGAAAACAAATAATTATACCAAACTATCCAGCATTATTTCAGCATTGTTTTAAATTTTATTTTATTCGAGAATAATTACTCATGAGTTTGAAATAAATCCATTCATTTTATGGACTGGCAGTAGTTGTGGAAGGGTCAATCGTGGTCGTGGCAGAAGTAGTCGAAGTCGAAGTCATTTGGCTAGTTGGTGGGAAGAACCATGGGAAAAATGGTGGCATTCCAAATTGACCCATCGGCGGTGGTGGCATACCGTTTATTGGTGGCATCATTCCCCCAAATTGACCCATCGGTGGGGGTGGCATACCGTTTATTGGTGGCATCATTCCCCCAAATTGACCCATCGGTGGGGGTGGCATACCGTTCATTGGTGACATCATTCCCCCAAATTGACCCATCGGTGGTGGTGGCATCATACCGTTCATTGGTGGCATCATACCCCCTGAACCACAATTAGATGAGCATTAAACTGAGACTACATTTTTTAGTTTACCTAGATGTTTAGGTTGTGGTAGTGGGGGTGGTTGCTGTCCATCAATTGGTGGTGGAGGTGGTTGCTGTCCATCAATTGGTGGTGGTGGTGGTTGTTGTCCTGCGGGTGGTGGTGGGGGTGGTTGTTGCCCTGTGGGTGGTGGTGGGGGTGGTTGTTGCCCTGCGGGTGGTGGTGGTGGTGGTTGTTGCCCTGCAGGTGGTGGTGGGGGTGGTTGTTGCCCTGCGGGTGGTGGTGGTGGTTGTTGTCCTGCAGGTGGTGGTGGGAGTGGTTGTTGCCCTGCGGGTGGTGGTGGGGGCGGTTGTTTCCCTGCCATTGGGGGTGGAGGAGGCCTGGCGGCCACAATGGCGACGAGAAAAAATGCAAAATAGATTAGTTTCATGGTTCTGATTGAAGGTTAGATCAAATCTAAGGATAGATGCGAATAATTCAAGTTTTTATACTTGGAAGCCTCTTGAGATATCAAATGGCACAAACAAAGTCCTTAATATTTCTAGTTATGTTTCGAAAGATAAACAAAATCAGTTAACTTTTTTTGTGAAGAACAATAGAAATCTGTGTGTACTCATTCATGGACACACATTACATGACCAATGACAATAATCGACGTAAGGCGACCATCTGTGTAAGTACGTAAGTAAGCACATTTAACAATTACATTTTATATAATCATATAACCACTTCATATTGAAAATTTAATTTCAACAGCTATTTACAAAAGTTATTTATAACCAGATTTGAATTTTATGTCCGGTACATAATGCTAAATACATACATATGTAACTAATTTATTGACTTATAGCAGGTTTCCAAACTTATCTATGTGTGCTCAATGCAGATTCATTCTCTCAAATCTCTTTGTCAATTTCTACACGATGAATTATTACCATGCAAATTATGCTTCCTTGGTTTGGATAGTTTGTAGTTTAAACCTGCGACTTTGCAAATCCTTGCCATACAAAAGCTCACACATACATCTCAAATAATTGGTTAGCAAATAAATTAAAATACAGTTTTATGTTGTTTTTCGTTTTTGAACCTTAGTTAACTCATACTTTACAATAAATTAGATGATGATGCATTCAATTACTAAATTTATTTCCCGATCACCCAGAAAAACAATTTGTTGATAGTAATTTTTGGCTCATGCAACAATTAGTCCAATTAACGGAATCATGTTAATCGATATTTTATTCTTGATGTTTAGCCTTGAGTTAGTCAAGTCAACTAGAAAAAATCGACAATACGTCAATATTAAATGTATATTACACAATATATTAGGAATTTTTGTATGCAATCCAGATGTAGCCTACATATTTTCTCACGTATGTATACTATAAATACCGGACTCCAATAAGTTACTTCAGAATTGAACATTAAGGTTCATTATTCAAATTCATTAAGGTTTTTTGACGTTATAACTCTCAATTTTAAATTAAACCATGTCACCCAAGGGAAAGCAATTGATAAGTTTTGGAGTATTCGTTGGTGTTATCTTTTGTGAGTAACCTAACCACATTCTTATTTCTCCCATCCATTAAGTTGACCATTAACTATGAAGTGGTAAATATTACATCAATTTATTATCGTCTAGGTTTCGTCGGTGGTGCAAGATCGAGAGATATTTCTGCTGACCCAAGATGGACGTACAAGAATGTAGTACAGTCTCAAGAATCTCACTTAAGACAATTTGCCACGGATGGGTCCAGATTTGTCTTAAAGTTTACAGAAAATGACATGGTTAGAGAGGTTGTTGGTGCGCTAGGATGGGAGGTTCTGGGTGGACCATTAGATGGCTCAATTTTGCTGACGAATTCAAATATGACCAGCTTTGGAAAACAAGGACGGAAGAAAATATGTTTGAAATGGTGAACAATGAACAGTTTCATTCTATTTTAAAATCTGAAAATGACTTGTTTTGGTAAAATTACACTGGACTGTATGGTATGCTTTTGTTTAAATAAATATGCTTATAAAAGTAGGAGTTTCTACTTTGAAATTTTCTTTTACACAAAATTTGGAGTTATGTTGGATTGTTGCACATTGTATTTTCTAATCATAAAATCATTGTTCATAGTCTGGTGGTAATGTTGGCTCAACGATTGGTCCATCTTCAATCAGGAACTCAAACTCGTACAGCACCGTTGTTCCATCCACGCAATGAAATTGAATAACGCGATGAATTGAAGTCGAATTAGTCTCATTCATAAAATTTGGATAGTCAATAGTAGTTCGAAACCATAACTCATCGTTAGAGATGCCGATATCGAGATATTTGTTATGCGGGTGAATTGGAATAGATCCGTAATCCACGAAATACACTGACTCTTTCCTAGATCGTCATACAACCGAATTAGATTGTATTAGGTTGATTATCATACTAACAGAACAGATACTTCATGAATATGTACTTACCAGATTTCTATCCCGGGAGCAATATCGGACTGAAGTGGCTCTGATGTGATGGTTTCATTATTATTGATGCCAGCAATACCGCAAGTCACTATAAATTATGATAAGTAAAAAAATGTTTAGTTGGGGAGAAATGGAGATTAATTAAGTCCATACAGTGTCATCTTACATGGCGCTGCTTCCTCTAATGCTGCGTAAATTTCATTCGCAATTCCTGGCACGTGAAGGTACAGGTTGGAAAAATCTCCGTCAACTTTTATCTTGGCAGCTTCGCTGAGCCCTTGTAAATCAACCTCAATTGCGGCATACAAATCCGTGAAGACAACCTGGACAAGTATCGTTGACGTCACTTTTATATCAAAAAAATCATAAAAGCTTAAACTGTTATAATGATACTGGTCTTTTACCAAGAGGGATCCCAAGTGTACTCGGGCAATTTCCACCGTTAACGTCCTCGCGTCCACTTCAGCCGTTACGATATTTAGCAAATCCATTCCAGATTCAGCAGCATCGTTAACTTTTTGTCCAATCGCTGCGCCAACTTCTGGGTTGTCCTCATTCGCGTCCGTGTAAATTGCAAACATGGTGTAATAAACGAGCTCTTGTAGTCGTGCGACATGCTGTTCCACGGCAGGCCAATTGCTTCGGGCTGTGGAAATTTCGAAAAAACCTCAAAAACAATTGAAATCAGTTTTTCATGTCGTAAGTACCTGTTGGCCTCCCTCCGACATTGACAGTAAGTAACCCTACGCAAAAAAGTAAAACGGCCTTCATTTTACGAATATAAATTATTACTATGCACGCAGCTAAGCTATGGTACGACCCACGTCAACTAACTTGCATAATTTTGCAGTTGATCGGATGAGTTAAAAGCACTTTATAACGTATCGAGATAAGGTGGATTGATTTTGATAAGAGGACTGATCGATGAGTGGTTTGAGAGTTGAAAGGCAATCAATTTCGATAACAATAAATAATTCTTATGAAATATCTCCAAAACTTAATATATGCATATCGTACATACGAAAATAAGAATGCATTTCCAACTAATTAATAATTTATCAATTGAACCGGTGATCCTTTGAAGCTATGAATCCGACCACCCAGTTGATTCAACTAATGGAAAAATGTATCATAAATCTATTCTGAATTTCAAAGTTGATTTCTGCTTTGTGAATGATAAATAAATACATCCTTGACTAAGGGTTAAACGTGCCAGCGAGACATGGAATTTTATATGGTCAATCGATTTGTGGTAAAACCATAATAAGTAATCATAAGCAGTCAGTTTAAATTATTGTGTTTAATGTTTATTAATTGTGCATAAACTGAATATAATGATGTATTTTGGAGTGACATGACAAAAATGTATTATTTCAGTAGATCTGAGTCAACAAAAATTAAATTTAAAATGTCTTCTAGATTACTTGCTATCTATCGGACGCAATTTGCCTCCGTTGTCCACTTACAACCTTACAAGAGTAAATAAATTAACAAGTAAATTACAAAAATAGGCCACATTCCTACTTGAATTAAAATGTATACCATTCATTCAAAAGAACAACTTAAGTATGTATAATGGGTGCACATGTACAATTATACAACAACTCAAGTTTAAACATCTTAATATAACACGAGAAAGAAGAGTTTAATAAAATTCGCAGTTCGTGGTGGTCATGTCTTTTCCAGAGTTTTTGTATTGTTCAGCATTACAATCCACGAGTTGATGAGACGCTCCGTCCAGCCTGAAAATAAATCTGGGGCTCAATTTGACGCCGACAAGTTCATGACCTTTACCATCAACTTGGACAGAAGCTCCGGCACAATTCCTCACCCTTGTGCTCGCAGACTTGGGACAAAGTTTTAAAAGGAAAAGGTCGGTAGTTGGAGGGACTTGGAACGCATTCAAGTTTGTCACGACATTTTCCCTTCCTTCGGAGATGGTTAAAGCGCAGGACTCTATGGGGCCACCCCCATAGGTGTGAGAATCGTTCTTCTGAGTAGGTGAAGAGGACACCGGGAAAAACATGACGTCATTCACAATATTGTTATCTCCTTGGACGTGGACTCCATTAACGGTGGAGCGGAACTGAACAACCTCTACTCGGTTATCATCTCCTGTTATAGTAATTGTGGAGAGTTGAGTCATAATGTTTGTCAGCTTGTTGTGATTCCCACAACACAAGATTGCACTGTTGAATGCAAATAGTAGGATGTTTAATTAATCGCATTTAAAATTCGCAAATTGTCTATAACAATTATAATTATTCCGTTCACTCTTACATACCTCATTAACTCGGGATTCATAGGAGCAGAATTAGTCTTTTTCGTATCTGGAATGGGCGTACTTGCTCCTCTCGGTTTCCTTTTACCTACTCTGGTAGGAGCAGCCTGTTCCTGATGAACTTCATCCGCTTTGGACTCTGTTAAAATCTCCACATTACTCAATGAATTTGAATTTCCTCGGATGAAAATGAGAGGCTGGCCTCCACCCCCACCAGACGTGGTTACTGCGGAAGACGTATCTTCATGAGACATAGATGCTTGTGTAAACACTACACTCAAATCTGCTACTTCACATTCGTCAGTCTCCACAATTACTCGCCCTCTTATTTCTGAGGTGGGCCCGGAACCAATCAATTTTGTATCTTTCGAGGTGATCACAAACATTCCGTGATACGTTCCTGGAGAAAGGCGTATTCTTGATCCGGGTGTGCAAGAGTTTAAGATATTTTGCAGATCTTGAGTTGGGTCAACGTTGATTGTTCTATTATAAATGTTTTTAAAACTATTTATGAAGAATGTTTATTTACTGCATGTAAATAATTAAATGTAGATTATGTACTTGTGACCACCCGCAAAATGCATGAACAATGAGACCATTTCAGCTTGGCTTAAAATTCCAGTAGATTCCAAGGTATCTGCGGCAGCTGCAGAACCAAAAGACCGAAATCGAATGCATTTTCCTAGACGGTGAAAGGCTTCATCCCTCTTTGTGGGGTCGTGTTCTCTCCACCTGTACGGACAATTTACAGCAAGTTGACGACTTGTTCACTAGTTTGTGCAGTGAAGATTGCAAATTGTCTAACCTTTTAAGTGCTTTGAATGCTAATACTAGCTGTTCCCCCGAAAGACGTTGGAGTTGGAAAATGCACTGCCATGTTTTCCAACTCCATTCCACCATAGCTTCGTCATTGCGGGTGGACATAAGTTCAGTAACATTTCTATCAAGTCAAAACAATTAGATTAATAATAAACTTTCACATGTTCAAGTAGTAAAAATGGACGAGTTATCTTTAGCTTACTGTAAGATGGACTGAAAGGCCAAATCGCATAGTTCGTTTTTTGTAAGTTGCAAAGTCGTTTGAAATATCTCTACGCAGTTTTGAGGCTTTAATTTTCCGCTCAAAATTGAACAACACCTACTATATAGTTCTTCAACGGCAAAGTGATCCGCCAAGAGTAGGAGTTTATACAAAAGATCATCTTTCAGTTGCCCTGGTGCAGGTAGGCTAGCTTCGTCATAGAGAAACTATATAGGAGAATAAGAAAAAAACAAGTTGAAACCCCCTTTTAGTTACTTACAATCAAGATCCGCAAATCAACCATTAAAATCCGCAGTTACGTGCTCCTTACGAGTTGTTCTCAAGGGACACGAAACTCCAAGAGTTTGATGGTTTCAATTATAGTCGCACAAGCTGAGAAACTTTGTAGAGGTGTCACCTTTAAAAATGAGTTGAATGTTGTTGTCCCAACTTCCTTAGGGACTTGTATTTCCGTTCTTTCGTTATTAGAATTTTTGTCTCGTCGTCGCTTTATCATTTCCCCAAGTGTGCTTGATCCTTCCCGAACAATTAGCATGTGTGCGGAAACGCAGCTAGAGCCACTCTCCAAGGAAAAGGTCATATCGGTCAATGTATCGTCTTCTCTTCGACGGAACAGCTTCAGACCCAAGCTTAGTTTTCCTTCTTCTGGCTGTTGTAACGACTGATCGTGAGTAGAAGTTGACGGTGACCGTGACGACCGTACCTCAACTATCGCTGCCTCCTCCTCCTCCTCCACCTTCTTCCTTTTGGTTCGTCGACTTGGACGCATGCTTGTTTTGCTAGAAAGTACAATCAAAAATGTATACATATTATAACTTATTTTTGAACTTCAATTAATCAGTAATTATAATTACCAAATTAATTATTTACTACTACTGGTGTGAACAACTGTTGCTCTGTACTGGAAAACTCGATCCCGTTTGAGCCCGCCTGCCTGCACCGCATACCGCCTATACTTATTTACTGCAAAACGCATTCAAATTATTTCCTTTCAACTTTTTGTTTTAAAAATTTGAATTTGTTGAACAAAATTAAATTCTGAACAACAGGCTACGCAGTAATCTCTCCATTAATGGCATTAGTACTTGCTATTTATTTGCGCATAGATATGAATTAATGTTTATTATTTTTATAGTGTCTAATGTCTTGCATAGAGTCTCAATTTGCCTCTTATGGCATAATCTTTTGCATTTATTAGCAAGGCAACACCTCTTGTTGAGACATTGTAATACAATCATTGTATAATGTTGAATAACAATTTTGAATGTCGAAGGAAGACAAAAAATGCAGTATTATTAAATTTTAATTTTACCAACTCAACACTTTATAAAGAACATATTTTTACATATATTTTTGAACCCATGTTGACTTTCTCCATGGCTTCATGTGTATGTATGTACGCGTCTTCTTTCTAAGCCGATATAAGACCACTCAGGCTATCGTCATTCGAAATCTCCCAAAATAGGCATGTCCAATATGCAAAGTTTACCAGAATTAACAGCACCAAGGTTGAAATTGCAGGTGCTTCTTTTCTGTAATTATTTTTTGGAACTATTATATGCAATTGAGGAACAGTACAGATCGATGGTGATAAAACAATTTTTATACTTTAATGTTGATCGTCGTTGACCGTCAGCTTGTTTAAGATACATTGCAGCCTAATTCAAAAAGTACGTTTATAATTGTTGATAGCATTTTAAAAAAGTTGTTGAATATTCGTCGTGACCTTACATTCGATATATAGCACATACAAATCCAACCTATGAAATGTAATTATTCAAATGTGAAAATGTATCTCAAAATTCAAAATTGCTTTGCATATTTACCAATGAAAGTTATGCCAACAAATGTCCAGTTCAGATATACGTAAACACGTGCATAAACATATCCATTTTCATTATCTAGGTTTTTGTACACAAATAGCCCCGTGAGATATGCCAAAGACGTCTGAAATAAATCGCATCAAGATCAAAAAATACTTCCAACATTAATATAGAAAATATGTATAATTATATACGGAATCGTAACACTGTGTTGCATCTTCTTACCGGTAGCAGTTTCCAACCTGGAGAGATGGATTTTAGACCTGTAGTTTTGAACACTGAAAGCAGTGGAACTATTGAAAGGAGGCTGAAAAGTGTCAGTGGAATGTGAGTCGTCCACAGGTGCCAAGCCCATTTTCGAGTAAACGCAAATTCCACCCATACTCTGGAATAGTTACCTGGCAAAAATTATGCAGAAATTTTGTAATTTTCGTACAAAAATTTTAAGTTAGTCACAACACACCACTTTTTAGCTGAATGATCGTTCCACTAGCTCGATGACCCAGGAAAGTGAATCCATTTGCCCCCATCGCGTCGGAAGATACCCCAACCGATTGTTGTTGTCCAAGGGCCCAGTTTAGCATTATGTCGCTGGTGGAGTGACCAACTTATTATTGTGTAAAATACGCATATTTAACATAAAAATATATATGGAACAATTTGGATGGGTATTAAAACAATTACATGATTCAATTTCTAGCGTGCATGTTTGTGAGTCAAATGGATAGTGTCGAAGTTCCATTGGACATGTGGCTGTTATTGTTACTCTCTCGGATATTTTAACAGTTCCATTTGGTGAGAATATTAAAAGTTCATTGTTTTTGGCATATTGATGCTTTTTGACACCGACTTCATTCACAATGAATAAATCTGGAGTCCAAACTTTCACGCCATGGTCACCATCCAACTTAATTAAATATGAAATAGTAATGCATATTTACTTATAAGTATATCGGATCTGCTCACTTCAAAAAATTTTAAAATGCTAAATGTGTGTCATCATACCAATATCCTTTTATTTCCGTTATAATGTAGTCGATGATCCAACCACTCTCGACGAAAATATATTTGGATTGTAAATTCCTGCGCATGTCATATGTAAGAAGGCAACATATTAGAAGTAAATACATAGGCATGCATTTTAGAATTATGTATGCACATCTATAATAAATTAAAACCTAATTTTGCTGGGACATTACTTTATTTGATTCATCAAGTTTGTGAAATCCAAGGACATACAACGTCATATTTACATTGACTGATCGTTCTGTAAGTTTTTAACAGATTTTTCACCCATTAAATATTGCATGTAAATGAGTCAAATAGATATTTTTGATTGTTAATATTACCTCCAAAGCTGGGCCTAATACGGTAGTCGTAGTTGGTAAACATTGAGTCCAAAATTTGTGTGGCATTTTTTTGTTCCACAATGAAATCGATCTTATTGTTGTCTCGCCTACGTAGATCAACACTTGATTTTTCTCTTTTTTTAATAAAAATATTCTGTGATACATACCTGGCTTGTCCATGAACGGACGAGACTGCAAGAAATAAGAATAGGGAACCGTAAAATAGCGATACTCGCATAATTACACTGAGTCTCAGAAGCCCTAAAATGTTAACTAATGTCTGAGACAATACGGATATCAGGACAAGGGACAACGATTGCTAGCTGTTTATCCTAGAAATCTGTAGATCACATTCATGCAATACAAAATATCTGGGGAACAAACTAACTATCAACTATGAATGTTGAGGATCCATCATATTGTATTTATTGGAGCAATTGAAATAATTATTTTGACATTGACATTTTGTTGTTGCATCGCAAGACTAATTTATGTATTTAAAATTAAGCAAGTAGTGTGGCCTCGATGACTTGGTCAAGTTCATATCTTACACAAATACATATGTACAATATTCATGTAACTTTCATTCAGTTCCATCAAAAAAAATATAGTAATTAGCATAATTTACATCTGATTTTCAAACTATTAATAGATGCAAGTGAACTTACACCATGCAAAACATTGTATGCTAATAAATCAAATGCTCTCAAAGTTAAAGACGGAACCTTGGCCTAAACTTGGAAATAAATTTTGCATTATGAACTAACATATATATTTACTAAAGAAAACTCTCAATATATTATTATATTCAAATTCTTAGGGGGCCTTTTCAACGCCAGATTTAGATAACCGTTGGATACGTCGCAGTAATAGGTGAGTGGGAAGGCGAAGGAGGGCTGAGGTCTATGGGCTCAACATAGGCCCACCCACGGTTATCTTGTTCCATGGACCCGCTAACGCCCACCGCATCCCACGAAATAACGATCTTCAAACAAGCACTCATCAAAAATCCATTAATTCTTGCGCTATAGTACTCTCAGATAGTTTTATCGTATCAGATATTGAACGTAATTCTTTTCTAAATGCTTCAATATATTTGAAAATTTTTTGAGCAGGAAAAAAATCTTAGAAAAAATCAAAAAGTCAAGAAAGTTGAGTTTGGTGTCAGAAATTATAAAGTAACTACCTGTGACTAAGTACAATGGTGAGAGAATTTTTTTAATCCGACAAAAATTGGATTTTTGGCGAAGTTTAAACACTGTTTTTTTAGAACGAACAACTTGTCCGTTTCTTTGCCTTGGGGGTGCGGCGGGCGCTAGAGGTCCCATAGGCCTTGTCCTCACGTATTACTACAATACATCCAAAGGGCATCAAAATCTGACGCCGTTCTCCTCCTCATGCACGTTCTCAACCGAGATGCTTGCAGACAATGATTTTCTTGTTCCCATGCATGGAAGGAAATGTCATGCACACAGTAAGTATGCCAATGTCATACGGACGTAAAAAAACATAGGATCTGATATATACAAGCTCATATTTTCTCTCATGTTACAAATACATAATACATGTGTCTAATTTCAATGTTTAGTTTGTACGCTTTATAGTTTGTAGCTTTCACCAGCAGCTTCTTTGCCAGTCTCACACCACGTTTGGCAAACAAGCGTACGACATAAAATCAAAGCATGAAGCGGAAAAAAGCTGCAGATTTTGCCACACCACTGTCTGACCGCTTTGTTAATCTTGGCGACGATACGACTGAAGAAGGATTGGAATTTTTCGAGGTAAAAAATTATGTAACCAATTGTACACTTAAGCTAAAGTTGATTATTTGTAATAATTAAAGGGGAAAATATAAACTCAAATCTGGCGAAACATTTAAAATAAACTAAATTAATTGATTGTTTCCATTCTAAATCAACAACGATTTATTGCTGATTTTCAGATCAAGCTGGAAACACCCAGTAGCGACAGCGATGATGATAAGCTGGTAGAACTTTCGACAACCGGTGGAGACAAGACCATGTCGCAAGTTCCCTTCTTAAACGTTACATCTCCTGCGGTCACGAAAAGAGGAAGAGGCAGACCAAGGAAAAAAAGACCGGCTGAGGGGTCGTCGTTGGGGAATAGTAAAAAGAAAGTGAGAAATCCAACCTTTAATGTGAAGAGAGGTCGCCCAACGAAAATAAATGGTGACCGAAAACCAGGTTCTGTTTTAACCGGACGACTTGTTACCTCTGCTGGACCTGAACCAAATAATCCGGGAACAAATGTTGGAAAGGACCAAGTTAGGATGCGTCATCCACCAAAAAGATTTGAAGACAATAATGAAGGTCAGGGTACAAGCCGTTCGTTTAAGCAAAATGGGAACAAACATTTAGAAGGTCACTACGATTCTTCTGAATCTAGAGGTCAAGGAATAAGACGAAAGAGAGGGCGACCGCCTAAAATCTCGCAGAACTTTAATGGTTCAATGAAAAATACCAATTTGTCCGCCTCATTATCTCCAGATCCCATGATTTCAATCGGAACATCTTTATCTAAAATAAAAAGCGAAATAGGACAAACTCTGTACGATATTAAAAAACGAGGTCCTGGTCGGCCAAAGAAAATAATTGGGGACCGAAGACCAGGTTCGGTTTCAAACGGAGGACTTGTTACCTCTGCTGGATCTGGACCTGAATCAAACAATCCGGAAACAAATGTTGCAAAGGACAAAGTTAGGATGCGTCGTCCACCAAAAAGATTTGAAGAAAACAATAAAGGTCAGGGTACAAGCTGTTCATTTCAACAAAATGGGAACCAACATTTAGAAGGTCACCACTACGATTCTTCTCAATCTAGAGCTCAAGGAATAAGACGAAAGAGAGGACGACCGCCTAAAATCTCACAGCATTTTAATGGCAACATAGGGCAAACTCTGCACGCTGTTAAAAAACGAGGTCGTGGTCGTCCAAGGAAATCGATCAATTCGACTTCATCCAAGAAATCTATAGTTGCTTATTCAGTCGACTCGGACTCGGACTGGACGAGTAGTTCAAAACCTGCCAAAAAACCCAAGAAGTTGAAATCATCGCGAGAATCAAAGGTCAAAATTTTAGATGTATCTAGAGGACTGATTTTAAACATTAGTCGATGCGACACACAAGGAGCTACGTTGGTCCCTGAAAAACAACGACGTCGAAAGCGGCGATTCTCAGCCTCTGAATCATTACCTGTTGCTGCTCCTGCCAATATGAAATCTGAATATTGTTCAGACCTTCCACCGAAGAAAAGGCGAGGCAGGCCACCCAAAAATACCAAAATAACACCAACCACATCGAAAGGTTTACCACCTTCAAAGAAAAAAATCAATTGTTCCATTTCCGACAATACCCCTCTGTTAGAAGTGTGTGTTGATACCATCCAGTCCACTATTAATGCTGTGAATGGAGGTGCAAAGAGGTAAAAAGTTTTCACTTTTGTCTCAAAGTATTTATTCAAGAACGATATATTTCTAGATTTTTCTGACTGTACATATATACGTATGTTTTGTTAGGATCGAGCTTTGTTCAGCGCTATCAGAGGGAGGACTTACACCGACCGTAGGTTTACTGGAATTATGCAAACAAATTACAGACGTTAAAATCTTTGCAATGATTCGACCCCGTTGCGGCGACTTTTTGTACTCGGATAACGAAATACAGATAATGGAGGTATCATTTAGTATAAACATTGTTTTAAAATATGTACCACAGTATCAATAACTAATTTTCGAATTATTCAGAGGGATATCATATCACTCAAGAATGCAGGAGCGGATGGTTTCGTATTTGGAATGTTGGATGAACTCGGAAATGTTGATGACGAGAAATGTGCCCGACTTTTGGCAGCAGCAAACCCTCTGCCTTGCACATTCCACAGGGCGTTTGACCTCACTTGCAATCCAATGAGCTGTTTAGAAACAATTGTGAATCTGGGATTCGATAGGATACTCACGAGTGGCCTTCGACCTTCTGCAGCGGAGGGAATTCCCCTATTGAAACAGTTGGTAGACGCTGCCAATGATCGAATAGTAATAATGGCTGGAGCTGGAGTGAACCCAGGCAATGTATTCGAAATAGTTACCAACACTGGAGTGAAAGAAGTGCACGGATCGGGTAGGGTGAAAGTTTTCTCAAAAATGAGAAGCACTTCTTCAGAGCCACAAGTACGTCTGTTTTCCTCATTTTACCATCTCATTAACTATCCGTCAAAGTTACTATTATTTTTACATATTTCGTAATTATCAATGTATTTATTATCTTTATCCAAAGGTCGGCATGGGAGCACCTGGCGAGGACGATTCTTCCCATTTCCAGACAAGCGTAGCTCTTGTTCAAGGAATTGTAGACCAATTAACGTTTGCGTTTAAAGAAATTGAAAGACTTCATTCGAATCGACAGAATCCAGAAGTTTTAGAAAGCTCCACCACCCAAAACAATGGAGAATACAAGTTTTATGATGATGGTTCAAAGGCTGGGGATGTTGGTTCAACAGAACCACCAATTATGTTAACACAACTACCAGAGGAAAATAATTTGGAAAATAAGGAAGAGGCTGTTACAGAAACGGCAACGATGATCCCTGCCTCTTCACATGAGCCAGTTGAGGTCGGTGACGATTCTGTGGAAGATGAGGATGTTATTGCAGAACAAAGAATGCTAGCACAAGAACAAACGGTCGTTAATTGTGAAAATAATAATAAGATTACACCAGAACCTGATCTGTCATCACCCCCTCAAATGATTGAGATTCGTGATCCAGAGTCAGATGAGGAAGACCTTATTATTTCAGATCCAGATCAAGTGACTTCTGCACACCCGGATGTGCCGGGGGCGTCTTTGTCAAATTTAGATGAATCAGCGTCAGGTGGAAATTATTTACAAGTGCTCAACTCTTCAGGAAATTTTAACCCAGAATCAACAGGTCGACAAGTACTCAACGATGATGACCATGATGCTACTGTTGGCTCACCTATAGCTGAAATTCCTACAGCGAATAAGAATGATACCAATAATTTACAAGAAGTAGAAGAAATTGGTGGTGGGGTTTAGTACTCTTAACTTGTATTATTAGAGTCAACCCTTTTTAATAAAAAAGGAGTGAAACTGTCTACAGCTTTCACAACGTTAACATTATTATATATAATTTATGTTTATGAAATGAAAACTGATATCCTAGATGGATTTTAATTTGTTAATTTGATGATGATACAAGTGTAGTATCGAAAGCTAGGAGAAAATATATCTGCCTAATTAAAACAACCATGTCGTCAAATTACTCTAATACTAGTTTTTAATTTGTTACTCCATATACATACCTGCGACTAATTTATATGTATGCAAAGTTTATTTAAATCCGTGATTGCTCTGTAATAAAGGGTATTTAAGATTTAAAACTTAAAATTAATTAATAAAATTTTATAAGATTGATCAATCAAAGCAAAAATTCGCCGAACACTGAATCATTACGTACTTGCACAATAAATTTTAAATAACCATACTTTGGGAGTTGTCAGAGTTTTATGTGCTACAAATTAAAGTCAACCTGCTTCTTCGTTAGGGGCGCTATGTGCATGACTTACTAACCTTAACTTCAATTTAAACCGATAATTCCGCATCACTATCTGGCTGGCATACATGCATTAAATCCCCATGATACTTGGTCGTCGTACGTACTTAACCACTTTATTTCATTGTAATTTTAATATATCTTAAATATCACAACAAACAGCATAAGGCAATAATAAACATTTAGGCACGATCTATGGATAACCATTTTTCCTTCTTCTGGGTAATTTGTTTAGTCAAAACTGGATCACGTAATCGAATTTTGACCTCGACCTTTCCCACTACTTTTCGTCCATCAAGAACCTGTAGAGGAGAAATAAAACGCGTTACTTGAGAGAATAATACTATGATTGGATAATACAACATGAACAATTGTATTAATCATGGTATAAATATTATAATATTTACAACAACAACATCTTGCTATGAGAACACTTTCAGATTTCTTTAATACCCAAGTCATACAATAACTAAATATATATGCGTAATTGTGGCTTACTTCGAAGGCATCGTGGGTCTCTGTCTTATTTCCGAGGGACTGTAGTTTGACCGTGGCCACCCCAAATAGGGACGAGGACCTGAGGAATCCTCTGCGACAAGAAGTACAACAAAATAAATGTCCCATACAACCGCAAAATCCACTGAAACAAATGATTACACTACGGTGAAGTTTTAGACGGAACGATACAAAGAAATTTACAAGTTTTCACAAACTACACACTCGATCTTGCAAAAGCATATTTAACAATAGCAAGAAGAAAATTCCAAAAACAAAACTACCAAACCAGCGTATTTATGCAGAACAATTACTTAACAGTATATCAATAGTGAACTCAAACTCACCCTTTGGACCATACTTCAACCTTAACTCCGTGTCTTTGAACAAAGCGTTGGAAATTACGAGCACTCCTATTAATGTTCATTTTATATGTGACATTATACTCTGGATCCGTCGAGTCTTTTACAACCGCCGACTTTTGACTTTGAGCTTCTTCTTGCTATATAAATAACACGTTATTAAAAACTAAATAATACGTTTTAATGCGTTTTTGCATATTATGATTTATATGTAACTTACAGACGGATATGGTAGTTCTACTCTTATAAACGTGTCGATGGAACTGGTTGATTTATAATTAATACCTCGAACAACTGTAATTTCGATTTCGTCTTCTTTAATGTCTGTGTTGCACCTGTAGGGAAGTTAAAATCATAAACGTTTATATTTATTTGACCAAGTAAGGTTAAGATCCCAACTCACTCTGTTATGGAAAAAATCCGATTTTCGTAATGATACTTTGGTGCAGCTGCCCCACTTTTTGCAGCTAATCGAAGTGCATCCAAATCTCTTTTAGTGTCTAGTGCCATAGACTCGAACCTATTTGCAGACCCGACATCCCCCACGGCTTTAAAATGCTCTCTTGTTCTCATACACATCTGTATAGACGGAATGGCAAACATACTAGCTTAGTACGTTGCGATAGAATATGTAGTTTACACATAGATACCTTTAGTTGTGACTTTAGGTCTTCTTCTAACTTGGCGAAAACTTCCAAATTCCCTCCGCTAGGAACTAAGCAGTCTTGGTCAGAGACTAGTTCAAAATCCTCTGCTTCCAACGAAGCAAGCGCTTCAGGAGGCAATGGCAGCTGAATTGAATACATCCATTTATGCATTAACGTAATGTAATAATTCAATAATAACGACAAAATGGTAGTAGGCCAACTCACCGTTTTAAGGTCGACTGGTAATCCAGATTTGGAAGCCTCGATAAGATCTATGCAACAAAAATTTTATTAGTTTATCAGGTGACCAGGTGGTTCATCAGCCCCCAAAAAAAACATCGAAAATCTAGACTCACTATCAAATCCTTTTGATATTCTCAGGTATTCTCTTGCCTGATTGATATCACCTCGTTTCTTTGCTTCTATTGCAGCATCACGGTATTGTTTTTGTCTTAATTGTACGTCTTGTAGCTGTTTTTCTTGCAATGTCAATTTTGTCATTGGCTTTCCACCAACAGCACCCCGATTTATGGAAGAAGTTGAAGGTCCGGGAGGAGTAAGACCAGATGAGGGACTAGAAGATGGGCCAGGTTTTATCCGCTTCTCTGGTGAAATGTCTTCTGGCTGAGGTTGGACTTGAATTCTATTAATAGTTGGTGTCGGACCTCCTGATATTAATATGCAACTTGAATTGTTAATTTTTATAATAGTTACACTGAAATAAAACAATTAATACCAGCTGCACTTGGGACAGGGATTGGACCAAATCCGGGTGGCGTAGGAAGTTCATCATAAGGAACAGGTTTCCCCTTTCGAAAAAGTTCTACTGCCTCCTCGTATTGCTTTACAATTCGTCCCATTCTTCTTGCTTTACCAGAGTTGGACGCAGCATTGGCTTTGTCAACTTCAGACTTGTATTTATCTAACCGCTGTTGTAACGCTTCAATAACAGAATTTGGTGGTGGTGGAGCATGGAAAATATCTTCCCCGCTTCCACCTCCAGAGCACACTTCATTTTGTGTTTGTATTGGATCCCCTTGAAAATAATAAGAATGTCATCAATTCTAGTGATTCGGTACTATTTAGTTGTTAGTTACAATTTGAGCCAAACTCTCCACTTTTGCCCCAACAAAAAAAACTTTTCTAACAAATAAGTAGCATTTCTGTACATATAAATAATAGCATACCTTCAGAATGGCTTTGATGTTGATCAATGAGTTTTGTTGGCACTTGGGTCAGTGGAATTTCAGAAGGGTTTATCAAAGTCTTTGGAACAGGAGGAAATTGTTCCAGAAGATCTACATTTACGTCACCACCAAGAGCAATTTCTAACTCTTTCGATAACTTTAGATAATTTAGAGCTCCAGAAACATCCCCCGTCCTTTTTAAAACAACGGCAACTCTTCTGTAATCTTTTATCCTTTCTAGTCCTCTCTCTGTAGGAAATAAAATCAGCTCTTCGTATATATTATCGAGTCCAACATACATTATTTGAATATGAAAAACACACCATTTACTTGAGGAGTCTTGCCTGTTGTACTTTCATAGTCAATGGGGGGTTCTGTTATGACTTGCATTTCATTCTTCGATCCATAGTCCACTGGGGGTTCTGGGGGGACGACTATCTTTCTTGGAGGTGGGACCGGAGGAGGTGAAACTGGCGTTACAAATGCAGGAGTTGGTTTAATTGGTTCTGGGAGGCGTTGCGAAGGTTGTGGCGATGGGGCGAGGAAATCTGTTGATACTTCGGCCACCGGTGCAGGGTGATCGTCAGTATTTGGAGATAAAGCTCCACAAATACCTTCTTCATTAGTGGTCGTTGTTGGTTTGTTATTCATTGTTGAAGCAACGCCTATTGAAACTGCAGGTGGAATCTCAACCTCGTTCACGACCTTGCCTGCTTTTGCCTTGCCTTGCAATTCTTTTAGCGTTTTTATTCCTCGAGTGAATCTGCAAAAGAACGTACAAAAAAGTCGATTCTTCGTTATTAATTAAATGTATTACTTAAATGCCTTAAAATTATGTACATGTAGCATACCTCCTAGACTTCCCTAAATCCCCAACCTTGTCCGATGCAAGTTTAGCTTGTTCATACAGCTGTAGCCTTTCGTTTAGTACTTTGACGAGCTCCACACTGGACATGGTCTGCTTAGGAGGTGATGGCTCGTCATCGTCGTCAGAAGGAACTTCTCCTATATCTACATTATGCGATAATGTATTCCCCTCCGGTTCTCCCAATATTTCTCCAAGCTCGGCCTGCAAGGATAATAAACATATATGCATTTCTTAATTAGACAAAACTATAGCAAATCGTTTTTTTCTCCTGTACATGGAGTTCAGGGTCGTCCAAGTCGTCCTCATCATCGTTTCCACTGTACGCACCATCTTCGTCATCATCCAGATTTATGTTTGTCACGCCATGACCCTTGGATGGAGGGGCTGACGCAGTGCCTCTCGATTTAGATTTATTGTCGCCCAAGAGGTTGAGTAGCTCATTTTCGAGATCAGCATCATCCACATCAAAGCTTCCAGAGCCACCCCCACCGCCCCCAGAAATATCATCGTCTAGACCCATGAACATACCTAGCTGTATGTGACAACAAAATTAAATATTGATTATTTTTACGAAAATTAGTTTTCCATTTACTAAAACTCGTGACCTGTGCTTTATTTTGAGCTTTTCTCTGTTCAAATTCCTCGCTGCGTTTTGCACGCTGTGTTGCTTTAGCACTGGATGCTGGTGTTTCGACCTTCTTTTTCCCAAAGCCGAATAGTGACATAGTTGTTTTGTTCTACTATAATAGTTACAAAAATTTAAATACTATTTACGACCAAAACATTGACATTAGCAATTTGACAAGACTATTTACCTTTTAAACCTAATGCAAAAAACGGCTTCTTCCCTTACGGCGTTAGTTATTGTATCACAAATTATTGCAAAGTGTACGTGGTTGCTTAAATTGTTTTGATTACACACTGTGTATAAATTGTAAGATCTTGTCAAGTTCGTAACGAACTGTTCGTTGCTTAAAATGAGAACGGTTAAAAATAAATTCTTCGAAAAACATTTACTTGAATAGCAAGGAAAGCAATGCTGAAATATTTATATAGTTTTATTATTATACTTTGTTGGATTACTCGTCCGTTCCAATTAAAACTTGATCATTTTGCAATGATCTTTTTCAGGTATGTATGATTCATCATCACATTCAGAGAAATTCTGCCCGGAGTTGGATGGGCATCGTTTAGCTACGTTTTGAGTCGCCAATGCAATAAAGTACATTATGCAATGCAAGTATGATTCTTCAATTTAAGAGTACAAAAATGTGATTTTTTAGAGATCGTTAACTTAAAATCGTAGTTTTTAAAAGCAATAGATCAATTATTTTTGAGTTGAGGCAATAGTAGTGAGCGTACAATGTACGCCGTACATACGTTATTACTAAATATTCGCTATTAATAGGTGGCCGTGCGGCCGTGGTAGCCCAAGTTAAAGTTTGCATGTCAGAAATGCATATCCTTTATTATAATTATGATACTCGTATTTTTTGGCATTCATTATGTGTATGCGTCTATAGTATCTATAATCTTATATAATGTTACTCTTTCGAAACTTATTACAGAGTATCCATAATATAATCAAAATAGGTTGTTCACGGATTTTGCATAAACACTCTGATTTCCCACTTGAAAAGTTTCTTTGGAAGCATCATGTACTTTTTATTCAAGGAATTTCTATGCACAATAACCTGGACCCTCAACGTATAAAAATCCTTAGCAATTTTGAAACAAACTTGAAAGTTGTATCGAAAAAACTTAAACAAAGCTCTAAATAAACATACATACATAATTAAGATATGATGATTGCAAAGTAGTTTATTTCTCCTCTCAATTGTTTGTGACAGGTAAGTAAGTGGGTGGCAGGGTGCATTGTAAAACAAATCGGTAATTAATGTTCTTCCTGAACTCGTGCGTTGTGAAACTTGCATAATCTTTTTATCTTGAAATTGAGGGGACCTGGATAACCCTGCCAAACACCCCATCGTCCCACAGCAACAAGGCCAAGTGGTCGCGTTTGTCTCACGACCGCCTGCTTTTCAGGCATGTGCAACGTTCCCGACACTTCGTCAATCGTCTATGTGTGGTCACCGATGGTCCTGCCGTCCTCTGCACTGGAGACCTGGTGTGGGGTCACTCTTTGCCCTGTCACCTTCCCCCCAACTCTGCTCACCCACTTTCTGAAGTAATCCAGTCACCGTCTCCCCATATGTGTATACCAGAGTCCAACGACACAAGTGACCTATCAGACCAATAATTACTTATATGATGACCCGCAATGCAGCGTTGCAAGAGTAAAGCAAGCTTAGAAAACGCTCCGTTGGCAGAATAAGCTTGCAATCATTTAATGACTCTTTTTTATACCACAATTCAATTATTAGATACATTCATAAATTGGAAACTGCATATGCTTACTTGATTAGTATAACCTCCTAAACACATAATGCAACGACATGCAGTTATCGAATGATACAATAGTGCAAATTTTGCGATTTAAATGCGAGTTTCTGATCACGTTCAATTTCATAGTGAAGAATCATCAAATATATAAATATATAAATACATAGATTTGAGTGACATTATTATCTTCTCAAGGTTTCATTTTTGCATGTATGCATTCATAAAATGCCGAGTCAGAAATAATACTTTATATTATGGTTTAATGCATAAATATTTTAAAAAAATAGTATATGAGTATATAATAGTAATAGTATATAATAGTATATGAGTAAATATGACTGCAACACTCTAATCTGTCTCACATCCTCTGCAAAGGAGAGGCAGATTGAGACCCAATCTCAATCTCAATCTGCCTCGTCAGAGGTAGTTTCGAGTACTCGAAGCCAACGCTGTTTAGTCAATTCGGCGTATTTTGCGGTGATGAATTCAATGAACCCACATCAGCATCCATCGCCACTGCTGCTGCACATATGCACTTCTCACGACCACACCATACACTCCACTAAAATAACAATCTTTTTCTACTTACTATTTAACAATACGCAATATACAGTAAAGTAAAGTAATATTTCCTGTGTGTCGATTTCGAGGACTCGGTGATCCATAAACCCTTAACATTTTACAATTAACAGCTCTCGTCATTTCCTCCCCTTGAATCACAGTAATCCTAATTCCTATAATCCAGCTGGTGTGTGGTGGGTTTGACTTTCAACAGTGTCAACCGTGAGGGGAGTTACGTTCTTGACAAAAGACCTGCAAACCGAGGTAAGAACGACATTATCTTTCATTCGATAATTATTTGATAAGCAGTTCATTTTAATATTAATTTATTCAATATTTAAATCCAAGCTTGATTAATAAATGCTGATTTATTTTTTGTTTAGATTTCCTGGTATGACGCCTCCTGCCTGCTGAATAGGTCAAGTCTGAAGTGGGATGAAATTTATTCAATGAATTATTCTATGCTCATGTCAATTGCACAAAAACTAGAGCAGTAAATGACGATAAGCTGTGATTAATAAGTAATCAGTCAAGTGTGATTGGCTGGATATATAAATATATCAGCTGAATGATACGTAGAAACCGGTAAAGATAAGACAACCACTTCAACCACTGATAAGTGAAATTTTAGGGTGAGTACGCTCATGATGTATTGAATTTCTCTTTAATGAAGTCTACGTGTACATAAACTATGCAGCTCATGGTTGTCTAACATATTGCTTCATATTTTTTCAGATCTTCTCGTACATTTCGAAACTCGTGTTTCTATAACTTTGTCACATACTGGAAAGAATATTAAGCGAGAAAACAACGTGGATTTTACAATTGTTGATAGGGCAGCTAATTGTCTAGACTTTTACTTTTTTGACTTATTTACCCATGTGGTAAACAAATATTGGAAATATGCAACCCACAACAGACGAGTTTTTATTTATGCAAAGTTATCACCATCACAACACAAATACTGATAATCGTCTCAAACAAGAACGTCGGACCCCTTCGCCCTCTTCCTCGTCCTCCTCCTCGACACATATGGACGGTGACCACGAGAATGAAGCCAATTTGAACCCCTTCTACTCCAGTCTTCTCTCGGCCCCTGAAGATTTTCATGCCGAAGTAAGTCCACAAGTCGGTAGTACACAGTGATTTGAAGGTGGTTGTTGGTGTTAATTGTAAAAAAAGTAAAAATGAACGATGATTATTACATTACTTGTACAGATACAATTGTGAGTTACTTTTTTTAAAATAGAAGTCTTTTTTTGCACTCATTTGTGTTTTTTTCATGTAAAATAAGTCAAGTAAATCTTAAATTAATATGCGCATTAATTTATTGTTCCAGTTGGAGATGGATTTATTTCCCGATGCTGAGTCTTTGGACACGTTTTCCGAGTTACAGCAAGAAGAGCAGCGTTTACGAGAAGAACTGATATTCAGTTCAGCAGACATAAACATTAACCGATTCTTGCAAGAAGGGGAGAATCAATCATCATCTGGGATAGATTCTGTGTCCCCATTCCACATTGAGTTCAACAATGAGGTATTAATGTAGTAGTATTAGACCCATAAGTGAAAAAAGTTCCCGTTTTAATGACAATATTAATTAGACTCACTTTCATCATTTTTTGCAGAGCTTGTCCCACAGCCCCTCTTCAATGTTCATGATACAAAATGAAAATTCCACAAGTTCTGCTTCTTCCTCTGTGGATATTGATCTCGATATTGGAAACAACCAGATCCCGAATAATGCTACCACCTTTGTGGATACGTTTACTCTTTCTCCGTGCATGGATTCGCCTCCCTTAACGCCTCCAGAAGTCAAAGTGGACATTACAGCTCATGGTCAGACCAACCTGGTTTTTACGAGCTCAGTAAACACCTTGGGGACAAGTATTCGAGCAGGTAGGTTTTTGTAATGCATATTAAGTTAAGGTTTTTATTTTTCAATGTTATGATTGTCATTATAATTATTTAGTGAATGATATGAACCTTCCGAAGCTAATACCAGCTTTGAAATCCAATAAGAGAGGAAGATCAGCATCTCATGATGATTCTCCAGATGTGCAAGCTCTGAAACGGCATATTCGAATGATTCGTAATCGAGAGTCGGCATCTCTATCTCGGAAGAAAAAGAAAGAGTATGTTACTGGGCTTGAAGATCGGATAAAAGGATTGGAAAAGGAGAACGAAGGTCTCAAAAGAGAAAATATATTTCTGCGTTCCAAATTGCAACAAAATGGAATCAAGTTGGGAGCTGAAAAGAAAAAGAGTCATGTTGTTGGAGGAGTTGTTGCTAAAGTGGCTTTGCTAGGCCTGTTTGGATTTGTCATGATCAATTTTAATTCAAATCCACGGCCTACACATCCTATGGAACATTCCAATGTCTCAGATTTTTCAAGAACATTGACCAAATTGAGATTAGCTGAAGCGTCGGAAGGGGAGGATCATACAGTAACACCATTGCTGGCGCATCAACAGAGGTTTATTCCAAGGTAATGCATAAATTAATTCAATTTTTAAAATATTTCAATGGTTAACTCGCATTAAATAGTATATGAAGTTGTTCATGATCGCGTTTGCCTTTATTTGTAATTCAAAGGGCTGGAGACATCGACTTGAACTACACGAAATCCTCAAAATCAAAATCATTTACCTTGGAGAATATTAACTCGGCATCGGATGGAACTTACGGCAGCTTGAGCAACATTAGTCATATAGCAATTGGCACTGCCAACTCCTCTATGCATGAAAATTCTTCAAGTATAATTGGCAAACCCATGTCCTACTTAAATGGTACAGCTTATAACAACCAAACCCATCAAGTTCGTCAAACACCAACTTCAACACGAGATGGAAATACGTCTTCGGTCGTCGTCAACAACAATGTTAAGAGAGAACGAGAAAGGTCCAACTCTAGCAGGTGGAGATCAAGGGGTATTTCAAATAAAAAGAAAATGACTGGATGGCCAAGTTCCTCGCTCAAATCTGCAAATTGGGTGTTTCCCCCCTTCATGGGGTCTACCGGTGTGAGTAACTCTTCAAATCCTCAACACACTACAAACCGGTGTCCAAACCCTTTCAACAAGACTGAATCTATGAGGTTTGATATCGAATATGTTACTTTGTAATAACCACATGAGTTCATTCTCATATTAAATAAATTCTCGTTTTAACAGAGTTAAAAATGATCTTGAGGATATTTTCGGCAAAGGAAAATTCTCACAGAAAAAGTACAAAACCTCTCAAGCTAAAATCAGTCCCGTATTAAAATTGGAACCCATCGTATATTCTCTAATTAGTCATAATATGGATGCTTCAAAGAATATCATTCCACGAGCTGAAAATTCTGATCTTAACAAGGTATGTAAATATGCATGAAATTACAGCCTTCACAATTCAGGAGTCATTCGGCTATGTACTTATGAGTATATATTGTTTGCAACAAACTTTATAAATCAATCAATCAGCTTTGATTCTGTTGTTCACAGGGATTGGCAGTTTATGATGGTGAAAAGAAACGATTTTCTACAATTTTAGAAAAGTTGGAACGTCGCGAAGACACATTTTACGTGGTCTCACTTGCTTCAGACAACCAACTGCTACTCTCTGCCAAAGCCAGCAATGAATCCTCACGTCCAAAAATGACTCTACTGCTTCCCTGGAGAAATGGTTTGTGATACCCTTTTTACCTTAGCAACGTTATAATGATACTGATTGATTGGTTTCCTTGTTTAGAAACATTAAATGAAGACATGATTCTCCAGATTGATTGTGAAGTCTTTCAAGTGTTTAACTTGAATGATGAGAAGAGGAAACCAAAAAGACAACGGTCGTCAGCTTAATCGGGAGTGTAATTTTGGTACTATTCTATTTCATCCATCTCATTTTCAATTTTAGTCTTCTTTCTTCGAAACACCATCACCTACACTATTAAATACTCTAGATCTTTCATGACTACTTTACTTTTTAATCTTGATCGATGTAGTTAGAGTCTATTGTCTTCCTCTAATTATCTTAATTCCTTATCAATTGATAATCTACTCTCCGTAGTTTTTACATAGTAAACCTACTTGTTATTCAGTAGATATTTGCATATTCCCTTTTGATTGCTATTCTTCTGTAACTATTCCAAATTTAAGTTAGATATTGGACTAGCTCTGATCTCAGTCATTAATTTATGGACCAAAAAGTAACTATGACTAAATAATTTGCAATTTATGTACCAGGATTGTGCTTACTGTATGCACAATACACAATTTCGCGTATAATATCCGTGGACTATCTTTATTTAACATGTGTAGTTTTACATCAATCCATATATGTGCAATTACTCAATGTAAGTATTTGTAGTTTCGTATTTTTTGAAATAAGTTGGCATAATGAAACCATCGCTGGTATGAAATTAAGAAGTGTTTATGATATGGTGCATATTTATCCAAATAATGTCGGGTTTTTATGTCGCATATATATTTAATACTTGCATTTATCAAGTTTACATATATCGTTGATTTCAAAAGATTGTAAGTCATTCCGAAATAGTTTACTTAATGTTTTAGATTCGTGGTATTTATCATTATTATGACATATTTACATATACGCAAGTACATATTGGGTGGGTAAAACATATAAAAATATTTTGTGCTAATCAGTTATGACGAATCTAATCCTAAGTACTAAATATGTGTTAATAAAGTTTGTTAGAAAAAAATTACTTATGAAACTACGAGATATAAATATACAGAAAAAACTTGAACCCATCCCAAATTTAAACTGCGAATTTGTCAAAATGATTTAAACCCTAAGTAAATCTACCCTGTTAGCGAAATAATCTGTTTATGTCACTTGTCATACATGCGTATCACATCGGCACCTCTAGAATAATGAAAAAATAATAATACCATGTGGAATAAGATTTACTACATCTAACTTGCTGATCTGACAAATAAGTAGCTCTCTCGAGTTTGCGATCCATTCGAGTTCATTCACATCTAGAAGTATGTATTGGTAGCATCTCATACAGTGGGAAATTATCTGTATTAGCGTACGTGCATATGCGCATATGTAAATATATGCACATACATTTGTACATATATGCACATATGTTTTTAAGAAAACGATTATATTATGGCTTAAAATTCGGTCTAGATTTAATCCTCTATGGTAAAAATATATTTAATAGCATATTTTGCGCGTTTAGGCAAATGACATATATAGTTACGACGGGTACATAAACGCAGCTATGACGTCACTTCACTTGTCACTTCCGTTTTGTGAACTGATGCAAATAGGGCATTCGTTTGTGTTTTAATATTGAGATTCTTGTCTTGTGATTGCCTTCTGTTTGTCCTATATGAAAATGAGTAGCCTATTCTATTCGGTTACGTGCTCAGACACACGTAATGAATGTGATATGAATTGTACTAATTCGATGGGCTTTACCATCCTTCAAATCCTTCCAAAATAACTTTCACTTTAATTCCCATATTGCAATAAGAACAGACATCAATGCATCTACAGAGACTGAGTTAACATAACAATGATGAATTTTACAATAGTCAAGATTAAGTAACGAGTGATGGATGTTGCAGAGTAAAACTTGAGACCTTCATGAACACGTATGTTTGATAACATTAACAATTAGTGTCATTATTACGTGAATCTTCTTCTCGTCTGATCATCCTTAAAACTCAAACGGTGCCAAGTCAGCCATGATAAGTTCCACTCTACCAACAAATCTCATCTCTAGTCTTCAAAATAAGAATGCTACCCATTGATGCTTTGCATATTTATCCGGCAGTCTACGCAACATGTTGTATGCTTATGAACTGTATTCTTTGTGGATTTGCATGACTCCAAATCTCAGCTCCATCCAACTTAAATCTACGACAGGAAAACCAATAAGAATGTAGTTTACTTGGGAATAAATTAAGTTAACAATATACATATTCGATGTCTTTGTCCACTTCTTATATTGACTCACTCATCCTCAGTTCCTTATTTCTCATCTTTCTCATTTTCATTTACTTCACTTCTTCACCTCGACTGGGTTGGACACATACGGAGTCCTTCCTTGTCACTTTATATTTACAATATTTTTACGGATCAATTTCATAATTATTAAGCGCTCACTTGCTAAACAAGGCTCAGCGTCACTATTAATTGAGCTTGTTGTACCCATTTTATATTGTGCCCATAAATACATTTTATATATTGGAGGTCCGATTGGTTTATCAAGGTCGACAGAAAAGAAATAACATGTTTCCCACCCGATATTTTATTTTTGTAAGTTCACGTGCATATTTTAAATTGCCACACATGAGCGTATGCACATGTGCACATGTGCACATGCATAGTTTGACATCTAATTCGAAATTGTATTTCTTTTTAGATGATGATAATCATTGAGGCGTCAAGTGGTCCACTGCCTGACGAAAGAACGGCGCATTTAAGTCGTCCCAACCGCCCAGAGGGACTGGAAAGATTCCTTGGACTTGGCGTTGTCTTGCCGTATCCTTATTTTCAAAAGTGAGTGCAACTTTCATGCGGCACATGTACTCGACCGATCAAATTGCTTTACGATAAAAAAAATTCCCTCTGATTGAAGGCCACAGTATCGATTTCCCGTGTATGACCGAGAGGGGAGAGGCTACCTCGCTTACGGATACGGAGGCAAGGAGACATTCCGCTATACCAAGTTTGACCAGAGTGAAGGTCATCATTAAGTGTCAGCGTCGTTGGCTAGATAAATGCGAAAATTTGACTTTGTAAAACTTTATATTGTCAAAATCCAAAAATATTATGTACAAAGACATGGTTATTTGTTAAAAAAAACTCTGAGCATAGTTATAATGACTTACACTACCCGATCTCATTAATTAAATTCGTAAGTTATGCTATCGTTTGACTATGTACATGCATAGTTTTATAAATGACAATAAATATATACTATTACATATAACATGAAATGAAGCTTTCGGTAGTTCGATGATTGATAAATTATCTAGATTTGTTTCTACATGTCAAGCATGTTCATGTAACAAGTTAAGCATCTGACTTGATAAAGGACAAGGACAAAAAATATCACGATGTATGTGTACATATACACATACATGCATGTAAGTTCAAATACCATTTACGTAAAATCCCGTAAAAAATCTATGTACGTCAAAAGACGATAAATGAGTAATTTTAGTCCCAAATAGATCCAACAATGTCGAACTGATGATGATATCGAATCAGTTATGAAATTTTCAAGACTATACGAGGGAATACAATAAAGCTTCAAAATAATGGATAATACACTTTAGCCCACATTTGTCATCTTGCCATTTAAGTTACCCATGGTCGTATGTAAAAAAAACGCTTCAAATGTCCTGTTTACTGCTTTAAAAATTATATTTTGACCAGTTTTAAAATAAGGAAAGAACAGAAGAATACATAAATATTATAAATTATAAATCTGTACACACTTTTTCCTTTATATTCATTTAAGGACAAAAACTTCACATATATGTAATGCATGAACATCAATCGGAGTGAGATCCCAAAAACTGAAATATGAATATTCAAGAGAGAAAATATGGATTAGAGTGCTTAATTTTGTGACGATCGAAAATTCCAGTGTCTTTGGCGTGGCGGAGGTCATGACGAAGCACTTCCCACGAAGGCGTTATGCAATTGGGATATTCTTCAGGCATCAAGCTTGCAACCTTTTTACTGAAAAAAATATTCTGGTTTCCATTGAGCCAAGAAATGTAATAGGGCATTTTTTGGTCCCGAAGTTTGAGAAGCTCTTCTTGCGATGTTGCAAATTTTACGAGCTGAATCATCTCGTCGTTGGAATCCATTTTCTTCCATTTCTCCAAAAAGTCTGTGGAATCCAAAACTTGCACAGCCACGCCAAATTCCTTGGCTAATGTTTCAAATTCCCTCTCGTCACCTAATCAGATGAAAATATTCAGTATATAGAAAATGGAAGCTGAAACAACTGGTCCTATCGTGGTTATCTTACCCAAATGAGGGTTGAGCACATTGAACATTTCATAGCCAGCTTTGTCATTAAAAAAGAGATCGATCGATATTTTGGCACATTGGTCCACAGCCATCAAGCTGAGCGGAATTCTGACACCATGCATGGATCCGATGTAGAGATAAGCCAAGAAACGCATCATGAGGAACGAGTCGAGTTGGATGTTGCCCCCACGAACAGAATCGCCTCCTAGTTGTGGAAGTCTGAATACTTTGCATGGAACTCCAGCAGCCACGGCCTGTTCAGCCAAACGGTCACAAATTAGCTTGGAAATGGAGTAGGCCGAATTAGGAAACATTGCGACTTCCTCCTCTGCAGGCCAACTCTCCCAAAAATATCCATCGTCATCGACTCTGGTTTCTGCCGCAAATGTGGACGCATGATAAACGTATTTAAGTTTCTTGTCGACTGCAAACGAGAGCACATTTCTCATTCCAAAAACATTAGTGACACGTGAGCTTTTGGGGTCCTCACTGTCTCTGTAAACCTCTTCGAATGCCACCTTCACGGCCAGATTAAACACAACGTCAACTTCAGTTGCAATTTGTTGATATATTTGTTGACTAAGCCCAAAACATGGCTGTTTTACGTCTCCGGAGATGCATTCAACTCGAGTCATATCAATTTCATGGAAAAGTCCCTTCTTTTCGAATACGCGTTGAAAGCGATCGGAGACGGACACCACTGGACTTGGTTGCATGAGGCAGTAAACTTTTTTGATCTGGCTCCGTTTGAATATCTCCCGGGCGACGTAAGGGCCCAAAGTCCCGGTGGAGCCAATCACGAGGACGGTGGATGCTTGGGACAGAGGACGAAGTTTGGATTTCATTTCAGGGTCGACGCGAATATTTTCTGGGAGTTTGGCATCTCGAGCAACTAAATCCTTCAGCTCCTCCGCGGTGGGTGGGGCGAGTTCTTCCTTCCCGGATATGAGTTCCACTAATCGGTCCGTCAATTGTGCCACAGTTTTGCAATCCTTGACCGCATTGATGGAGATTTTGACCCGTTTTCCCACCGAGGCCTGAAGCCCGTTCTTCATCTCGACCATAAGAAGCGAATCAAATCCCATGTCCTGAAAGTTGACTTGGTCCTCAATCTCTTCGTTCTTGTCCATCTTGAGCGTGATGCGGATGAGGCGTTTCAGAAATCTGCGAACAATATCAAACTTGGCGTCTCGGTTGGACGCCCCATCATATTCTCGCCAAAACTCGTCCCCGTCAATGTCAGTTGCCCCAAGAGACGTTTCTTCCTCAATGTCAGCCAAGAGGCCTCGGGTCGATGGTAGTACCATTTTCACACCGGAAAGGTCTGTGTCATGAGCCATGATCTGACTCTTGTGAGATTTTATTGCATGTTCCAAGGCAGCCAATCCTTGATGAATGGTAATCGGCTTGTTCATTGCGACATGCAAATTAGCTGCCAGACCGACCTGCCCCCATTGTCCCCAGTTGATCGTGGTGCCTAAAAGTCCAAGCGAGCTTCTATAATGAACAAGTTGATCCAAGTAGTAGTTGGCAGCCGAGTAATTGCTTTGTCCTGGTGACCCCAGGGTCACTGTCATGGATGAGAATAGAACAAAGTGCTCAAGCGGATATGGAAGCTCTAGGCTGAGCTGATGCAGATTCCAAGCCCCTTGAACTTTACATTGAAAGACAGCTTCAAATTTATCCCACGTCTGGTTTTCATAAGTTGCATCATCCAGCACACCAGCGGCGTGCATGACTCCCCGAAGTGGTGGCAGTTTGCCATTGTGACAATCTGCGACCAAGCTAGTAAGCTGGTCCATGTCCCCCACATCACATTGACGTATCTCCACAGTAATTCCTAGTTGACGAAGGTTCTGAACCTTCTCCATAACATCAGCCTTTGGTGGACTACGTCCCACGAGTAGCAATGTTTTTGCCCCATTATTTCCCATCCAGTTTGCAACCTCGAGACCAATGCCTCCCAGACCTCCGGTGATCAGATAAGTCGACTTATCATTAAATAGTCGAAAAATGGGCTCTGATCCAGGTGACAAGTCAGGCATTGTGAGGACAATCTTGCCAATGTGTCTCACTTTCTCCATGAACTCCAATGCATCTCGAATCTCGGAGGCATCAAAGCGTGTATACGGTAAAGGTTTAGGCCGCTCACTCTTGGGGGACATGAGCATCGTTTGCAGATAGTTCGTAAGATGACTGACTTTCTCTTCCGTGTGAGTGGAAACATCGACGACTTCGTAGAACACGTCCGGCCTCAGCTTCTTTACTTGTTCCTTGCTCCAAATGTTCATTTTGCTCATCTCGATGAACCGAGCCCCTTGTTCGCAGACGGCGAGAGTGGCTTCTTTAAAACCTGGTCCAGTGAGAGAATTTAGCACCACTGTGACACCTCTGCCACCCAGTGACCTCCGTATTTCGGTCTGGTAGTCGGTCGTTCTCGAATTGAACACGTGGGTCAGTCCCAAGCTTCTGAGGTAGTTGCGCTTCCGCTCATTTCCAGCCGTGACAACTATCGTGCAGCCGAGTCGCTGAGCAATTTGGATTCCGAGTAGACCGACCCCACCGGAAGCAGTGTGAATAAGGACGATATCACCTTTCGTCGCCTTCGCTGTATCCACAAGACACGACGCAACGGTTATAATTCCCATGGGGTAAGTAGCTGCTTCAGAAAATGTAACATCATCAGGAATGACAAGGGTTCGGTGGTCCTGTGCAACGATGTGTGTCGGCATGGCAACACCCGTGCGGCGAATCAATACTACACGATCGCCAACCTTTTTCTCACACCCGGCTCCAACTGCAGTGACCACACCGGCAATGTCAATCCCTAAATAGTTGTACTTCTCAAATACTGGGTCAGGTTTTGTGACCATAAAAACGTCCAAAAAGTTGAGTGCGTACGCTTTCACCTCCACTTCAACATGCTTTTCAGGAATTGGGTCAGGTTCACAGGGCGCAAAGTGCAGATCTTGAATAAGATGCGATGGAGGAAGGACGAGTCGGAATCGTGGGGTTCTGGGAAGTGGAAGTGGCGCAGATTTCGCCTTGTACGGACGAAGTCGCGGGGTGCAACGATGGCCCTTTCGATACGCCACCAACACATCTACGTCGGTTGTGAACAGCTCGGTAAACGCTTCGGCCATTGCAATGTCTAAGCTATTTTCAGAAGCATCAATATCCACGCATTTGCATATAAGATCCGGGTTTTCGTTGGCTAGCACATTTAGCATTGCGACAAGCGGTGATGCTTTTGGTTGGCTTTGATAGAAATCGTCCGGTCCAGTGCACATGTTTCCTTGAGTAATAACGACTAATTTCATCGAACTTTGAATTTGTAGCTTGGCCAAATATTTACAAATGTGGAGAAAAGGTTCGCAAACTTGGGCAGTGCTGCGATCGTGGTCTAACCCCCACAAGTAAAGGACCCCTTCGATTGGGTGATGGGGTGAATCGGCACCTGTGGAACGGAGCAACATTGCCGTGTGTTCTTCATCCATTTGCGAAGTGACCATTACGACATTTTTATTCGTGGCCTTCAGTCTCCTCACCAATTCTTTGGTAGCGATTCCTTCATCCCCAAACACGATCCAGTTCAACTTGTTCTCCAAGTGATCCTGCTTTGAGGCAATCTTGTTGCTAAACACGGTTTCTGAAGGCTTAAGTTTTGCTAACATAAGTGCATCCGTCCCCGCGTAGCCTTTCCAGTACGTGAAGTTATCGAAGCCTAGTTTATCTAGTATTTTCGACCATTTATCGACTGAGAGCTCACAGTTCCATGGACGGAGATGCAAGTCCTCAAATCTCCAGAACCCTTCCAGTCCACCAAAAAGTAAATTGACACCTCGATGGGGCTGGACCAACTCGTTTATGAAAACATAGCCCCCCGGCCTTAATAATTTCTTGAGGTTTTTCATCGATTCCTCAATATTTTTCGTTGCGTGAAGCACCCACGAGGCGACGATGAGGTCGTAGTGAGCTGGAATAAAGCCCTGGTCGAGGGGATCCTTCTCCACATTTAACAAGCTAAATTTAGCAGAAATCCCGGTCTCTTCAAACAAGTTGGTTCCAATTTGCAAAAATGCTGGCGAAATATCCGTGTAGGTATATTCGAAGTGAGAAACGCCAGCATCTTTCATGTGGCGAATGTGATGACTCGTTGTGCTCCCAACACCAGCTCCAACTTCCAAAACTCGTACGACTGACTTACTCCCCATTTGAGCCAGCTTGGAAAAAATAGCGTGGTCCACATCAGCCATGGCGAACCTTTTGAGAGCGTCTACAGATTCCGAATAATAAAGTTCTGCTGGGCCCCGAATGTTGCCCATGTCCGGGTAGAGAAGAGGAAGTGCGGATTGTGTCCCTGTCAAAATTGAGGTAAGAACAGATCCGAGTGGGACAACACAATCAAGGTCAACGTGACCCACATCACTTTGTCGAATTTCCTTTAGAATTTCGTCAATATTGTTTTTGATGGAGGAAAGTTCAGGAAGTGGTTTTGCTAAGCTGAAGGTGCTTTCATCTCCTGTATTCACTAACTCTAACCACCCATCCTTCACCAGTTCCACGAGAATATAGCGGAGGAATTTATCCTGGAACGGGACAACTCCTAATTTGCTCACAATACTTGGCCACTGAATTGTATCTTCTGTGTCGAGTCCCAAAACTTTCATAGATTGGAGCATGTAGAGACCTGTGAGCTGGCTGAAACGCTCGTAAAACTGACCTTCTTCTGGAGAACAGGAAGTATACATTGTGTGCTCCACTTTGACGTACTCTTGGAGGTTGATTGTACCCCTTTTTGAATCTGGAATCCTCCTTTCTTCCGGACCCAGTTTTTCTCTCCAAATAAAATCAGCCATGCAAGGAAACGGGTTTTTCTGGGAATCAATGAGACTTAAAATGTTTGAAAGAGTAGTTTCCATGAATTCCGTGCCCAACATGGAGACCATAATTTTCCCAGCATCGTCAAATAAGTGGGCCTCATTCCCGGTATCCCTGTGACGGATATAGATGTAGCCGGTGGGTGCAGAATGGCCCCACCACGTGTAGTTGTCGATGGACACGGGAACCACTAGACGCTTTCGGATATGCTTCTCATCCAGCAAACCAGTGGCAATGATTTGCGTCTGAAGCATGGGGTCCACGATCCACGGATGGATAATAAATCTGTCCAAATCTTCGTTCTTCTCGTGCGTTGAGAATGGAAAGATCCACTCGGTTGAATTTTTCTGGTCCTCAGCGTCCATCCATCCAGTAGTCACCATTCGAAGTGAGGGCCCAAAGTTGAAACCAAAATCCTCCAGTTCTTTGTAGTCGAAGCCATCTCGTAGCATGGTCTTACAGCGAGATTTTATGGCTTCAAGGTCAAACGAATGAGGGAGTGCTGCCGGATTGTTGCTAAAATTGGCTGTTGCGTTACGGACCCATTTGAACTTGTTCTCTTCTAGGAAGACTTTGGTGAATATGGTGCTCGTTATTTCCCCATGTGTCCCCTTCAATACTACAACCTGTGCATTTTAATTAAGCAGAAGCATACACGTGAAAAACAATTAAAATACTTCCCAAAGCATATTCCATTGCTTACTTGAAAATCAGTCGGAGCCATTTCGCTCAAACAAACTGGGGTCAGGATTGAAAAATTCCGAACGCAGAGAGGTGAGGTAGGTTTGTTGTAACTGCCCTCGTTGCACATGGTGGCGGCATATCCGGCCGTCATGCACATGTCGACGTAGCCGACGCACGGGAAAATAATCTTGTCGCCCAGGGCGTGGTCTTTGAGAAATGGGAGTCGATGTACGTTGACTGAGCTTTTGAAGATGGTGACGTCGGACGGGTTGGGGACGAAGGAACCGAGGAGTGGATGGAAGGGGTTGGACCCTTCGTCCTTGATGTTCATCCAATACGGCGTCTCCTCAAAGTGGTAGCCGGGCAACTCCACCTTTCGCCCACCCGAATAGCGATGGAAATTGGCCCACGTGATGGGACGGCCCAGCGCGTACAGCTTCCCCAGAGCAGCCAGCATCGTCTCCCAATCGTCACATTTCCGACGAAGTGAAGCAGTCGTGACCACATCCGCAACCTTCATTAACAAATTAATTAATGGTGACATGATACAACAAGTGAAATTCTATTGCTACACAAATATGCAACGTCACTAAATACGCACCTCGTCAACGTTGGTCATGAGGAGTGTGGAGAGGACGGGATGCGGTCCAATTTCGAGGAACAGACTCTGGCCCTCGTTGACTACAGCATGGCTGGCCTCCAAAAAGCGCACCCTTTCCCTCGTGTGTCGCACCCAGTACTTGGCGTCGACTTTGCTCACCGTGCGCCCATCCACGGCAGAAATGAACTTGATGCCCGTCGACGCTTCCTTGTAGCCGATCGTACGAGCGAGCGCCTCATATTCCGCGAGCATTGGGTCCATGAGACGAGAGTGAAAGGCGTGAGAGGCGTCCAGCACGTGGGTTTTGATGTCGTTGTTGTCGCAGTAGAGCTTGAAATCGTGGACAACATCCGTGGGCCCCGCAAGCACGGTCTGACTCTCAGAATTGACCGCAGCCACGTCCAACCACTTTTTCTGATTGGAGAAAGCCCGCTCCAAACTTTGCTCCACTTTCTCCAAACTGGTGCCGACGACGAGCATGCTGGCGGCGGGGAGAGCGTGGATCAGTTTGGACCTCGTGACCACCAACTTGAGGGCGTCTTCAGCCGACAACATTCCCGCAGCCACCGCAGCAGCGAACTCGCCCAAACTGTGACCCAGAACAGCGTCCGGTTTGACACCCCAGGATTCCCACAGACGAAGCAGACAGAACTCCACCACGAAAATTGAGGTTTGGCTGTAAAGGGAAGATTTCAGCAAAGAAAGTTCCCCGTGGTCCCAAAGTGCAGTTTTGAGTGAAAGAAAGCCATGCTCCTTGCTCAACACGGACTCGCACCAGTCAAAGTTGGAACGGAAGACGATGCTCTGTTCGTAGAGCGACCTGGCCATTCCCGGATATTGAGACCCTTGGCCCGTGAAGAGGAAACAGAGCTGTGGAACCTGATTGGGAATTGGGGCGCCCTTTTTGATCCCCTCCATCGAACTGAGCAGCTCCTCCTTCGTGGACCCAAAGGCCACTTGTCGGAGGTGCATGTGGGGACGACCCGTGTGCATCGAGTACTCAATGTCCCTCAAGAACAGCTCCTTGGGTTCGTTTGTGTCGGGCAGATTCTTGAGCAGATCAGCGTATGCTTTCACCTGGAAGCGGAACGCTTCTTCGGATTTGGCCGAGAAGGTCAGCATCCTCAGCTTTCTCGAGTCCGTGAAGGGGAAGGAATGCGGAGGGAGATTCTCTGGCGGCTCCTGAACCAGCACGTGGGCCTGGGCTCCAGTAATGCCGAAAGAATTGACTCCAGCAATTCTGGGTTTGCCGCCCTTGGGTCTTCGTTTCCAGGGGACGGCCTCCAGGGGGAGCTGGGCGGGAATGGCGTCCAGGTTGATGTCGGGGTTCAGGTTCTTGAGGTGCAAATGCTTCGGGATGAGCTCGTGCTTCATGGCCAGCACCGACTTTTGAATCCCCGCTATCCCGCAAACCGACTCGGTGTGACCGATGTTGGTCTTGACGGAGCCGATCGTGAGCACATTGGTCCTGCCTTTCGACCCCCGCGAATAGGCCTTGGCGACGGCGGCTATTTCAATGGGGTCACCCACGGGTGTGCCGGTCCCGTGCGTCTCCACGAACTCCACGTCGTTCGGGTCCACCCCGGCCCGTTCCAGAGCCAACTGCATTTCACAAATACGACTTACACTTGAAATATTTTCCATGACAATTCTTTTTAAAATGGTGTTGAATTATTAACCTCCATGGCTTTGGCCTCCACGTCGACGGTGGGAGTGCCCATGCTCTTGCTCGGCCCCTCTTGCACGATGGCCGACCCTCGAATGCATCCCCAAATCGTGTCCCCGTCCGCCACGGCATCCGAGAACCGCTTGAGGATGAGAACGCCGATGCCCTCGGCTCGACCAAACCCGTCCGCACTCGCATCGTACGTTTTGCAACGACCGTCCGGAGCCAGAACCCCCTCCATCACGGACGGCGAGAAGGGATGCAGCAGCAAGTTGGCTCCCACCTGTTTCGCCATCAATTAAATTGCACATTACATTTCTCGTGTCACTTTGCTTTTAAATTATATTTGAGGTCAGAAATGAAGTACTCACGGCGATGGCCAGGTTGCACGCGTCGCTCCTCAAACTGTCGCAGGCCATGTCCACGCCAGCCACGGAGGTCGAGCAGCCCGACTCGGTGGAGAACGACGGACCCATGAGTTCGAAAAAGTGGGAAATCCGGGCCGTCAGCGGTCCCAGGGCGTTGCCCATGTAGCCGCGGAGAAAGTCCGTGTCCACGATGCCCAACATTTGCAACATTTCCTTGTAGTCGTTCCGCCACCAACTGCGACCATTTTATTTATTACGGAAATTTATGCTAACGTCTTTTCATGTAGAATATATGAAGTGGAATAAGTGGCATTCTCACCCTCCGAAAACTCCGGTGAGCGTGTTTCGGAGCGTGTTGGGGTCGAGGCCGGCGTGCTCCAAGGCCTCCCAAACGATGCGAAGGGAGAGGCGCTGCTGGGGGTCGAGATAGTGCATGTCCGCCGCGTTGGTGTTGAAGAACTTGGCGTCGAAGGTGTGGATGGGACAGGAGAGAAAGCCTGCCTCCGTCGCCCCCATGTTGTCCATCCGGATGAACGCCTTGTCCTTGGTCCACCGACCCTCGGGCACCTTCCGAATCCCTTCCAACCCATTCGCCAGCAGCGACCAAAACTCCGCAATCGTATTGGCGCAAGGGTAGCGACACGCCATTCCCACGATCGCGATCGAATTGTGCAGCTCCCAGTCCACCAACTGCCCATCCAAGGCTGGACCGTTCACCACCACCTGAAAACATATCAGGCACAACTAAGGTGAGAGGTCAGCAGTAGTCTCATTTCGTTCTAAATTCTCATCTTGCCTCCATGCCAATATCTTCGTTGCACATTTACATACTTGTGCAAAATTGTGCATATGTTGTGCATACTATTAGATGTACGTAGCTACATATGAGTATAATGATGCTTACCTTTGCAGAATGTATCTCGGGGCAAAGCGAGACGCACAACTTGATAACCTCTTCTTCAAGAACACCTCGCTGACGAAATGGCTCGACATCTTGGTCGTGAGGGTGACCATTCACGAAACAAACCATTTTCATGTCCTTCCCAGGGACTGGCGTTGGATGGGCGCTGTCGACACAATATTGTGCATTATTATAAACATACGATATAAATGCAAATGTTGCTAACAGTGCTTGTGAGATCTAATTTGAATTATTGAATGCAAATCATAAAGCGAAATTTTTTCACCTCTTGAAATCCAACTCCACGCAGTAACTCAGTTCCTCCATCTTGAGTTTACCCGGATTCTCAGCCACAAATTTTCCACCTGTAAATCAAAATTTATTAATGTATGGTTTATGTATGTGGAGAGTGGAAATTGCATATTTTAGCTGTAATCAAGGCATTTACCGTTCTCACGTTGGACCACAAGTTCCGTAATCAGGTCGTGATCCTCGGCTGCCAAGCTTCGCGACTTGGTGAGCACGACGGCCTTGTCCTCTCGCACCCACTGAACTCCATGGGTTCGAAACAGGTCGTCACAGTTTTTGAGGGGAAGGCAGGCGCAGTCCAGGAAGACGGCCTTGTGCAGCCCCTTCAACCCGCCTGCCACCCGCTTCGCCACAGATCGGAAAAGCACCCCCGGCACCGGTTCAGCCCAAAATACCGAACCCACTTCACCCTGCAGGCGGCGACTAGGATCAAAATTAAAAGTAATTGTCAAACACTTTGCATATCGTACAAACGATTTATGGGAATTTCAATTTTATGCTGGAAATTGAGACGGGGCAAGTTGAGATTGTTGAGACATTTCGTCTCATTAGTATATTTAACGAATGTAATGGCTGTGGGTATATATTTATGGACATATAAGTTATCAAGGTCACTCACCCCAGGTCATGCGACACATTGTCCGACACGATGACGACCAATGGTCTCGTCGTGAGCGACCGTCTCAATGCACGGGCCAGAAGGACACATTTCCAAACCTCGCTCTCGTCCCCAGCGTAGCTCACCCAGTATTGTTTAAGACCTGTGAAACGGTAAGTACTTCAAGTTTGGCATGACAAAAATAAGGAAATTGGAGCTCGTCCAGGTAATAAACTCAGTATTGATTAATCAGAGCAGACTTGTTAGCTCATACATACGCGTATATGAACACTTTTTGTTGACATAGTTATAAAATTATTTACGTGGTGCAAATAGAATCAGTAAATTTGCAGGAGTGATTTATTTCATATCCCGATTACTTCCAATAGTTGGGCTAGTTAATATTAGAACGAATTGCCCTGCTGATCACTGCAGGCTAACCTTAAATTTGACTATTATTGTTCAATTTGTCCAAGTCCAAGTTCTTTGTCCTTGGACAAAGTTATTATGAACTTTAATAATATGCTACCACATTTTTTCGTAGTTTCTGAATTTATTGTTAACTAATTATTACATGTATTATATCACTAAATTAGTATAGCAGTAGCTTCAGCTCTTTGTCATCTCAATTTCAAAATTACATGACAAATTTCTCATTCTTCTACGTACACGTCCCTTGATAATGAATGGCAGACAGCATTCGAAATATTGACAAATAAAGCAAACTTTTTCTTCGTTTTTTCCACTAAACTCCGTGTAATCCAATTATTAAAATTATATGTGTTTATCTATATTGTCAATGAATATGTAATTGTGATTAGTAAGCACTGAGGCGTTAGCATGACTCGTTTACAGCAATGGTTCTTCGATCATTAATTTATTTTTGTATAGTTTATGACGAAATATTGGTTCTCTAGACCTTTTGTAAAACGTGTAGGTTATTTTTTTCAAGTCAGAAGTCGAGCAAGTAGCCATGTTATTGTTTATGAAATATCATGAAAATGCGAGTGTAGGTACAAATACACAAGTTACTGAAAGAATTTCATAGTTTGATGTGTCAACCTGCTTATGTCTGCTTTCTGGATGTTAAAATATTTGTAATATTACCTGCCATTAATTGTTCTAATGATCAGTAGAATTGGGTAACTTTCACTGCTGTGCTTTCTTTGCGGGATCCCAGTTTAGTAGAAAACTTGGATGATGGAATTAATGTACGAGTTCAAGTCCAGGCTGAAAGTGATCAATTGACCGGACCAAGATGCGAACGGGGTCTACTTATAAACTGCGTAAACTCGGTGGTACGAATGCCGTGCGCAACACAATTAGTGCCACCGGGTGTGTACTTAATAGCCGCATGCATCGTTACCTCCCATTTTAATTCAAACATGGTCATTCGGTAGATCATACATTATATAAATCCAAGACAGAATTGCGTAACTGTGCACCTATAACTGTTGTAGGTGACGCTATACGTTTCATATCATGCTAGTGAGTGACGGATGTCTTCAGGGCTGCGGGTTAAGCCGGCCATAACGCGGAGCAGATAACCTTCAAATGGTCGGACAATAATATTATTACAAATTCAAGAAGCATTAAAAGGGGAAAAAGCAATAAGAAGTCAAACTTATGTCTTAATAGACATTTCATGCGAAGCTTCTTCATTTTGTAATTCTGGTGAATTTTGTATGTTGCTGTCGCTTCCTAACGTGCGGCTTCTATTGACATTGCATTGTTGAGTGGCGATAAGTTGAATCTCGTAAATTAAAATTTGTAGAAACGTATGCATTAAAAATGAAGGCGTTTATGACAAATATGTCTAATTTAGTTATACGTAAGTCTGAAAACTCGTTGATATGAAAGAATGCAGCATAGCATTTAATCTCGTGATAATTGTAATTGCACTTGGTTGGTTGACATATCGTGCCAAATTTAAATTGCACAGGAGCAACAAAATGTGACATTTTAATTTAATCACGGCCGTAATTACCTGACTGTTTAGACAACGTACAAGAAGATGATTGAGGTACATGGCAAAAAGTGTCTCGTTGTTTTCCATTTTACAGATTCATCAACACTTTGTTACTTTTTATGCACGACATTTACGACTTACTCATCATCAGACATGCATACATACATAAGTACAAATACACTCCATTTATCCAACTTATGCTCATCGTCGTCAGTTAATAGCTACATATGTCTCCTTTCCGTTTTCCCAGTTTTGCGACAATTTTGTAAAGATTTTTAGAGGAGCTGGGAAACATAAGTATTTGAAATTGTGTATGAAAGTCTCGTAACAAAGAGGTCAAAGTCGGTAGTACATTGGTGAGCAGTGAAGCGAGCGTGTTTTCATTTCAGAGTTCCAAAATGGATAATTTCATGCTGTAACCCCTGTTTTTTGTATAGTTACAACGATCTCTTCATTTATAAAAAAAATCGCTTTGCAAATTGCTTCAGCAATAAAAAATGGGTTTTCTCTCCTCTCGAGTCCATTCACCTATTTATGCATCACTCTTGGATGAGAATATCATAAGAAAGTGTTACGAAACCTCGTCATATTTATTTCAGTGTATGTCGGAGTACCCACATTAGGTTTAAATTAAGGAAATATTGTCACTGTCAAGATTCAATTGAATTTAATAGTTCTCATCAAATCAATATTTTTTAATAAGCTATTCAATATATTTGACAATTTCTGACATAATATTGTTATCAATCGGTTCTGAGTTACAGGGATCCGGGCCCAACTCAAAGTTCATAGCATCCCATTCGTGATCACGGAAACTAAAAATGTAGGCCGAAATTCCAGCATCTCTGCACATTTTTAGTCCTGCCCCCATATAGTCCTCAGCGCCTTTTATGTTCCTGCAAATCCCAAACTCGCCCAAAACCACTTTCACAGCATTGTCTTCTCCCCACTGCCTGACCTCCTCAAACCGATTGCGTATGAACTTCTCGTCCACTAACAATTCCTCTGACCCGGAGCTATTCTCATAAATTGGGACTTTTCCTGGGAACTTAAACTGCCCTTTGTTCCTGCACCTCTGCGTGAGAATCATTGGTTCATAGAAATGGAAAGATACGAGAAGGTTGGAGTCCAAAGCCTTGAGCTCATGTATTGGGAGCTTATCCAACGCGTAGCAACGACCCCAGAAGGATGGCTCAATAACGATCGGGGTCACAGAATCCACTTTTCGGATGCCTTGAATTAGTGTTTTGTATGTGGCAACCATTTCTTCAACTCCTGTTCACATACATATATAGTTGTAGAAATATTTATGTGAGTAGATAATTTCAGTAACGTGTCAGATGTACAGCAAATTAATGTTGCATGTTAATTATACATGAATTAAGTACTAACCAGAATCTTGTTGTGTGGGCAAATTTGACCAGTGCAGTTCATTCTCCAATTCAGTGAACGGTTCATTTACCAGGTCATATCCAACAACGGATGGATTTTGTGCAAAGGTGGAGGCTATCAAGGTCCATGTTTCGACAGATGCAAGCCTCCTGTCCACAGTTAGGACGGATGTAATTCCATGACTTGCCAATAGTTTCACTGTTTCCTCCAACGCTACAATTTGTTTGTCAGGCTCAGTGAGAAATTCACATTGGTCATATCCAATATTCTGACCAATTCCGACGGCTCCAATTCGAACGCTTTTGACCCCCCACTTTTCCAGATAACAGACGTCTGCTTCCAACAACTTGCTGGATACGTTAAATCCCGTGTGCGTCTGATCCCAAAATTTGGTCTTGCAATGTTTGATGAGTTGAATTTCCTCTGGACTAAGCAAATTTATTGCAGGTTCTGGGGGGAATTGTGGCCAATTTTGAATCATGTGATGGATGTAAAGTTGAAGTCTGGCTTCACGAACTTCTGGTCGTGTATGGAGTGCAAGCCCGATTTGGTCTGAATCTTGAGTTCGGTGGATAGGACTCTGCGGAAGTCCAGCTGTGCAAAGTTTTCGAAGTTTTCGGTTGAACTTGTGATTGAGGATGAAACTCATCCAGTAATCATCCACCAAGGCGAATGATTGGTCTGGCATTTCAACCGAAGTGACTTCCCTCAGTGCCTCTTTCGGAATAAAACAAGCGTCTGCATGCACAAAGTGAATCAACTGTTCTGGAGCGTGGTCATCTCTGAAACGCACTGACTCATAGTCCTCCCAAGCACTTCGAGGTTCATCCAGGTTCAACTGGTGAGGAAGGAAGATATGCCCACGGACACAAAGGACGTCTCTAGGGTGCTTCGTATGCGCAGAGATGAAAAAATTGACAAAATTTGGACCAGGAATAACATCGTCATCACAGATTAAAAGGGAATTACTCTTCATCAAAGCAGGCATCGCGAAACGGATGGAACAGAAATGATTCTGGGTGGAATTAATGAGCTCCAATGATTTGGACTCGTTGGATTGTTGGACGTATGGATTGCAAATTCTTGTCACAATTCCAGTTCGACCTTCGTTATTGTTCCAAACGATAATTTGCAGTCGTCCTTTGAAATCTTGATTTTCCCAAAGAGCTTTTAGAATGTTTGTCAAATGATGCGTTCGTTTATAGGAACAAATACAAATGGTGACGTCAAATGTTGGAAAGTTGATGATATTTTTCGAACTCAAGGCGAGCTCGGTCGAAGACTCTACGACAGGAGGGAGGGATTGGAGGACCACGCCACGTGAGAATTTGTCCACAAATTGGGCAGGAGTTAGTTGATGTTTGTCCATCTTTTTTAAATGGTCAATGGCTGCTTCAATATTTTGAAGGGTTAGCAGTTTCCCAAAATCGGCGTATTTAGGATCGTACAGTAGCGGGTAATCTGACCCCAGATATTCTACGCATGCCTCCATGTTTGGGCAAACAATAGGGACATTTCGAGCGATACACTCCAGAACAATAGTGTTGGCCGCTCCATCATAAATCAGAGAGAGAAATATCACAGATTCCAGCAACATGTTCTCATACTCGTTTTCGTCAAGTCTCGGGAGAATTTTAATATGAGACGGAGCAGATGCACAGGCTTTTGTAATTTCTTCATCTCCAGCGACCATGACTTTTTGGAACCCTTCGGGAAGAGAAGTTTCGAAAAAGAATGGGAAATCTCGGGAAAAACTTCCAACTATCACCACATCCACCACATGACCGTTCTGAATTGAGTTTGGGACTGTGGATGGTCTCAAATCTTGGAATTGATCGACAGGATATTTCAAGGGCTGAATCGGAAATGTGTACACATTTGCCAGGTTCTGTTGAAGGAATTTAGCTTGGAGTTGAGTTAGAGTGAACAATCCTTTGCAGTTTTTCATCATGGGGAAATACCGCTGGGAGCAGAGTCTGGTCAAATCCGGGGTATAAAATTGCTGTGGATACAAAGGCACAGAGTGGACAATCCCAATCCACGGGTTGTGCATAAATAGGTCGGGTTCATTGCATAAATTTTCTTCGACCGCAGGGAAGAATAAGATTGGGGCGGATGGATCATGAAATCTGTCTCGGAGTTTGGCAATTGAGGAGCAAAATAAGTTTTTATGATGGTGACTCCAACCCGGGTCACTTTGGAAATTGAGTTTTCTGACCAAATTCTTAGGCGTGATGACCCCCCGCGGAGTATCCGTAGTTTGGGATTTGAATAAGAATGCCTTAGCCATTGTGCTAGGCTTCGCAATACCTTCCAAGTGGTCCGCATGTTTGGTAAAGAAGGGAATGGATTTGTAGGAAAGTCCGTTAAACAGAATGATGGTCTTGTTTGGGATGAGATTAGACTTTATAAGTTCCCAAATTACATCCAAGTCCTCCTCTTCCTGTGTAATGTCCAAATAGATGAGATCGGGTCTCTGGTTCTTGAGTTCTATTGGAAGAGTTTGAATATCATAGGGCCATACGACCGGTTGGATGGAGGAGGAAAATTTGGCTAAGAAATTCTTGAATTCCTTTAGAAACGAGTGCCCAGGAAGGATTTGTTGTTGGTCATCATAGAACCTTTCCATCCACTTTTGCCATTTAAAAGCATCACATGCGAATATTTTGTTTCGAATTGAGAGGGAATGACAAAGCGCAGCCATGAGAAATGTCGTGTGACCCATCCAGCACCCAATCTCCCAGATTGTCTCAGGACGCGTTTTCTTGATAAGATGAAGCAATAATTGCAGCGTCTCAGGATCGGATGTCGTCGGGATGAGATTGAGCTGAAGGGCTAATTCGGGATCAGACGACAATTTGGGATCCTCCAATAACCAAGGTTTCGCTGCGTCTTGTTCAAAATTGACCTGGGATTCGAAATATTCCAGATATGGTTTGAAATATGTTTTCATGTTTTCAGCCATTTCCAGCCCAAGCAGATTGGCCTTGTCAATGCAGTCTCTCATGTCGTTGACAAGCTCTACTTTTGAGTCGAACCGTTCCTGTATGATGGTTGTTTCAGCACTGACCCCAAGTTTGACAGCATCAAAATACGCGTGGCTTCTGCGCTCTGTCTGATTTAAGGAACCAGAATCGTTGAAAGTTCGTATTTCCACGTGAAAAGTCCCAGGCTGGATCTGCACGGATTGCTTGTTCTTCTTGTTTTGTAGCAATGGAATTTCAGCATGGAGAGTGTTTTGGTCTTGCTTATGGAAGAACGAAATGACACAAGACGTGATGTGATGGAGGTCAGATTCAGTCAAATTGCTGTGAGTTGGAAGATAAAATCCTGTCGAGCCCAAAGTTTCGCTCAAGGGGAGACGTGGCTGAATTCGGATTTCGTCATATTTTTTAAAGTAGGCTGGTTGTAAATGCAGAGCAAAAAAGAAATCTCGAGTTTCAATCCCGTAATTTGCTAAATGAGCTCGTAAGCTGGTCCTCTCCTCCTTTGATTCACACACTATGCCAAAAACCCAAGGGGTATCGTGTGGACCACAGAAAGGCATCAACTTGACAGGAAGTGGGGCAAGTGCGGTTCGGTACTTTTGAGCTACGAAGCGTCGGTGCTGGATTATTTGATCAATTTCATCTATGCAGCCACACGCGATTGAGGCTCCAACCCCATTAATTTTTGCGTTTAGAGCAGGCTCAAAATGGACAAAATGATAGGACGGCGTAAATCCATGGTTAACCAGACTCGTCAGTCGTATCGCAAATGTGGGATCTTTAGCTACAATGAAACCCCCATCGCCAGCATGAATTATTTTGTTAACGTATAAACTGGCGCAGGCAAAATTTCCAAATGTCCCGAGAAGTTTTGTTGACCCGTTCTGAATCGTGGTGGTCACGCCAAAAGCTTCACTAATGTCTTCAATCAGCCACCACCCTCGAAGACGACATTCTTCAGCAATTTTTTCCATATCGGGGGATGGCACGCCGTAAGTATGGGTCACAATAACTGCTCTAGTCTTCTCTCCAGACACGGCCAAAATTTCGTCCCATCCAGGGTTGTAATTATTCTTAGCGCAATCTGCAAATATTGGTCGAGCTCGGACGAAATGTGCGGAATTGGGAACTGCTACCATCTGAAATGAGATACAAGGAAAACAAAATCAATGAGACACGCTTATGTAAAATAGGTGTGCATTTTGTAAATGTCGTCACACCGTTAAACTGGGCATGATGACCTCGTCCCCCTCTTCCAAGTTTGCACACTGCAGAGCAAGCATCAAGGCAGTGAATCCATTGCAACAAGGCTGGGCCACAGGAAGTTGAAAGAATTGTTTCAATTTGCTCGCCAACAATCGAGGCCAATGTCCAGCCGAAGAAATGCTCCCCGATTCAATTGCATCGTATACGTTCTGCTTCACGGCGTATGTGATGAGAGGTTCAGCAACGCGATACTTCCATCCGCCGGATGGGACGGTGGGTTCTCTGTTTGGGGCGAATGGTAAGATTTCCTTGGGCAGACCACCCATCACAGATTCTTGAAATTGTTTCAACGAGAAAATTTCTCTCACGTTAAGACTTCTTTCTCTGAAATTGAGTGGAAGGTCGTAATAATTTTCCACCTTGTCCGCCAATTTACTTGGATTCTGCCGTTTGGATGAGGATCTTGCCGTGAAGTTGTCACTGGGACAGCCCATGTTTGACAGAATGTGCTTGACTTGTTCCATCGGATTGGCAATTAGGTCCTCAAACTTGACATAAATTGGAGAAATTCCCAGTGGCCACTGGTCTACAATCGTGTTCCAGTCCTGAATTACATCAGTCGTGTATTCAATCAAGTCTTGGGGCTCTATCATTATTTTCTGGATGGTGGGTCCATCCGCCACTGCAGAATTGTTTGGAGCATACCAGACTCCTGTTTTTTCCGCTATTCTTCTTGATACCAAAGTCTCCAGGATATTTTCTCTCCACAGGACAATGATTCGGGTGATTCCTATCTGACGAACGATGGAAGGCAAGTCGAGGCCACGTTGGAAAATCTGCTCTGGAAATACTTTAAAACCAACAAAAGTTGCTGCGCGAATGGATAATTTGCTTTCAAGAAATTCCAATGGCAACGTGTCGATCTGTATCTCATCATTGAGCAGTTCAGGCTCAAGGTGTATTTCAGGATGACAATTGAGCAGGTCTTTCAACAAGGTTGACCCAGAGCGTGGGTTTGACAAGATTAAAAATCGTGGCATTCTTCAAAAGGGGAAAAATCGTACAGAAATTTTAATGCTTATTGATCATGCAACTCGATAAGCTTTTTTTTACAAACTCAAAGCACTCGGTGCTCTTAGTTCAGTGATGGATAAATGTCGTGTATATAAATTACAAAATATTACTGTGGACAAATATTACTTGTAGAACTTATTTATGCTTTTTGGCCGGAACTTATTTACTGGAACTTGGTGAAACCATGATTTAATACAGTGAATTAGTTCATGTAGCATTTTCATGGGGCGTATTACGTATAGATACATACGACAATCAATATCAAACATGTGTACATATATGAGGTTGAATTTCTCTGAATTCAAATAATCTGAGTTGTTCCATGAAAGAGGTGACAAACATGTTTACGATGAATTTTTGGAAAATTCGGTCTACTCAGATAAATAAAGCTGCATGCAAATGTTTCTTTGTGACTGGATCTGGGATCCGAGGAGAACCATTTTTCTTAGTAAGGCAAATACCTAACAACGAAAAAAGTTTATTAAGTATGCATTTACCCCACCCCAAAAAAGTGACCATCTACGATATCTCAGTCATTTCTCAACCGATTTTGATGAAATTTTAAACCGAATATTGTTACGGAATTTAGAAGCGTTTTTACTTAAGTTATGAGCAAAAATGTACCCATGGAAACATATTTATATTTATAGTTAATTACTGGCATATCGCAGCGAGAAATGAATTGCACAAATTTTTGAGAAAATTTTTGTGCAAATTTTAAGGGTAGTACGATCAAAATCGGTTCATAAATGAAAAAGTTTTTCCTATGAGAGTAGGGATTGCAATCCCGGACAATTTTTTAAATCCCGGGAATGGGGAATCCCGGTTTATGCCGTACTAAATCCCGGGAAATCCCGGGATTTTTTCCCGAAATTCAAAAATTACCTCATAGCTTGAAATTAGTTAAATTTAGCTATACAAAAAGGTACATAACTTTAAAAAGTACAGAATACAGGCATATTTATAATATTTACTTATGCACATACATACTTATGGTTTTTCGAGAACCGTGCATCAATAAGTATTATTATTACATACGGCCTTCTCAAAATCAAGGTAGTGCAAATTAGCAATTATATGGTGGTGTGTCAGCTTGTAAATGTAAAATTTCGGTGCAATGTGATAGTCTAATTTTCCGCCCTTTGTCTCAGGAGGGGAGCTTCACCACCTGCCCCCCTCAGATCTTGATGTGCTTTGGATATGTGGTAGTGTCCCATGAGTGTACTAAAACCCTGAAGTGGTTTGACTCCATGGCCACATTTGCGCCCACCACACCCACTCAAAAGGATAAAAACCACAAAAGTTACCAACTTCAAAAATTCACCAAAAATCCAATTTTGTTCAGATTTTGATAAAATTTACATTTTTGTGATCCCAGATACTTGTTTGATCATATCCAGTAGCAATCTCAACTTTTTTGAAATTTTCGAGCTGATGAATTATTCGAAAAAATATCTACTGGATATGATCATACAAGTATCTGGGATCACAAAAATGTACATTTTATGAAAATCCGAGCAAAATTGTATTTTTGGTGACAGTTGAAGTACGTGAAAACAGGGCTTTTTTCGTGTTTTTTACACCTTTGAGTGGGTGTGGTAGGCGCAAATGTGGCCATGGAGTCAAACCACTTCAGGGTTTTAGTACACTCATGGGACCCTACCACATATCCAAAGGGCATCGAGATCTGTGAAGGGCAGGTGGTGATGCTCCCCTCTTTAGAGAGGTGATAAGAAAAATTTTGAAAATTTCACTCCAGAAAACTTCCATAATAATTAATCAACGATTTGCTAGCATTTTAACCTGACCTGAAATGCATAAATTTACGTTTATTATTTAGGTACTATTATAAAAAAAACTACAATTGGACAATTCAAAAATTTCATGTTCAAATATATGAACTACCTCGTTCATTCAGCCTTAGATTGATCGAGTAAAATTCGAAATTATATATTTCTAACATGTTAGCTTTTTTGAGCATAACTGATTTCAGATTCGATAATTATACCGAGGGTAAGGTTTATTTCTTCCTTCAAATTTAAATCTGACATCGAAATTAAAAAATTTTAGGTTTCATTTTGTATTGCAAATTTTACTTGCGAACTATAAGATTTAGATATACATATGCTGCGACATGTAAAGAAATGTGGCTTCCCATTTTGTTTAAAGCTTTAATCTTGGAGTTGAGATTGAATTTTGACAGGTTATGCTCATCGAAACTTTTTCTTACCAATAATATAACCGAAAATTATGTAAAACCGCCACTAAAAGTCAAATATAAGGAATTTTCAATCCTGAATGACAAATTGAAAAATCCCGAAATCCCGGGATTTCAATTCTTAAAATCCCGGGATTTCGGGATCCCGTTTCCCGGGAATTCCCGGGAATAAAATCCCGAAAAATCCCGGGACTGGAACCCCTATATGAGAGGTGCAAAAAAATTGGATGAGGCTTAAAAATAAACACCATTGGCAACAACTAATGCAACGAATATATGTATAAATGCATAAATAAATAAATTCACAACAGAAATTGCAAACAAGAAACTTCAACCGTTTCACTTTCAATTCAACTCAAAATTGAAAAGTATTTAAAGTCAGCCTATCAGACCTTGGACTTGTCTAGAAAATTCTTAGCGACAATTACCTATTTAACATTTGACAAAATAAAATTAAGTATGCCTTCTCCCCCCTTAAAAATGCGATTTCTCGGTCATTTCTCAACTGATTTTGATAAAAATTTTGTTAGTCAATTTTTGAATTTTGCTCGAGTTATTTGTCAAAATTATTTGCAAATCAAAGATCCAAAATTTAATTTCGGGCATGCGTAGAGTTTATTTTTGAAATATGTAACTCAATTACAAGTATTAAATAAACAAGCCCCAAAAAAGGGAAATCTTAGTGAGGCTGGGTGCAAATATAAGTATTAAATAAATTTGCCGGAACAGTCGTCATTAGGATAGACATAATTATTTTTTTTTTAAAAATAGTGCAATTAAATATATTGAAGTAAAGAATTTGAATATAAAGTCCACATGAGCCCATAGTAGCATAAACTTGGCTATTATACAAAGTAGACAATTAAATTTTATAGTTTTTAGGATCAAACAAAATTAAGTCCTTATTCAGACCTGTTGTTCTTTTCCCTTCTCATTATTCTGATCAACTATATAAAACCAATTGTGCGAATAGATGGTTAGTAGAGTGGTGGTGCAAATGCTGTTCGTTCGCTGCAAATTTATTTAATACTTATATTTGCACCCAGCCTCACTAAGATTTCCCTTTTTTGGGGCTTGTTTATCTGTCTTCCATGAGTTGCATCCATGCATGTGCAAAATCTTAAATAGTGTATACATATGTATGTAGTGACCTAATTACCTAACCCACATCCGCACATTACACCAAACCTTATGGGTAGAGTAGAGTTAAATTCTTTATTCATTTAAGTGAGTCACTTATCTAATCGGGAGTACATGAAGTTCCATGAATTGCTTAATCATACTATAAGATTATATATAGCCTATAAATTCATAAGCTAATACATAATTTAAAAAAATAGAACTGCATGCAATATATGTTTCCTACACATGTCGTATGAACAGTTCCTATTTCAAACGTAGTTAAGCTACCAAGCAAGCGTAATTAAAATAATACCAGGAAAATTCATGGAAACAATTTGTTGTTGAAATTATGAAAAATATTGTTATGATCATTTCATGCAAATTACTTTAAACTAGAAATGTTTTTATTGATACGACAGGTGATTAATTTTAATTGTGGAGAATAAATATTTTTATCCCGCACCGTCGCATCTGCCAGTTTTACTGTCTGTCTGTTCGTCTGTCTTTTCTTAACTCATTGTCAGCAATGCAACTCATGTATTGACGATGATCACCAAAGTTTGGCTGAAACATGTAGAATAAATATTGCAAATTATTAAAGAGCGTGTTTGAAGATGGGTATGATCTGCAATAGGATTTTTTAAATGAGTAAATGTGACCATTTATAAACTAAACGTTAATAAATCCTCATTCGGGCTACGCAAAGCCATACGGAGAGGTTAGGTTGAGAGGCTTTAATAATGTAAACAGCCTGTTTATTAATGGGAAGTTGTAAAGTTTGATTAAGTGTGGCGTACCAGCTATATGCAAACATATCCTCGGAAACATGTTTGCTGATTAGTTTATAATTCCATTAATTCCATGTTCATTGTCAATAAATCGAAAATCACGAAAATACTGTGAAACGTGCTTGCGCTTTGAGTTATGTACATACATATGGCTTGTAAATCTATATTTATAATCATTCATGTTTTGTATTTTTTAGCCAACTTTTGGTAATTTAAGCAAGTTCACAAAACATTTTGACAAATGCAATAAAAAACATTCCAACAGCATCAAAATGTTTTTGAATAATTGTTACATTCGTGCACTTGTGAAAACTGACAATGAGTACTTTATTTTTTTCAAGCGTCTTTTTTGGCCGAAACATTCGCTAAAACTTAAGGCACTAGTTGTAGCATCAGTTTTGTGTGTCGGTTTAGGGCTCATTGTCAATTTGTACGTCCCGATTTATACTCAAATAATTGGTAACTTGAAATATTTTTAGTTTTAGGTACGAATAACAATGAAATACTTCAAAGTTAGATATTTCTTGTAGTCGATTTATTGTTGAGAACAAGATCAGAAGAAAAGGACGTAAAAACATCAATATTCAACACACTGTGCATTTTTATGGTGCTGAAGGTGCTTCAAGGCGTTGGCACGCTTAGTTTGCTCAACGTACTGCAAGATTTCCTGTGGATACAATTAGAACAAAATGCTCGCAAAACAGTGCAAGTGTGTAAAACTTCGCATATTTAAGTATTTAGTTAATGACATTTTATATACTAATAACTTTCACGAGTTCTTGATTAATCAAATCGCAGGTTAAATTTTTCTCACATCTTCACAAGCTGAGCATGGAGTGGCAGGTATCTAACAAAACTGGAGACATCTTGGGTGCACTGGAGCGTGGTTCGGAAGCAGTGACGTCCATCATGGAACGTGTCCTTTACTCGATTGTTCCAACCATTGCCAACCTTAGTATTGCGATAATATATTTGTCCATCCGATTTAATGGAGCCATCGGACTCACCGTGCTCTGTCAGACAATTTGCTATGTGTGGACTACTCTAAAATTTACAGAGTGGAGATCGCGATATCAGAAATGCTTGAATAGAGCTGAAGACGAACAGAAGCAGCAAGCCATGGAATCACTGCTTAATTTTGAAACGGTGAAACTATTTTGTAACGAAGGATACGAAACGGAAAAGTACGCCCAAAAGATTGACAGATTTAACAAACACCAATTCTTTGTCCTGGCCTCGCTGAATTTACTCCAACTTTTGCAAATAGTCATTGTTAACCTGGGTCTCTTGATTGGCTCAATAATTTCCCTGTCGTTAATTGTAAATGACTCTACTCTGGCAGTGGGAGATTATGTGCTATTTACTTCCTACATGGCCCAGCTCATCCTACCATTAAACTATCTGGGATCACATTACAGGTAGATAATATGTAGATACGTAAAATTTGTGGCATTCAACAGTACTCCCATTAATTTCATCACGCTTCCCTTTAAGAACATTGCGCATTGACCTGACCAATGTGGACCATATGATGAATATCTTGAGACAAAAGCCAGATGAGTGGACAAGTTCAACCACAGAGACCACAAATAACAATGAAATTTCTAGTGGTCAAATAGATTTCAGGGAAGTTTGTTTCAGTCACAATGAAAATAAGCCGGTACTTCAAGGCTTATCATTCTCAATTCCAGCAAAGAAGACAATTGCTCTAGTAAATTATCTATACTTACTGTAAATGTTCATGACAATGAGTTCCTGCAAGTGCTGTATAATAATGGATTTATTCAGGTTGGAGAATCTGGAGCAGGGAAGACAACAATTGTACGATTACTGACTAAGATCATCGCATCATACTCTGGAGATATTTTAATTGATGGGCAAAGCCTAAAAGCATGCAATGCTTCCTCTCTACGGAAATTGATTGGGGTCGTACCGCAGGATACCGTTCTTTTCCACGATACGATCAGGTGAGCAAGTCAAAGATGCTTATGCACGTATGCATATTGTAGATATGGGATAATCTGTTACTCTGTGTGCAGAAATAACATAAGATATGCCAAGTTGGATTCATCCGACACGGAGATTGTTTTGGCCGCCCAGTTTGCCCAGATTCATGATAAAATTATGAAACTTCCTCAAAAATATGACACAATGGTGAGCACATATTTTATTAATTTGCACAAACTAATCCTAAGACAAATAAAACATTATGTATTATCGACTTATATCTCTAGGTGGGTGAGCGAGGGCTGAAATTGAGTGGTGGGGAAAAGCAGAGGATATCAATTGCAAGAATGTATCTGAAAAATTGTCCAATAATTATTCTTGATGAGGCCAGTTCAAATTTGGACGTTAAAATAGAAGCGGATATCATGACGTCGTTTGCAAAGCTGTGCAGAAACAGAACATCTCTGATTGTTACGCATCGACTTCAAAGTTTGCTCCATGTCGACGAAATATTAGTGTTAAAAAATGGAGCCATCGTTGAGTCAGGCACTCATTCGCAACTTATGACTAATTTGGAAGGAGAATATTATGGAATGTGGCAACAACAGCACAGAGAGAGGACAGAAATGAAGTGAGAACGTCCTCACAGAGGATTTTGTACAAATATATATTGTATAAAAAATATACTGATTTAATAAAATGTGACACTTCTAACTATCTGTCAACTAACCTTTGGTGGGTTTTATGTAGAAAAAAATATACTTACAGTGATGATAAACACTGCTTTTTAATTGAATATTTATAAGTGAAATTCGTATTTACATACTTAAAAGACTCTGATTATTGTTACTAGGAAAGCATGTAGGGGTTGGAGTGCTTGATTTTGTATCGATCGAAAATTCCAGTATCTTTAGCAAAGCGGAGATCTCTCCGCAGCACGTCCCACGAAGGAGTAATGCAAGACGGGTACTCTTCAGGCATGAGTTCCTTCATCTTTTTACTCAGAAAAACGTCCTTATTTCCGGCACGCCATGAAGTGTAGTAAGGCAGTTCTTGGTCCCGAAGGTGAAGCAATTCCGTATCTTTGGACATTGCAAATTTTACCAGCTGCACCATCTCGTCACTGGAATCCATCTGCTTCCACATATCCACAAACTCGCTCGAGTCCAACACCGTAACAGTGATGCCGAATTCTCGAGCAAGAGCTTCAAACTCTCGTTCGTCACCTATGAGAAAATAGTTTTAGTTTGTACAAGCAAATGATAACCAACGATGTGCACAAATTGAGAGAAGTCTCTCAAAATGGTTCCCCTACCTAAATGGGGATTTAGCACATTGAACATTTCATAGCCAGCTTTCTCGTTAAAGAACAAATCCATGGAGAGTTTGGCACATTGGTCCACTGCCATCAGGCTGAGAGGAACGGACGATCCGTGCATGTAGCCCGTGTAGAGATATGCCAAGCATCTCGTCATCAAGAAACTGTTCAGCTGAACGTTACCCCCACGGACAGCATCACCTCCAATCTGTGGAAGTCTGAATACTTTGCAGGGAACTCCAGCAGCCACGGCCTGTTCCGCCAAACGGTCACAAATTAGCTTGGAAATGGAGTAGGCTGATTGTGGGAGAAGAAAGACTTCAATCTCGTCGGGCCAGTTCTCTGAAAATGATCCATCAGTGTCCACAGCAGCCGCAGCAGCGAAAGTGGAAGCGTGATAAACGTACTTGAGTTTCTTCTCCACTGCAAACGACAGAACGTTCTTCATCCCGTTTACATTAATGATTCGACTGCTTTGAGGATCTTCGGAGTCCCGATAAATTTCCTCGAAAGCAACCTTCACGGCCAGATTAAATACAACGTCAACTTCAGAGAGAAGTTGAGAGTAGACTGCGTCACAAAGTCCAAAACGAAGTTCTTTAACATCGCCCGGGATGCATTCTATCTGTTCCAAATTAATTTCAGAAAGGAGTCCCTTCTTCTCATAAACTCGTTTGAACCTTTCAGATGGCGAGACCAAGGGTGTGTGCTGCATGAGACAGTAAACTTTTTTGATCTGGTTCCGTTTGAATATCTCCCGGACGATGTAGGGGCCTAAGGTTCCCGTGGAGCCAATCACGAGGACGGTGGATGCTTGGGACAGAGGACGAAGTTTGGATTTCATTTCAGGGTCGACGCGAATATTTTCTGGGAGTTTGGCATCTCGAGCAACTAAATCCTTCAGCTCCTCCGCGGTGGGTGGGGCGAGTTCTTCCTTCCCGGATATGAGTTCCACTAATCGGTCAGTCAATTGGGCCACAGTTTTGCAATCCTTGACCGCATTGATGGAGATTTTGACCCGTTTTCCCACCGAGGCCTGAAGCCCGTTCTTCATCTCGACCATAAGAAGCGAATCAAATCCCATGTCCTGAAAGTTGACTTGGTCCTCAATCTCTTCGTTCTTGTCCATCTTGAGCGTGATGCGGATGAGGCGTTTCAGAAATCTGCGAACAATATCGCACTTTGCGTCTCGGTTGGATGCGCAGTCATATTCTCGCCAAAACTCATCTCCATCAATTTCGCGATGACTTTGGTTAGCGTCGTCTTCAAAGTCTGCTAAAAGTCCCCGCGTGGACACCAGAACTTTTTTAATTGCAGCCAAATCTGTTTCGTGAGCAATAATCTGTGTCTTGTGACTCTTTACCGCATATTCCAAGGCAGTAATTCCTTGATGTATGGTGATTGGCTTATTAAAGGGGACAACAATATTTGCGCATATACCCACCTGTCCCCACTGCCCCCAATTCACTGACGTTCCGGGCAGGCCGAGGGAGGAACGGTAGTGCACCAAGGCGTCCAAGTACTGGTTTGCTGCCACGTAGTTGCTCTGACCATGTGCTCCAACCGTGGCGGTGACGGATGAGAAAAGGACAAAGTGCTCCAGAGGAAATGACATCTGAGTGCTTAATTTATGCAGATTCCAAGCCCCTTGAATTTTACAATGAAAGACGTTCTCGAACTTGTCCCATGTCTGGTTTTCATAAGTTGCGTCATCCAATACGCCAGCAGCATGCATAATTCCTCTCAAAGGGGGCAGGGCACCAGAGTCAAACTCTTTGACCTTAAGTGCCACAAGTTGACCCATATCTCCGACATCGCATTGGCGCACCTCCAAACGAATTCCTAGTTTCCGAAGCTTTTCTAACTTGTCTAAGGCATCTGATTTTGGAAGACTTCGACCAAGAAGTAGGATCGTCTTTGCTCCATTATTGCCCATCCAGTTTGCTACCTCGAGACCAATTCCGCCCAGCCCTCCGGTGATAAGATAGGTGGATATTCCATTGAAAAGTGGGGAAGAAGGTTCCCCAGATGTAAGTTTTGTTCCGATTTCGGGCATGGTGAGCACAATTTTTCCAATATGTTTCACTTTCTCCATGTGCTCCAAAGCATCGCGAATTTCAGCAGCATCGAAGCGTACAAATGGCAGCGGCGTCGGTCGGTCTTGTAGGGATTGCATGAGCTGTTCCTGCAAGTAGTCCGACAATTCGGTGATTTTCTCTTCCGTGTGAGTGGAAACATCGACGACTTCGTAGAACACGTCCGGCCTCAGCTTCTTTACTTGTTCCTTGCTCCAAATGTTCATTTTGCTCATCTCGATGAACCGAGCTCCTTTTTCGCAGACGGCGAGAGTGGCTTCTTTAAAACCTGGCCCAGTGAGAGAATTCAGTACAACTGTGACACCTCTGCCACCCAACGATCTCCGGATTTCGGTCTGGTAGTCGGTCGTTCTCGAGTTGAACACGTGGGTCAGTCCCAAGCTTCTGAGGTAGTTGCGCTTCCGCTCATTTCCAGCCGTGACAACTATCGTGCAGCCAAGTCGCTGAGCAATTTGGATTCCGAGTAGACCGACCCCACCCGAAGCAGTGTGAATAAGGACGATGTCACCTTTCGTCGCTTTGGCTGTATCCACAAGACACGACGCAACGGTCAGCATTCCCATCGGAAAAGTGGCAGCCTCCGCGAATGTGATGTCGTCCGGGATAATCAGTGTTCTGTAGTCTGGAGACACGAGATGGCTCGGCATTGCGAGTCCTTTTCTTCGGATCATGACGACTCGGTCGCCAACCTTTCTCGAGGCTTTGGGCCCAACTGCAGTGACCACGCCAGCAATGTCCACACCGAGGTAGTTGTAGTTTTCGAAAACCGGGTCAGGTTTTGTGACCATGAGGACGTCCAAAAAGTTGAGAGCATATGCAATCACTTTTATCTCAACTTCCTTCTCACCCACTGGTTCCGGTTCGCAAGGTGTAAAGTGCAGATCTTGAATAAGATGCGACGCGGGAAGGACGAGTCGGAATCGTGGGGTCCGAGGAATCGGGAGTGGCGCAGATTTCGCTTTGTAAGGACGAAGTCGCGAGGTGCAACGATGGCCTTTTCGATACGCCACCATTACGTCTATGTCGGTTGTAAAGAGTTCGGTGAACGCTTCAGCCACGACGTGCTGGAGGGACACGTTCTGATCCCCTTCCAAATCGACGACTTTACAGATCAAGTCTGGATTCTCATTTGATAGAACGTTCAGCATGCCCACGAGCGGAGACGCGGTGGGTTCCGCTTGGTGAAAGTCCAGTGATCCAGTGCACAAGTTGCCTCTTGTAAAAACCGTTACTTTCACGGACGTTGTCTTTACCAAATTCTTGCAAATGTAGAGGAAAGGCTCGCAAATAGATTTAATTGTCAGTTTGCTATCCAAACCGCACAAATAAATTACTCCAACCACGTTCAGATTGGGATCATTCATGTGAACCGCAAACACGTCACGCACTTTTTCCTCCAAGGGTTTTGCATCTCCGTAAAGTTGGTCCGTCGTAATTAAAACTGCGACGTGATTGATCTGCGCCAGACGATCCATGACTTTTGCGGACACTTTGCAATCAGTGGATCCAAACAGTATCCAAGTTTTGAGCTTGCTTTTCTCGTCCTCAACCAGCGACTTATTTTTTATAGAATTTGTTCCCAGTTTAGCAATAATATAGGCATTCGTTTCTTCACAAATCGGAAAGCTGGCCACATCCTGAAAACCCGTCATGTCAAGGATTTTCTCCCAGTTTGTGATGGAGAGCTCGCAATTCCACGGTCGAATGCTATCGTCAAATTTCCAGAACCCTGCGAGGCCCCCGTACAGCAAATTTATTGGTCTCGTGGGTTCTGTCAGTTCTGTGATCAAAACATAGCCACCGGGTTTCAACAGCTTTTTTATGTTGGTGACTGATTCTTGGATATTCTTGGTAGCATGAAGCACCCAAGATGCCACGATGACGTCGTAATGGGCTGGAATAAAACCCTGCTCGAGGGGATCCTTCTCCACGTCGAAAATGGCGAACTTGGCTGAAATTCCGCTCTCCTCAAACAGCGTTTGACCCTTTTGTAAGAACGAGGGGGACAAATCCGTGTACGTGTATTCGAAGTGACTGACTCCAGCGTTGATCATGTTACGAATTAGGTGCGTGGTCGAGCTCCCAATTCCTGCACCGACCTCAAGCACACGTACCACCGATTTGGCCCCCATTTCGCTTAATTGGGACAAAATACTCGAGTCAATGGAGGTCATGTTGTGTCGCTTCGACGCAAAGAGTGATTCCGTGTAGTAAAGTTCGGCCGGGCCACGAACGTTGGTCCCCTCGGGAAAAAGAAGCTCAAGAGCAGACTGTTTTCCAGTCAGAATTTGAGAGAGAAGCTCCCAAACGGTGGAAACTGAATTCATGTCGATATCCACAACCTTCGTGCTGCACAATTGTTTCAAAAAGACGGCGACTTGAGATCGAATTTGCTTCAACTCCGGGAATGGCTTGGGAACTTGGAAGGTGTCGATTTCATTGTTTTGCAGCCATCCGTCTTTCACTAGCTCCAGGAGCAGATACCGAAGGAACTTGTCTAACTCGGGACGGACGCCGAGTTTCTGGACGATTTCAGGATAACTGAACTGCTCATGAAGATCTAAGCCCAGTTCCTTCATTGCCTTCAGAATGTACAACCCTCCAAGTGTGTGTTCTCGCTCCAAGTGATCCTGCTCATCCGCGGTGAGCTTGTTGAGCGGTTCAGAGGACTGAATGGCTTGAAGAGAGATAGAACCGCGCTGAGAATCCGGAACACGTCTTTCTTCTGGACCCAGTTTCTCTCGCCACGTGTACTCGGCCATCGACGGATAAGGGTTCTTTTGAGAGTCGATAAGCGAGAGGATGTTTGAGATGGTTGTGTCCATAAACTCAGTCCCCACCATCGAAACCATGAGTTTACCGTCATCGTCAAAAAGATGAGCTTCGTTTCCAACGTCCGTATTTTTAATGTAGACGTAACCCGAGGGGGCAGAATGACCCCACCACGTGTAGTTGTCTATCTGAACGGGAACGACAAGACGTTTCCGAACCTGCTTGTCATGAAGCAGACCCGACGCAATAATTTGGGTCTGGAGCATCGGGTCCGTAACCCAGGGATGAATTATGAACCGCTCGTGATCCTCTGATGACTCGTGCGAAGCAAACGGAAAGATCCATTCGCCATGATCATCTGGATTCCTCAAGGCACAAGAAACTGTTTGACATGACGGACCAAAGTTGAAACCGAATTCCACTAATTCTTGGTAACTAAAGTTTGTCCGGACCAGTTCCGAGCAGCGAAGCTTAATTTGGGAGAAGTTTCCAACAACCGATTCCTGCAGTGGGGGTGGATTACTTGTAAATGTCGCAGTCGCATTGCGGACCCATTTGTAGTTGTCTTCCTCCAGGAAGACTTTCGTAAAAATAGTTGTGCATATGTCACCTTCTGCGGTTTTCGACACCACAACCTATGGACGAGAAGTAATATTAGTGATACATTATACATTACACAATATGCAAAAAAAATTTATTTCAGCAGTGTTCATACCTGAAATTCAGTGGGCGTCATTTCACTCAAACAAACTGGGGTCAGGATTGAAAAATTCCGAACGCAGAGAGGTGAAGTAGGTTTGCTGTAACTGCCCTCGTTGCACATCGTGGCGGCATATCCGGCCGTCATGCACATGTCGACATAGCCGACGCACGGGAAAATAATCTTGTCGCCCAGGGCGTGGTCTTTGAGAAATGGGAGTCGATGGACGTTGACTGAGCTTTTGAAGATGGTGACGTCGGACGGGTTGGGGACGAAGGAACCGAGGAGTGGATGGAAGGGGTTGGACCCTTCGTCCTTGATGTTCATCCAATACGGCGTCTCCTCAAAGTGGTAGCCGGGCAACTCCACCCTTCGCCCACCCGAATAGCGATGGAAATTGGCCCACGTGATGGGACGGCCCAGCGCGTACAATTTCCCCAGTGCAGCCAGCATCGTCTCCCAATCGTCACACTTTCGACGAAGAGAGGCACTCGTGACCACATCCGCAACCTTCATTAACAAATTAATTAATGGTGATATGATGCAATACGTGAAATTCTATTACTACAAAAATACGCAATGTCACTAACTACGCACCTCGTCAACGTTGGTCATGAGGAGTGTGGAGAGGACGGGATGCGGTCCAACTTCGAGGAACAGACTCTGGCCCTCGTTGACTGCAGCATGGCTCGCCTCCAAAAAGCGCACCCTTTCTCTTGTGTGTCGCACCCAGTACTTGGCGTCGACTTTGCTCACCGTGCGTCCATCCACGGCAGAAATGAACTTGATGCCCGTCGACGCTTCCTTGTAGCCGATCGTACGAGCGAGCGCCTCATATTCCGCAAGCATTGGGTCCATGAGATGAGAGTGAAAGGCGTGAGAGGCGTCCAGCACGTGGGTTTTGATGTCGTTGTTGTCGCAGTAGAGCTTGAACTCGTGGACCAAATCCGTGGGGCCCGCAAGCACGGTCTGACTCTCAGAATTGACCGCTGCCACGTCCAACCACTTTTTCTGATTGGAGAAAGCCCGCTCCAAACTTTGCTCCACTTTCTCCAAACTGGTGCCGACGACGAGCATGCTGGCGGCGGGCAGAGCGTGGATCAGTTTGGACCTCGTGACCACCAACTTGAGGGCGTCTTCAGCCGACAACATTCCCGCAGCCACCGCAGCAGCGAACTCGCCCAAACTGTGACCCAGAACAGCGTCCGGTTTGACACCCCAGGATTCCCACAGACGAAGCAGACAGAACTCCACCACGAAAATTGAGGTTTGGCTGTAAAGGGAAGATTTCAGCAAAGACTTCTGACCGTCATTTAACTCGCTCAACTTCTGTTCCTCCCAGAGTGCAGTTTTGAGTGAAAGCAATCCATGCTCCTTGCTCAACACGGACTCGCACCAGTCAAAGTTGGAACGGAAGACGATGCTCTGTTCGTAGAGCGACCTGGCCATTCCCGGATATTGAGACCCTTGGCCCGTGAAGAGGAAGCAGAGCTGTGGAACCTGATTGGGAATTGGTGCGCCCTTTCTGATCCCCTCCATCGAACTGAGCAGCTCCTCCTTCGTGGACCCAAAGGCCACTTGTCGGAGGTGCATGTGGGGACGACCCGTGTGCATCGAGTACTCAATGTCCCTCAAGAACAGCTCCTTGGGTTCGTTTGTGTCGGGCAGATTCTTGAGCAGATCAGCGTATGCTTTCACCTGGAAGCGGAACGCTTCTTCGGATTTGGCCGAGAAGGTCAGCATCCTCAGCTTTCTCGAGTCCGTGAAGGGGAAGGAATGCGGAGGGAGATTCTCTGGCGGCTCCTGAACCAGCACGTGGGCCTGGGCTCCAGTAATGCCGAAAGAATTGACTCCAGCAATTCTGGGTTTGCCGCCCTTGGGTCTTCGTTTCCAGGGGACGGCCTCCAGGGGGAGCTGGGCGGGAATGGCGTCCAGGTTGATGTCGGGGTTCAGGTTCTTGAGGTGCAAATGCTTCGGGATGAGCTCGTGCTTCATGGCCAGCACCGACTTTTGAATCCCCGCTATCCCGCAAACCGACTCGGTGTGACCGATGTTGGTCTTGACGGAGCCGATCGTGAGCACATTGGTCCTGCCTTTCGACCCCCGCGAATAGGCCTTGGCGACGGCGGCTATTTCAATGGGGTCACCCACGGGTGTGCCGGTCCCGTGCGTCTCCACGAACTCCACGTCGTTCGGGTCCACCCCGGCCCGTTCCAGAGCCAACTGCATTTCACAAATACGACTTACACTTGAAATATTTTCCATGACAATTCTTTTTAAAATGGTGTTGAATTATTAACCTCCATGGCTTTGGCCTCCACGTCGACGGTGGGAGTGCCCATGCTCTTGCTCGGCCCCTCTTGCACGATGGCCGACCCTCGAATGCATCCCCAAATCGTGTCCCCGTCCGCCACGGCATCCGAGAACCGCTTGAGGATGAGAACGCCGATGCCCTCGGCTCGACCAAACCCGTCCGCACTCGCATCGTACGTTTTGCAACGACCGTCCGGAGCCAGAACCCCCTCCATCACGGACGGCGAGAAGGGATGCAGCAGCAAGTTGGCTCCCACCTGTTTCGCCATCAATTAAATTGCACATTACATTTCTCGTGTCACTTTGCTTTTAAATTATATTTGAGGTCAGAAATGAAGTACTCACGGCGATGGCCAGGTTGCACGCGTCGCTCCTCAAACTGTCGCAGGCCATGTCCACGCCAGCCACGGAGGTCGAGCAGCCCGACTCGGTGGAGAACGACGGACCCATGAGTTCGAAAAAGTGGGAAATCCGGGCCGTCAGCGGTCCCAGGGCGTTGCCCATGTAGCCGCGGAGAAAGTCCGTGTCCACGATGCCCAACATTTGCAACATTTCCTTGTAGTCGTTCCGCCACCAACTGCGACCATTTTATTTATTACGGAAATTTATGCTAACGTCTTTTCATGTAGAATATATGAAGTGGAATAAGTGGCATTCTCACCCTCCGAAAACTCCGGTGAGCGTGTTTCGGAGCGTGTTGGGGTCGAGGCCGGCGTGCTCCAAGGCCTCCCAAACGATGCGAAGGGAGAGGCGCTGCTGGGGGTCGAGATAGTGCATGTCCGCCGCGTTGGTGTTGAAGAACTTGGCGTCGAAGGTGTGGATGGGACAGGAGAGAAAGCCTGCCTCCGTCGCCCCCATGTTGTCCATCCGGATGAACGCCTTGTCCTTGGTCCACCGACCCTCGGGCACCTTCCGAATCCCTTCCAACCCATTCGCCAGCAGCGACCAAAACTCCGCAATCGTATTGGCGCAAGGGTAGCGACACGCCATTCCCACGATCGCGATCGAATTGTGCAGCTCCCAGTCCACCAACTGCCCATCCAAGGCTGGACCGTTCACCACCACCTGAAAACATATCAGGCACAACTAAGGTGAGAGGTCAGCAGTAGTCTCATTTCGTTCTAAATTCTCATCTTGCCTCCATGCCAATATCTTCGTTGCACATTTACATACTTGTGCAAAATTGTGCATATGTTGTGCATACTATTAGATGTACGTAGCTACATATGAGTATAATGATGCTTACCTTTGCAGAATGTATCTCGGGGCAAAGCGAGACGCACAACTTGATAACCTCTTCTTCAAGAACACCTCGCTGACGAAATGGCTCGACATCTTGGTCGTGAGGGTGACCATTCACGAAACAAACCATTTTCATGTCCTTCCCAGGGACTGGCGTTGGATGGGCGCTGTCGACACAATATTGTGCATTATTATAAACATACGATATAAATGCAAATGTTGCTAACAGTGCTTGTGAGATCTAATTTGAATTATTGAATGCAAATCATAAAGCGAAATTTTTTCACCTCTTGAAATCCAACTCCACGCAGTAACTCAGTTCCTCCATCTTGAGTTTACCCGGATTCTCAGCCACAAATTTTCCACCTGTAAATCAAAATTTATTAATGTATGGTTTATGTATGTGGAGAGTGGAAATTGCATATTTGAGCTGTAATCAAGGCATTTACCGTTCTCACGTTGGACCACAAGTTCCGTAATCAGGTCGTGATCCTCGGCTGCCAAGCTTCGCGACTTGGTGAGCACGACGGCCTTGTCCTCTCGCACCCACTGAACTCCATGGGTTCGAAACAGGTCGTCACAGTTTTTGAGGGGAAGGCAGGCGCAGTCCAGGAAGACGGCCTTGTGCAGCCCCTTCAACCCGCCTGCCACCCGCTTCGCCACAGATCGGAAAAGCACCCCCGGCACCGGTTCAGCCCAAAACACCGAACCCACTTCACCCTGCAGGCGGCGACTAGGATCAAAATTAAAAGGCATCGTCAAACACTTTGCATATCAAGTACAAACGATTTATGGGAATTTCAATTTTATGCTGGAAATTGAGACGGGGCAAGTTGAGATTGTTGAGACATTTCGTCTCATTCGCATTTAACTAATGGTTGTGGGTATATATCTTTATTGACAAATAAGTTATCAACGTCACTCACCCCAGGTCATGCGACACATTGTCCGACACGATGACGACCAATGGCCTCGTCGTGAGCGACCGTTTCAAAGCACGGGCCAGAAGGACACATTTCCAAACCTCACCCTCGTCCCCAGCGTAGCTCACCCAGTGTTGTTTTAGGCAACCTGAAATTCAAATGTGACATTGATTTTGTGGCATTATGCATACGTGCAAGCAAAACATGCCCTGTTATCAAATTAGTCAAAAATTATGAATAAATAGTCACCACTCACTTGACATTTTCTATAGCACAAGGTCAATGTTCCGCTGAACTTTTTGGAAATTTGGCTTGGCAAAATTTAGCTCCAGAGTGAAGACTCCCCTTGCAACGACTCAGCAGTAATGCTCACCCTGACTCTCACATAGATTCGTAAACGGTTATTGCTGAGGAAAATGAAATGGGATTCACAGCATCTTTTTATGAATTAGTTTCTTAGGATTAGTTTATGGCATTTTAAGTCAATTCGGAGGTGCATTGCATGATGTATGTATGTACATATGTTTGTGTGTGTGGTGAATTGTTGCTACATGATGTGGATGGAACCTGCCATTTGATGATGGTCATCCCAATTTTTTGCGAATTGGTTGGTTGATGGATTAGCTTTGTGTCTGTGTGCAGCTAGTCGAGTTGAAGCATGGCTGGCTGGTGATGAGCGTCAGTAGTGAAAGCATGAATGACCACGCGAGCCATCATCCTGTGTATCACTGCCTACATATCGTGATCACTGCACAAGTTCGCAGATTTTCTCACTCCTTATGAATACTACAGATGCAATGTCTTCCAGGTCGCCACATAACGTATGACACCAGTCAACACCAGCCTTGTATCACATCATTTCATAAAACAATTCCTTAGTAAACGTATCCGTTAATCTTGGCCATACGTTTGGGTTGAGTCGATATCTGATTAATTCAACCAACTCTTTATGATTGCCCAAGCACTGCCAGATTTTAATGGATTTATAATGGAGGTGATTGAAATTTTGATAGCGCTTTTGAGACGGACGGACGCATGGATGATGAATTAAGTTCGTCAAATCTCTGCTGGTGCACATGGTGAGAAACAATTTGTATTCTCATTATCAGGATGTGAACATTGGGAGTTGCCCAGTAATTATGTGCTTGGGTTGTCAGGGGCCTTCTTCAAATATAGATTTTCCCGATGTGCTCGTACCGAAATGCTTAATGTCAGTAAACAAGTGCCAAATTGTAGCTGTTCACTGCTTTCTACATCTTTTGAGATGCATACCAAACAACAAAATTTTCAGGAACAAAGTGCAAACGCATAGTTATATTAACAATATGCAAAACTACACTTGGTGTGCAGAAATGGTTATTTTAATGGCTTTACCCAGCGGACCACGAGACCCTGTGTACATTGTACGCTTGGGATCACATAACAATCCGTCATTTTGTAATTGTTCCCTTTGACTGTGTTTGAATTCCGTTGAATCATTAAACTCATAATTCAAGCATTTAATAGCTGTGCCGAGAAGCAAGTCAATGTCCGAGTCGAAATATAATAGGAAAAATCGGGAGAACAAAAAGCTGAGATCTTTATCCTAATTGAAAATTCAACTAACTAATTGTCAAATGAGACTCAAGCGAAGACTTGTGGTCGATGAATGTTCGTCAAACTCTACACAAAAATATTGACTGGGATTTCTAAATCATATCTTAAACCGTAAAAGAACTACGTTTTTTCAAACTTTTTTTATATAATGTCATAAATCAGAGATTGCAATTTGCAATTGTTCATATTTCATTGCATTAATTACAAATAGGGACTACATATAACTCAGGAATTTATTACGGCGTGCACTGGTGAGATCAATGAGATGCATGAATTAATAACAAAAATGAGGTGCATAATGTCATGCAAGTTATTATTTGACTTTTCGGTATAATTTTTCACCGCATGACTTAATTTTTCTCAGCGAATCTCATATTTCAAATCAATGCAAATTTAATTGTATCGATTGAAAACTGCTGCCGAGTTGGCTTTATTCATTTCACGGTGACTCTTTTATTTGTGGACAAGTACACGCATACATACATTATGTATGACACATATATTAATATAATTACATTTTAGGGGCTTTCACAACAAATCCTACCGATGTGAGAATAAATGGGAAAATTAAATAAAATTGTGGCTACTCTGAAAGTCTTTTTGACAAATGGTTGTAACGCGTAGCATTTGTCTCGGGTTTTAATTTTTTGTTTATCATAACCAGAATCCACTGAAAAACTCATAATTGACACATTAATCATTTTAAGCGTTAAATGACTTAAGTAGTCAAATTTATGTCAATTTGTAACAAAAACTTAACTCTTGTTCAACTCACCATACGACATTTTACATACACACCACAGTTGATAAACATGTACGAATTAACCAGAAAAATAAGAAAATAAAATGATTTACGATTTCACTAATATGTGTCCGTCTCCGTATGCACCTGCAATTTACGAAACTTTGATTGGTTAGCACGTTCCACAACTCTTGAGACACCGCATTACTTGCGTAAATTTGCACAAATGCATGCACAACAAAACCTGCGACAAGTTAAAATCAGTTCAGGATCATTTAGCTTTGATAAAACTTGTTACATAGCGAAAAACATGAACGCAGCACTTAAAACCTTTAAGGGGAAGAGAAAATGCGCTCAACATATTTTTAATTTCGTAGGTTTGTTGATATTGATCACGGTCAAGCCTTTTTTAAAAAATAGATGACCTCTTAATGGTAAAATCAATGGTAAAATTGGTATTGCTAATTTTTTATCAATTTGTAATATTTAACTAATGTGGTTAATTGCAGATAAAGCCATTAATCATAATATGTTATCTGAAGAGGTGTGCAAATATGAGATGCATTTCATAAAGCTAACCTTGTAAATTTTTATTTATAAATTCCCAGATTTATAGATACATGAAAATTTTGAATTTCGGTATATGTAAGTATGTATTATAACTACTTAAGTTTGCCATTTCCACAATTTGTTCACCCAATTTCCAGGTATGGAAATACCTCATGCTTGAACTTTACAAACCGAACCTTACATCGCTGAATATATAATTTTAATTGTATAATGTCAATTTCAGGGGTAAAGTAAATCAGTACAATGTCAAATTATGTCTAGGTACATACACATGTCGAGTACCCATCACTCTTGTAAGGAATTGCATGTAAATCTTTCGCTTCATCATTTAGGTAATTACTTACAGCAAATATTCCCAATTAAGTAAATATGTCGGGTAATAAACACGCATTCAGATGGTTCAATTACAAATTATTCTCAATGCATAGAAACGTATACCATAAATTAGCACATTAATATTCATACATCGTAATTATTCCCTGCTGTATTGACTTAATGATCACGTACGTCAGAAGTACATAACAAATCGAGGATGGAAATATAATGCATTCTATTTATGTGTGTATGTACGCTTCCTGTAAGATTATCATGGATTCTTATCAATGCTGCTTATTGGTGTCAGTGTTTTGTCGCAAACAGTGTATATTACCTTAACCTCAAAAAAAATTCTGAGAACAAAACCTGTATATACTGAATCAATTGTCAAGTGGGAAATGTACACTTGGGTGAAATAAATGAGTTCCAGACCGACCAAATCTAAAAACTAGGCTGCTTTGAACATGATGGTGACCCAAAGAGCTTTGGCAAGTAAACCAAATTAAGTCATTTATTTAAATTTCATACTCTTTAAATTTCCAATTTCGATTTCAGATTTGTACTTGGTTCCTCCTTGTGGGGTTGACCACTTCCATTTCTGATATTATCAGCCAACCAGGTCAAATAAGTGCAGGAGCTGGTCCGTCTCTACCACTGCCGCCTCTCCCAGTGAATCCCATGGCCGTCACATCGTCAAGTTTCGACCTGCTTCCTGACCGAATAGGATTTAAGTTAGCTGTGAACTACGCGTGTGGAGTGACCATTGCCATGGAAACTTTTCTCAATGAGAGTCTCCTATCCAAACTTCCTTCTATGCCGCCGCTTCCTGTCGTGGGTGGTATCGTCGGTGGTCGGGCTGGACCTGTGGAAGGGGTGGTCAAATATATCAACCCGATCGTATTGGTCGGCTCGACTTGCATAAACCTGGGAGGCATTTGTGGAAAGTATAATGTGAATCAGAATGCCATGAGCGTGGAATAATTTGGTAGCTCAAAATAGATAAATTAAATGGTTAATGGGTTGCTACCCGATTTGTAAATATAGACGTTTCTTTAAAATATTATTAAGGTAAATATTACAAAACTTATTATTCGTGAAGTACAAAAATATAAAGTCAGATTTAAAAGCTTAAAGTTGAAATTTATGCAAAATTACTAAATATAAAATAATTTAAAATTTAAAACACATGTAATACATGACGTTTGATACGTGGATAATGAGAACGAATACAATACTACTAATAAGGGTGTTCAACTAATTTGGTATCACAGGTGAACGGTGGAGACAAATTCGCTGAAAAAGTTTGGAGAAAAAAACTAACTACAAGTTCACATACAACGTGTTTCCAAAATGTTTCCATAGCTGGAAATTTTGCATGTAAGCATTGCGAAATTCCTCTGTTCTTCATGGCTCCGGTTAATTTACATAACTTACTTGGTACACTGATAAGGCAAGTCGCTCAGGTTTCATCCATTTCGTTTTATTTTCGTAAAAAAATTTAAAGTTTTAGAATTGGTTTCTTCTTCCATAAAACTATGCCGTTGTTGCGTGGTCGGATAGAAAAAAAAGTGGTGGAGATTTAATTCTAGTTTGAAACATATCACCTGAAATGTGGCCCCAGGTGCAGAGGAGGAGGGGAGGAGGGGAGGTGAATGCACACAAAAAGGTGCATCGTTTTTGCAAGTGCATTTTTACAAAATAATTCTAGATTGCAGAAAGAAATTAGACGGAGAACGACATTAATTAACATAACCTAAAGCATTCAAGTAGCGTTAATTTAATTAAAATGTAAAAGAGTAAATATTGATAATAACATTTCTATATTCTTGAATAAGTAATTGAATTGACTGTATGTCCATGACATAGTACAATGCTATCGATATGCTCCTGATAGGTACATGTCAAGAGCATGCATTAACTAAATTCACATTATTTAAGAGCTTTCACTAGTTCTTGTTTGGATGGATAGAATTGGTCAAATGTTGCCATTTTTACGGCGACGATTGATTTCAATAGCCTGCGCAACAACCATCCCCCACAATATATTTCATTCACTAAATCAGCAGCATGAGTATACCTGTATACATATATATATTGCATTTAGACACTTGACATCTATAATTAAATTTATTTTGAAACTTGGTGGGCGATTAGTAAAAAATAATGTTTCCAGTAATTTGCCGCAGCTCGTATTAAGACCTTTCAAACAGCCATCTCATCATCCATCGTCACGATTGAATTAAGCATTTAAAACCGATGCAATTTGTTAGGCGAGTTGTCAGTTAGGATACAAATCTAAACTTTTTGCGCTCCGTTTTTCTTATGCTTAATTTCAGCATTTTCAGCTCTGACAATTCTCTTTCTCTCTGCAGTGCGCTGGAGTGCTTGAATTATGATTCAGGGGAGTTTCGAGTTCAAATACAGTCAGACAAAACAATTATTGGTACTTACAATTAGTGCGACGAGGAGGTTGTGGTGTGATTCCATGCGTGTAGCATTCTGAAATCCCCTGGTCCGCTGAGTAAAATCATAAAAACAACAATTTCTGCCAGCCATGTGCATATGCTGTGTCGTACGTCAAATTTTCACTTCGTCATTTTTTTGTTTCTTTTCCTCAAAATTTAAAGCCAAACTCAATTTTGGTTGGTCACTACTTAAGATTTCAGTATGAGAGCAATGCCCAAAGCCTTCGATCCATAGATCATAAGTCCCAGGCGGTCTGCGAACCAAGCCAAGCAAATAATTGTTGAGCAGCCGCTTCAACCGTCTGACATTGGTCACATCCGCAAAACCAAGTACGATATTGCCAAGACAGCGAGACACCTTTTTATAATAAAAGTGGAACGGCCAACTCCCGACGTGTGTTGTTTAGGAATCCACGCCACTTACAAGTGTCGGGCAATGGCGTACAAAAAAATGTAAAACTGACTTTCCACCAAGATTTTACACTAATGTGAAAATATTATTAATTGCACGAAATGCTGGTTATGTAAATACCTGATAAAAATCTTTATTATGCATATGGGAAAAAATGGTGCACGTATTTATCTGCAACCACGCTAGAAAGCTACTAAACGAAAAATACTACAGTACAAATTAAGCAGTAGGTTTTATGGGCGACGGCGTTACTTCTCTCGCCTATGGCGCACAATTTTAGGGATGTGGATCTCTGCTGCTCAGCTCGTCCAAGCGTCCTTCCATTTCAAAAGCGCTATCAAAAATTACAATCACCTCCATTATAAATCCATTAAAACCTGGCAGTGCTTGGGCAATCATAGTAATTAATTAACGCGAAGTTTGAATTATTCAGGTATTGACCCAACCCAAACTTATGGCCAAGAATAATTGATACGTTCAGTAAGGAATTGATTTTTGAAATGATGTGTCGACTGTCGACTGTCACGCGTTATGCGGCGAACTCGAAGAAAATCACTTTGCATTTTCAGTGTTCACAAGGAGTGAGAAAATCGGCCAAGCTAAGCAGTGATACAATACCAAATTCACTTTGGACAGGATGATGGCTCGCGTGGTCATTCATGCTTTCACTACTGACTCTCATCACCAGCCAGCCATGCTTCAACTCGACTAGCTGCACACAGACACAAAGCTAATCCATCAACCAACCAATTCGCAAAAAATTGGGATGACCATCATCAAATGGCAGGTTCCATGCATTTCAGGTAGAAACAATTCACCACATACACCAAGGTACGTCAAGAAATGTACCTCAGAATTGACTTAAAATGCCATAACTAAGAAACTAATTCATAAAAAGATGCTGTGAATCCCATTTCATTTTCCTAACCGTTTATGAATCTATGTGAGAGTCAGGGTGAGCATTACTGCTGAGTCGTTGCAAGGGGAGTCTTCACTCTGGAGCTAAATTTTGCCAAGCCAAATTTCCAAAAAGTTCAGCGGAACATTGACCTTGTGCTATAGAAAATGTCAAGTGAGTGGTGACTATTTATTCATAATTTTTGACTAATTTGATAACAGGGCATGTTTTGCTTGCACGTATGCATAATGCCACAAAATCAATGTCACATTTGAATTTCAGGTTGCCTAAAACAACACTGGGTGAGCTACGCTGGGGACGAGGGTGAGGTTTGGAAATGTGTCCTTCTGGCCCGTGCATTGAGACGGTCGCTCACGACGAGACCGTTGGTCGTCATCGTGTCGGACAATGTGTCGCATGACCTGGGGTGAGTGATGTTGATAACTTATTTGTCCATTAATATATACCCAAAGTCATTACATTCGCTAAATATATCTGTACTAATGAGACGAAATGTCTCAACAATCTCAACTTGCCCCGTCTCAATTTCCAGCATAAAATTGAAATTCCCATAAATCGTTTGTACTTGATATGCAAAGTGTTTGACGATGCCTTTTAATTTTGATCCTAGTCGCCGCCTGCAGGGTGAAGTGGGTTCGGTGTTTTGGGCTGAACCGGTGCCGGGGGTGCTTTTCCGATCTGTGGCGAAGCGGGTGGCAGGCGGGTTGAAGGGGCTGCACAAGGCCGTCTTCCTGGACTGCGCCTGCCTTCCCCTCAAAAACTGTGACGACCTGTTTCGAACCCATGGAGTTCAGTGGGTGCGAGAGGACAAGGCCGTCGTGCTCACCAAGTCGCGAAGCTTGGCAGCCGAGGATCACGACCTGATTACGGAACTTGTGGTCCAACGTGAGAACGGTAAATGCCTTGATTACAGCTCAAATATGCAATTTCCACTTTTACACGAATAAGCCATAAGTTAAAACCAAACGTCAATATATTTTAAATTGCAGGTGGAAAATTTGTGGCTGAAAATCCGGGCAAACGCAAGCTGGAAGAACTGAGTTATTGTGCTGAGTTGGATTTCAAGAGGTGATAAGTTCTCACTGAGATTTGTGCTTGGTGATTTCCATATTCAAATTAGATCTCACAATCACTGTCAACAACATTTGCATCTATATGTTTATAATAATGCTAAATAATAATTTGAAATATTGTGTGTCGACAGCGCCCATCCAACGCCAGTTCCTGGGAAGGATATGAAAATGGTTTGTTTCGTGAATGGTCACCCTCACGACCAAGATGTCGAGCCATTTCGTCAACGAGGTGTTCTTGAAGAAGAAGTGATGAAGCTGTGCGTCTCGCTTTGCCCCGAGATACATTCTGCAAAGGTTAGCATCATTATACTCCAATAGCAGGGCGCATAAACTTTTTGTTGTCCGTGGTTTCTCCTAAGGGGGTGGTGCAAGGATGAATATTTTTTTCAAAAAAATCGAAAAATCAAAAGTTGGGGAATTGCATGCAATTTTCCCTTGAATTTGGTTGTCAACCAATTTTCAAAAATGAAATAAATACATTTTATCCTGGTCTTCATCTCCGAAAATGAAGAATAAGCTCGGAGATTGCTAAGATCGGTCAAGTGGCTGACCACTAGGGGTCATATAGGTCGGATAAGGTCGTTGGTACAGAATATTATAATTTGTAAAATTAGGCTAACAACCAAATTCAAGGGAAAATTGCATGCAATTCCCCAACTTTTGATTTTTCGATTTTTTTGAAAAAAATATTCATCCTCGCACCACCCCCTTAGGAGAAACCACGGACAACAAAAAGTTTATGCGCCCTGCTCTAATAGTGTGCCTAATATATGCACAATTTTGCACCAGTAAATGCGCAACGAAGATATTGGCATGGAGGCAAGATGAGAATTCAGAACGAAATGAGACTACTCACGTCTCACCTTAGTTGTGCTTGATATGTTTTCAGGTGGTGGTGAACGGTCCAGCCTTGGATGGGCAGTTGGTGGACTGGGAGCTGCACAATTCGATCGCGATCGTGGGAATGGCGTGTCGCTACCCTTGCGCCAACACGATTGCGGAGTTTTGGTCGCTGCTGGCGAATGGGTTGGAAGGGATTCGGAAGGTGCCCGAGGGTCGGTGGACCAAGGACAAGGCGTTCATCCGGATGGACAACATGGGGGCGACGGAGGCAGGCTTTCTCTCCTGTCCCATCCACACCTTCGACGCCAAGTTCTTCAACACCAACGCGGCGGACATACACTATCTCGACCCCCAGCAGCGCCTCTCCCTTCGCGTCGTTTGGGAAGCCTTGGAGCACGCCGGCCTCGACCCCAACACGCTCCGAAACACGCTCACCGGAGTTTTCGGAGGGTGAGAATCCTAGTTTTTCTTTATACCCGTTTTTATTATTGATTCTACTCATCTCTTATATTGAAATATTATGACACTTGTATTAAAATAATCGCAGTTGGTGGCGGAACGATTACAAGGAAATGTTGCAAATGTTGGGAATCCCGGACACGGACTTTCTCCGCGGCTACATGGGCAACGCCCTGGGACCGCTGACGGCCAGGATTTCCCACTTTTTTGAACTTATGGGCCCGTCGTTCTCCACCGAGTCGGGCTGCTCGACCTCCGTGGCCGGCGTGGACATGGCCTGCGACAGTTTGAGGAGCGACGCGTGCAACCTGGCCATCGCTGTGAGTCCTTCATTTTCGACCTCAACGCAAAAAATATAGTGATTAACTTATCGCAGTTAAATGTGCAATTTAATTAAATGGCGAAACAGGTGGGAGCCAACTTGCTGCTGCATCCCTTCTCGCCGTCCGTGATGGAGGGGGTTCTGGCTCCGGACGGTCGTTGCAAAACGTACGATGCGAGTGCGGACGGGTTTGGTCGAGCCGAGGGGATCGGCGTTCTCATCCTCAAGCGGTTCTCGGATGCCGTGGCGGACGGGGACACGATTTGGGGATGCATTCGAGGATCGGCCATCGTGCAAGAGGGGCCGAGCAAGAGCATGGGCACTCCCACCGTCGACGTGGAGGCCAAAGCCATGGAGGTTAATAATTCAACACTATTTTAAATAGAGTCGGCTGGCTAATATTCGTATATTTTAAGTATATTGTGAAATGTAGTTGGCTCTGGAGCGGGCCGGAGTGGACCCGAACGACGTGGAGTTCGTGGAGACGCACGGGACCGGCACACCCGTGGGTGACCCCATTGAAATAGCCGCCGTCGCCAAGGCCTATTCGCGGGGGTCGAAAGGCAGGACCAATGTGCTCACGATCGGCTCCGTCAAGACCAACATCGGTCACACCGAGTCGGTTTGCGGGATAGCGGGGATTCAAAAGTCGGTGCTGGCCATGAAGCACGAGCTCATCCCGAAGCATTTGCACCTCAAGAACCTGAACCCCGACATCAACCTGGACGCCATTCCCGCCCAGCTCCCCCTGGAGGCCGTCCCCTGGAAACGAAGACCCAAGGGCGGCAAACCCAGAATTGCTGGAGTCAATTCTTTCGGCATTACTGGAGCCCAGGCCCACGTGCTGGTTCAGGAGCCGCCAGAGAATCTCCCTCCGCATTCCTTCCCCTTCACGGACTCGAGAAAGCTGAGGATGCTGACCTTCTCGGCCAAATCCGAAGAAGCGTTCCGCTTCCAGGTGAAAGCATACGCTGATCTGCTCAAGAATCTGCCCGACACAAACGAACCCAAGGAGCTGTTCTTGAGGGACATTGAGTACTCGATGCACACGGGTCGTCCCCACATGCACCTCCGACAAGTGGCCTTTGGGTCCACGAAGGAGGAGCTGCTCAGTTCGATGGAGGGGATCAGAAAGGGCGCACCAATTCCCAATCAGGTTCCACAGCTCTGCTTCCTCTTCACGGGCCAAGGGTCTCAATATCCGGGAATGGCCAGGTCGCTCTACGAACAGAGCATCGTCTTCCGTTCCAACTTTGACTGGTGCGAGTCCGTGTTGAGCAAGGAGCATGGATTGCTTTCACTCAAAACTGCACTCTGGGAGGAACAGAAGTTGAGCGAGTTAAATGACGGTCAGAAGTCTTTGCTGAAATCTTCCCTTTACAGCCAAACCTCAATTTTCGTGGTGGAGTTCTGTCTGCTTCGTCTGTGGGAATCCTGGGGTGTCAAACCGGACGCTGTTCTGGGTCACAGTTTGGGCGAGTTCGCTGCTGCGGTGGCTGCGGGAATGTTGTCGGCTGAAGACGCCCTCAAGTTGGTGGTCACGAGGTCCAAACTGATCCACGCTCTGCCCGCCGCCAGCATGCTCGTCGTCGGCACCAGTTTGGAGAAAGTGGAGCAAAGTTTGGAGCGGGCTTTCTCCAATCAGAAAAAGTGGTTGGACGTGGCAGCGGTCAATTCTGAGAGTCAGACCGTGCTTGCGGGCCCCACGGATTTGGTCCACGAGTTCAAGCTCTACTGCGACAACAACGACATCAAAACCCACGTGCTGGACGCCTCTCACGCCTTTCACTCTCATCTCATGGACCCAATGCTTGCGGAATATGAGGCGCTCGCTCGTACGATCGGCTACAAGGAAGCGTCGACGGGCATCAAGTTCATTTCTGCCGTGGATGGACGCACGGTGAGCAAAGTCGACGCCAAGTACTGGGTGCGACACACAAGAGAAAGGGTGCGCTTTTTGGAGGCGAGCCATGCTGCAGTCAACGAGGGCCAGAGTCTGTTCCTCGAAGTTGGACCGCATCCCGTCCTCTCCACACTCCTCATGACCAACGTTGACGAGGTGCGTAGTTAGTGACATTGCGTATTTTTGTAGTAATAGAATTTCACGTATTGCATCATATCACCATTAATTAATTTGTTAATGAAGGTTGCGGATGTGGTCACGAGTGCCTCTCTTCGTCGAAAGTGTGACGATTGGGAGACGATGCTGGCTGCACTGGGGAAATTGTACGCGCTGGGCCGTCCCATCACGTGGGCCAATTTCCATCGCTATTCGGGTGGGCGAAGGGTGGAGTTGCCCGGCTACCACTTTGAGGAGACGCCGTATTGGATGAACATCAAGGACGAAGGGTCCAACCCCTTCCATCCACTCCTCGGTTCCTTCGTCCCCAACCCGTCCGACGTCACCATCTTCAAAAGCTCAGTCAACGTCCATCGACTCCCATTTCTCAAAGACCACGCCCTCGGCGACAAGATTATTTTTCCATGCGTCGGCTACGTCGACATGTGCATGACGGCCGGATATGCCGCCACGATGTGCAACGAGGGCAGTTACATCAAACCAACTTCACCTCTCTGCGTTCGGAATTTTTCAATCCTCACCCCAGTTTGTTTGAGCGAAATGACACCCACTGAATTTCAGGTCGTCGTATCTCGTCAGTCTGCTGGTGAAATTAATACCTCGATCTTTACAAAAGTCTATCTCGAAGACTCAACTTACAAATGGGTTAAAAATGCGGTTGGAAATTTCGTATCATCTCCTCCAGTGCGTACTCTAATTGCCAGCGAGGAATTTGGTGCTATCAAAGCCCGATGTACTGAACTTGTTCGAGTAAACTTTGACTATCGAGAGCTTGAGGAATTTGGGTTTAATTTTGGGCCTTCGTGTCATACAGTTTCTCCAGGTTGTAAAAACCCCGAAAACTCTGGTGAGTGGTTGTTCCCTTTTCGATGCCACGAATCTCAAGAGGATCACGAACGATTCATCGTCCATCCCTGGGTAACGGATCCTATGCTGCAGTCTCAAATCATGGCACTCGGTCTGCTTCACGACACTCAAGTGCGGAAACGACTTGTTGTCCCGGTCTCAATAGATAACTTCACATGGTGGGGTCACTCGGCCCCTTCGGGCTACATCCACATTAAACATGGCGATGGTGGAAATGAAGCGCATCTTTACAGTGAGGAAGGCATACTCATGGTTTCCATGTTGGGAACGGAATTTATGGAGACGACCCTGGCCAACATTCTCTCGTTGATCGATTCGCAAAAGAATCCGTATCCTTCCCTTGCTGAGTTCACGTGGAAAGAAAAACTCGGCCCGGAGGAAAGAAGGATTCCTGACGCGGGTTTGGAGTCCATTTCAATTAAAGATGTTACCTTTAACCCAAAAGATTCAGCTTTTACTGCGGAAGAGTTCAAATTTTACACAGAGTTCAACATTCTTGGAGGCCTGTACATGCTAAAGGCTATGAAAGAACTTGGTCTTGATAAGGAAGAAACTTTCACCTGGCCCGAAATTAGCGAGAAGATTGGAGTGCTGCCTTTGCTAAGTAAATTCCTTCGCTACATTCTTCTAGAGCTTGGAACTGAGGGATGGGTATCGGCAGGAAAATGCGACACCTTTTCCATCCCCAAGCCCTTCCCCTCCGTGGAAGCTTTACAAGCTAAAATCTCGTCGTTAGCGGAAGTCATCCGTGAAGGAGGGGTAGGACTGACGGAGTTATCCTCGACCCAAGGAGTTTGGCAAGTTCTAGCTCAAATTTTGACAGGTCGCACGTCCGCTCTTCCACTCCTGTTTCCGGATGGGTCCACCATAAGCACTAAAGGTCCGGCGGAAGTGTGCTACACAGAATCAGTATTTGCTCATAAACGCTACGCTCTGAATGAGGTGGAAGGTGCTCTTCTTTCTCAACTCTCCACTCTGGGCGGAAGTAAATCCGTCGTTCGGATTCTGGAAGTTGGTGCTGGAGTGGGCAGTGAGACGACTCACCTTCTCAAACACATGAGTAAAGCAGGCGTCGCGCATTTTGAGTACACCTACACGGATTTGGCACCCTCGTTCTTGCAAAAAGGAGAAACGCTGTTTGCCGAAAGTGGGATCTCTGCGAAATTCAGGGTACTTGATGTGGAAAAGGATCCTATGGCGCAGGGGTTCACGCCCAAGCAGTACGATGTTATTGTAGCATCATGGGTACTACATGCAACAAAAAATATTGAGGAATCTGTAGCCAATTTGATACTGTTGCTGCGCCCGGGTGGTTATTTCCTTATTACAGAATTAGTCGAGCCTACTCGCGCGGTAAAACTTTTGTTTGGAGGGTTGGAAGGATTCTGGAAGTTTGACGACACGAAAATTAGGCCATGGCATTGCGAACTTTCGGTGAAGGGATGGCATTCTTTGTTAGAGACGAATGGCTTTGAGGTTGCCAGTTTGGAAAGTTATGCAGGAGCGAATGCCTTAATTGTAGCTAAATTAGGGGAAAGTAATAAGATTATAACAAAGCATTCGTGGGAGGAACTCTCAGTTCAGAAACTGGGTCACACTTGGATTCTGTTTGGAGACACGAATCCAACATCACCTTCGGCAGAGTTGCAGAGGAATTTAGAGGCAGTTAACTGCCACATTGTGCGAATAACTCTGTCTGACATCCAATCAGGCTGCATGGAGACTAAAGTCACAGAAATTCTGCAGCATACATTTACATTGGAAAACGTAAAAGTGCGTGGACTTGTTTACTCTTGGGCCCTAAACGAGGAATTAACTACGGCTCAAATCTGCGAACCTTTCCTCTACATTTGCAAATACTTGGTGAAAGTCCAGTCATCCCTGCGAGTCGTTGCTCTCACGAGAGGAAATATGTCTACCGGTGGTTCCGATTTTTATCTCAAACCTCCCATCGCATCGCCACTAATTGCCATGGTCAATGTCCTCGCAAACGAAAACATGGATCTTTCCTGCAAATGTGTGGACATTGATCCCAATCCAAAAATTGAGAGACCCGTTTCTGACGCTTGGAACGAACTGTTTGCCACAGATGCAGACGTGATGGTGGCCTATCGCGCTCATCAGCGATGTACACCGCGTCTTAGGCCCTACAAGGTGAAAACATCCCCACTTCCTATTCCAAACACGCCTCGTTATAAATTAGTTCTCCCACCTTCGCACATCATCCAAGATTTACAATTCACACCCTGTGAGCCGGAACCCTTGGGGGAATCCGATGTCGAGGTTGAAGTGAAAGCGTATGCTCTCAACTTTTTGGATGTCCTCATGGTCACAAAACCTGACCCAGTCTTCGAAAAGTACAACTACCTCGGAGTGGACATTGCCGGGGTGGTGACGGCAGTTGGAGCTAACACGAACAGGAAAGTTGGCGAACGGGTTGTCGTCGTACGTCGACACGGACTTGCGATGCCGTCACACATAATCTCACCTGGCTATCGGACCTGCATCATTCCTGATGACATCACATTTAGCGAGGCAGCCACTTTCCCAATGGGTCTCCTGACGGTGGCCACGTGTCTCGTCGATGTGGCCAAAGCTGGACCAGGTGACGTTGTCCTTATCCACACTGCATCCGGAGGAGTTGGTCTGATTGGGATTCAGATAGCGCAGCGATTGGGGGCCACCGTCGTAGTCACGGCAGGGAATGAGAAGAAGAGGAACTATCTCAGATCTCTCGGCGTGAAGCATGTCTTCAATTCGAGATCGACCGAGTACGAGAAAGATATCCGAGCTTCTCTGGGTGGTCGGGGAGTCACGATTGTAATGAATTCGCTTACATCTCCTGGTTTCAAAGAAGCAACGCTCAACCTTTGCGAGAAGGGGGCAAGGTTTGTGGAAATGAGTAAAATGAACATTTGGTCAAAGGAAGACGTCGAAAAGTTGAGGCCCGACGTGTATTACGAAGTTGTTGATGTTTCCACCCTCTCAGACGAAAAACTTAACGAATTAGCCGTATACCTGCAAGACCAACTTCTACGACGGATTGAAGACAGACCGACGCCATTACCGTTCACAAGATTCAATGCGAGCGAAATTAGGGATGCTCTCGAGTACATGGAGAAAGTAAAGCACATTGGAAAAATCGTCCTTGTTATGCCGGACCAGGGTGTGGGAAAAGAGCAGACGTTCCACCTTTTTGATGGAAGGTCAACCTATATGATCACAGGTGGTTTGGGAGGAATTGGATTGGAAGTTGCCAAGTGGATGGCCACGACGGGGGCACAAAACTTCCTCCTGCTTGGACGATCTGCACCAAAACCGGAAGCCTTAGACAAAATTGAGAAACTTCGCAGAGCTGGGGTAAGAATTGAAACCCGTTCCGTGGATGTTGGAATAATGGAGGAATTGCAACAATTAATGACGGAATTCGACTCTGGTGCCCTGCCCCCATTGAGGGGAATTATGCATGCAGCTGGTGTGTTGGATGATGCAACTTATGAAAACCAGACGTGGGACAAGTTTGAGAATGTCTTCAATTGCAAAGTTCAAGGGGCTTGGAACCTTCATCAATTAAGTCTAAACCTTACATTTCCACTTGAACATTTTGTGCTCTTTTCGTCCATGACGGCCACAATTGGTGCAGTGGCCCAGAGTAACTACGCTGCAGCGAATCAATACTTGGACTCGCTTGTGCACTATCGGTCCTCCCTGGGCCTGCCCGGAACGGCTGTGAACTGGGGGCAGTGGGGCCAGGTTGGACTAGCTGCAAATCTTCATGTGGCATTAAACAAGCCTCTCACCATTCATCAAGGCACGGCTGCATTGGAACATGCTCTTACCTCACACAAGACACAGCTAATGGCACACGAATCGGATTTGGGTGGTTACAAGGCAGTCCTCCCCTCGTGTAAAGGACTTTTAGTGGATTTTGAAGAGGACTCCGTCGCACAGGGTGAGATTGATGGGGACGAGTTTTGGCGAGAATATGACGGTGCGATCAACCGAGATGCAAAGTGCGATATTGTTCGCAGATTTCTGAAACGCCTCATCCGCATCACTCTGAAGATGGACAAGAACGAAGAGATTGAGGACCAAGTCAACTTTCAGGACATGGGATTTGATTCGCTTCTTATGGTCGAGATGAAGAACGGGCTCCAGGCCTCGGTGGGAAAACGGGTCAAAATCTCCATCAATGCGGTCAAGGATTGCAAAACTGTGGCCCAATTGACTGACCGACTTGTTGAATTGATTTCGGGGAAAGAAGACCTTCCCCCACCGACGGCACAGGAACTGCAACAGCTCGTGGCAATGGATTCCACTTTACCAGAATCAATTCGAGTTGACGCCAGTCTTGTGGGGTCACTAACTACTCCCATCACGAAAATTACTACAGTATTAGTTCTCGGTTGCACTGGTACTCTGGGTCCGTACATTGTTGCAGAGCTATTCAAAAGGCGTCACATACAAAAAGTTATTTGCATAATGCAAAGTAACCCAATGATCTCCCCGCTTGAGAGATTCCGTCGTATCTACGAAAAGAAAGGGCTGCTTTCGGATATCGATATGGATCGTATTGAATGCATCGTGGGTGATATTAAGGACCATCATTTTGGACTTGTTGAACCAGTCTATCGTCACCTCTGCACAGAAGTGGACGCAGTTTTTAACCTTGCAGTAAAAGTTGCATTTGAAGAGGTCTATCGATGTTCGGAAGATCCCAAGAGCTCACGTGTCACCAATGTTTTCGGGATGAGGAACGTTTTACAATTTGCAGTCGACAAGAAACTCAAGTACGTTTATCACGCGTCCACATTTGCGGCAGAAACCAGAGTCGATGACGATGGATATTTTTGGGAGGGTTGGCCTGCAGAGGAGGAAGTCGCAATGTTCCCTAATTCAGCCTACTCTATTTCCAAGCTGATTTGTGACCGTTTGGCGGAACAGGCCGTGGCTGCTGGAGTTCCATGCAAAGTATTCAGACTTCCACAACTGGGAGGCGATTCTGTTCGTGGGGGCAACATCCAACTCGACTCGTTCCTCATGATGCGTTTCTTGGCTTATCTCTACATCGGATCCATGCATGGCGTCAGAATTCCGCTCAGCTTGATGGCGGTGGACCAATGTGCCAAATTATCGATCGATCTCTTTTTTAATGACAAGGCTGGATATGAAATGTTTAATGTGCTCAATCCGCATTTGGGTAAGATAACCTGATAACCACGATAGGACCAGTTGCTTAAGTTTCCATTTTCTATATACTGAATATTTTCATCTGATTAGGTGACGAGAGGGAATTTGAAACACTTGCCAAGGAATTTGGCGTGGCTGTGCAAGTTATGGATTCCACAGACTTTTTGGAGAAATGGAAGAAAATGGATTCCAGCGACGAGATGATTCAGCTCGTGAAATTTGCCATGACCCAAGAACAAGAATTATTTAAACTTCGAGATGACAAAATGCCTTACTACGTGTCTTGGCTAAATGGCAACGACCGGGTCTTTATGAGCAAAAAGTTGCAAAACCTGATGCCAGAAGAATACCCCAATTGTATAACCTCATCCAAGGAAATACTTCGACGCGACCTTCGACACGCGAGAGACACTGGTGTTTTCGACCGCTACAAGATTAAACACTCCAACCCATATTTGCTTTCATAATCTACATGTTGTTATTTATTAAGTGTGCGTATTTTTCCATTTACAGCGAAATTGCTGTGTATTATTATTTTATTTTACAAGTGAATAACTCAATATTTGTCCCGAAAATTAATATCAGAACGATTACTTGCATGGTATTTTGAATGAAGTCTTATTAATGCACATCACTTGTGCGGCAAAAAATTTTAGTGGTAAGAATTAAGTTTATTATTTATAATGTGATTAATTATTTCATTCTTTGTTTAGGGTTACGCAATTTTACAAAACAAAGCGTCAATTTTATAATCGCAAGCATTATTGACCTTATGATATTAAATCATTATTATACATATCTCGTTAACCACGCAAATAAAGTGTGTTCATTTTATTTGCACTACTAAAATTGCACTTTGCAGGATGTTCCTTTACGTTGTCAAAAGCTGGCGTAAACTGGTGTTCTAAGGAGTTAATGTTTTGCATAAGAATATATGTGGGTAGCTCATACTTTAAAATCTACAAATCCTATTTTGTCAATTTAGTGCATGATTTATAATATATTGAAACATTGTGTAATACCGAAGTATTAAATATATATTTGCATATTATTATTTGCATATATTCATGGGTCAAAATGGGTCCGTGGTATTTAAATAATCAGGTTATTAAGTTTTGCAGGAGAAAAGACGGATGACTCACATTCTTCGCGAGTGGTGAGATTCATTCACTACTGCATAATCTGCTGATCTGCTGTTGAACAAAAACAAATACAGAAAATAATATACAAACAAATAACATCCTCATAAATATCGACTTTCACTCATCAAATTATAAATAATGAATAGTTTTCACCTTGCTTTGTATTTTACCTGGATTTACCATTACACTGAATTGAATATATTGTCGATAAACGTGTTATAAAAATATAATATTTTAAAGTAAAACTAAAACAGTTGTCAAAATTGTAGTGTCAAAAGTTATCGAAACTTTTGCCTCGAGTTCCAATGAGCAATAATAATGGGACTAGCAGCAGCAGCAGGTGTGACCAATTTCGCTGTCTGTTCTGCTCAACGTCGTCATCCGGAGGAGGCATTGGATCGTCCCCCCTCGAGGGACGAGGGACAGGGAACGAGAACGACAAAAATCTCTACAAAATGGTTTTCATTTTACATAAATTGTTACAGGTAAGCACAATAACATCAACCCTCACTTACAGTTAGTACTAACCACAATAATGATTTACAAAAAAAAATATTAGTACCAACAAATTGTAAATATAACTCTTTAATCATTTACAATTGGCATCTTATATTTAATTATTTTTATATACGTAGATTCCACTTTGGGAATGCACTAAATACTTGATCTCGTCGGAGGATGGGTCTATAAATTCCATTAAGTTGTGCAACATCTGCACCAAGATGGTAGATGAAGGTCAATCCCTAGTGGAGAAGGTCGAGCGCCTTCAGCTCAAATTGCAAACTCTTCAGGCAACTCTTCAGAACCAACTGTTATCGGGTCAAACTGCTCAGCTTATCAATCAGAGTCCAACGGTTCTAGACCAATCTAAACTAAGAAGCAGCATTCGTGACGAAATTCGCAATAATGTGTGTAGATCGTCCCTTCAATCTTGTTCTTTCAGTGCTTTTGGTACTGGTGAGGGCCAACTTGACGAAATTGTGCAACCAGCAGGTTAGAAGGCTTATAATTTGTTGAACATTCAATTTAATAAATATGTAATGTTTTAGCAATTATATTTGATTACATTTTATGAAATTCTAGAAGCGTCGACACCTGCAGAATTAGGAGTCAATGCCCAAGGACAAGAAGAAAGAGTTCAAATGACGATTGAAGTTGGTGAGGTGAAAGTAGAGACAGAAGAATCTTTCAACTACGAAGTGATCGACCTTGTGGATGATAATGATAACAACGAATATGGAAATAGTCAGGTGAGAGTAACTAAAGTTTGTGTCAAATATACGTACATATTCTTTTATTTGTATGTGTAATTTTGTTTATTACTTCAATCAGCTTGGACAAGATTGGGACGATATGGTGTCCGAAGTTACCAGTGGGGGTTGTGGGACGATTGACAGACGTCTATCTCAGCGACAAGAAGTATTCATCATTACAAATAAGGAATATGCACTTTATTTAAATTAAACAAATGTGGAATTTTACAGGGTCCTTCATGTTCGGCAACTCTGTCTTCGTCAATCCGTGGTACGGACATGTCACCGTTATCAGGCCCACCTCGAAGAAAACGAGCTTGTTCCGTAATTGAAGATGGCTCTTCGGATGCTTCTATTCCCACTCCAAGTCCACCCGTTCCAATATCGCAGCAGTTTATGTTAAAACAGCAATCGTCACAACCAGGGACATCGCCCCAGCAATATCATTCTCAAACACAACAATCTACATCTGTTACATTGCTCCAAACGCTCCTTAGTACTCCACAAAATCTAACTTTACAATCACCTTTTACGTCACCTTCATCAACTCGTGGAAAGCAAGTAGTTTGGTCTGGGGTGTTGGAGTGGAATGAGAGGCGGATAATAGGTAGAAATTTGTTATGCACTATATTCCCTTGCATTGAATAATTGATACATTAATCTTTGTCCAGATGGATTACAGTACCGTCACCCAAATCAAGTATCTTGCCGGATTTATGCTGCTGTAGTAAACCATATTCCCATGGTCAATACTGCAGGATGGCCTGCCAAACTCTTGATGCAATATATACCAAAAGCGTTTGTGGCAGCAGTTAGACCTGCCACGGATCTCCTAGCAAAAACCGTGCTGGTTGAGTTTGATCAGCCACTTTCTCCACAAGTTCAACAAATGACTAGAGTGTTAGATGGGGGATATGTAAGACAATTATTTATTTTGCTATGTTCACTTATTCTGTGCCGTCCTCCATTTATCTATCTCCACAGGCAGGTTGCATTCGCTTCACTGGAGCGCATCCCAATTGCGTAATAAAATTGATGGCACTCATTCATGTAAGGAGTAAGGGAGCATATGTCGCTATAATTCCGGACCAACAGGATGAGTTTATTAGAAAACTGCAAAATGTGATTAAAGTTTACAATGAACGCCAGGCCCTTAAACAAAATGTTCAATATCTCCAAAACAGTGTCAGTGCTAGCAATATAGTAAATGTCACTCAAGTCATTTCCAATAATCCTCAGTCCAGTGTAGTACAACAGCAACAACCCACAGGAGCAACTATTCACCATATGCCTTCAACACTATCGGTTCAAACGGAAACACAACAAAGACAGGAGAATCTCCTACGAATACAACAACTCCAGCAAACTTTGGAGCGATGTAGAGAACTTGGATATCAAGCATGATATGTAAATACAAATGTGGAGTTATAAATTAACCACGGTAGAATAGTTAATTCCTTTCGTGTTGAGTTGGGCCCAATTTGGATGAAATTGCATGCAATGCAATGTTCACGAAAATTGAAGGCGTATATGCACTACACCCAACAAAATAGCATTAAAGTTAAGTATTATAGATCATATTACTATTTGTAAGGGCAAGCTATGATTATTAGAAATATATAGGACTCATCCTTTAGTATTCTTTGGATTAGATTACATAATTACAGTCAAGTTCTGTTTTATATCAATTTGCAATATTCACTTATTGCATCTTTACGCTTTTGTAATAAATGACACCAAAATGTCGATTCATTGTTTCAGCAAGTAAATTATTTTATTACGTGTATTTATTATAGGAATCCGACACAAGAATTAACTGATGAAACTACTAGACATGTGTACAAAAATCTACTGTAGTTGTATTTATTCCAAACTGACTCAAACCAACCAAATTAGTTACGTGATTGAGAAAAAGGTTATAATTTAATTAAACATACAATTAGTCTAAATCTCTGCATCTACAACTCACTTATGATTAGAGAAGTTACGCCATCAAGTTAGGCCAGGAGGTATGGGTTGGAGTGCTTAATTTTGTATCGATCTAAAATTCCAGTATCTCTAGCAAAGCGAAGATCACCCCTCAGGACGTCCCACGAAGGAGTAATGCAAGACGGATATTCGTCAGGCATGAGCTCCTTCATCTTTTTACTGAGAAAAACGTCCTTATTTCCGGCACGCCAAGAAGTGTACCACGGTAGCTCGTGGTCCTTAAGATGAAGCAGTTCAGCATTATGAGAAGTAGCGAATTTTACAAGCTGAATCATTTCATCGTTGGAATCCAATTTATTCCATTTATCCAAGAAATCAGAAAACTCTTCAACCTTCATAGAGACACCGAGCTCGCGAGCTATACTTTCAAATTCTCGTTCATCACCTAAAAAAATTAGTTATTTACTAAATAATAAATGTTTTGACTAGCAACAAAAAATGTTGAAACTCGTACCCAAATGCGGATTGAGCACATTGTACACTTCATAGCCAGCCTTGTCATTAAAAAAGAGATCAATTGATATTTTGGCACATTGGTCCACCGCCATCAAGCTGAGAGGGACTCTGGCTCCATGCATGGATCCGAGATAAAGATAAGCCAAGAAACGCATCATAAGAAACGATTCAAGTTGGATGTTGCCCCCATGAACAGAATCGCCTCCCAGTTGTGGAAGTCTGAATACTTTGCATGGAACTCCAGCAGCCACGGCCTGTTCCGCCAAACGGTCGCAAATTAGCTTGGAAATGGAGTAGGCTGAATTAGGAAACATTGCGACTTCCTCCTCTGCAGGCCAACCCTCCCAAAAACATCCATCGTCATCGACTCTGGTTTCTGCCGCAAATGTGGACGCATGATAAACGTACTTGAGTTTCTTGTCCACTGCAAACGAGAGCACATTTCTCATTCCAAAAACATTAGTGACACGTGAGCTTTTGGGATCTTCACTGTCTCTGTAAATCTCCTCGAATGCCACCTTCACGGCCAGATTAAACACAACGTCAACCTCAGTCACAATTTGTTGATATATTTCATGACTAAGCCCAAAACATGGCTGTTTTACGTCTCCGGAGATGCATTCAACTCGAGTCATATCAATTTCATGGAAAAGTCCCTTCTTTTCGAATACGCGTTGAAAGCGATCGGAGACGGACACCACTGGACTTGGTTGCATGAGGCAGTAAACTTTTTTGATCTGGCTCCGTTGGAATATCTCACGGACGACGTAAGGGCCCAAAGTCCCGGTGGAGCCAATCACGAGGACGGTGGATGCTTTGGACAGAGGACGAAGTTTGGATTTCATTTCGGGGTCGACGCGAATATTTTCTGGGAGTTTGGCATCTCGAGCAACTAAATCCTTCAGCTCCTCCGCGGTGGGTGGGGCGAGTTCTTCCTTCCCGGATATGAGTTCCACTAATCGGTCCGTCAATTGTGCCACAGTTTTGCAATCCTTGACCGCATTGATGGAGATTTTGACCCGTTTTCCCACCGAGGCCTGAAGCCCGTTCTTCATCTCGACCATAAGAAGCGAATCAAATCCCATGTCCTGAAAGTTGACTTGGTCCTCAATCTCTTCGTTCTTGTCCATCTTCAGAGTGATGCGGATGAGGCGTTTCAGAAATCTGCGAACAATATCAAACTTGGCGTCTCGGTTGGACGCACCATCATATTCTCGCCAAAACTCATCTCCATCAATGTCAGTTCCCCCAAGAGACGCATCCTCTTCAATATCAGCTAAGAGTCCTCGAGTTGATGGGAGCATCATTTTCAACCCAGCCAGATCTGCCTCATGGGCAACGATCTGTGTCTGGTGAGACTTCATTGCATGTTCCAATGCTGCAAGTCCTTGATGAACAGTCAGTGGCTTGTTGAAGGCAACAACGAGGTTTGCTGCCAGACCGACCTGCCCCCACTGCCCCCAATTCACCGCTGTTCCGGGCAGGCCGAGAGAATGCCGGTAGTGCACCAAGGCATCCAAAAACTGGTTGGAAGCAGAATAATTGCTCTGAGCTATGGCTCCTAAGGTGGAGGTGAGGGATGAGAAGAGCACAAAATGCTCCATGGGAAACGGGAGTTCCAAACTTAGCTGATGCAAATTCCAAGCTCCTTGAACTTTACATTGAAACACCTCGTCATACTTTTCCCAACTCTGGTTCTCATATGTTCCGTCCGATAAAACCCCAGCAGCATGCATGATGCCTCGTAAAGGTGGTAATTTCCCGGAAGGCGGCACCCAAAAAGAAGCTTCACCACCCAATTCTTTTAAGACTGCTCTCAGTTTATCCATATCTCCGACATCACACTGTCGCACCTCGACACGAGCTCCTTGTCTACGCAACTTTTCTACTTTGTCCAAGGCGTCCAATTTTGGAGGACTTCGACCAAGGAGAAGGAGGTTCTTTGCTCCAACGGATACCATCCATTTCGCTACCTCGAGACCAATGCCACCTAGCCCACCTGTGATTAGGTACGTCGAAATGTCGTTAAATTGAGGGTAGAATTGCTCCTTTCCAGCTCCTTGTTCGGGCATTGTCAACACGATTTTCCCAATATGCTTCACTTTCTCCATGTACTCCAGAGCTTCTCTTATTTCAGAAGCGTCAAATCGAATGTATGGCACCGGCGTTGGCCGATCATCAATTTGAGAGAGCAGTTGGAGTTGAATATATTCCACGAGTTTGTTGATTTTTTCACGAGAGAGACTTGACACGTCAACAATGTCGTATTTTACATCAGGTCTCAACTTTGCTACCTCGTCCTTTGACCAAACGTTCATTTTGCTCATCTCAACAAATCGAGCTCCTTCCTCGCACAGGTTCAGGGTTGCTTCCTTGAAGCCCGGGGAGGTTAGCGAGTTCATTACGACAGTAACCCCACGTCCACCCAAGGCTTTCCTGATTTTCTGTTCATAGTCGGTAGTTCTCGAGTTGAAAACTTGTTCAATTCCGAGACTGCGTAAATAGTTGCGTTTTCTCTCGTTTCCTGCAGTGACGACCACAGTGGCTCCAAGACGTCTAGCAAACTGAATGCCTATTAACCCTACACCACCAGATGCGGTATGAATGAGAACCACGTCCCCTGGCCCTGCTTTTGCAACATCAATGAGGCAAGTTGCCACTGTTAGCAAACCCATTGGGAAGGTTGCCGCCTCATTGAACGTAATATCATCCGGAATGACAACGGTTCGACAGTCTTGGACCACAATGTGACTTGGCATCGCCAGACCACGCCGTCTCACAAGGACAATTCGTTCTCCAACCTTTCTCTGGCAGCTTGATCCGACTGCAGTGACTACACCAGCAATATCAATCCCTAAATAGTTGTATTTTTCAAAAACTGGGTCGGGTTTAGTGACCATGAAAACGTCCAAAAAGTTAAGTGCGTACGCTTTCACCTCGACTTCAACATGCTTTTCAGGAATTGGTTCTGGTTCGCAGGGGACAAAGTGTAGGTCTTGAATGAGAAGGGATTTTGGAAGGGTGAGTCTGTATCTCGGGGTCCTTGGAATTGGAAGTGGGGCCGCCTTCACCCTGTACGGACGAATCCGAGGTGTGCAGCGTTGGCCTTTCCGATATGCCACCATGACATCAACGTCGGTAGCAAACAATTCGGTGAAGGCTTCAGCCACGACCTGTGGGATATTACTTGTAGGAGTTGGATCGAGATCGACGAATTTGCAAAGCAAATCTTGATTTTCATTTTGAAGAACATTCATCATGGCGATAAGTGGGGAGCAGGTTGGCGGTGCCTGATAAAAGTCAGTCGAACCGGTGCAGAGGTTCCCTCGTGAGAATATGGTCACTTTAAGGTTAGTCGCCTTGGCCAGATTTTTGCAGATGTAAAGGAATGGCTCGCAAACCTTTTTGGTTGTAAGCTTTGCATCGTCATCCAGTCCCCATAAATACAGGATGCCCTTCACACTCATGGTTTGGTCAGTTAAATGTGAATGCAGTAATTTTCCAATAATATCCTCCATATTTGTAGTTCCTTCAAGTTGAGACCGCGTGATTCTCACTACTTTCATATCCACAAGATCGAGTTTGTTTTCCAATTCTTGGGTGACACAGCTTTCTTCATCGCCAAACAATATCCAGGCGGGCCTCTTTCCACGGTCGTCAGTGGAATTATGTGAAATTGTTTTAGTTAAAGATTTGGTGGCAAGAATGACACAACTGGAGTGATTATAACTCTCTACACTGGTAACTTGCTCGAATCCGCACTTGTTAAGAAGTGTTCTCCATTGGTCCACTGGCAGTTCGTAATTCCATGGCCGACAGTCAGTATCAGTGAAGCCCCAGAAATCTTCTAGACCACCAAATAAGAGTCTAACGGGTCGAGTAGGAGTGGTCAGCTCGGTGATGATAATGTACCCTCCTGGTTTGAGCAACTTTCTTAAGTTGAGAATCGACTCTTGTACATCTCTCGTGGCGTGCAGAACCCAAGAAGCAACGATGACGTCGTAATGAGCTGGGATGAAGCCTTGCTCGAGTGGATCTGTCTCCACGTTCAACAGTGCAAACTTGGATGATATCCCGGAGTCTTGGAAAAGGTGTTCACCTCTCTGCAAACACGACGGCGAAATGTCCGTGTAGGTGTATTCGAATTGGGACACGCCAGTCTTCACCATGTGTTGAATTAACTGATACGTCTCACCCCCAACTCCTGCCCCCACTTCCAGAATCCTGACGACTGATTTCGTCCCCATTTGGGCGAGCCGGGTCAAAATTCCTGCCTTTGATGCAGTCAAGGAATATGATTTCTTTGCGAATAGAGATTCTGTGAAATAAATTTCGGACGGACCCCGGTTGCCGGTTTTTGAATTATCTGGGAAAAGAATAGAGCGTGCTGCTTGTTTCCCGGTAAGAATCTGAGAGAGTAGTTCCGCAACTGAGATGACAGATTCCAAGTCCACCTTTCCAATCCCCTTTGCCATAATATCACTTGAAAGTATTCCAATTTGCTCATTGATGATGTTGAGAGCAGGAAAGGAGTTTGTCAAAGTAAATTCGTCATCATCATTCGATGGTCCGCTATGGCTTAGCCATCCATCTGCGACCATCTCGTGCAACAAATAACGCACAAACTTGTTCAGAGCCGGAACTACACCCAGCTTGGCTCCAATATCGAGATACCTAAATTGCGTATGACGATCTAAACCGAGTTCCTTCATGGCCTTTAGAATATAAAGACCGCACAAGTTGTTAAACGTGTGGAAAAAGTCTAGTTCAGTAGGAGAAAATTTGTTGAATTGCTCAATCATTTCTGGCGTTGTAAGTTCTTGAAGGCAAATAGAACCACGTTCAGAGTCAGGAACACGTCTTTCTTCTGGACCCAGTTTCTCTCGCCACGTGTACTCGGCCATCGACGGATAAGGGTTCTTTTGAGAGTCGATAAGCGAGAGGATGTTTGAGATGGTTGTGTCCATAAACTCAGTCCCCACCATCGAAACCATGAGTTTACCGTCATCGTCAAAAAGATGAGCTTCGTTTCCAACGTCCGTATTTTTAATGTAGACGTAACCCGAGGGGGCAGAATGACCCCACCACGTGTAGTTGTCTATCTGAACGGGAACGACAAGACGTTTCCGAACCTGCTTGTCATGAAGCAGACCCGACGCAATAATTTGGGTCTGGAGCATCGGGTCCGTAACCCAGGGATGAATTATGAACCGCTCGTGATCCTCTGATGACTCGTGCGAAGCAAACGGAAAGATCCATTCGCCATGATCATCTGGATTCCTCAAGGCACAAGAAACTGTTTGACATGACGGACCAAAGTTGAAACCGAATTCCACTAATTCTTGGTAACTAAAGTTTGTCCGGACCAGTTCCGAGCAGCGAAGCTTAATTTGGGAGAAGTTTCCAACAACCGATTCCTGCAGTGGGGGTGGATTACTTGTAAATGTCGCAGTCGCATTGCGGACCCATTTGTAGTTGTCTTCCTCCAGGAAGACTTTCGTAAAAATAGTTGTGCATATGTCACCTTCTGCGGTTTTCGACACCACAACCTATGGACGAGAAGTAATATTAGTGATACATTATACATTACACAATATGCAAAAAAAATTTATTTCAGCAGTGTTCATACCTGAAATTCAGTGGGCGTCATTTCACTCAAACAAACTGGGGTCAGGATTGAAAAATTCCGAACGCAGAGAGGTGAAGTAGGTTTGCTGTAACTGCCCTCGTTGCACATCGTGGCGGCATATCCGGCCGTCATGCACATGTCGACATAGCCGACGCACGGGAAAATAATCTTGTCGCCCAGGGCGTGGTCTTTGAGAAATGGGAGTCGATGGACGTTGACTGAGCTTTTGAAGATGGTGACGTCGGACGGGTTGGGGACGAAGGAACCGAGGAGTGGATGGAAGGGGTTGGACCCTTCGTCCTTGATGTTCATCCAATACGGCGTCTCCTCAAAGTGGTAGCCGGGCAACTCCACCCTTCGCCCACCCGAATAGCGATGGAAATTGGCCCACGTGATGGGACGGCCCAGCGCGTACAATTTCCCCAGTGCAGCCAGCATCGTCTCCCAATCGTCACACTTTCGACGAAGAGAGGCACTCGTGACCACATCCGCAACCTTCATTAACAAATTAATTAATGGTGATATGATGCAATACGTGAAATTCTATTACTACAAAAATACGCAATGTCACTAACTACGCACCTCGTCAACGTTGGTCATGAGGAGTGTGGAGAGGACGGGATGCGGTCCAACTTCGAGGAACAGACTCTGGCCCTCGTTGACTGCAGCATGGCTCGCCTCCAAAAAGCGCACCCTTTCTCTTGTGTGTCGCACCCAGTACTTGGCGTCGACTTTGCTCACCGTGCGTCCATCCACGGCAGAAATGAACTTGATGCCCGTCGACGCTTCCTTGTAGCCGATCGTACGAGCGAGCGCCTCATATTCCGCAAGCATTGGGTCCATGAGATGAGAGTGAAAGGCGTGAGAGGCGTCCAGCACGTGGGTTTTGATGTCGTTGTTGTCGCAGTAGAGCTTGAACTCGTGGACCAAATCCGTGGGGCCCGCAAGCACGGTCTGACTCTCAGAATTGACCGCTGCCACGTCCAACCACTTTTTCTGATTGGAGAAAGCCCGCTCCAAACTTTGCTCCACTTTCTCCAAACTGGTGCCGACGACGAGCATGCTGGCGGCGGGCAGAGCGTGGATCAGTTTGGACCTCGTGACCACCAACTTGAGGGCGTCTTCAGCCGACAACATTCCCGCAGCCACCGCAGCAGCGAACTCGCCCAAACTGTGACCCAGAACAGCGTCCGGTTTCACACCCCAGGATTCCCACAGACGAAGCAGACAAAGCTCCACCACGAAAATTGAGGTTTGGCTGTACAGGGAGGATTTCAGCAAAGACTTCTGACCGTCATTTAACTTCGTTTCGTCGTGGTCCCAGAGTGCAGTTTTGAGTGAAAGAAAGCCATGCTCCTTGCTCAACACGGACTCGCACCAGTCAAAGTTGGAACGGAAGACGATGCTCTGTTCGTAGAGCGACCTGGCCATTCCCGGATATTGAGACCCTTGGCCCGTGAAGAGGAAACAGAGCTGTGGAACCTGATTGGGAATTGGGGCGCCCTTTTTGATCCCCTCCATCGAACTGAGCAGCTCTTCCTTCGTGGACCCAAAGGCCACGTGTCGGAGGTGCATGTGGGGACGACCCGTGTGCATCGAGTACTCAATGTCCCTCAAGAACAGCTCCTTGGGTTCGTTTGCGTCGGGCTCATGCTGGAGCAGATCAGCGTAAGCTTTGACCTGGAAACGGAACGCGTCTTCGGATTTGGCCGAGAAGGTCAGCATCCTCAGCTTTCTCGAGTCCGTGAAAGGGAAGGAATGCGGAGGGAGATTCTCTGGCGGCTCCTGAACCAGCACGTGGGCCTGGGCTCCAGTAATGCCGAAAGAATTGATCCCAGCAATTCTGGGTTTGCCGCCCTTGGGTCTTCGTTTCCAGGGGACGGCCTCCAGGGGGAGCTGGGCTGGAATGGCGTCCAGGTTGATGTCCGAGTTGAGATTCTTGAGGTGCAAATGCTTCGGGATGAGCTCGTGCTTCATGGCCAGCACCGACTTTTGAATCCCCGCTATCCCGCAAACCGACTCGGTGTGACCGATGTTGGTCTTGACGGAGCCGATCGTGAGCACATTGGTCCTGCCTTTCGACCCCCGCGAATAGGCCTTGGCGACGGCGGCTATTTCAATGGGGTCACCCACGGGTGTGCCGGTCCCGTGCGTCTCCACGAACTCCACGTCGTTCGGGTCCACCCCGGCCCGTTCCAGAGCCAACTGCATTTCACAAATACGACTTACACTTGAAATATTTTCCATGACAATTCTTTTTAAAATGGTGTTGAATTATTAACCTCCATGGCTTTGGCCTCCACGTCGACGGTGGGAGTGCCCATGCTCTTGCTCGGCCCCTCCTGCACGATGGCCGATCCTCGAATGCATCCCCAAATCGTGTCCCCGTCCGCCACGGCATCCGAGAACCGCTTGAGGATGAGAACGCCGATGCCCTCGGCTCGACCAAACCCGTCCGCACTCGCATCGTACGTTTTGCAACGACCGTCCGGAGCCAGAACCCCCTCCATCACGGACGGCGAGAAGGGATGCAGCAGCAAGTTGGCTCCCACCTGTTTCGCCATTTAATTAAATTTGCCGTGTCCCTGTGTGTTATATGGTTGTTTAATAAGGTAATATCTGAGAAATGAAGCACTCACGGCGATGGCCAGGTTGCACGCGTCGCTCCTCAAACTGTCGCAGGCCATGTCCACGCCAGCCACGGAAGTGGAGCAGCCCGACTCGGTGGAGAAGGACGGACCCATGAGTTCGAAAAAGTGGGAAATCCGAGCCGTCAGCGGTCCCAGGGCGTTGCCCATGTAGCCGCGGAGAAAGTCCGTGTCCGGGATTCCCAACATTTGCAACATTTCCTTGTAATCGTTCCGCCACCAACTGAGATCATTTTATTCATTTACGGAAATTAAATGTAAATGCCTTTTTGTATGAACGAGATGAGCAGTAAGTAAGTAAATAAATAAACAACTGGCATTCTCACCCTCCGAAAACTCCCGTGAGCGTGTTTCGGAGCGTGTTGGGGTCGATGCCGGCGTGCTCCAAGGCCTCCCAAACGACGCGAAGGGAGAGGCGCTGCTGGGGGTCGAGATAGTGCATGTCCGCCGCGTTGGTGTTGAAGAACTTGGCGTCGAAGGTGTGGATGGGACAGGAGAGAAAGCCTGCCTCCGTCGCCCCCATGTTGTCCATCCGCATGAACGCCTTGTCCTTGGTCCACCGACCCTCGGGCACCTTCCGAATCCCTTCCAACCCATTCGCCAGTAGCGACCAAAACTCCGCAATCGTGTTGGCGCAAGGGTAGCGACATGCCATTCCCACGATCGCGATCGAATTGTGCAGCTCCCACGGTAAGCTCTGCTTTAGACCGTGACCATTGACAATCTAGATAAGATCCCCAAACTTATTAGCATATTTTCTTTCATTTATTCTCTGTGTTGTTGAATAAAAATGAGGATTAGTCTTGAATTGCCTCCTTTCTAGGGAAATATTGACCATAATTAATCCAGTGTTGTGTAATTCATCTTAACCCAAGTATTACGGTAGGGCACATTTGTGCGTATCATTCAATTAATATTAATGTTCCGCCCACACAAGCCTTAACTATTTCAACTGCACCAAAAATACCTTTGGGGAGTAGATTTCATGAGCCAAGGATGCGGTCAACTTTGCCACCTCCTTCTCTAAAGGTCCTCTCTTCACCAGTTCTTCCAGTCCTTCTTGGGTCGGGTAGCCGTTCACGAAGCACACCATTTTTATGTCTTCCCCCGGCAAGGATTGTTGATGAGGACTGTGCATTTATAATTCCATTACAATTTGCTAATTTAAGCAATAGTCCTCAATTCTGCTTTCATGGTTACCTTTGCACATCAAGTTCCACGCAGTATCTAATTTCATCCAGTTTAACCTCGTTGTTCACCTCAAGTATTTCAGCTGCAATACAAAACCTCGGATTAACTGGTGTGCACAATTCATGGAGAGTAAAAGTGCTCACGATTTTCCTTCGCAATGACCAGATTCGTGATGAGGTCTTGTTCGTCTTTCCCGATGGAGCGAGACTTGACCATTATCGCTGCAAAGTGTCCACTTTCAACAAATTGTGTTCCGGTCAGGCGAAACAGTTCATCGCAGTTTTTTATGGGAAGTACCCCACAATCCAGAAACACCGTTTTATGCAGAGCCGGAAGACGAGCTGCAATGGCCTTAGCGAATGACCTGAAATGAAGGCCTTTTCCTTCCTCTGGACCAACCCACCACACTTGCGACACCTCCTCTTGAAGACGGCGGCTATGAATCGAGGAATGATGAAGTATGTATAATAAAACATGAATTTTAATTCGGTTTGCATATGTTATGAGTGGTATCTTTGTGGAAAAGGTCATGCCAAACTCACCCCATCGGACGTGACACATTTTCCGAAACGACGATGACAATCGGTCGCGTGGTCAAGACCCGTTTCAATGCTCGAGTTAACACCAGACATTTCCAAGCTTCCGTATCGTCACTGGCGTAACTCACCCAACGTTGCTCAAGACAACCTTTTAGCATAAAAATCGATTTATTGGCATTATAACTATTGAATAGCAAGCTTGGGGAAATTGAGACAAAATTGTTATTTTTACTAACCAGACATGTTTTTGTTTCAATGTCGCTACGAATTCTACAACTTTGCAAAGCTATGTATATTTCAGCTCTGATAATTCTTGTCAGATTAGTTGTTCAGAAAATGTGGGAATGTCACTGTCCTAACCGGAGGATGAAAATGATTCAAACCAAGGTGAGAGAATGAGGTGTATTTATAGGCTTTTATTTTTTTCGGACTACCATGGGTCACTTGTCGCTACAGTATGTACTTGGTTGGTATGCTTGATGAAAAAAATTGTTGAAATTTCCTTCAAGATCAGGGTTGAACATTCATACGTCATAAAACATGAGGGTATTAGATAAGGGCTTCAACAGTGAGGAGAGCTGAAACGAGTGGAGCGTTAAGGAAATCAACAGAACGTTATATGAAGTCATTGTAATGAGACTACGAGTGCGGACAGAAAACAATTCATGAATCTGTGCATATCTGTATATCTGGTGCTTCGTCATGAAAAACTGGTCAGTAGGTAGGTTGGGATTTGGGAGTGAAGATGGAAATATGTAAGAAGTTGTTTATGCGTAATCTAATTCTCCAACTTTGCTTAATTTAAGCCACAAGTACTATGGAATCATTAATTCTTGCCTAATTGCAAAATGAGGATGAGCCACTGCAATATGGTTGTGATTGTTCTCAACGGAAGTGAAGGTGGGCTGGTGGGATTTCTCCAGTTTTGCTTCGCTGTACATAATAATAAGTTGGGCAAAATTATACGCGTAATATAATTTACTCGAGAATTAACATCATTACCATTTCTGATTGCACATATAGATAGATGCCATGCGAGCAAAAACAGTGGGGATTTTTGCGGACACAACAACAATTATGCACATGTATAAGAATAAAACTGTGCATTATTACTCTATGGTCAAAAGTTACAAAACTTTAGTGCTTGTTGCTAATCATCTCCAAAATCCCGACTACCACTGACTACCTTAAAGGTGCCAAAGTGATCTTCATCTTTTCCTTCAACGGCATCATGCATATGTTAATAAAGAGTATTTTGCGTAGTTGTATTTTATATAACTAGGGAAATTTTCAGTTTTTGCTAAAAAAAAGTGGTAAACTTAATTAATTGTTATTTGCATGCAGTGAATTCATTGTCCTTGTATAGGTAAGCATGAATCATAATTTAGAATGTAACTAAATACAATATACATAAGTAAGTTTTATAAAGGGAAGACTTCCTCATTTGAAATAAAATTGCGCAATTAACTCTTAATTGAAAGTCAAGCTATCCAGTTATATAATTGATGCTTATCAATTAAGCGAGAATAATTGCTTTTTAATTATTTTCGCGTAGTGGATCATAGCTTGATTTAGTTGATGGTGAGGAAATATGTAAGTGTTAGTCTCACACAAATAGATGCATAAATGATTATAAAGAATTATTTATTTTAAACGTTTAAACTAACGTTTCTTATACATTGAGGGGTTTAACTTAAGCGCTGGCAACCGTCCTAGAACACCTTTAACTGATTTAATCTTCTTAAACTCGAACATGAGAAATACGTCATCTTGGCTTTGCGAAATCTTCTTGTCTTGCTGTTGTCCTTGGCCTTTTTGAATTGCAACGAATCCAAATTTTTTCATACGCTTGAGGAAATTATTATACGTGTTCCCAGAGAATCTGCTCGCAACTTCAGCAATCTTTAAAACGCCGCTATAGCACAAATAATCAACAATTAGTAGAACCTTCTATCAAAATAATATAAATTTAAGCATACTTCATTTGAAGAACACGATTAGCTTCCCCAATGAACTTGGACACGTCTGTTCCCATCAAACTGAGGCAGAACACGGCAGCATGGACACTCTCATCCTGCAGAGGAACTTGACTCATGTCGCAAGGCGTCACACGGTCATTCAAGGCAAACAGGTCAAACGAATGCACTTTATTAGGAAGAGATGCAGCAAGCTCGGCTTCGCCACATCCAAAATCAGCTATAATCTTATCACCCTGTATAAAAATCCAGTCCAATGTTATCTCTAAAGCTTAATCTATAAAAAAAATGAATGACAAATACCTTCAATTTCTTTTTTGCCCATTTTATTATTACGTGAAGTGGATTTTTGGGCCAATGTTCGACTCTTTTACGGTAAGCTTCGTGATATTTTTTGAACTGTTCCGGGTCACCCTGAAATGCTACCGTTGGGTCAGCGTTTTTGCAGCCAGAGTCCAATTCCTCGTTGACTTGGCTGAGATTTTTGGAGTACATAAAGTAATAATTAATTTCAGCTCGAAAATGTCAAAATTAGGTTTTCGATTTCTCCATACTCTTACCGAAATCTAGCAGCTTCCAACCGTTTCATCATTTTTTCCCTTAATGTTTCCTTCTTGACTTCCGCTGGTTGATGTGGCGATAACCCAGATATTTTACTATTTTGAGTCTTCAGTTTCTTGACTTTCATAGTTAAGGTAACAGGAGAATCATCATCATTATCATCCCTTACTTCATTCTGTGTCTTTTTGATGGTCTTGATTTGACGAGTCTCGCTCCATTTGTGCTTAGGTCGACGATGAGGCTTTGCATTATCTAATTTTGTTGATTTTGTCGTAGTTTTGGATTTTGTCTTGAACTCTGTACAAGTGAAGGGTCAAAATACAAATGAGCTAAATATCTACATTAAACATTTACGTAAACACTGTTTGCTAAACAAACGTGCTATGAATCATCATAATTGAAGATGCAAATTTGCATGGTCTTAACCAAAACAAATGTAATGTAAGTATAACATACAATTTCTTACTTGGAATGATATTTTTCTTTTTTCCCATCCTTGGAGTAGTAATAGAAATGTGTTTATAACAGTTCGAGATATGACATACTCCACAAGATACAAAGTATTCTAAAACTTACTTCCTAAACCACAAATTTACAGATGATGATGTTGATAAATAATGAGACACGTGAGCGAACTCGTGGAGATGAATTTATCCCGCAGACTGCTGCTGGGGCAATACTGCTTTCTCTTCATCTCTGGAATAATGCCGATTCCTATGAAATTTGTGCTCTGCCTCGTACACTTGTTATCCATTAAATTCATCATTAATCATGCATTATTAATATTGTACAAGCAAGTACAAATGAAGTATCCCGACTCGTAATTATATGTGCAAAATCTTGTCATGCTTTATAAAGGAATCGTATTCCTGAAAAAGCGTTCCCATTAAAAATTTTCTGTATTATGCTTAAGAAAAATAGACTACATGTGGTTTTATTGTAATTTTACATACACTGCAAATACACCGCAGCAAACGCATAAACTTCAGTCATAGGAACGTACGATTTGACCACACCCCTGGCGCTGAGTGGAGGTGGTCTGTTTGACTCCATCTTAGAACTCGTCCGCGCCCAAAAAAATTGACGTCAATATTCGAAAACAGATTTTAAAAATATTGATAATATCTGCTTACAGAGGGACGGACAGACAAAGTCTTCCAATAAAGTGGCCTGAAGATACTTCCAATAAACACCTTATTAATGTTTATTAATATTCACCTCCGCACCTCAGCAGGCAGCAGAGCATTATTTTCTTTTCATGAAATGCCATGCAAAAGCACACTCCAGTAAACACACAATTGCAGAAATGATAAATAATGCAAGAATAATGCTGAAGAGCGTTTTAATATCTACATTCATTCCGACAGGTTTAACTTGCATACTTATTATGCTCCCTGCTCCTGCACTGCGTACCGATGACCTTCGAACATTCCGATGACTACTCCAAGTACGGAACAAGTCGTAAATTCCAGACTGAGTCAGTTGGTACAGCTTCTGGGCGAGATATCCTGCTCGTACCGGATTATAATAATTAAGCTCCCAGACCATCTGAGGACTAAGAAAGTCATCGCTGCCTTTCATAAATATTTTATCCCCATCTCGTGCCGTTTGAGAGTTGAAATAGGCCAGCATCTGGTTGATATTGGTGTCCACGTCTATGAATGCTGTACGATTACAGTTTGATATGAAACCAAGAAGGGATTCCCTGTTGCTTGGATGAAACGCAAGATTTTGTTCGTCGTGCTCATTGTTTTCTGAAAAACTGTTTCCACTCACATATTTTGGATTAACAAATCCAAACAGTTGTGGATACTTGTATTTGATATGATTAGACGCTTCTTCTTGTAAAAGATTTGAAATGACAAGTCCGAACATGCTTTTTCTCATATTTCGTGTTCCTTTCTGCGTATTATTAAACAAACCTGGATATGTTGGTGTTGTTATGGTAAAGTTGAGCAGTTCTGTAATTTTACTGTACGTCAAGTATGGTTGCGGTGGCACCGTCTCTTTAGATGTAAGCTCTGCTTTGTACGCATTACTTAAAAAAAGAACAAATATCAACCAGGCGGAAAAAATAGCATTTGTGAAGAATGAACACTGGTACAAGTCCGAGTTCAAGTTGGAGGGGAGGTGCAGCCCTGGGCCGTTGTCAATGCTGGAGTACAGGAGCGTTTGAAAATATTTCCAACTCAGGCAGCACATGTTTTCCAAACCATAGATTGCAATGATGACACTTGATAAGATGGATAAGGTGAGGGCACATAAAATGTACAGAATCCATGTCGTGGTATCCATTGGTCTCAGAAAGACGGTGAAATCTAAACTATTTTCGAGTCTTCTTGGTTGAACAATGCCATCGCAGGTTATGAAATTAAAGCTGGAACTATGCGCCAATATTATTTGTCTTTGGAAAGAAGTCGACTTGTAACTTGTTGGAAAGAAGGCAATTTCAACACGCTCGTTGAACCTAAAGTCAGCCCAGTGTTCTGAAGTATTGTACCCCAACCTCGACAAATGATCCATTGTTTGGTTAGTCTCCAGGAAGAGGTTCAAGCTCTTCATAAGCAGTTGTTCAACGATGGATAAAAAATCCACTCCTCCTGGAAATTGACCTGCTTTGTTTCTATTTATTGTACGCAGGAAGGGGTCTGGGTCTGGCAACGGGAAAGATATTTGTAATTCCTGTGACATAAACCGACGTTTGGATTCGGCTTTCTTGATCCAGACGTTTCTTCCAGAACCTATAATTATGCGTTCTTGTTCAAGCACGTAGTCCAGGAACGTTACGTCCTTCTTTTGATCTTGTGACTTTTCTACTGCAACTACCGGAACTGAGACAGCAAGGCAGTTATCTTGGGTACAAGTTTTACAAGCATAAATGATTTCACGAATCTCCCAATCCAATCTTGACGATGTCCGGAGGATGAACGTGGTGGACAATTGGTTTGAAGGGTACTGAGTCGCATCAAATATAAAGTTCATGGGCGACGTTTTCGAAACGAGGAAAAGGTAGTGAGGCTCCAACAAAAAATTCCCAACAATCGGCTGCGAGTATCTAAAGGTTCCGTTGACCTTGTAGAAGTAGCCTGTTCGAAGCAGCACAGCGGGAATCCACGGCAGCGAATTGTGAGCATATTTATAAATTTGTGGGGCATCTTCTGGAAACAGTAAAATGCTGACGACGCAAAATATATGTTTTCTCATTTCTTTTGAACCTACTGTAAAACTGATCCCGTTCGACAATTTTATTGGATTTTTAAAGTGTATGGGAAGTGAGATTAGCGTATTCTGAGAAAAACTGACCAGGGACGTTGCACAACTTGTTGCACTATTTATGACGGATACTACGCTAACACAATTTCCTTGACTTTTAAAAATGATGAGCCATGAAATTAAACTGGGTAAAATAGCCATGCTTTCTCGGGGATTAATAAGCATGGGAAGGGATTGGTTTCTATTCACAATTGGTGCAAAAGACAAACTAAAGAAGTGAAAGAACTTTCTTAATATTTTTTGTGCTCGTTAATATTCCATTTTATGGAGCACTCCTGAAGAAATTGAAGAACATGCATAGTCAAGTTCGCTCTTCGAAATAAACCAACATTTCACCTTTATTCAGTCGAACAATGGAAAGACGTATAATTGTTCATGAGTTTATTTAGGCGTTCTTGTGTGAAATTAATTATATTTATCGGTAAATAATGCTATACTAAACCATGCATGAAACTTAGGATTAAAGGTGAAAATTTTCATGGAACTGTGTACAAAGTCCCGAACTATTGATTTCACTCGCTAGTGAGTCACTATAGTAGTGACAGTCAGTGAAATTTACGTGTACATGTACGTACATAAGTATTCACGAATAACATTCATTTCCATTCACAAAAAGTTAGAACAAAGACAATTTCATTAATTCCAATTATTTCACAATTTGTTGTAGGAATTTCCAATTTTTGAGTTTCAAAGTGATGAAAGAATAGTTAGAGCATACAATTTGACATCTAATTTAAATTGGAAGAGGATATGTTTACATTTAGCTACCGAAACTAATGAGTTATGTAATAATAAAAATACTGATTTCATGTTCGATTTTGAAATAATTTTATGCACATCTGCAGATTTGTGCGACATTTGGATTTTGATGATTGAGCACTATTATTTCTATTGCGTTGATATGTACAGGGTGGTTAAAATGTCACGCAACAATGGAAAATTTTTCGATGGGAAAAATTTGTAAATTTCCATTAGTTACCGAAATTTTGTCTCTAAAATGCAACATTTTAAGAATTTTGTCATCAGTTTTGATAATAATTTATAAAAATCTCAATCCGAAATCTTGTAACTAATGGAGATTTAGGGACTTTTCCCATTGAAAAATTTTCCATTGTGGCGTGACATTTTAACCACCCTGTATGTACATACAATACAGGAAGAATGTTACATATTTATGTAGCTGCATATTGCATGCGCAAGTCGTACTATTCATAAACATGACTTATGTACATTCGAAGTTGCACATAGACGACAATAAGTGATCTGTGATGGATTAAATGAGTGCAATTGTATTTGACCTACAGCAGCAATGAGTGTCTTATGGAAATAAATGAGTTGTTGGTACGGAAAGATTAATTATTGAACTAACAAAAATGTTCTCAAGTTGTACAATAAAATGTAAATATATAATAAACTAAGCGACACGTCAATACGTTGTTTGATGGTATAAAATACATGTGCGCGACCATTGTTTCAGTAACCACGTACATACATATTTATTCTATTGCTCAGAATGTCATGGTCACACATAATCACTTACTCGCGAGTAAGTGATTAATTAAGACCGAGTACTCGGTTGGAACTAAAAGTTTATGCTGCATTGATATAAAGTATTGCTATTTTTACATCGAGTTGACTTATTTGAGACAGAGGGTTATGTTTCTTACGGCGAGACTATAAGTTCCAATGGAACAGAAAAAAATCAATGAACAATAATGATTTGGGAAGACTGGATTTATTTTTGCTCATTATTCTTAAGAAATGCATAGTGCTTATGCGTGGTATGAAGATTGGTAGCCCTTCCCATATACCCTGCGTGCATTTATAGCCAGCTAGCACCCTTGAAGGAAAGGGACCGAGTATATGGTGTCATAAAATTGTCATAAAAGTGTTTCGTTTCATTTTGTTAAATAGAACGGACTGACGAAAGACGACTATGTTGGGGTCTGACGCACTTGCTGTATACGCGTGGCAAATTCATGACTTTATGATGATGGTAATAAGGGTCGAATGCTGACAGGTAGCAATATCCAGCTACCGATATTTCCCTTAAACGATTTAAAATGAAAAAGGTTAATAAACACCAAAACCAAAATAAAATGTTGGAGCCCTCAAACTGTCCGTCCGTTATGAGTGAGTGTAAGGATGTTTGTCATCACATCGTCACGTTGTCAATTTATTTAGTGGTTGGTTTTCCATTCAATCAATGAACCACGAATGGTTAAAGTCTCCTCTTTCTCTTGGTTTTCATAAATATCCTGTTCCAAGCACTTAATCTTTGCAAAATTTTGATTCAAGTGTTCCCAACAATTGTTATTACACAAGTCGCGTTACGTGAAGCGGTGATCGAAGAGGTGTAGGCTCGTTATAAAATTGGTAAGTTTCGACAGTTATTTGCACCCAGTATGATAAGAACTAAGAAGGACGGATTGACCAATTTCAGAGTTGTCATAAACAATGAGTGGTCAAAATATGAGAGGAGGAGTTCAGGTCCAACAACAGGCGTCCGCTAATCTCAGCAGGGACGCCATCCACAAAGAATACGAGGAAACCCTTGCTAAACTACAGACATTGGAAGGACTCAAATCCCAAGTTGAGAATGAAGAACGGATGAAAGAATTTCAGAAGAATGGAGGACCTGAATTTATCGAGTGGCAACGTGTCAGCATGGCCATATTTATGGAACATCAAAGATTATACGAAGCACAAACGCAAGAATGGCAATTAACTGCTAATGCAGAAATTGTGGAGTATAAACGGGTGACTGGTGAGCAGGTATGTTTTGCATGAGTCACATCACCACACGTCAATTAATGCATTAAGTAAATATTTATTTCAAAATAATAATATAGGTGCTAGAACAACAACGACTTACTGGATTGGAGGCCCAGGAATTGCAAAGAGTTTCTCAGACGCAGGTTGAAGAACAACAACGTTACAGTGCATCGGAATCACTGGAATGGCAGCGCCTGGGACAGGCTGAACTCTTGGAACAGCAAAGATATGCAGGCGCTGAAGCGTTGGAGTGGCAGCGTCTTGCCCAAGCAAATAAAGAAATTATGGATACTAAAAACAGATATGTGGATACAGAAAATTGTAGAGAATGGTAATGAGTCATGGAATTATATATGTTTTAATAATAATACGCGATAATAAAAACACTCGAAACAAATCCACTTTTTGAGTACTTTGAGTGTGGAAATGTTATTTCTTGCTACCATGTTGCTATATTTAAATTATGGTGAAATGCACAATTCCACACAACATTAAAAGAAAATAAGACGAATCGCGTTAGTTGCATGAAAAATTAGTCAAACTTACTGCTGGATATTAAAATGCAGTAATACATAAATAAATATACATATGTACATACACAATAATCGTTGGTATGCTAGAACTGCGCTGGTACTGTCCTATTGTTACTTGAATGTAGTGCTACATATTTGTAACGCTTAATTACTTGCTAAGTAAATAGTACATCAAATTTTTAAAAAAATTTCTACTACGTCTATACGTTTATGTAGAATCTACAAAGCCGCGAATTTCCCAATGCTGTAATCAACACCTTTTTTCCATCTCATGAGAATGGTCAGAATTTACTTACAGCTTTGCGAAGAAATAAATAAGTACCCGTGAAACCAAAATTAAGAGTTAATTAGTGAAAGTAATCATGTCTGAAGTGATCGATACATGTTCTTTATGTCGAACTGAACTAATTGAAACAAGTGATTTCGAAAGCATGGGAGAAGAGAACGAAAATTTTTTAAGCAACTTGATTAAAACTTTATGTGAAGCTGCCAATATTAGTTGCAAATTTAATTCCCACCGTTTTCATTCTTGTTCAAGTTGTAACACAATTTTGTCTGAAATTTCGGTGCATTACATTGAACTTAATCGACAATTGCTAAAACTTAAATCACTTATACTTTTGCGTAGAAATTGTAATCAGGAAGCTATTTGCCGTAACGAAGTTGACAATCGAAATCTCTATAAAATATTGGTACAAGGTATTATTTCGGATTATAGTTTAATATGTAATTACAGGGTTATAAATAAAGACCTGTGATTTTGTTCTAGATTTAAACCCCTCACTTGTACTGGACAGGATTTCGCGTACGTCAACATGCAACAAACTATCACTACAAGTAAAAGCGGAAACGGAAGCGGTCGAAATCAAGCAAGAAATGGAACAACTTGGTGACGATCTCGACAATGCAGAAATCATACCAGATTTTTGTGTGGACGTAAATTTTCAAGATGAAGAAGAGGACAATAATGATTCACAAACTATGTCGCCATCATCAATACAACCAGAAAGAAAACGCAGGAAAAGAATTGCCAAACGAAAAATAGGAAAATTAATTTCGACTCAAGACAAGGAACAATTAGAACAAAAGCTCATTAAAGCTATGGATGGTACCTATATTTTCATGGGAATTACTTTAACTCCAGTAAAATCAGAACAGGGAAAACATTACGAGAATAAATCGCAGCAAAATAAGTATTGGAAGTTTAAATGTGGACAATGTGGTCAAATAGTGAGAGGATTATATAATCTAAAATGTCATATTAAAGAAACGCATTTCGGAATTTTAAGATATGGGAATCAAAAATGTATAACTTTTCGAGGAGAAAAGGTAATCACGCTGGTGAAATATGCATAAATCAAGTTACGTTTCAAGAACTGTCTGTGTTTTTACAGATAAAGTTAGACTCTATTCGAAATGCTGATGGAAACCTAATTCTACACGGAGTCCAAATTGTGATAACTTCGGATGAAAAGAAATATAAATGCGGATCATGTTCTGTCAGCTATAAAACAAGGTGTGCATTAATTTCTCATATTCGCCATCTGCATGCCAAAATACCAAGACCAGCTCCGAAAAAAGCGTACGGGCCTCAGACCGAAGGGACCTCACACCGAAGCAAGAGCCAAATTATGGATGACGGGCGTCAGTTGTTTTGCGGCGTCGAAATTCGTTCATGTGGAAACGAACAAGAGAATAGGTTTCAATGTGGAAGGTGCAGTCGAACTTGGAAAAGTAAAGGGAATGTTATGGCTCATATTAAGATGCGTCATCCTGGTAATAAATTCTGAATACTGTGTGTTGCCTTGAAAATCGCCAATTTGAAGGCACATGAAATCTAATTCTGATGAATTGAATTTTAAATTTCAGATACTACGCCGTACACGTGTCCAGTTGCACATTGCGGGGTTTCTTTTGCATATAAACATATGCTAGAGAAACACCAGGTCAAGCATGGGAACGGCGAAGCCGAATTTATCTGCGATCGGTGTGGAAAGTCGTGCAAAAGAAAAGGAACTTTGCAAGAGCATATTAGACGAGTTCATTTAAATGTAATTAATTTTAATTGTCCTCATTGTCACAAAGGGTTTTTTAGCAAGAAGGACTGTAGGCTTCACTTAAAAACACATGAAAATTTACATGTACAATAATTGCAGTGAAGTTAGTTAAGTCCACCCACGTATACTTTTTTATGCCTGTGAACATACTTATAACTACAGCAATTTCTTCACTATTTTAACTGCTAATTGAACTACATACTTACAATTAGTTGTTGGGTTGAAATAATTGCAGTATATTTATGAAAATTTTCATATTGATGGATAAAATAAAGTTTAGATAACTGTGTATATATGCGATTTATTAGCGATTTTAGAGAATAATCAAGTACCACAACTACAAAATTGTCGTTTTTGTACAACCGCCCCCTAATCCTTGAATATGTTTTTGAATGTTCCAAAGTTTGAATGTTTCTAAGTTTTGAACTACTACATTCCCTGAGTTTTTAAAGTACCATTGCATTCGGAACCAGATTTGGTCTTGAATCGGTCGCTGCCCCCTCACCAGCTCTAATATGTTGTGTCAGCGCAGGTATGCAATCATTCAACAGGGACTTTTCGTAGTCATTCAGTTGTGGAAGCCCCAAATTTTTAACAACCCCTTCCGGCTAAATAGACCAATTGTATTATGTCAATAATTGTTTCCATGCTATGTATGGGCAAATGTAACAACATTTGGAATGCTTACCCCAAGTTCAACTGGATTGCTAAAATAATTCACTTCGGCAACGGAACCTTTGACATACGCCGTCTCCACAATCCCCTTTTCGCCATCAACCGCTCGGAGCAATGAATCTATAAACTTGTGGGCAGACCAAGCAATGGATAATGCCACGGTTCCGGCCCCTTTCTTTGCTAATCAACAAAAATACAACGGTTTCACAAGTGTTCATTCACTTATTTTCGAATAATAATAGCTCGTTACCTGCCACGATTTCAGCACCAGCTTCCTGTAAACACATCAGTAAGCTCTTATTGTTGCAGTATGAAGTGCAATAGTTTAGAATCTCACCCTGATTTCATGAGTTACTAGTTTCACTTGCTCCGGACTAAGTTGTGGATCTGGTTTGCACTGCGAGATTATAGGAACAATTGTAATCCCAGAATGACCCCCAATTACGGGACAAGAAACTGAGGATGGTTTCCAACCCTGAAATGGATGGATAAAATTACAAAGGGACAAATCACAGGTTCCCAAATAATATTATGAGTTGCTACCTTTTCCTTTGCAATGTACGAGCTGGCACGCATCATTCCCAGGTTACTTATGCCAAGAATTTTGCCTTCATTTAGAACACCAGCTCTTTTAAATATCTCACAAAACAAGGGGACAGTACTGTTGATCTATACATTATAAGCCAAATAATCACATCAGATTTTCAATAAAATGTCAAACTCTTCGAGCTTACAGGGTTTGTTACGATGCAATAAATCGCATGTGGGTTCATTATTGAGCAGGATTTAGCCAATTCTTTAACCACTTTTGAGTTAATTCGGAATTGTTCTTCTCGCGTCACACCGGCCTTTCTGGGAGAGCCGGCAGCACACACGACAATTTTTGCGTCCTTCAAGGCTTCCATGATTTGGCCTGCTCCGAAGCCTTGCACAGCACAGGGCGAGGGGACATGGGAGAGGTCGGAGGCCACACCTTGCGGGTACTGGATGTCGTACATGGCCAACTCGTGGACACGGGGGTTCATCTTGAGAAGCAGGGACAGAGGTTGACCAATCCCTCCACACGCCCCCAGCACAGCTATTTTCGTGCTCAGCTATAATTAAATAGTTATAGTTGGTACATGATTATTAAATAGTGATTAACAAGCTCACGTTTGTTGTGGAGCTGAAATTTTTTGCCGAAGACGCAGGAATGATTCGTGGGAAAACATTCCTGGAAACAATGGGTCCCCAAATAAGAGACATTTTTAGATGTAATTTTCAGAACGATTATATTTTATTCACTAAAGCTCTGCATACTTATATCCATGAATTTGTGGACAATATAAATCTGGATAGAGCAGACCAACTTTCGTTGCATAAAGTGTGAATTGGAATAATTAGCAGGTTTTGATTACAGTACTGTGAAGTAGTCACACCATCTTTCGATGCACCATAATACGTATATATGTACATATGCAAAATAGTGTTTCGTGTAGTTCTTAGCGTTAAAGTTGAAAGAAATAACATGTATATTTTAAATGCACATTTTGTTTGTGTTATGTAAAATCTCATTTTAGTCATACATAATTTGTTGTTATTTAGTGTAAGCAGGGCTTTCTAATTAATTAGTCAATCTAATTAATTAGCTAATTAAATAGCAATGTCCGTCTAATTACTAATTACTAATTAAAGTTAATTAGTAGAATACCAACTAATTAAAATTACTAATTAATTAAAATAATCGACAAATCAATTACTAATTAATTTTTTTCAAACACAATTTTTTAATGCACGTTTCTCGTTTACGCCTTAAAAATTTTTCTTGGCGGAAGCAAATATACCTTGCGTATTTTATCAACTACAAACCTTTTTTTTACTCTTGTAGTTGCAACTTGCAACTCCTTTGTATTAAAACAACGAGATAGCAATATATTTTTGATATATCTTTGAGTATAATGGACTCCCTTGCACAGAACCTTAAAAACTTGTTAGAAAATGTGAATGGATGGTATACTTTTAAAAAAGTTTACGGCAACAAAGTAACGACTGCTTATAAATTTTGTCCAAATAAAGCGATTACCGGCACAACTAAGGTCAGCTCTAATTTTCACAGCCATCTCAAGCTAGTGCGTAATTTGTTTTAAATTTCAAAATAATTCAACATTTTACATTCGCTGAAAGACGACTTAGTCTAGGCATTAGCCATGCTGAAATGCTGTGAAATTAATTCATAAAAAGTTATGAATATGGCAAACTTAATTATTCAGTAATTAGAAGGAATTAATTAGCTAATTAAAAATTAATTAGTTTGCTTGTTCAGAAGTAATTACTAATTAAACAATTAATTAGATCAAAATTTTCGAAACTAATTACTAATTGCTAATTAATTAGAAAAGTGGATAATTAGAAAGCCCTGAGTGTAAGAGATAGAATGTTACATTTAATCCCAATAATCATTGCCTACAAGTAATGCATGTAAAATAGTTTGTCATAAAATGAAAGAGACATTACATAGAAAAGCAAAAGTTGCTGTTCAATAAACTAATTCGCACCTTGGGGGAGTGTACTCTGAAAGAAAAAAGTTTGCGGCCACAGGTTCACCCAAGTTGAATTCCTTTGCAAATTCTTTGACAGAGAATTTTATTCTTTTAGCCAGAGCGGTAACTGTCAGCCTTTCAGAGTACTTTGGTGAAGGGACAAATTTTCCTTGCTGCTCGTAAACTACAAACACATAGCGATGAGGCCCAGTACCTGGAATTGCAAATATATTTAGTTCAAGCATTTTAAAAATTGATGGCGACATTGGTGGATAAAAATAATTGAGATTTATTTTACAGACCACGAGGGGGGCCCGGGGGACCGTAGTCTGCCAACGTGTCTCCCTTCGACAAGTCAAGGTCGCTTCCCGGGATGTTCACGATCATCCAATGGTTGACCTCTCCAAGCAGCTTAGCACCTCGGGCCGGGGCGTCAGGGTCTAAGAAAAATAAATGCGTGGGGTTAATTATTGGGTTCGTACTTTATTGACACCAACAAGTCGTTCAAATTATAAAATAATTTTCTATCTTTCAATCGAATGTATGAATGCTGATCTCTCTAAAGGAGGATAACTTATTAAGGGGTGAAAACCCCTTTATGGAAATGTCTTGTCCGTCCGTCTGTCCGTCCGTCTGTCCGTCTGTCCGTCTGTCCGTCTGTATCCACGATAACTTTAGAACGGATTCGAATTTCGACATCCGGTTTTCGCCAACGTGTTTCTAATTTTTGGGGACGGGATGAGTTCGAAGATGGGTGTTGTAGGTCTTAAGGTCACAGCGCCACGGTGATGACGCCAACGGTCAAAGGTGTCGAATTTTTCGTTTCCACAGATTTAGACGTATTTTTGGATGGAGATTTCAGAAATCGCCATCATTTCGACGTGCGATGACCGTGTGACCGTGTAGACGACGCCAAAGTCGAAAATTGTAGAATTTTTTGTTGCCACCGTTTTAGATGTATTTTTTTGGCGGGGATTTCAGAAATCGCCATCATTTCGACGTGCGACGACTCCATGACCTTGTGGGAGGTGTCGAATGTCGAAAAAATGACTTTTGTCATGTGGGGTGTCTATTGAAAGGTATTGTCGTGTACGTTTGAAGTACGCGGGTGGGGGTGTCAAAACGGGGCAAAATGAGACGTGGGGTAATGTGAGACAATGATGGGAAAGTGCAGAAAGACGTTGTGGGCGTGCCACAAAGACAATTCCGTGTGTTTTCACCCCTTTGCTACATTTCGTTTGCAACGGTTTATTATTTACATATTTAGTAGGTATTTGTTTTACCAGTCATGACCAAAACGTAGAGTTTGTTAGGATCAGCATCCCAGTTTACTTTTGTAGGAGCAGACCCTGCCAATGTTGGCTTGATTAAATTTCCGTATTTGACCTCCACCCCGTCGCCGTATGTTATATTTAAGGGATAGGCCTTCACTGAGTCTGCGAAATAATTTATCAGGAGGTAAACAAATGCAGATAAATTGTACTATACGTATAAATGCATAATAAATAAATTGCATGGCTGAATTATTTGTAGCGCACCAATAATTTCAGGAATAACCCCTTCTTTCTTCAACGCGTCTTCTTGCCATTGTTCTCCATTTGTTGGGCAAGCCAGTGAAAGAAATGCCACAAAGAGCAGAGTACGAATTGTACCTTGAAATATCGTAGGTTTGCAGAACTACATAAATTACAACAAAAGAACAAACCAGTAACATTAAGAATAGATAACCCAATATATGAATATTTTTTTAAATACCGTCATGATGATAAAACCCGGTGCTGTTACCCAGTACGGTTTTAAGTGGACATGCACTTATACAAACCTCAAAATTAACTAAGGTTAGTTGAATGCAAGTCGCAGTATTTATAGAAGAATAACAAAATATTTTTTAGGACTGTATGTACACTAACGTAAATACGTTCGCATATTATGTAATTAATCATTTGCATATGTGGATTTAGGTACAATTATGGAAACGTAATAAATTGCACTCGTGTCCTTGATCTGCACCGTCTGGAGAAATATACGCTAACAATTTGCATTGAGAACCATGACCATGCGTCACGTTGATTTATCGTTTATGTTACATTTATTTTTGACATGTAATATTTCACCGATGGAAACAATGGAAGCGAGTCCCATTTTAAATATTATCAACCGCATACACATCAAGTTTTTTGTTATATTTTGACGTAAATCACAAATCCTCGAGACACTGAATAATTGAACCATGGGTTTAAACCTTGAACAACGTTTAAACAGATTTTTAAATTTACATACTTATATAGCACATATATATTTTTTTGCTTTAATAATATTTTTATGTATGACACAATTGAATAGGATTAAATTAGTGCTCTTGAATATATGTGAGCATATTTTATACAGATTTTCTTACTATCACACTCTAAAATAATTAAATCTAAATATTTACACAGTGCTTATTATGCGACAGGTTTTAGTAAGTGGTCTAAAAATTCATTTGTAAAAATGCGGTGGGGATCATATTCGTCCAGTTTCGCAACAGCCCAGTTCCACCTGTCGAAGCTGAACGTCGAAGGAATTCTTTTTCCATAGAGCTCTTCATTGTTCCATGGACGACCTTGGGGGTCAAATCCCCACGATTTTGCCCACTCTACTCTCGCTGTTGCATACTCGCCATTAAAATGTTGGAAGAGGAAGGATTCCCACGAATATAAAAATAATCCAAACTCGGGCGTTTCTTGACGTACAAGAGAAAAACATTGATTACTAACTTGCATGTTTTGTACCAAATATTTGCATTTTATATTCTTCAAAGCCGTACTTAGGTATGTCTAACCTGCGTAACAATGTAGTCCAAAAGATACAGCAACATCATATTCTGGATGATTATGAACGGGCGAAAGTGATCCCAGAGCAGCAGGGTTAGTGGAAGAGTTATCGAGTCCAGTAACCCGAACCTGGACTGCTTGGTTCATGGGGTACTGTCCTCGATCATTTGCGAAGGTTGTGGTCATATTCTTGAAACCAGAGTACATTTGATGAACCACTCTTTGAATATTTTGCCTCGTCGTGAGAACTACGTGGCCAAAGGAGTTCCATTTTTGTGACAACGAGGAGTAGTAGAGGAGCAAGTTTTTTGACGGTCCCCAAATGTCACGGGTATTGGTATGGGTAAGTGCTAATTATGAGTATGCAAAGAAGTGTGATACTCTACCATTGTTATTTTTTAAACGTAATTTGAAATTTCGTCACTTACTCGCCACATCTCTTAAATACTTCGTCCGCTGAAGATCCGGTGTAAGACTGGGAGTGGCCAAAGACTTATTTTGTTGAACTTGGTCAAAGGTTTTGGAGGCAGGGTCACTGTGCGTGAAAGGATATGGGGAACTAATTCGTCTGGAAGTGCCCGGTTTGACTTTCACTTCAGTCCAGATTCGAATCATTGTGTGATCCGTGTAAGGATAAAGTTGTGCGTCAACCCTTCCATATTTCCGGACGAGGGTCGCCATCGAATGTTTGTTGCTGGAATCGGCACCGTAGACCACGGAAGCAGGGATTTTTGTCTCAGAACGACATCGAAGATTGTAGTTTGGGCCGATTAGAAGGTTTACTCTAGTTATGAAGGCTCTTCCCAGACTCACCTTTTTAATCAACAAATATTGTCTAACGTTAGACTATACTTACTTAGAAATAAGTACTTGCGTGATGAAATGAAATATTATTTACTAGAAATGCTGCAGAATCTGAATCTTCTCTGGTAAATGTTTTTAGCACAAAACCATTTTTTTGACTGTCCCAAACCACGGCGTCCAATGTTTTTACCAGATTGGAAATAGAACCATCTCTAAATTGTTGTGGGTGGTCGGGTGAAAGTTCTAGTTCTGTTCCGTGTGCTCCAACAGAAATCGTTCCACCGATGGTGACATTGCCAACTTCTGTGTATGCAAAAACTCCGAAACCTTTGTGTTCCAGGAATGTGAGGAGGTCTTCCCATATCGCTCCAGTTTCCACGCTGACTAAATACATGATAATGGAACACTAGCTACATTTTTCTGCCAATATGCACGATTTATGAACATGCAGAATAATTTTACCCTCATTCGGCTTTGTTTCGTCTAGCGACATTCTTTTCAAATGCTTTGTGGTGTCCACTACGATAATTTTTTTACAGGGATCAAGGCCTCCTTGAGATCTAGTAAGCGTGATGGGTGCCCAGGAATGTCGAGTTCCGGAGGGCGGATGGTAAATCCTTCGCTGTGCGCCCAGTTGGCGAGACTAATCACATCTTGGGCGTTGCGAGGTGCTGCGGTCATGACATTGGACACTCTCAGCTCTTCATCCCAATTTCGATATTCTCCCATCGTCAGAGAAATGCCAGGAGGAAAATTGGTTGGCATTTCGCATTCTGCAAAACCAATATCAGGAATGACAAACCACTATCACTTATCAGATTTGGTATTTACCATATTTATTGCACCTTACCTTGTGTCACAGAAATTTTTAAACAGAACAATGCTATCAAAAAAACTAATCCGGACATTCTCTTCTATGTAATTTAACCGTTACTAATTGAATTAATAGTCGATAACGATAAATTTGGGTTTGCGTGTGAATGAACGTTCCTGCATAAAATATTTCGAGGCTTTTATACTTTTTAGCCCGAGTCAGGGCTTATGGAATCGTCATATCTGTCCGTCCGTCCGTCCGAAACACGATAGAGCCAAAACGGCTGAACGGCTGGGCAAAACCGGTCAAGCTGTTGACCGGTGGGGGTCATGTAGGTGGGTGGGGTATGCACTAACGCTTCAAAATAATTTTAGAAGCCTGAAATTTAGCTTCAAGATTTTAAAGAGGCGAGTCCCACTGGTCCAGGTAAGCAAGGGGAAGGATTAGCAAAAATTTTAAAAATTTGTATCAAATAATAGAAAAATATCGGTCAATTCGGACAAAAATTTAGAAAGGGCTCTGTCCCTGACTCGGGCTAAATGAAGGCTGCATACGACAGGTTTACACTATGACACGTAAATTAAGGGTAACTGTATTTACTGCATGGGTTGCTGCATGGGCGAAAAGGAGAATATACATAGTATTTTAATGGTTATTTAATTACACTCGTAAAGCATTCTCGAATATATATCGAGTATATATCGATGAACATAGATACAAAATATAATCTATGTATCCAAGTAGGTGATGAGCTCGAGAAACTATCCAGTTATGCTTTCCTTTAGAACCTATCAGACTAATTAAGTATGTACTTATGACATAAAACGCTATAAATTTATTCGTATTTTACATCCCGTTATGAGAATAATATAATTTACTCACATATTTAGGACATGAATTTAGAGCTACGTTTGATATTTGTGCACATAGTGAGCTTAGCTACTCTACTACGTCGGAGATTTTATCCGTGTAAAGCATACCTATGAAGCAGGAAAGTGATAATTACCATTTATTTACTGTATGAGATTGGCTTTACATTTTTTGTTGAAATATTACATTCATGCATAAAGGCATACTTAATTCTAAATCGAGTTAAGTATGTGTGGGTGCACCCCATTGTTTGGATGTATTTCGGCTTTGATTTCGTAATTCAGTCCTCATCTAAAGATTGTGCTATTGATTTAGGTATGTATGGTATTGATCCAGTATGATTATAAATACCAAGCATTTTGTTATTATTTCGTCACTGAACTTGACTGAATACCGCAATTACAATACTTGTAGGGTTTTAGCTTGATTAGACATGTCAATATTGCATGCCTGGGACGACCACTAATCGATCAATCTCAACCCTATGAATGAAAACATAGAAATAAATGCTTATTTATTACGACACTTAATCACATTATTTCATTCTAATTTCGGTTGCAAATGTGATACAAGTCCAAAATTAGAAAATACCCAAATTCGTTAACAACAATTCCCTCGTATAAAAGAGCAGTTTAAGTCTCTGGAAAGTATCAATAGTGCCACACGAGGCGTACTCTCTTAATCGTTGGTCTCAAAAAATAATTCCGATCTAGGAAACTTTCAAAAATGCCCGAATACAGGCTCGTATATTTTGACATCCGTGGTCTTGCAGAACCAATTAGGTAACAGTAGTGTGTTTTTTTAATTTAATTTTGTATATTCTATGATTTAGTTTATTGAACAGCTACATGTATTATTGTATCCTAAATAGGTGGATGTTTGCCATAGCTGGAAAAAATTTTACGGACGAGCGAATTCCTTTGGATCAATGGCCCCGTGAAAAAATTCGTGAGTTTTGGAACACATAATTCGGTTTTGATTAAACTAGTGAATTTGTGGTTCGTTTGGCATTTTTCTCTCAGGTTTTAATGAGCATGTAGGACAACTGCCTCTGCTCTACGTTGACGACGTGCTTCTCACTCAAGTTCACGCCTGTATGCGGTATGTCGCAAGGCGTTTCGGGTTCAACGGTGCGACCGAGAAGGAAGAAGCCCGAGCGGACGAAGCCACGGAGCTTATTTATGATCTTCGGCTGTGTAAGCATTTGCGAAATATTCGCAATCTTTAAGTACTTTTTGTCATTTCCACAAATTCACGATTGATGCATGTGTGTGCAGGTTGTGTGGCGTATAAGGATTCCTTTGAATCAGCGACACCAGACATTGTTCGTCATACAGGTGAATACTAATTTATGCTAATCAAATCATCTTTATTAATCGGATTTGACAGATAATCCTAAATTTTATTTTCTACGATTTCTAGTTTTCCGAGATTTCCACAAAGAGCAAAGCATTGTTAAGAAGGCTCGGATGAGGAAGCATTTGGTAGAAGATTACTTTCCAAAATACTTTACGAAGTTTGCTGAGCTTTTAGAAGAAGCAGGCGGTCAGTGGATTGCTGGGCCCCAATTAACTTATGCCGATTTGGCGTTGGCAAACTTTTTGGTAAGCACAAAATTAGCGTAATACATGGATTAAAATGGTTTGTAAAACTTCATGTTTTACATAGGACGTTGCTGAAACGATGGTGAATCCTGACGTATTGAACGGATATCCCACCCTGAGGCAGCTGAAGAAAGAGGTTTTTGCCATCCCAGAAATTCAAAAGTTTATTGAAGCAACTCTCAATAAGACGTGCATGATCGGTGGATAGGCAAATTGTCCACGTGCGAGCCATGTATGTATTTAGTGGAGCCAAATTAACAGCATTAATGAATAATTCGTTAGACTATATTGTCAAAGTTTCAACTTTATGAATTCGAAATAAAGAGATAATACGGACGTTTAAAGTTTGCTGTTTAATGGGCCATTTACTGAGTACGCAGATCAGGGTATTCCGACCTGGGTTTTAATGGGTTGGGTTTTATTGGGTTTTAATGGGTTTTAATGGGTTGTAAATGAATAAAACCCACTGGGTTTTACCATGTTAAGTGGGTTTTATTTGGGTTTTAATGGGTTTTATTGGGTTTTAATTGAGTTTTACTTAAAAACTATATTCTAAAAGTTAAATACATCTCCTATACATTAAAAGACGTTATCTCAATTCATTCTAAAGCAGTTTATTTCATTACTATCATAATATATGAAAATTCGGAACAAAGCAACAATTGACTCCATTCTTTAGCATCACAGATTTCAAGTGTTGTAAAACAAAAATAATTTCCGAATAGATACAAATTCCGAATAATTTTTGTTAAATTATTACTTAAAACTATTAAAACCCAATAAAACCCATTTAAACCCAATAAAACCCATTAAAACCCAAATAAAACCCAATTAACATGGTAAAACCCAATAAAACCCATTAAAACCCAAATAAAACCCAATTAACATGGTAAAACCCATTAAAACCCATGGGTTTTATAATTTTTGATTAAAACCCTGGGTTTTTTCGAACCCTGACGCAGATCGATCAGCGATATGTTTGTTCCTCTCAATATCACATAATAAATATGTAAATATGTACATAGCTCTTTTTAAGATGATAACATTTGCTGTGTAATCCAACCAGAAAACCTCCCAACGTCCGTGTAAATACCAGGCACACCTATGCACGAATAACAATTTATTTGTAGTGACTGGGAAATATTGTTAATATGTAGATACCATCGTACCGTTAAATACCATCGTAGATATTATTTTATCCCTTACCATATTGTCCACACCCATTTCCCCAACTAACAATCCCGACCTGTACTTTACTAAATGAATCAGATTTAAGTACGAGGGGTGACCCCGAATCTCCCTAAAATTTAATACAAGTGTCACCAGTATACCATATTTTTATGGTTTGACATGAATAATGTGTCATAAACTACCCTAGATTAATCAAATTTACCTGACACGCATCCATGTTGTACTCTCCTCCAGCGCATATCATGTTTTCTGTAAGGGTTTCATGCTTTTCTTTGCAGTACTCCCAGCTCACAATGGCAAGATCGATGTACATGAGATGTGGGGTCGTAGGTCCTCCGTCCTCCGTTGCACCTGACACGTTTTACCATTCTTATTAATTTCATTTGGAAGATTTCCTCTTATTAATTGCATTGTGCGAATTGTTTGCTAACCCCATCCTGACACTTGGCAAACTGTTCCCACGGTCAATCGGGAATTGAAGATTGATGGGAGCCTGACTGGGGTGATGTCACCGCTGAGTAAGACAGGTTCTTGCAACTTCATTCATAATATTGTAGAAGAAACTTCAATTTCAATACGATAAAAAAGTGTCATGGACGTACCACCAGGATTGAAAGGTCGTAATCAGTAATTGCACGATTGAATTGGGGGTGTATAATAATATACGCCACTTGTATAACAACCCCCTCATATTGGGAATTAATAGACCCAACTCGTACAGTGATGTCTCCTGCGTACTGACCTGTCGTACAGTGCCTGGAAAAATTAATAAAAAATATTAAATTCAAATACTAGTCACATCGAATGAGGTCATCTTTTTACTAACGCTGCAGTTAGCACATGGCGTGTCGAAATGAGTGAGCCTGTAAAAATAATGTAATTAAAAAATTTTAAAATCCCCTTTTCTTAATAATATTAACAGTAAAAGAAATACCACCACAAAACTGAAAGCTGCCCTTCAGCATGGCAACCTGGTGCGGAAATTGACCAACTTGTGCACGGTCACCACCAAGAATTTTGTTCGGGTTTGTAAAATTGGTGGGATTGGAAGAAATTGTGCTGGTAGATTTCTCAGTAGATGAACTTGGAAAATTGGTAACATTGTGAGTGTCACCTATAAAAATGCATGTTTAAAATGTGCTTCGAAATATGTTGTATCTTAAGCTGAGGTCTTATTATTAATTAGATCTTTAATGATGAATTATTAATACTCACCCAGGATTCCCTCGATTACGTAAAAGCCGACAAGAAATGAAATTGCCGAAATCTTGAGGATCGATAACATTTTTGAATCTACTTCGCAGCAACGTGTAAAGTCGTACGTATATGAGAAATATTTAAAAACTCAGTTTAAAATAATATAATTGGACCTGTTTAACTAGTTTGGAGATAATGCGTCCTCAATAGTTTTTTTGCCGTAATACCTGTTTCATAGCAGATCACTACACAATATTCTAAATGCACGAGTTGAACCAGTTTCAGTTCCACTTGGATTTTAAATAATAATTCTGTTTCTATAAAAGTAAATGGTATTTTATGCATGTTATACTTTTAATTAGGGTTCGGTCGGAAAGTAAAGAAACATTTGAAAAATGCCTGTAAAATCCGGAAAACTTAATTAATTCCAACGACACTTTTAGGGGTTAAGAACAAGGTCCTTATCGTTCAATTTTTTGCTTCATATGGTTCATAGACCCCCATCCTTCCTATCTGGCGAATTATTTGCCTCGCGGTCCCAAGAAGTGCTTTGCCACTCTTTCTCGCTACCACTTTTGAGGTGTGTGTCCAAATGTGACGGAATCTTACCAACTTTTTGGGTGGTTTTGTTCGACGACTATATTCTCTCTTGCATAATGCCCAAAATCTTTCAATTGGTCTGGCCTGAGGGACGTAGGTAGCATATTCCTTTTTTGCAACAAAATCGATTTTTTTCGACCACAGGTAATCCTGAACAACTTTTGAAGAATGACATGTTGCTGTGTCCGGTCAGAAAAGTACATGACGATTATTGATAAAGGGGATCAAGATCTTCTTTACACAATCGTTCAGATATCTCTCCGAGGTCATGGTGGCTGTGGTCACGAACGGCTTTGAGACGTCCCCCAATGAGTCCAATTCTTGCCCAATTATGTGCTTTGTGGGGAATTTTGACTTCGGCGTGTATTTGAAGGAATCTTTAAACGTTTTCTTACTAGTACATGAGTAGTACTTCCTCCCAGGGACTTCATCTGGATCATTCGAGCAATTGGTCTCATCATTCATGACCAGGATCACGGGCATGTTTTGCTTGACTCGTTTTTCAACAATCTGCCGAGAGTTGGGCTTTGCTCTTTTTTGCTGACCTTGGTTGTACTTTGGTGCAGGTGTCGCCCTATAGGATTTGACCCCCAACTTCGTAGGTTTAATGTCATGTAAACTTAATTTTGATATTTTCAATTTGTCGCCCAAATTACTATCTGATATCCCAAGGTTATTTTTGTTTTCCTTCTGAACTCTACGTATCACTTTGGGGGTCGCTACACGAGCAGGGCGATTTTTTAATTTTTTGAATTCAGCATTCCTCCTCCCCTCATACATATCTAAAACTCTGCAAATTGCCCCATTATGAATTTTTTCTTTTTCGAAGTGGCTATTAACCATTATCCGGACGCGCTCGCACACTTTTTCGTAATAGTGGCAAATTTTTTTTGCGAGTTCCTCTGAATTTTTTGTTCTCATTTTTGAACTAATCGAGATATCGACTTTCGGTTTTCTGATTTGGATAGTCAATCGCATGGACTACAAAACTACCGCGTTCCAACTCAGTGACAATTTTTCTTTCAGACAAATAAATATACTTTTTCAAGTGTTTCTTTACTTTCCGACCGAACCCTATTGTTGAGCTTGGCTTTACCTAGTGTCAAGTACATTTAAAGAGGGCCGGATGGCGAAATCTGACCAAGCCTAATATATCATTGAAAGACAAAAAATGTGTTCACGTTCAAAGCACAAATATTCAAATATTAAGATTTGAAATGAAATATTACCCATTTATGTGCATACATAAATGTCGTCATATGTAACCTCTGAACATGGGAGTCATTTATGGTATCAGGATATTTTGTTCATATGAGCATATGCACATATGTAGTTGCAATTGGAGTATTTATTTAATTTCTTGCAGGTAAAAAATATACCTCAAGTTCAATTTACGCCAACATTGATGTATGTTTTTTATATCGATTTTTTAAGTCGCCTTCGTCTGTAGATTTATAATGCAACAATTTGCTAATGACAACGAAGCATTTACATTTTATGATGTTGACTAAAATATAGAGGCGTAATATTTTGATATGGCTTATGGTGTCTGATAAGCCACTGACTGAGTAATTTTGGATTAGTGTGGTAATTTATGACTGTAATAAAAGCAATATAATCAATTTAAGCGTCACAGGATGACTTATGCCACAGGTGACTCTGAATAAGTCAACTCTTTCAAAGTATTTTGATTGATCACGCATTGAAATTTGAAATTTATTCAACTTAAAAACCATTATCATCGGTAAGCGTATTCCACCCATTTAAAGGATTAGAACACACCTTAGAACATGACCGGATGCATATTTGTGTATGACGATAAGTAGAAATAAATACGACATTGAGGTTTTTTCCCTACAATTTTTCCAAAAATTTCCTTACACGAAGGACGACAGCTCTTTGAAGTTTGGAATTTCTGGCTGGTTCCTTGTAGAAAATTTATGACGACAAAACCGCACAGGTGTAAACATTTCTGATTATAATCTAACAAATTTTATGTACGTATAAAAAATATCTTAATTACTTATTTACTTGTCTGCATCTTACAGTGTGTGTTCTGACGAAACGTATACGCACTGATTTATGTACTGACTACTGATACATCATACACTTATATGCAAAGGATTAATTTTGTCATATAAATCAAAGTGTTAAACTGACATGAGATTTTCATATTTGCACCCGTGACTATATACAGATTACAACAACGGTTATGCATAATGCCCATTATATTACAGCATATTACTCAGAATTTCAATGTTCTAGAGAAAGTTTAATTTCTTCTCGTGTGTAGTTTGCAAGTGAAAAGTTTATTGAAAAGTATTTAAGAGATGACAGCATGAGTGATGTAGACAGAGTTGGAAGAAAAAATAAATCAGAGAGGTGAAAAATGAGGTATTTGTAACTTAATGTGAGAATTGGATAGATTGCTTAGCAAGAGGTTTTGCACTCTACTTCCGATGACCAGTTACAAACGTTGAGAGTCGGGTCGAAGACGAGTCGCGTAGTATCCGTTTCCAAGGGGCAATTGTGATAGTACGGGAAGAGAGTCTCGCCCGCTCCCCAGGAGCATTGGTAGAAGGAGTGGCAGTCAGCAGGGTTTGGAATGTACTGTCCGAGGGTCTCGCATACGACAGCTGGGCATTCTGGTTCGGGTTCTGGTTGTTGGCATCCGGGTTCTCCGGTACATTCGTAGTCCTTGGACCAAACACAAACATCAAGGTTTGGGTCAAACACGAGCTGTTTGCTTCCATCAACTGTTTCATTGGGGCACTGGTGAAGGTATGCGACTCCCCAAGAGCACTGGTAGAAGGAATTGCAGCTGGCTGGGTTCACGAGATATTCTCCATGATAAGCACACTCAATCTTGCAAGGTTCGGAAACTTCTTCGGATGATGATGATGCAGGAGGATCGGTTGGTTCAATTTCGACAGATTCTGAACTTTCTGGGGCAGGTTCAGTTGGTTCAACTTCGACGGATTCTGAGCTTTCTGGGGCAGGCTCGGTTGGTTCAACTTCGACGGATTCTGAGCTTTCTGGGGCAGGCTCGGTCGGTTCAATTTCGACGGATTCCTCACTTTCTGGTGCTGGCTCAGTAGGTTCGATTTCAACGGATTCCTCACTTTCTGGTGCTGGCTCGGTCGGTTCAACTTCGACAGATTCGGAAGGCTCTTCCGACTCAGAAATTGGATCACATTCGCCGGAATCCTCGTTCCTAATACATGCCTTGGCGTCAGAACTGTACCATGTTCCATGGCCACATTTTCTCAGCTCCAAACCTTTCTGAGTGCATTCGAAATATTTGCTAGGGCTGAAGGGGTACGTGTATGTTTTGCCAACGTTATGTCTTCCACATGGAAGAAGGAAGCCCTTGTCTGTAAAGTAAAAGTTTATTTGTTTATTTTATACTATGCAATGAGCATTTAATGTACTAATTCGTGGACGTTTTTAGAACTCTTGTTACCTACCGACAGCTTGTTTGTCGTTCAGAGTCCTAGCCGCTGCAAAAGCGACCATGACCACGAGTAAAATCAGAGCAGTTTTCATTTTGAAAAAAATATTATTGAATGATCGCAATCAAGACAAAGTTTGCTTGCGATTTGAACAGTATTTTTCAAGTGTAAAATGAAGCTGGAGTCAATGGCTTATATACCACGATCAGGAATACATGACGATTTCACTGACTCGCAAAATCAGATCATTGACGCAAACAATGCTGGATTATGAGATTTCGGATTACTCAAGAATTTTAATCCAGTCCATATGTCACTGTCCGGTGAGATCGAATGACAAAGATCGCCGCACCCACGTGGGGATCGTTGTCTTTTTGGTAAGAATCGTAATGAATGGACAATGGGTGTTTTCCTGCACATGGGCGTAATTGACTGGTTCTTCATGCCAAAGGGTAATCCCCAGATTTGCACTGATTTGGGAAGCAATGCAAATACTCATCACTCAGGATGCGGCATAGAATAGTACATGGTTGATGCTTTCAAGTGCTGGTAGTTCTACCTTATCCTTGTTTTTTGAGGTTTTACCAAAGCATGTGTATGAAATTAATTGTGACGTTGTTAGCTCTTTCAAATCTATGTACATACGTTTGAATTAAAGCTATGTACTTTGTTAGGAATTCAGAAATGTGTATGTAGATTATCTCATCTACGCAAGTGAAGTGCGTATTTTCATCAAATTGAGATGATATACTGCTTCATTGAGCCCCTAGCTTAAGATCAATAAAACATTACATTTTGTGTCCTGTGCTCATGGAATATCACAGACCTCGAATTAAAAGTAAAGTTAGATATGTCATTTCAGAGGTGTGGTTTGGTTGGATAAGCGCATGCATATCATTTCCAGCTAAACCTGCAACAGTTTTTAAATTCCAAACTTCCAGTCATTAAACTGCAATGGGGAATAGGTCAACCGAGTTTGGTGAGAATATCTCAACCGAGCGTTACGTAAGGGACATACATATATGATATATATGTAGCATACATAGGTGAATGGTGGGCTATATAATTTTTTGAGATCATTGTCTGCCTTGTTTTTCTTAAATAATTATCACTAAAGGACCGTTTATTTATTCATTTTAAGTTGTAGCATTTCAAATTATGGGGATAAATAAGGTATCACAACTTTTAATGTGAATATTGCACATCTAAAATTTATATGATGTACAGTCAATGGAAAAAGTATTGGCAACACCCACGCAAGCTAAATAAAATTGGTTATAACTTTGGCATGCGTTATCAAATTGGCATGAAACTTTGAACACATTTGATAAATCTAATGTAGTGTTGGATTATAATCGTGATTCCGATTTAAATCTAGTAAACATAACGCAATCCTGATTTTGACCTTAACGAGTCAGGTACGAACCTGCAAAAAGTATTGGCAACATGTGGCTAAATTAGTTACTCGACACAATTTTCTTAACCATCTTCCACATTTCCTTACGTAAGGTAATTAGGTGACAAAATATAACGTTAGCGACATTTTAAGTCTACAGTTGTGTTGTCTGGAGCCAAAATGGCGGCACTAAACCAGCTGTATTTGGCGCGGCGAGAAATATTCATGCCTCTTCCATAAAAATGCTTTGTTATCGAAAAATCAAAGAGAAAACATACTTTTCCATATTCACTATTGAAAACGTAGCAAAGAAATATAAAATGACGATCTCAGTTTCTACTTTTCGACGATGCGGACGAAAAAGGTCACCTACGCCCAAAATCTACTGATGAATCAAGCAACAAATTGCTCGAGATCGGAAGATTTTAGCCCCCAAATCCATGTTGAATTGCAGTACCAACTGTGGGGCAAACATATCATTAAATTTGGTGTTCACTAAAAATTATGCCTTGGGGTTTCAGGCTCCAGTAGCCCGACCGACGAGAGAGTCCCCAAAGCGAACCACCTGAATAAATTGGAATGGGCTAAATATAAGCCTCAATTGACTTCCAATGAATGAAATAAAGTCTACTGGTCCGACATAGGCATATTTTACTTATTCGGAGCTCATTAATTGGTTCAAGTCTGGCGGATGCCATAAAAGGCTCAGAAATACGAAAACGTTCGTATAGCAGTTTAACACATAGGAGGATGGATTATGGTTTGGGGTTAAATGACCAGGTGGCGGCGTGTTTACCTGGTCATTATCGACAAAATCATGACCAGGGAGGTCTAATTAATCATTCCAAACGATAATTTGAAATTATTTGATAAAAACCTGACTTGGGGAGGAATTTTATATTCCAAAAATGCATTGACTCAAAACAGCTACCCCAATTAATGATGCAAGTTTTTGGAGACCGAAAAGGTTACGCTTCTTTCGTTGGCTGCACAGTCTCCTGATGTCATTCTGATTGTTTGGGCTGCGAGAAGAGAGACCGGTAGGAAACCACTCGACGAAAAACGAGCTTGTCAAAAGTTCGAAACAAGTGTGGCCAACCATATAGAAAAACGTTATAAAGAGCCTTGTCGAATCAATTCCATGGCCTATTTCTGCTCTTATTGCGTCGAGGGGAGGTGCCACGCAATACTAGAAGCAGTGTGTCGCAGTAAAATTGGCCTTTCTTTGCTCTATGATTTTTTAAGTTAGAGGGTGCCAATACTTTTTGCGGGTTAATTTTGCAAATTTTCCAGCAAATTATTTAAAAACTGCGTTAATATAATTTTGAGCAGTAAAACATGATTATAATCGAAAACAACATTAAATTAACTAAATGCGTACAAATTTTCATGCTAATTCGATAATGCATGCCAAAGTTATAGCCAATTTTATTTAGCTTGCGTGGGTGTTGCCAATACTTGTTCCATTGACTGTACATACAGATTTACAGATATATGCGATTTTTGGTCACCATATTTCTTGTGCATTTTCTATTTTCATTGTTTTTCTAATGCCCACTGAAACAACTGTTATAAAAAAATATCAACTTGTGTATGTATGTGAACAACTTATCTCAACATTATTAAATACTACTCCATATGCAAATCCATTGTAATAAAGATATCAGTAAGCTTAGGATCGATCGTTGTTAATTGAGTGAATTTATTGGAAAATTGTGAAATTTGAGCTAAATATTAGTATAAAATACAATAGACCGAGATGTACATACCTATCTAGGCTATTACAATTAAATAAAACTGTGTAAGTACATTTTTGCACAATAAATAATGTCCCTGTTAGCTAGTGTTTTTCCCACTTTTAAAATTATGGTTCATTTATGTTGCCCGAAGTATTTAATGATAGTGGTCCAATGACATAGACTGCGGTCTTTGTGAAACTATTATATTTCTCAGTCGACTGTAAGAAATATAATAGCCGCTGTCCATATTATAAAGTAAAATTGTTATGGAGGTGACCTTCACCACATCCAACATACATTTTGCATTGTCATTCCGCAACACTCAGAAAACAAACCTGTTGTGTTTGTCATTTGTGTTGGAGAGACATGATTAAACCCCGTCGCACAAAATCCTATCGTTTCACATTTAATTAAGTACAACTATTTAAAAATATAGGAATCAATATTTGCATTGCACAAAGTTGAATGTACATTTATTCTCAAACTATTGAAAATCAAGGTATAAGGTTGGATCACGACTGATGATCTTATCGTATTAAATAGACAATTTGTTGCGTGTACGTGATTGACTATATTCTGGATTGATAAGTAATGGATTGATAAGTGATAACATGTAAATAAATCTGAATATTGCAATCCATACATAAATCAGTCCCATTTTCTTGTTGCTAATAATTGTTCAGAATGGATTGGGAAACTCCGGTCGCAAACTTTCCACTGAAAGTTGTGTATTCTGACGGTGTTGAAGTTCAGAATGGTAATCGTGTCACAAGAACCCAAGCTGGAAATAAGCCATCCGTTTCATGGAACGCTGATCCCAATAAAACGTACCTTTTGGCCATGATGGGTTAGAAATATACATTAACATATTTAGCATTAGTTGCAGAGCGACTATTTTTAATTGGTACATATGGGCACACGTAACAAAATTCGTTAAACAAATACATTGCGGAGCTAGTCATAATACTTAATTAAATAATTATTTACTACTAAATGGCATTAATTTATAGACCCTGATGCTCCATCCAGATACTTGCCCTTTTTGGGTGAAGTTCTACACTGGATGGTGATCAATGTCAAGGGAGGAAATGTGACGAGAGGAGAGGAGGTGGTTCCATATGGACCACCCGGACCCCCACCGGGTCAGCATTTATTTTAATTTAAATCAATTTTGAGATGATAAGAAATTAAGACAACCTATAATTCGGTTCACAGGGCTAGGAGCACATCGCTACGTGTTTCTTGTGTACGAGCAACCGGAACTAATTACCGTCGATGAACAAATGAAAACTTCTCGTCTAGCACGAATCCGATATTCAATTCAGGATTTTGCAAAGAAGCATAATCTTGGAAATCCGGTGGCGAAGAATTATTTTCAAACGACTTTTTTCTAAACTAGCACCATTACATTATTATCACAAGGTATTTATGAAGATGCCTTTAGACATTATTGTATGCATGTATGTACTTATGCACTGCCTGAATTTACTGTTATTGCTTTGTTAGATCTCCTTCAATGTCAACTTTAATTAAAATCTGAGGTAACCCTCAAATAACTTGTGAAATTAAGTAAATTTTCATGTTCCAGCCATTTCAAAACGAAATGTACAAATTGAATGTATGTGTTATAAATTGCGTGCGCACAAAGAAAACCTTCGAATAATTAATTGTTATTCACATTTCAATATCTCAATTGCGCGAGGTTCAATGTTAGATGCATCTTAAAAATAAATAAAAGAAATGATACAAAATTCGTTTATCAAAGGTGTGTTCCCCACTGGACTTTCGTGGAGGTGCGCTCCAAAAAAATCGTCATATATCATGATTTTTGAGCAACAACTTGTACAAGTCGTATATCGTGTATGAGTTTTACTGGGTGATTATTCTGGACAGTGAGATTGCGTAAGCGTAGTTTAGTTATGTAACTCAACAAACCAAATGCCCAATGTGGTTTTGGGTGAGTAATGAGTATACCATGATGGCCATGCATTTTTTGTCCTGTCATGCATGATCATTATCATCTGTTTCATTAAATAATATTTTGGCTGTTTGCCCGTTCTCCGTACGATTGTTACAGTAAAATAAAAAGTACAATATAGAAAATATAATGCCCAACAGTTCGACAAAAGCAAAACCGTGGTCTCGAGATGATATCCCAGATCTGACAGGGAAAGTGGCCATAGTTACCGGGGGAACGGGTGGGATTGGCTACGAAACGACACTAGGACTGGCTTCTGCGGGGGCAGAGGTTGTCATCATCGGGAGAAATGAGGAGAAAGGAAAAGACGCCGTCAAACGGATGACAACGACCAAACCCGCAATCAAGGTCTCCTTCGTCCCAGTGGATTTGGGTAATTTAGCTGCAATTTCCGAGTTTGCCACGTAATAAGATGCCATTTTAATGTATTACCTGTGTATATATAATAATATCACGTGCTTATTAATGTATGCCGTCATAACCATGCAGGAAGTTCAATGCTAGAGGAATTGCGTTGGACATATTGGTGAACAACGCAGGAATTATTGGACCCACCACACGACAAACTACCGTTGATGGCTTTGAAGCCGTCTTTGGGACTAATCACTTGGCACCATTTGCACTTACTGCACAGCTACTTCCGTCACTAAAGTACACATACAGATATGTATAAAAAGGAATTGTCGTGCTGAAACCTATCTGAATTTTAATAGAATTATTTATGTATTATTAACAAATTGGATATTTTGGTTTATGCAGGCGAAGTTCTGCAGCGAGGGTGGTGAATGTCTCGAGCGGAATGGCAGGCCTGGCGAAAATTGATTTTAACGACCTTCAATCTGAAAACAAGAAATATTCGGGAAGTGGACTGTACGCACAATCAAAGTTGGCAAATATTCTCTTTACATTTGAACTTCAAAGAAGAAGTGAAGCAAATGGCTGGAATTTAACAGGTACGTGATTTTAGCCATATTTAATAAATGAAGAAGTCATACATTAATGTATATGAAAAAATAATAATAAGTAAACTAAGTGTTATTGTGATATTTATTTTGAAAATTTCAGCATTTGTTGTTCATCCTGGACTGGTTAAAACCGATATGACTGTTGTTCGCCCTGGAAATGATTCATTATTTACTAAAGTTGTCGGGTGGACTTTGATGCCATTTTTCTCCCAGGAGCCTGAGGATGGTGCGAATTCTTCCCTTTTTGCAGCAACTTTTGCAGAAGCAAAGTCGTCCGAATTTTACGTTCCCAATGGATTCCTGGCCATGTATGGTCCTCCCATAGCTATTAGTCCGCCGAAGGCAGCTAAGGATTTGGCAACAGCAGAGAAACTTTGGGAGGTGTCAGAACAATTGACTAAAGTAACGTGGACATAGGGAAACTCCAATGTATAATGTATTTTTATTGTCATTACACGTATATACTCCCAAAAATGTTGTACGAAATTTCAGTATTCCATACATGAAAATCATTCAGTAATAATGTTAGCATTATTTTTTCAGCTTATGCACTTTGTTTGACTATCTTATTACCAAAAGCAATTTATTTAACTCAAAGTCTTTGATCAATTCAATCTTTATTACTTATTTACGTGACTGTGAATCAGCCAAGTGAAGTAATATCTATTATTCAAGTGCTAGCAACTATTACTATCATTTGTTACAATGAAAATTATTAGAGAGATTGATTGAAGAGACTCTGCCATAATAGATAAATAATAAAAGGTTGAACTGAGGATGAGTGGGATGAACGTTTGTATTAACTGACTGATCCTGAGTGTTTGTAACAAATTGCCCAATGTCACAGAATCTGAGTGCTTTTGCAGAAATTAATTCGTGGACATGTTGTTGTGCTTATTCATTGAAGTACAGATATAATTATAAATTGCATTTGTGTACATACGATGCATGTATTTACACATGTACTTAATACTACTTGTTTCATTCTTGAAGATATTCTAAAATATTATTAAAGTCCAAACCTGTGTTTTGTTGATAAGAGAAACATTGTGTTCACTTCCAATCTACTTTATGGAAGTTATTGTGATGGGACTTTATTCTATTTACCATTGCAATTTTTGGAACGCTGATGCAAATGTGACATCAGCATTTCAAAGGTCAAGGGATTCAAAATACATAGATTTAGTTTTCATGAGTATCTCGCCTCTCACGTGTGTCCAAACCATATTGTGTGCAGGAGGAGATCACGAAGGGGAAGAGAGGATAGGAGTGAGGAGCACAGAATGATGATGTACGTCATCATGATCATGAGGGCGTAGTTTGTGCATAGGTAGCGTAAGTAAAGGTAGTGATCAAGTAGGCGTGGCTTATGTGATCACGTATATATAGAGTAAGCAGAGAAGAGAGAAGAAAAGAGTGTAGTTTTAGATTCAGGATCAGCAGGTTAGATTTAGTGATCATCAAGATCAAGTTCAAGGTTTAAAGCTTCGGAAACTTAATAATAAGTTCCTGTCTAGATTAGTAGTTAAAATTAAAATAATAGCATTAGCTCTCCCACGTATTAATAATACGAGCATTTCTGTAAAGTCAATATTTTTCAGTCGGTATTGATGTAAATAAATTTATTAATAATTATTATAAAAAAGTGAGTTTCTACTACAAGTTTATTGCACGACGTCACAAAGAAAAGGGGCATCCGCGAAAGTGGGTGTGAATCAGGACACGCAATCCCATAAAAGAATAGGGAGCGTTACACCATGTGCATTATAAGTATGTAAAATAGTTGGAACCTCGAATGAAAAAAAAATATGAGAGTAAATAAATAGCGAATAATTTGCTGCCGGATTACTCCCAAGAATGCACTCCGGACAGACAGACATGCAGAGGTTTAGTTATTTTTTAGTTAAACAAATTTAAGAGACAGCAGATAATCAACCATGGGAGAGCACCAGAAAGGATGCTTGATTCATCTGGAACATTTACTGGTGGGTTTTCAGGTCGTAATTTTTCTGTAGTACTTTGAGTTTCTGTCGTAGTAGTTGGACTTGTAGGCATGCTGGTTGTTGTGGTTTCTGGATTTTCGCTAATTTTTTCCGTCGAGGGAGGTATAACTGTTGCTTCAGTGGTCACTTCCGTCGATGCTACGTCAGTAGTCACTTCCGTTAATACGGCTTCAGTTGTTACTTCCGTTGATGCAGTAGCTTCAGTGGTCACTTCTGTCGACGTTGGTATTTGTGTGGTTTCAGGAGATGGACTCGGGATATGATACCCTTCCCCCACATGGATAACATATTCTGTCAAACTCTCGTCAGTTGAAGCGCCCTGAATTGTGACATAAACGTGTTTTGTCCCATCATTTCTTAGAACACGCCCATCAGCATCATCTTGATCAGGAATGTAAATAATATTGCCAGTGATGAGGCCATCGTAGATAGCACTATTTGGATTAGGCTCAGAATAAGAGTACCATCCTTCGAAGGCACTATTGGTGCTAATGGAAAGTGTTATGCCATTCGTGGTGAGCCCAATCGCATAATATCTGCGTTCACGGGGTTCAAGTACGCCAGGCGTGGGCTCCACGTTGGGCTCAAGGGTTTGAGGTGTTTGACAAACGGCAAAATTAAGATCATTGGTAATTTCAGGCAATGCATTGTAGTCGTCAACTCTCTTTACCATCTCGTCAATGCCATATGCAATTATTTTCAGCTCGGCTTCGATTATATTTGATCCAATTCCAATTGCGTAGGAAACTATTCTTTCGTTCTGGATCATGGCGACGGCTTGAGACACGCTATACGTTCCTATATTCAGAAGGATATTTGTACTCTTTGCATGAAACATATTTAAAAGTCGTTAGGATTACCAGAATTCGATTCACCGTCGGTGAATGTGAGCATGATTTTTGGAATGCCAACCCTATTCACAGCCTTCTTGAAATATTCCAATCCTGCAACAATGCCGTCTCCCGTTGCGGTCGCTCCGTTTGGATAAGTTACTTGTTTCAATTTGCTTATCATTTCTTCCTTCGTCATTGTGTTATCCAAGTCAAAGTAATGATCAATATCGGAGGCAAACACAAGATATCCTACCCTCATGGCAGTTGCGGGGTCCAAGGTGAAAGTTTCCACAAGGTCGACTGAAAAATCTATGGCTTTTTGAAAGGCAGGCAGGGTTATGCTTCCCGACCCATCCATTACTATGCACACATCAGCAACGCCATGGCATTCAGGCTTGCTTTCAACATCACTAACTTCTTCTTCAAATCTTAAAGTCAATAATATGTTATTTATTGAAATCCCAAAAAATGTTTTTCGCTATTTGAAAAGTCATTTACCGATTAACGTCGCCATTCGGTCTGTAATGGCTTATCCAATATGAGGCTTGTGCAAGAATTGCACTAGGAATTGCGTCGTTTGTCTTCTGACGTAAGAACAACCGCACAGCAATAGCCGAAAATAAAGGTTTCCTTAGATCTGCCCATGTCACGCCATCCCAAGTAATGCCAAAAATTTGTTTAGTTTTATCATAGTAATCTTGTAGATCTGGTATATCTTTTGTTGCCTCGAAATCGACTTCATCCACCTTGACAACAATTAACATTGATATACTCAGTTTTCAAGATAAGATCATATATTTTTAGTTTAAAAAAATTAGCTAACATGCCAAATGCCACCATTGTAGCCGGGTCGGTATGTATCGGAAGAATTTCCAAACCCAGATTCCACCAATGCCAGTCGTTTAAGGAATCCTTGATCTTGAGGAAATATCGCTGCCCTTCCGAGTTTTCGTATCACTGCATCAACGACATCTTTACCTTGGGTATTTTCTTCTAGAGTTGCGTCATAGGATTGACAAATTCCAGGTCGAAAAATACTGAGCCCCACAAATAGTGCGAAACCAAAGAAGTTGAACCTCTGCATTTTAACGATGATAACGTACGAATATACTAAATTGAAGAACGTTTGGCTGAAGCAATTCGTTTTTAAAATGTTGAGATAGTTTGAACTGGACGAGGATTTTATTCTTATACCGGATCAACAGAACGATAAGAGAATTTTATTGTACAATAGGAATTAAGTTAATTCCATCAATTAACCCGGCATATTGGCATTAATTATGTAATAGATGCATACATAGTTATCTGATTTGATTACTCAACTTTATAGTGGGCGAATTATGGGCATATTGTAGTGCATAGTGCATATGCGGCTATGTCACATAATGTGACATAATGTGACTCACATTATGTGTATGTTACTAATCTATTGTCAACAAAATCACAAAAATGTTCTTAAACATTGGCTGAGAAATGATTTCATAACTTACCAATCTCCACGGCTAGTATTTTCCCCAAAAAAATTTTGTAAATACGAAACCAGCATGAATATTAGCAGTGGATTCAGTGAATTTCATGATTTCCTATGATTTGAATAGGCCGATTGGATTTATTTTACGAAACTTGCAATAAACAGATTACTAAAGATTATTAAGCTTGACTTTGGCATAACAATAGTATCATTATTAATATTTCCAATAATTTGTATAAAAAATGTAGAAATGTCCTTTAGAATCATGGACTGAATATTATGCATATAATAATCTATTACACCAATAAAACTTCAAATAAACTTGCGCAATCATATTAAATATTAAATATAATTCATCAGTATCATTTGATTTGATAGTTGTATCTTTCCATAAATTCTTCATCAATATCTTTATATGACTTACGTATTTATCATGTTTCATACGTATGTAGGGGTCCGTATACTCAAAAAAGTTTATAATTGCTTCTTTGAAATAATAAAAAGTAAAGCCAGGAGCTTTTACATTCTTTATTTAAATGGACACTCGTTGGAAACCCATGAAGCTCCATTTAATCTTCTAATCCATTGGAATCCTGAGTACAAAGGACTTTCTAAATTTTCCCAATGCTATTCTTCATCCATTTCTCATAGAAAATGAACTTTGGCCAACTTATCCTTAATTGCACTGTATTATGAGTATCATTATTGATAATGTTGCATTGGTAATGTGATGTAAACTTTACATCACCTTGTAAAGGTCAATTGTACGACTAATAATAATTATAATCTACTTATTCCGGACCACCGTTTGAAATAATGTCTGGTCGCATATTGTGCTTATCATTCATTATTGAATCTTTCATCAAATGTACATGAATGTCAAAGTACATCATGAGTATTACTAGATTCAAGGAATTTAATTTGTACTGCTTTGGAAAGTCATCTGAGAGTTAACACGTAGCATGCGCATGACCAGATATGTTTCATAACTTAAGTAATTTATGATTTAATCGATTTACAAGCGATTAACCACCGGAAATCTGTTGAAGTTTAATTGGAGTTTTTACCCACGAATGTAATTTATAGATAATCGGTCCGAAATTTGAACCTAATGATATGCGCAGTGGGAAACTATGTATTTAGGTAGCAATACTGCGGGTATTAATTCTTAGAAAGAACCAGCTAAATACACTCGAGATAATGTTTGATCTCTACCATAAAACCATTTTTATGCAACAGAAAATTTTTTCATGGATTAAATATATTCGACGAAATTGTGCTGATGAATCAACCGAGTCGCAATTTAGATAATACTTTAAAATATCAATTTTGACAGCTTGATCTGTTGATTTATTCTCTTTACTCGAACCAACGTTAGGATGTCAAGGCTTAGAGCTCAGACCATTGTCAAGGTGAAGTTCGATCAACAGCACAATTTAAATCATGGTGCTTCCAAATACAAAGACGTTCTTATTTCTTTCTACGTGTTGTTGGTTTGCAATTGCAAGTCCCGTACCAACCCAAGAGGATGGGGAAATTGTGATATCAAACAGGGACGAATTTCTGCATTTCTTCGAAACGGAAATACATTGGGAAATTAAAGAATCGGGACCGGCTGGTGGACTTCCTTTAGAACCTGGTTCGCAGTATTGGTACCTCACGAGATACCAGGGTCAAGAAGAGGACGATGGAGCTATCAGTTCTGAAAAGAAAGAATATTCATTCAAATTTTACATTAAGAAACATATTTGCAACTTAACAAAATTGGAGATGTCAATCAAGTATTGCAACTTTGATACGGAGAGCTCCATTTGGCCAGTTCCACGACATAACCACAATCCTGATTACCACAGTTTGAAGACTCACAACTTTCTTAGGTGGGATTATGAACAGATCACGTTGGATGATTCACACGGAACGGTAAGATAATGAAATTAGCTAATGTGCAATGTGGAAGCTTGCGAATATACGATGCAAATACTTTTGAGTGATGCATTTATAGATTGAACTGGGCGGATACTTACATATGGACAGCACGCTATTCATCGAAGAAATTATACTGTGGCACAATGGAAACTATGAATGTTTACGAACAACGACCACTGACCAAATTGAAATAAGCACAACGGAGTACTACCCTACGACAGATCCTCGCAATGATTCATCTACACCGGATCAAGTCTTCACCGAAGTAACTACAGAAGATGCCACGTCGACTGAGCTAACTACAGAAGACGCAAAATCGACTGAGGTAACTACAGAAGACGCCACCTCGACTGAAGCGACTACAGAAGACGCCACCTCAACCGAGGTAACTACAGAGGATGCCACCTCGACTGAAGTAACTACAGAGGACGCTACATCGACTGAAGTGACTACAGAAGACGCCACCTCAACTGAGGTAACTACAGAAGATGCAAAATCGACTGAGGTAACTACAGAAGACGCCACCTCGACTGAAGCGACTACAGAAGACGCCACCTCAACCGAGGTAACTACAGAGGATGCCACCTCGACTGAAGTAACTACAGAGGACGCTACATCGACTGAAGTGACTACAGAAGACGCCACCTCGATTGAAGTGACTACAGAAGACGCCACCTCAACCGAGGTAACTACAGAGGATGCCACCTCGACTGAAATAACTACAGAGGACGCCACCTCGGAAGCAACTACAGAGGACGCCACCTCGACAGAAGTAACTACAGAGGACGCCACCTCGACTGAGGTAATTACAGAGGACGCCACCTCGACTGAGGTAATTACAGAGGACGCCACCTCGACCGAGGTAACTACAGAGGATGCCACCGCGACTGAGGTAGCTACAGAGGACGCCATATCGACGGAAGTAACTACAGAGGACGCCACCTCGAGTGATGTAACTCCAAAAGACGCCACGTCGACTGAAGTAACTACAATAAATGATATTTCAACTGAACCTTCCACAGAAGAAACAACAATTGATGGTATGTATGCACTTGAATTGCAACAAACTTATGTACATTACTTCATGCTTGTTTTTTGCTGGTATAGACAATCCTTGCCACTATTATTCTAACTCTGTGTCAACTTGCCTTGGAAGTGGTTGCTCGTACTGCGCTGGGGATTTCTATGATAGCTCAAAATGTGATACGTATGAAAACCTGGTAGTGAACGGATGCAGCGGGATATGTGGCGTTCCCCCCGTAAATGTTATAATTGATCCAAACCAACCCCAAAACCCAATACAAAATTTGACGCTATGTCCAAACGAGAACAAAACCTTCACTGTCACGTTTAAATTAGAATCGCACCCGGTTGACATCTACGTTCTTCTCGACCTATCAAGATCAATGGATGACGATCGCGATAATCTAATGCAGCTTAGCTCACAACTAATTAGCGCAGTTCAAAATATGTCAAATGATTTCACCCTGGGATATGGAGGGCACGTGGACAAACCGTGGTTCAACTTCGGATCTCGACTCGCAGGAGAGTATGCATAACTGTTTCTGAATATTGACGCTTACGGTAATTCCTGGATGGACTATAATATTTATTTTGAAATTACAGTTACAGCTTTAAGAATCACTTATCGCTAACGAAAAGTGTAGAGGAATTCAGGTCGGCGGTGTCGGTCAATCCTGTTCTAGATGGCGCTGACTTACCAGAAAGTCAACTCGATGCTATGTTTCAAATAGCAGAGTGCACTTCTGAAATTGGCTGGAGATTTAATTCCCGACATATTCTGCTGTTGTTAACAGATGATGCATATCATAAAGCTGGAGATGGAAGGGTAAGGTCCACTTATTTAGCAATAGCATAAATGACGTAATTGAAGGTGTTTAACACACTGTTGGACATGTTCATAAAATTCAACGGGTCAGTAGAGGTCAATTGACATAAAAAGTCTCATAATGCCACCTGAACTTTTATTGTTTTTAAAATGGTAAAATGGTAAATCAGCAAAAATCTTGGCCCAATAATTGACTTGAAATTCGAGTTTAATGAGTGAGCCATCAGCAAAATCGAAACATTGATTTTTCCCACTTGGATTGGAAATTTTTTTGACAAATTTTGTGATTCAATTGGCAAGCTTTTTAGGGATAACTGCATTTTTATGATAATCTATAATGAAGAATTTATCATAACCCACTTTCCCCGACATAATAAATAAGGTTACACCCACATCAACTTATAAAATTGCAATTTTTGAATACAATCTAATTCTAAAATCTAAAATTGATTACTTGTAACTGATTACAAATTTCAAGTAAATTAGGCCAAGAATGAAGAAAACATTTTTTCAAACATTTATAAATCATACAAATCCAGGGGGACGCATGAGATTATCAGATTATCCTTTCTTTTTTATCAGTTTAATTTTATTGGCCAAAGCCACAGTAACTGATGACTCTTAAACATTGCGTTAAATGATATTGCATCTAGTATCCAAACCATTAATCGTTTAACTCGTTTACAGAGATTTGGACTCTCAGTTTTCAATCGCCGGTGTGCCTTATCTCCAGCCGGTTTGTACACTGGGGAAGTGACCTATGATTATCCCTCCGAACAGGACATCATAAACGTGTTTAATGACAAAAAGATAACTCCAATATTTGGAATTACCGAACTTTCGACCAGACATTACGAAAATCTTCAAAGGAACATTCCAAACTCTGCGATTGGTGTGCTAAACACTGATTCTTCCAACGTTGTTGAGCTCCTGGTTAATGAGTACAAGAAAATCGAGCAAAAGACGATTCTGGAACGAGATGGTGTGGATGACGGAAGTCTAAATATTCGATATTTCTCCAGTTGTAATGGTGACACGGTCGAAGAGACGAAGGTTTGCGACTCCCTAGCTGCAGATGGTAGCGTCACATTCACCATCTCGATTAACCTGAAGGATTGTCCCGTAGCACGCAATCCGGATGACGAGAAGTTGGTTAGAATTCAACCAAAGGGATTATCAACTGCCTTTCAAGTTGCATTCAAGACAATTTGCAAGGAGGATTGGGAATAAGCGAATTTGCCCAATATTACATTTTAAGGCGTGCAAGACTTATGTACATTATTATATACATATTTCATAATGTACTTTCATCCAAACCAATGATATGTAAATCCTGAAATACAATAATAAAGGCAAAAAACTTCTGCATTATAAATACGCGTAAAAATACGCCGTACTGCTTTCTCATTTTCGAATATGATGTGCATACGCACACCGCGTTAATAAAGTACGTATTAAAATATATTATCTGTATAAATTTATATGTACACATGTATAATATAGTATATCTAATTCCATGACATTTACATATGTACATATGTTTGGAGAAGTTTGAAATAAAGTAACTGCAGACAATCATTCGTATTATGAGCTTGACAAATCTTAGAAATTTAATTCATGCATAATATAAACACGACTTTGGGTACCTTATCTGAGCACAAACAATTTGATTAAATGTCATAAAATATATTACATCAGCCTCTACATATTTATTTTATGCAATTGAAAGTCCGTGTGGGTGAAAAGTTATTACATGAAAAATTGAAATGCGCCGTCTGCAACGTCAAAATATCTAATCCCAAATCCCAACAAATGAGCATTTGGGGAAGAATACAGGGATACAATTTTGACGCAGATCCGACTTTATTACGTCCCAATTAATAAATTGATAATCCGTTCAATAAATTGTGCAAAAACTCAAAGTAATCCTTTATTACCAGAATTTTTGAGCATTCGTTGCACTTGAGTTATATAATGTTTGTTATCAATACATTTATAAGTTTAGTACACCCATAAGTATCATATAAACTAATAATTCATGTTCATCCAGGTTTGGATTATCTTGATTGCACAGATTCTACATATATGACAGGGTGTCATAGGTACGAGATTTTCAGTGTCAAGGTGACTTTACTGCATAAAACTTACTTTACTCGGAATATGGCTACGCTATATTTAGTATGGGTAGGAGCATTACTTGTCCTTGGCTCTGTAGTATCTGGTCAAATTCAAGACGACCAGGCAATAGTGATATCGGACAGAAATTCTTTTCTTCGGTACTTTGATACAGAAATACACTGGGAAATTAAAGATTCGGGTCCGGTTGGTGGGCTTCCACTGCAGCCTTCTTCCCAATATTTTTACATCACTAGAGACCAGGGTCAAGATGACGATGGAAGCGAGCATTCTGAATTTTATCATTTCATATTCAATGTGGAGAAGCATATTTGCAACTCAACCACAATGGAATTTTCAATTAAATATTGTAATTTCGATACGCGCACTACGATTTGGCCAATACAAGTGGCTGGCGACTCTGGAGATGACTTTCACACTTTGAAGTCCCACCATGTGTTCGTTTGGGATTACGAGCAATTCACCGTAGACATTTCGTTAGGAGTGGTAAGTTCAATAAGTGGGCACCATTAATAAGCAATTTAACGTAAAATTAAATTTAGCTGTATTTTAATTTAGGTGGAGATAGCTGGTATTCTTGATGTGGATACCGAATTGTTAATTGATGAAATAGTTCTATGGCACGATGGAAATTATGACTGCCTTCCACCAACCCCTACAACACTATCAACTGATCACACTACCACTGAGACCACTACAAATTCAATAACAGATACAACAATGGAGCAATCCACGACAAATACTGATCTTACAACGTTAAATACGGACCACTCCACTACCGACGCCAGAACTTCTACGGATATCATCACTGACACAACACCAATTTCAGAAGATCCTCCGACTACTACCTCTTTGTCCACTGACGATCCATTTACAACGTCCACGGATGATCCACATACTACCGACTCAACTACAAACGATCCAAACTTGTCAACTACAAGCCATCCAAACTTGTCAACTTCGAATGCCCCACATACTACCGATTCAACTACAAGCGATCCAAACTTGTCAACTGCAAGCGATCCAAACTTGTCAACTTCGGACGATCCACATACTACCGATTCAACTACAAGCGATCCAAACTTGTCAACTGCAAGCGATCCAAACTTGTCAACTTCGGACGATCCACATACTACCGATTCAACTACAAGCGATCCAAACTTGTCAACTTCGGACGATCCACATACTACTGATTCAACTACAAGCGATCCAAACTTGTCAACTTCGGACGATCCACACACTACCGATTCAACTACAAGCGATCCAAACTTGTCAACTTCGGATGATCCACATACTACCGATTCAACTACAAGCGATTCAAATTTGTCAACTTCGGACGATCCACATACTACTGATTCAACTACAAGCGATCCAAACTTGTCAACTTCGGACGATCCACACACTACCGATTCAACTACAAGCGATCCAAACTTGTCAACTTCGGATGATCCACATACTACCGATTCAACTACAAGCGATTCAAATTTGTCAACTTCAGACGATCCACATACTACCGACTCAACTACAAGAGATCCAAACTTGTCAACTACAAGCGATCCAAACTTGTCAACTTCGGACGATCCACATACTACCGATTCAACTACAAGCGATCCAAACTTATCAACTTCGGACGATCCACATACTACCGACTCAACTACAAACGATCCAAACTTGTCAACTACAAGCCATCCAAACTTGTCAACTTCGAATGCCCCACATACTACCGATTCAACTACAAGCGATCCAAACTTGTCAACTGCAAGCGATCCAAACTTATCAACTTCGGACGATCCACATACTACCGATTCAACTACAAGCGATCCAAACTTGTCAACTTCGGACGATCCACATACTACTGATTCAACTACAAGCGATCCAAACTTGTCAACTTCGGACGATCCACACACTACCGATTCAACTACAAGCGATCCAAACTTGTCAACTTCGGATGATCCACATACTACCGATTCAACTACAAGCGATCCAAACTTGTCAACTTCGGACGATCCACACACTACCGATTCAACTACAAGCGATCCAAACTTGTCAACTTCGGATGATCCACATACTACCGATTCAACTACAAGCGATCCAAACTTGTCAACTTCGGACGATCCACACACTACCGATTCAACTACAAGCGATCCAAACTTGTCAACTTCGGATGATCCACATACTACCGACTCAACTACAAGCGATCCAAACTTGTCAACTTCGGACGATCCACATACTACCGACTCAACTACAAGCGATCCAAACTTGTCAACTTCGGACGATCCACACACTACCGATTCAACTACAAGCGATCCAAACTTGTCAACTTCGGATGATCCACATACTACCGACTCAACTACAAGCGATCCAAACTTGTCAACTTCGGACGATCCACATACTACCGACTCAACTACAAGCGATCCAAACTTGTCAACTTCGGACGATCCACATACTACCGATTCAACTACAAGCGATCCAAACTTGTCAACTTCGGACGATCCACATACTACTGATTCAACTACAAGCGATCCAAACTTGTCAACTTCGGACGATCCACATACTACCGATTCAACTACAAGCGATCCAAACTTGTCAACTTCGGATGATCCACATACTACCGATTCAACTACAAGCGATCCAAACTTGTCAACTTCGGATGATCCACATACTACCGATTCAACTACAAGCGATTCAAATTTGTCAACTTCAGACGATCCACATACTACCGACTCAACTACAAGAGATCCAAACTTGTCAACTACAAGCGATCCAAACTTGTCAACTTCGGACGATCCACATACTACCGATTCAACTACAAGCGATCCAAACTTATCAACTTCGGACGATCCACATACTACCGATTCAAATACAAGCGATCCAAATTTGTCAACTTCAGACGATCCACATACTACCGACTCAACTACAAACGATCCAAACTTGTCAACTACAAGCCATCCAAACTTGTCAACTTCGAATGCCCCACATACTACCGATTCAACTACAAGCGATCCAAACTTGTCAACTGCAAGCGATCCAAACTTGTCAACTTCGGACGATCCACATACTACCGATTCAACTACAAGCGATCCAAACTTGTCAACTTCGGACGATCCACATACTACTGATTCAACTACAAGCGATCCAAACTTGTCAACTTCGGACGATCCACATACTACCGATTCAACTACAAGCGATCCAAACTTGTCAACTTCGGACGATCCACATACTACCGACTCAACTACAAGAGATCCAAACTTGTCAACTACAAGCGATCCAAACTTGTCAACTTCGGACGATCCACATACTACCGATTCAACTACAAGCGATTCAAATTTGTCAACTTCAGACGATCCACATACTACCGACTCAACTACAAGAGATCCAAACTTGTCAACTACAAGCGATCCAAACTTGTCAACTTCGGACGATCCACATACTACTGATTCAACTACAAGCGATCCAAACTTGTCAACTTCGGACGATCCACATACTACCGATTCAACTACAAGCGATCCAAACTTGTCAACTTCGGATGATCCACATACTACCGATTCAACTACAAGCGATTCAAATTTGTCAACTTCAGACGATCCACATACTACCGACTCAACTACAAGAGATCCAAACTTGTCAACTACAAGCGATCCAAACTTGTCAACTTCGGACGATCCACATACTACCGATTCAACTACAAGCGATCCAAACTTATCAACTTCGGACGATCCACATACTACCGACTCAACTACAAGAGATCCAAACTTGTCAACTACAAGCGATCCAAACTTGTCAACTTCGGACGATCCACATACTACCGATTCAACTACAAGCGATCCAAACTTATCAACTTCAGACGATCCACATACTACCGACTCAACTACAAGAGATCCAAACTTGTCAACTACAAGCGATCCAAACTTGTCAACTTCGGACGATCCACATACTACCGATTCAACTACAAGCGATCCAAATTTGTCAACTTCGGACGATCCACATACTACCGATTCAACTACAAGCGATCCAAATTTGTCAACTTCGGACGATCCACATACTACCGATTCAACTACAAGCGATCCAAATTTGTCAACTTCGGACGATCCACATACTACCGATTCAACTACAAGCGATCCAAATTTGTCAACTTCGGACGATCCACATACTACCGATTCAACTACAAGCGATCCAAATTTGTCAACTTCGGACGATCCACATACTACCGATTCAACTACAAGCGATCCAAATTTGTCAACTTCGGACGATCCACATACTACCGATTCAACTACAAGCGATCCAAATTTGTCAACTTCGGACGATCCACATACTACCGATTCAACTACAAGCGATCCAAATTTGTCAACTTCGGACGATCCACATACTACCGATTCAACTACAAGCGATCCAAATTTGTCAACTTCGGACGATCCACATACTACCGATTCAAGTACAAGCGATCCAAACTTGTCAACTTCCACGTCGAATGAACCAGGTACGACAATTTATAGTCAAACATCTGTAAGCCATGAATTTTCCACACAACCAACGACTTCGAATATGCCTGATGAGACGACCGGCGTTGGTATCCATAGATAAATCGATTTGATAGAGCTTGATGAATTTGTTCTAATTACTACTTTATGTGCTTGGTAGGATTAGAATGTTCTGCATTCTCTCACTCAATGTCCGAGTGTCTGAAAAATGGTTGCTCCTTCTGCACGTCAAATACATACACGGGTTTTCTATGCGACACGTACGCTAACCTAGAACAAAATGAATGCAAAGGAATTTGTGGAGAACCTGCCATTAACGTGATGGTTGATCCAGAACTAGTGTCATCACGACAGACGCTAACATTGTGTCCAAATGAAAACAAAACGTTTACAGTAACATTTAACTTACAATCTCACCCAGTAGATGTTTATGTCCTTCTCGACCTCTCTGGTTCAATGGCCGATGACAGGGAGAAACTAATCCAATTAAGCTCCCAACTATTAGCAGCAGTCCAAAATATGACGGACGATTATCGCTTGGGATACGGAAGTCATGTGGATAAGCCATGGTTTAATTTCGGTTCACATCTTTATGGAGAGTAAGATAAATACGCAAACACGTAGTCTACATAATTATTTATCATGCCATTGAATTGCATTCCCTTTTAAATGCGTATGATTATTTATCGTGTTACAGTTACAGCTTTAGAAACCATCTACGACTAGCCAACCTCAGCGAGGGCGAGTTTAGTTCAGCCGTGTCGGGCGCACTAATAAAAGATGGCGGAGACACTGCAGAAAGCCAACTGGATGCCATGTTTCAAATAGCAAAATGCACTTCTGAAATTGGCTGGAGAAATAATTCCCGACATGTTTTGCTATTATTGACAGACGCACGTTATCATAAATCACCGGATGGGATAGTGAGGAAAATACATATAGATGCATACATTTGTCAAATACTTTATGTATGTATGTCCAAATCCGGTATTAATTCAATATATCATTATGTCACAGCGGTATGGTTTGCAACCCTTCAACCGTGCCTGTTCTCTCAATGGAGATGGTTTATACACTGGAGAAGTAACCTATGATTATCCCTCCGAGCAGGATATCATAAACGTGTTTAGTGAGGAGAATATAACTCCGATATTTGGAGTCACCGAATTTTCGACCAGACATTACGAAAATCTTCAAAGGAACATTCCAAACTCTGCGATTGGTGTGCTAAACACTGATTCTTCCAACGTCGTTGAGCTCCTGGTTGATGAGTACAAGAAAATCGAGCAGAGGACGACGCTTGAACGAGTTGATCAGGATGACGGAAGTCTAAATATTCGATATTTCTCCAGTTGTAATGGTGACACGGTCGAAGAGACAACGATTTGCGACGAACTATCTGCAAATGGTACCGTCACATTCACCATCTCGATTAACCTCAAAGATTGTCCCGTAACACGAAATCCGGATGACGAGAAGTTGGTTAGAATTCAACCAAAGGGATCTCCAACTCAGTTTGAAGTTGCATTCAAGACAATTTGCACGGAGCATTGGGAATAAACAAAACACTTAAGTCTAATGTTTCTTGTGTAGAATTATCAAATTGGAATGTCAGGTTGGTTCATTTCAATAGAGGTGAACCAGAACACAAATTACGAGATATTCTAAATACTTTTAGTTGGTATTTATGCATTTTGTCCCAACGAGAATTATTTTTAGTGAATATCTATGTACATATGTATATCGTTGTGGTCATAAAAATATTATATCATCCAAGTTAATCGTATTTCGAATAATTTCGGTAAACTTCACATTTGGCGAAAGGTGCATATAAAAACACATCTCAATATGAAACCATCATTCTCAGTCACAACTGCTTGATGTACATAAACCAATGCGGTAGGTTTCTGTCCAATGCAGATAAGTAAATTTGTTTGCATTGTTAATTAAAATGTCGGCTCGTGCTCAAAATTCGGTTTTAAACACTTGAGATCATACATTTATCTTTATTGAATCGAGCCAATCGAGGTGATACTGCCGAGTACCATGATAAGTACAACGACAGATGTACGTCAGCTTAGTCACGTTCGTTTAGGGTTTTAGTCAAGGTTGATCTTTGCTGTAATTGATATTGAAAAATCATAGACGCAGATTTAAATAAGACTTTCGCTTCATAATTTATTAAGAGGTAAATTTGGCACCACGCTAAGTAGTGTTTTCATCTTAAAAAATATCTAAGTGATGCAGTATTTTTACGTATCAAATCATTTCTACGTGAGGTAAGGTAAGAAATCACAATGTAGTAAATATTCACTCTCTTGTTAGAATGGCATACAAATTCGCCCCTGCCGGAAAGGATGACGTTTCCGATTTGTCTATTCTTGTAAATCGCTGCTACCGAGGAAAGGATCTCGGAGGGTGGACAACCGAGGCAGATTTTCTTGGCGGGATCAGAACCACGCCTGAGATGCTGGAACAACAGTTAAAAGAAGAATACTTAACCATGATCAAAGCTGTGGACCCCGTCACTGGAAAAATTGTGGGATGCGTGTACTGTAAAGTGGACGGCACTTCAGTTCACTCGGGAATGTTGTGCGTGGAGCCTTCAATTCAAGCAAAAGGACTTGGGAAAATGCTGATGCAGGAAGTTGACAACTTTGCACTCAACAACAACTGCACTTCCGTAACTATTGATGTCATTAGCATTCGGGACTCACTTATTGCGTTTTACGAGCGAAGAGGATTCAGGCCAACGGGCAAAACAACGCCTTTTTCAAAGTTTGGAGTTGGAGACGCCAAAAGAGAACTTGTATTTCAAGAAATGAAAAAACAATTATAAACACAGAATGTAACTGTTGTTAGATACAATAATAAACATATTATACAATAACGTACGTATTTATCATATACATATTTATAATATTAAATTTCTGAGTAAATTTAGCAAGGCCTTTACAAATAATATTCTAACAAGGACAAATGAAATTGTCAGATTGATTTACACGTACAAATATGTATATGTAAATATGTACATAATGCATCCAAACATAATTGTTTTTGACAATTTTTAGCCACAGCCAGGGCTTATGTAACCATCTTCACATCACGATAACTTCAAATTTATCTAAACGCCTATAAATTTAGAATATGTACACTGTTTTGAACGATCAGCTAGTTATGCAAGCACATTGCGATCAACACTGGCTCGGGCTTTACATATATGCAAAACTTTATTGAAGGTTTCAGTCCAAGGATTCCATATATACATAATCTCAATCAAGCAACCTTACCTAACTAGCCCATTGTTACACTTTCATCGATCAACGTTTAAGAACAATTAGGTCAAAATTTGCACACCAGATACATCACTCCTATTTAAAGGAGCGTTGTTTGGTGTTTATTTTCATATACCGATTTATTGCACACAAACATCACGAATTTGGAAAAAAATGGGACGTGTTAGAATAACGTGTTGGATTCTTCTTTTGCAATCCTTATCGGTTTTTGCGGAGGATGAGAATGATGTGATAATTCAAGCTCCAGATGTCACACCGTTTGGAAGATGGGGACGGATGGAAAACTGTTCTCAGGGACTATTTGTAACTGCATTTCAAGTCAAGGTAAATACTTTCAGTAGTTATTAAATTATTGGGTAAAGTATTTTAGGAGATTTGGTGTACAAAGGAACCATTAGAAATTATTATGCATTCACATCCAATTTGACATGATGCGTTACAATATTTAGTCGAACGTTACTCGTTATGCTGATAACACATGCATGTACAAATAGGTCGAGGGAAAGCATAGTATTGTCGACGACACAGGTCTCAACGGGGTTCGTTTCTACTGCGGCACACCCACCACGTTGGAGGACGAAGCTGGTCAAAGTTATTTAACCTGGGAAAATGTGACGAGCAGTGTCGGATTATTTGGTCACTGGGGCCACGTGAATAACTGCACTACTTACGCAGTCGGATTTGATCTTGAAGTTCAAGAACCACAAGGAAAATATAAAGTGCGTTAGTAGATTTGGCATTGACATAAATATTGTGCCTCGTTTCTATAAAAGTATTTTTTTCTCTTTTTAGGATGACATTGGTGCATCTAATTTAAAGGTGCTTTGTGCGGATGGGGCTCAAATTGAGGGCTACTTTAATAATGGAGAAGGCCACAAATTTCACAATGTCAGTTACACAGGTGTACAGAGGTGCCCAACGGGTTATGCTTTGTGTGGTATCAAGACAAAAGTGGAAATTTATCAAGTTTTGGGTAACATTGTTAACAATTAGTAACAAGTACAATTATAAATTTTTAGCGAAACTAACACATTTTTCTGTGTTTGTAAAATACAGGAGACGATACAGGATTGAATAATATTGCTGCAAAGTGTTGCTCACTTACCGACGTCATTCCAATTATCGCTGGATAACTTTTCAAAAATTAGCATACGGCAAAGATGGACACATATTTAAGACATGCCGAATAAATGAGTGGATAAAAATAACTTATGGAAATATTTATTGACAATAAGCATAATACGTTTAGTATCGTTTATATCTCAAAAATTTATTTTTTTCTATGCACTTCAATAATCTATCAAATATGTAGCTACTGTTTAACTGACAATTCCACTAAAATGTCAAAAAATTTGATGAATAAAAACAAAAGTGACCAAGTTTGACGTCAAAACGAGATTGGATTTAGAAAATCAACTAAATTATTGTGTAAAATTTCGACAGAACAATATAAATTCCCGTACTTCTTGATGTAAAATTTTTACATCAAGCGTGTCCGTGCATCAGGATAAAAATCTTCAGAAATGTATGACAAATAAATATTCTGTAAATGTATTCCTTTGATGTTTATTATTTTATTGTATTTTAAAAATATAAATTAGACTACGCATTTAATACATGTATTGTGTACCATCTCAAGTCATTGCATAATTAATTAATTGTCCATGTAAATAAAAATAATAAATAGAGTAGTTGGAAGTGTTTTAGTTGGAAAATACACACATTTGCATATAGAAAAGTAGATACATTTCACTTAATTTGTACCCCAGAGCCTTAAGATACTGACTAGTTTAGTTTATATTGTAGTTTACATATGTATGTATGCTGTCGCATTTATCCAGCCTAAAATTAGTTATTATTATTATAACAATTATAATTAAAAGTAAGAGTGTAGAAGAGATAAGTGGAAAATTGTGGTTAGTTAAAATGTAGAAAAAGTATATAAACTGGATAAAACTGGCCGTGCAAGGTCATTGACAAAGAACAATATTTAGCTACTAATAACCTTCAACAACTTAGCAGGATTTATACATCCTTATTTATGTATAAATAGCACCAACAACTATCGGAATCAGGTAAAAATTGCATGCAATAACATACAAATATATATATCAGTTTAGTATTAGTTATATATGCATATGCATAGCGCTAGTTAGGACACTACATTTGTAGTAATTCAACTAAACCCAATGAAATTAAAATTCGAAATCAGTAATGTTTGTCGTATTTGCAATAAATTCTACTGAGGTCTATGTTTGGACTACAACCGTTTTTTAACATCTTAAATGCGCATTGGCATGTGGTGGAGAGGCATTTGGGGAAATTGGGGGTTGGGGAAGTTATCAGTCGTTTGCGGCAGGAAGAAGCGGAATGCTGCTGCCGGTGCGATTTGCGCTTCCCTGCAAAATTGCAAATGAGAAGAGTTAGTAAATTATTTATTCTAAATGTTCCAAAACTTTATTTTTTTAAATCCATCTCACCGAGTAGTCGCAGTTTTTCTTTGCTCTTTCAAATGGCGTTTAGCGTGTTTTGCCAAATGATCGGAGCGAAGGAAACGGCGTCCACAATTGGAACACTGAAATCGCTGGAATCGAATTTTTGTGTGAATTAGTACATATATTAAGCATAACCATTCTGTAGAAGAATATGCATGTATATCAAATTAATCTTACCTTTTCTCCTGTATGAGTTCTGCGATGACGAGAAAGTTCGTCGGAACTGCAGAATCAGCACAAATCTTAATTATTAATCAACCTTGATTTGGTTAAGAAGTTTTCAGTTTTCATGCTCATACCGACTAAACTTTCTGCCACAACTGTCCCAAGTGCAGGCGAAAGGTTTTTCTCCTAGAAGAGGTGAGATAAAAGGATTTAAAGACTTGTGCAGATTTTCATATGTGAATTATGTAAGTCAAAATCATACCAGTATGAGTGCGTTCATGAGCTTTAAGATGTGATGACCTAAAACATAATGAATAATTTTTGAATTAAATATGGAATCGTTGTTGAAAATTGATGGAAATTAAGTGACGTGACTACTAAATATTACTTCTTAATAAACTTGTTACTCACTTGTAATAAGTCTTTCCACACCCTTCCCTGAGGCAGGCGTAGGTTCGTCTGCGTTCAGGAACTCCTGCGGCTGGAGTGCTTTTTCCAGCATTAATAGCAGCAATACTGCTAGTAATTGGTTGCTGTGCTGAGAAGGTTGAAGTTATCACTGCATTGTTGTGAAGATGCTGGGGCTGTGGCCCTCCTGGGAGCAGAAAGGGTGGAAACATAAAGTCTCCGCCTCCAGGCATGTAGAGAAATTGTTGTGGTTGCCCTGCATGATGATGGTTCTGGTGTTGACCATTGCTGTTGTTGAGGGGGATAAGGGTGAGCATGGGCATAAGTTTGGGGGCAATGGGACGAATGGTTGGAGGGTTTATCGGGACGCGGCTGGATGGTGGCGACAAAGGGGGAAATTGGGGGAAGTCGCCACCAAATTCCACCACGCCCCTTCCAGAAGGTATGTTCTTGTCCCTACGAGAACAATATTTGTTAAGTTTTTTTTTCCTCCAAATTGTATAAATGTCCGACTTACCTGTGTCCACTAGTCATTTCCGTCGTCTTTCTCGATGGGGGCACTTCAGGTGGGGTCAGCTCCTTTTGCTCTTCACTTAGCTCTATGAGAGCGCGTTGTTTCTTCCAGTTGAAACCGTAGTTGTTTGGCTTCGACTTTTGATAGTCTTGTTGATTTCCTTGTTGCTGTTCGCAAGTTGCCCGAGTATAACGCCCGTCCTTATGAGCCAGCATTATCACCGAGGCACGGGAAGACTCCGGATCGGAGTCAGATGCATCCATTCTCTAGTAAGTAAAAGTCGGCATGAAATTAAGACTTTCCTATGTGCAACCCCTTTACACATGTAACGGGTAGTATGGGTACCTTGACAGATCCATCGTTTGAAGAATGGTCCAAATCAATGTCACTCTCAGCATCAGACGTTTGTGGGGTGAGTGGCAGACTGAAGCCGTGTTCATCCGTGGGTATTGGACCCCCTCGATCCTTGGTAATGTTCCCCCGACTGATGGAAAGTAGACTGCGTGCCACAAGTTCCATCTCCACCTCATTCTGTAAAGCAGAGAAAAAGTGGACTGATTAATTCAGTGCAGGTCGCATCCCTTCTTATACACAATCCACCCGACCATTTCGAACACTAATTGTTGCATATTTATATATCAATGAATCTTGCTTATCAACTTTGATAAGCAAAACTAAAGCCACGCATCTGTCCCTTGTGGTATCCTTATCCAATACTGGGTAAGCATTGCGTACTATAGTGTGTGTCTCCACCCACGTAACCTAAAACTGACCCTAATCACTATTAATAATTATATTACAATATCGCCACAATTATCAACATTGTAGCTCATGCCAGACAAGCACGTCTCGGCGGCGTGGCGAGCCTTTTTGTGATGCAATCCACTATTTATTTACTTTACCACAAACATATCATACAGTGTTCCGCAAGTGCTGGTGCATGTATGTACATATGTGTGTAAGTAGCAATTAATAGGATGAAACCGCCCCACGTAATGTACACGTGACAAAATTAATAAATTTTGCAAGGATGGGATGGTGTTCCCCAAAATGAAAGCGACTTTGGACTTTGGCCATGTAATTATTTATGCAACAATGCCAATTGTGGGCAGTGCGATCAAAGACCGGTTCACATGCATAGCGTCATCTTTTTCGCCGCATTCTGTCATAAAACCCGATTGAATGGGAGGGTCTAAATTGCACCCGTTCTGACTTTCTTCCTTTCCTCATATGTGATAATCGCATACGTAATTGCAGCTGAATTCCATGTGTGGTGCCATAAGCTCTACTACCGATCATGCTCAACCAGCGTGTCTGGCGCTATACCCTCCTCATCTCTCTATCTGGGACAAAGATATCAATCCAAGTCTTTTGGCTGTTTCTGGCTGGGGCACGAGACGCCAAAGTGCTAACATCATATTGTTGCATTACATAATTTTGAGCAGAGAGCAAAGTTCTCACTCTTAAAAAGTCTGCCAACTAAGCAAAGTCAAAGTGCACTTATGACAAGAGCGGATAAAATGACGCAAACAGAATTTATTTCAAAGATTTCTGCAACATATCAACACTTGGATAATGACATGCTGTTCAATAATTGTACTCGATGTCCAATCTGAAACAATTAATTTTACAAAGACATCAGATCAGGCAGAAAGGTCGGACTTTGTCCTATGCATGGAGTAAATCATTCATGCAGTGAAAACGAAGCGCTTCCTCAACCGCGACAAGGCAAGGTTGTACATTGGACATGATCACGAAGCCTGAGCGTGGATGTTTATTTCCATTCTGCGGGTGAAATTGTTTCACAGCTTTTCAAGCACGAACTCATTAAGTAACACAGAACCAGTTATAAGAAGAAAGGCGAGATAATACATATCCATCCAGTAGATTTGTGTATGTGGGGCTTTGCTTCTTTAACTTGTGATAATACTAATAAGGAAAGTAAAATATCCAGTCGTTAGTATTATTGTTTACCTGCGCGTGCATGCCTCGACCAAAATAGTGTAACAAAAAGGTATTTTAAGTTGAAAGAAAATGAAAATAAGGATGTCAAACAAAATTTTCTACACCAAAGCCGAACTATTTGGTAAGACATGTATGTGCATTAATGTCCCGCTGCATAGCTTCCGTGTCTTGATTATCGTCGCCAAACCGTCTCCCAACCGGATTGTCCTACTCCCAATTAATTAATTATGCGACCAAGTGCAAAGGATTTAGTCATTCATCCAGTTAAACATTAAAATTAAATGCATGTCCCACATTTTTATCATGTATTTGAGATTAAGAAAGTTTCAGTATCGAGCTTAAATGAATGGTGAGTTTATCTTGGGACGAATTTCTACGATGTCAGGCACAGACGCAGAGCAATGTGTAACGCATTCAGTGTATGTAAGTGGTATGGGTTTTACATGCATATTCCGTGTGACCCACCGCACCGCACGCCGAGGCTGCGTGCTGCATTTTTTCTGTAAAAATAAACTATGCATCGCAGCTTTTCTTTAATTTTTTGCCTGATTAATAGTAGAGACGGAGAGTTTTGGATATTCGATTGATAGAAATATTTCTACAAAAGCTTATTAGAGAACTTATCCAAGTTTGTATATTTACACAAAGTTGGAACTGCTAACAAATGGATGTGACCAGTCATCGTCATGTGGTCATAAAATTACCCTTGGCTTTATTGACAATTGTGTATAGACTGATGATAATATCATAATGTAGCGTATGTAATTGTATGTGGAATATCAGTGTAGTACGTGGTGATTGTGCTGGTGGTGGTGTGTGTACCATTTATTATTAGCTGCTAGATATATGACGCTATTATCATCGGAGTGGAAATGACGTTGCTGAATCTTCTTCACGGGACAAAGTCCATGAACCAAACCGTGTACACGTGAACAATGCGTGATCAGCACTAGTCTGTGGTGCATAGTGAGGCAGTCAGTCAGTGGCGATGATGATAAGCCAAATCAACTTTACGCAACGCGCACCCATTGCTCCAAGCACTACAGCAATGTAATAAGAAGGATAATTTAGCAACCTCTTAAGAATGCAAAAAATAGGAAAACAGTAAACAAGACAGACCAGGAAAAACACGCAGCATCGTATCCATACGATTATAGTATCTGTTTGTCATACTACAAACTACTGCTAATTCACCAATTTCATGCCCTTTGGTCCACAAACAAATGGAATAGCTTTCATGAGGACAGAACAGGATATAAAGTGCGAAACATTCCTATTTTCCTTTCCTGCTCACTTATTTATTATTTGGACCTCAAAAGCAGCATATTTGGTCCCCTAGACACGTTGTTGTAAAGTTGTTGTCTCTGTTTACGAGACGGGACGACGCCTAAAAATCAGGTTGTTTTTCTTGGTTTTGCCAACTTTGATGGCATTGGCGAACTTTCTTGGTTTTGTAAATTTTAATGGTATTGGCGAACGTCCAGGTTAATGAATTTGTGGGTCTACATACCTCGGAATATAAACTTTGGACTTTGTACTGATCTATGCATGATCAATGTAGCTGCAGCATAAATAAAGTGCGAGACGGTATCCATTAGCTTAAATTTTCCGGAACCAAATTAGAATCCTAAAAAATCTATATATGGGAACAAAACGACTCCTGCTTGGACTTTGGCCGCATCTCGAGTTAATGTCTTAACAAGTCAAATTAACGTAGTCTTGTCTTCATTGCACAGCATAATAAATATTCATGACATTTGAAAGTCTCAACTGCACTGGATCTTTAAAGTTCAACATGTTATATGTAGATCCTCTATTATCCATTTAATTGTGATGTTCCGACCAAATTTCATGCATTCACGAATATTGGCTGACTGGTATGTATGTATGAATCTACAAAACGTATTGGCAAACTTGGCGGAGCTAAAGAAATATTGCGTCTTAAGTCTTATGTAAACCTGGCTATTTACACAACACATGGAAAATTATGGACGGACGAGTATCATTATAAATATTATGGGAACACGGATCTTTTATGTGCATACATACTTCCACAAGAGAAAAGCTAATTGACATTTGCACCTTCGAGTGAAACGATCGTTCTCATCCGTTTAAGTGATTAACTATTTGCTAAATAGTTTCCAGTGCTCCACTAACATTGCCCATTGTAGACATTGTATAGCATTTTCTGCCTGCCATACATTGCAAACTACTTACCACCGGCTAAAAACTAATTTATTTGTTGCAGATGTAAATATAGGTATGTAGCTACGTGGCTTCTTAAAGTATCCAATAAGATGTATCATACACAAATGCACATCTATGCTTTTGTAACTAAGAAAATACGAGAATGAGACATCTCCTATCCAGTGGAACTAGCAGTGGTTCTAATTCCTCGGTAAGAAATCACAAAGCTCTCTGGCTGGATATACTGATTAGCAGAAACAGAAATATCGCGTACGTGGAGATTAAGAAGATGTACATAAATATATTCATAATGTACGAGTCCATCGTGCTGCACATTATATAATTTCATCTCATTTCCATTAAACCACGAGTCACAAGACTAGTCTTCCAGTAATCTATTTTAGTCCCAAAATTGCTACTACCTCGTCCAAGTAGCGTGAAAAGCGTCAGGTCATCCTCCATCCATGTATCGATTTGATTGTCAACGGGTGAAACCACCACACCCGAAACAAACCAACTGATTTGGCCAATCAAGGCATGATGTGTCATGTCATTCATAATGATAACCTTGCCCTGCACCATTCTAGAGAAGATGAGAGAGACATGCCTTATTTTGTTCAGTAAATATGTAGTTCATCATTCCATGTATCAATACTTTTGCCAATTTATGTATTCATTATGAAATTCATGGCCATTAGTTTTGGCAGAGTTAATTAGGAGGATGAGTGATGCAATTTCATTCCGAGTTGCAATTACTATGTAGCTTTCTACAACTGCTATACGTACAAATTTGCATGTAGGTCGGGATTAGAAATATTGGGATTCAAGTGGTAAATCCCGAATTCAGACCACTTCAAACTTGTTATCAGACACAATAATCTACCGCAATAAACACGGGCAGGTAAATAAACATAAATACATAAATAAATAAAGGAGTAGGGCTACCTGAGTGAGAAATTAATCAGGAATGACTTTGCAGCTAAAATCAGTCATTCACATTATTCATTCAATATTTTCCAGACTGAGCCTTGCTCAACATAGAATCCGCACCAATGGTTCTAATTTCATACAGGATAATGCTGCGTTTGAGGGTTGGCAAAAACGTGAATTACCATTAAAGTAAGGTAAGTAGTTATAGCCTGTAACTTACATATGCATTGTGAAGGTAAATAAATTATACTTGGTGATATATGCATGTATCGTAAAGGTGTTTATGAATGTCAATCGTCACCTGAGTACTAAAATTCAGCGTTGCGTTAACATGAATTGCATGACGTCACTGCACGACTGGCATATAATGCAATCACCAGAGACAAAGTATCATGACGAGGGGTCAATCAACTATTGTGTTGATAATCACCACGCGACAAATCAATCAACAGATTTATGATTATGAATTTTTAAAAAATCAGAGATCTAATAATTTTGAATTTGTAACTAAATATTTAAGTTGTCCAGAAATAATGGCGATATTAAATTGTAGGTGGGTATTATATAATAGGCTTAAAAAACCATATCGGATACCTCAGTTAGTAGCGAAATAAAGCGTTGCATAAAAAGAGGGATGCCATTTTTTCAGATCGGTGACGCACTGCATGCTCAAACGATTCCACACAACAAAGTCCAAATTGTGCATGTGTCGGGTGCGTGATAGCATCATGCACATGCACATGAACGAGTGAAGGATATAAAGAAATCCAACTCTATTTAGATGACAGCCTAAGTACTTACACCCATCAAATTGGCAACTATTTATTTTTTTACTTATTAATGCACTACTGAGTACGTAGGATATCTAAACCTGGGACTGTGTATGAATACCCGGCATAAAATACTATGCACTGTTCCAAGTGGGAAAGCATTGTCTCTTTAATTAAAGAGTAAATGTTGCTTCGTTCCCATTAATTGCATAAAACGACATTTTTCCTAGCTTCTTTCCCCATTTATACTACGTCAAGTTCAATTTGCTCAACTAATTGCTTGGAACTTACCTTGTCGAGATAACATTCCCGAGTTGGTGGTGTGTTGGGTGGTGACAGCATGCTTAGATCCAAAGCCATTGTGAAGAGCAGTGTATGGAATCGATGTACGTGAATATATCACTTGAATATATAGTTTGTTTTTAATAGAAATATCACTTTTGAGTTAAAATTGTATTTGTATTTGTATTGTAATCACAGGCGGGATATGACTTCTTTCATAAAACGGAAAGAGAATTATCATGAAATAGGCGTAATCGTTTCAAATTTGTAAGGTTGTAAAAATGTGTGGTTGTGTATTTCCGGAATTTCCGGGAACTATCTTGGTACACTTGATAATTGGTAAGTGAGCGAGATAACAAAGTGTATGTAAAAGTGCATGAAAGTGGTTGCGTAATCAGCGTGGTAACTCAACTCTTCTCCTCTGGAGGTTGGAGAGCGACTGTTGTGATGGGAAAGACTGCTGCTGTCTCATCGTCGAGTCGAGTAGGTTGCCCCTTTGGCCAATCGCGGCGGAGGGTGCGGCGACTGTCCACGTGAATGCTGAGTGTTTGGCGAATGTTCACGCAACCAGGGTTCCTCGTCTTCCTCTGTGCATCTCATCTGACCGGAAGAGAATGTTGGACACAAGGATTTCAGGCGAGTGAGTCTCGTACGTACCAAGTGACATTTTTAGGGCATGCATGTGTCTTTTTAACAGATATCTCATATCTTTAGAGGAAAGTATTGTATGCAATAGCATGCATATGACATAGTTTGCAGTGATGTCTTCATATATAGAGTTGCATATATTAGGATGTCTTAGATGTTGACCAATTAATTTTGCGCGTTAAAATGTGTTACGTTTTTTAGTATACGCATTATACACCATCTGAGATATTTTTAATATTGATGGGAATTTCTAATTTGTGAATGTGCTCAATATTCATTGTGAATATTTATATTTGAAAAATAAAATAGAAGAAAAACTTTTTAGAATTTCAAAAATTTCTAAAAATTTCTCAAAACAAAAAATTGCATTTTTCTTAAAACGAACCTAAACGTGTGTAACGAATTTTGTTGAAAAATGTCCTAGTTAAACTTAAAGTGGCTACTTTGGAAAAATCGATTTGAAGTTAAATATAGACGGAAAGATATACAATTATTCAGGGATTTTAATTAGGATATGTAACGTCAATAGCAGATACATATATATCGACGTAAAATTACATAAGCATTCATCTAGCAATGACTTATGATTTCTCGGTTAGTTTTTAGGTAGAATCTTATGAAGGACCTTTCAGCATTTTGACATTCTCGACTGTAAGGGGAACCCTGTTTCCACTACAGCGGCACGCACTTGGTCTGATCACTCAGGAAACTCGTGCACACCAGTTGAGCTTTGAACTCACACACCACCAAACCAACCCAAATCTCCGTCATAATAGTCAATGCCACACATGAAATAACAACAAACAATGCAAAAACTGACTAATCTTGATGATGCTGTTTACGAGAGGAGGCTGTGTCCGTCGTGTCATCAGCATGCAGTGCTTACCAATAATAGGTACATTATAGCATGAAATAAGTTGCTATTCTATGCATGCAAATTTTAGCACCAAAATTACCAAAGAAAATTTATATTTTCAAAATGTAAATCGTGTTTTTCATGTCGACAAACAAAATTTATTAATAGCTTTTCAAGTTTTCCATGACGATACTAATTAAAAGCTTCACATTGATGCTAACTAATACGAAATAATAGAGGACGGAAGATATGTTATGACGATCGAATAATTAATAAGTACGTACAAGTCGAAAGTAATTTCTGCCTCAATGCAGATAAACAATTTGCGTCGAGCTCGAGATCAGGTTAAGGGCCCGGGGGAAGATTTACTTGATTTTATGTTAGCAACAATAATTGCCAGGGCCCCAAGATTATTATCGCTCTGTTAGGTTACGACCACAATTAATTGACACCGTTTCTATGGGACACTCACGTTCAAAAGCTTTGGTTTTGTCACTGCTTTTGAAAAAGTTTCCCTCAAGTCCCTCAAGTTTTTGAAAAAAGTTGTTTCTTTTGTTCCATGGATACTCAAAATGCAATTCCTGCCATTAATTTGGCAATTCTAAGCCAATTTGTCCTCACTTTACGACCAAATATCTCCACTGCACAAGAGGGCAGATCGTCAAAAAAAACTCAAGTAAAATCTAAAGATATGATTAACTCATTAAACATAATTTAAAAAATCTGCCCTCTTGTGCATTGCTGAATTTTATCGTCAAAGTTGACGTGATTTCTAAGCAACTTCCCCCAGGCCCTTAATATTACAAATCATGGAAGTACATATTTGCATGCAAAAATTTATGTCATGCACAGTTCATTTGTAACTTTCCATTTTCGAATCCGGGTCTTAACTAAAATATTTTGAATTAAAGTTGCATATAAATACGTCAGCAATTTTAATTGTTTCTGTAAACAACATGTCGATGCTGTACACAGACCCGTTTGGCTTATCCTTAGAGATTATATTCATGCATATGCATTTAGCTGGCGAAGATGAGATTTTGAAGATGAATTTATAATAAAGCATAATTTAAAATTTTAATTTTTGTGATAAGACTTGCGTCTGTGAACCCTTACAATGTCCACTGAGGATGGTTTTTATTCCAGCAACTACCGGGGAATAAATAAAAAAAATGATGTGAGGCCGAAGGACATCCCAAAAGCGAAACTCAAAAATCATGAACGGTTTTGTATTAAGAGGACCAAAATTTCGACCCCGTCCATTACAGGCAAAAATCTGATGTCACGGGACATATTTGAATGCATCCATAACATCTTAAGCCATCCATCAAAGACAAGAAAAACTATTGTCCGTACTTCTCACAACAGCAAAATGGTTACGGACTGCTAAGCTAAGCGAAAATTCAATTTTGCGTCAAAATCTTACAGCACATCATGTGCCCTTCAAGCTTAAGTAGTTGATCGATTTTAGTCATAACGTGAACAATATTTTCTCATAGACTAAAGCCAACTAATAACAACCATCGGTTTGGGTTCCACAGATTTGTGGTTATTATTAAATCTGAAAAGTTGTGATTAATCTAACTTGGAAAAGTAATAGAAATTGGTCTTATAGAGCTGTGAATCCCATATAATTTATACATAATATTACGTACATATGTCATATGTGTGGCATAAAAATATTTTTAAACAACTAGATCCGCTATGAGATACCGAGTTTTAAAATTAATCTAAAATTGAGACTGTCCACTTACTTATGTATATTGTCCGAACTGTATGTGTCCCCAGATTCGTCAAGTGTATGTTAGATATGTGATTTACTGATGTATGTAGATGTAAGTAAATATGGTTTCAATTTGAAACTTTCCAATTGAAACAATATTAATTGAAACTTTCAATTCTTTTATCTGGACTACACAAATATTAATTTGATCGGGTTTGATATGCTATATAAAAGAAATATAATTTCAATTTCTGCTCATACTTTGTAAGTAATCAAACGGTCATGGAGAGTCAGTCACTTATATTAATATAAATTTGGCAAATTAAAGTGAATTAGGTATCACATATGAAATGCATGTAAATGTGTATGCCAGTTGAAACTCCAGACTTTTGCCTAGCTTGCCTCTCATGTAATTATTACCTCCAAAGATTTTGATTCTGCTAAAGATAACAATTTAATCAGTCATCATAGCTTAATTGATAGATTCTATTGTTTGATTCTAATTTAACCAAAGGCCAACTTTTCTCTTATTTTAATATACGATTTGTGTTGACAATTTGGCTACATAATTTAATATTTATTCGAAATAAAGAAGCAATATGTCTGAACAAATAAATAATGTATTGTTCAACGGTGATTTGATGGAATTAATCCTAGCTTAACATTGTAAAGTTGTCCGTGGAATATCTTCGCCAGTCGTCGACTTTGTCAGCCACAAATAAACAATGTCCAGTACAAATTAAAGTTATACAGAATAAAATATCTATTTGAGAATGCCTTCGCAGTACATCCTGGCAGCGTATGAAACCTACGCTAAAACGTATCAAAAATGGAACAAAATTCCTATCGAATGGGATTTAAAGAATAAAAAACTGCGTTGCAATTCTTTGTCGCACTTAATTATTTGGGAGTTTGATATCTGTTGCGCTTTCATAATCGTCTCCATGATTGCAGGACTAATCTTACAGCAACTCATATCAAGAGATGAAAACGTCCCTTTGTCAGTGCTGTTTGCCAATGGGACAAGTTTCATTGTCATGATTGCAGCAATCTCAGTCTACATCAACATGGTACTCAATGGACGCTCATTTGTCACGGGCTACAACCAACTTCTGACCCTTGAATCAAACTTGGAAGCCCTAGAAGGTAAATGTATACTAAATTTCTCATTAACGTGTATGGATAATATTGGTAACGCTTGTTTAAAAAATTGCTTAGAAAACTCACACGCTGCTGGACGACTAAAACCTGAGCCTGACAATGACCTCTTTGTTAAGGCATTGAAACCATGCACTTTATTTTGCTACCCTTCCGCACTTGTCGTAACGTGTGTCGCAGTGTTTCTGAAAATTGATCCTGGCTACCTCTTCTTTCATCAAACAAGGGTGTTTTTAGGATATGCAAATGATTCGGCATGGACCACAGAAATGATTGTAGGATTTCTGAGGTCAAGTGTATTTTTCTTGGCACTTATGGAAACTGGGAGGGTATGGCCCTTGGCCTGCATGGTGCATATCTCGTATAAAATGATGATCAGCAACTGTATTGGAGTGATGCACAGGTATTAATTAATTAATGCATTGCTTATAGTTAATCAATTTTCTACGACATACATATTATGGTTTTAATTATGCATGCTGCACATTGTACAGGATAACGCAAAGGATTCATGAGTGTGGAATATCAAAAATTAAAAATGTCGCCCTCTTGAAAATGGTGCTTTATCAGCAGAATAATCTTAACCTTGTGATGGGACTAGGTGGGTCCTTGGATCAAACGGCGCTGTTTATTCAGCTGCAGATGACCGTGATTTGCGGAATCGTCACAAATTTTGCAACCTTAAGGTTACTGAAAATTACTTGGACTTTAAAAATTCCCAATAGTTGTTGCACATAATGTATATTATTCGACCTTTTTGTATAAAAGGTTCTACGATTCACTCCCGTTCGTCATCTATCACAAAATGCCGTTTATCTCATTATTGCTGGCGTTATGTACCAATGCCATGTTGAAATATTGTCATGTAATCGCTGACAATTCCACCGATCTACGCATTCTGTTGACAAAAGTGACTGGATGGAATGGACGTCGTGGATATTTCTCAAGAAAGGTAATTACAGCAAGCGATAACATCAGTTATCATATAATCGAATAAATTTATAAAGGTGGCCGCCATTCGAGGCCTCCGAATATACGGAGGAGTGGGACATGTGCAAATTCTTTGGATCGAACGGGGGACCAAAGCAAAGTTCTTTGATTTTATTTTGAATCAAACAATTGATTTATTATTGGCAATTCCCAGGGGGGTAAAAATATACAAGTCAAAAGCTGGAAAAAGAGCTAAATCAAAATTGGCAGTGGCATTATAAAATAAATATTTGTGGCAGAATTTGCACTTGACACAAGTAGTAGATTTGCATGCAAATAACAAGTCGTAGTATGCACAAACGCATATTTATTCTGGAAAACAAACACGGATTGTGAACTTGTGTAGTTTTATTATGCTTTGTAAATATAAATAATGTGACATGAAACACTTCGGAATTATTTGTTAAAGCCTTCTTCCAGTAATTTCAGTAATGTAATCCAAGAAAGCTGTGATGCGTGTGAAGGCCACTGGGAAACCACGTTCGCAAGTGAAAGTTCCAAAAGACACCACCCCCAAAACGGTGTAATGTGGGTCCACCCCTTCACCCTCTCGTATCATCAAAGGACCTCCTGAATCCCCACGACATGGCGAGTGAGTCGGTGTTGTCTTAACGCATATATTATTTCCGGTGAGGATGTCGCGGAAAGTGTGACGACAAGCAGCGTTTCCAAGTATGGTCACGTTTGTCTTTTGGAGCACAGGGCTCACCTTTCCACGGTCAGCTGTGATGCCCCACCCAGCCACCGTAACAGCCTGCACACAGCATAAGGTCATTTTCACTGCATAATTGTTCCTCTTTTGATCATCACCTCTTTGTTCAACTCACCTCTTTGTCAAATGTCTCGGCCACATGTTTCCTGTTTGGAAGGCAAACTGGACCGATGTTGGGTGCATATGTGAGTTTCTCGGGGAGACGAATGATTGAAATGTCGTAAGTGATGCTGTCCATATTGTACTTTGGATGAAAAAAATATTTAAAAAATAGATATATATATATATATATATAAATATAAAAAATATAAAAAAATATATATATAAATGAATAATATATACCTTTGGATGAGTAAAGATATTCTCCTTGGTCACGTTTACGACAATACGATTGGGTTCCTCTTCCTTGGATGCCTTAATGTTGTGGGCTCCGATCAACAGCGTGATGTGTTCAGCACCGCTGGTACAATGGGCTGTGATAAATGAAAGCATAAATTAAAACTTATTCACAAAATATTCATCTAATTTTGAAACGAAATTTTCAAGTTTACCAGCCGTTAAAATATGGGTCTCGTCAATGACACTTCCACCGCAAAATGATTTGTGGTCAATGAGCATGGCGACCATCCAAGGAAATGAATGCGGGTCTGAAATATACAGAAGCATAGCATATACGTGCATATAGGTCATTGCGTTCCTGTTGGTCAAATTAGTGCATTTATGTATGTATTTGTATGGTACATGACTTACCTGCAGAGCTATTTCCAATAATTCGAGTACTGTTGTCTAAGGGAGCTGAAGTGGTCGTCGACTCACTTGGAGCAACCGTAGTAGTCGTTGATTCAGTGGGGACATAAGTTGAGCGACCACAAACTCCGTCATCGTTAGACTCAAAGTCTCCTTGTGAAGCGTCGACAGGTTTAACGACGTAGGCAAGTTTAAATCCTCTAATCATGGTGGAGAGTATGCCAAATTAATTACATGTTTCCTAATAAAAAGCGCGTATGTAAAAGTATTTTGATACCGCTCGACTGACCTGTAATTTAAAATGCTGTTAGACTTAAATCTAATCCCCAACTTGGTCCCATTTGAGAGCACGGTGAAAGGAGTCTTTTCATTCTGATCACCAGCATAATTGTCGACGGCATAGAAGGCCCCGTCCCTTGAGATTGAGAGTGAGTCGAAATAGTTCAAAAACCAAGGCTGCATGTCAATATCGAAAATGGTGGCGTGGATTGTTGTTCCTTCTGGGGCCGACAGTAACCATTCGCACTGGGTGGAAGGAGGATAGTCTAATGAATAAATGTGCACAACAGCGTATTACAAATGTGTACACGATTAATTAATTAATATGCAAGTTTGTACATATGCTAAATATACAAATTTTCTAGAATTTCCATGTTCAGTCATAGCTCAAAACGCACCTTCTGGATATTTGGGCGAAGTGATGACGCCATAATCCCACAAGGCCAAGGTCCTGTTTTCTGAGCAGCTATCCGTCGCACTGCCTCGGCCCCCTGGCAATCCAACTCCGTAGTCAACTCGGGCGTTTGAGATGAGGGGTGGAAAGATGGGTCGAGCGACGGTGGGGAAGATCGGGGCGGCCTTAAGGAACGGGAGCAGATCGGAGGTCGAAGGATTTCTGAGGAAAGAACCTGTGCCCTCGGTTCCCACGAATAGGCAAATAATTGGAGCTAAATAAATCAGGAACACCATTTTGTACAAATATATACTCCTGTATATGTCTTCCTGAAATGTTTTGGCTCCCCCTAAATAAATAAATGATGCATAAAACTCTAATGAACTCGGATTTTCTTTATATACTGCAATTTATGGGGTAATTTAATGAGTTTATTGTTCCCGGATTACAATATGAATGAGCTTATTGATTATCTCTTTGATAGTATTAGTATCTATCATGGGACAAATGTGAAGAATAGACTGAAACCCAGGCATTTTTGTACCAGAGCTAGCAAAAAATTACCATACAAATGGAGAAGAACTGTTTGAATAACCATCTGCACGGAACAATTAGTTAAGATTGGGACCTGCAAAATAGCCAAATTATGGAACTGACAGAAACTAATAATTAATTAGTTAACGGGGCATTATTTTTTTCTGATTAAACATGACATAATTTTTGCTGTACTTTCGGAAGTAATGCGTATTCGGTCCGGTCATATATGCAACATAATGTTGACACAGACTGCGAAAATGTATACTTCTAGTCTGAATAATAAATACAAGGTTGAGTAAAAGTTACAAATTAGCAATGACATTTGAATTTAAGTTAGTTTTATGCATTTTTTTCGCTATTGACCTCTCGCTGAAATCTTTCACCGTACTTTCTCCCTCAAATGGCTCAGAACGCTCCTCTCTCTGACGTTTACGGGAAGAGTTGCGTAGCGGGAAATGATTAACTTCTTTTTTACTGTTTTTTTTGTTGAATTTGTTTTTATTTTGCTCCTTGAAATAAAAAGGTAAATCTAAAGGAAACAATTAAAAGACGAGGTAAAGTTGCATTCTGTTAATAAATAATATAGTACATGTAAATAATACACTCGACTGGTACCACACAGCAGCAAGCGAATTAATCAGGTAGGACGGCTATTGAGATAGACATTGTGTCTGTGTGTATGGACAAAGTAAGTAATTTTTGGGATACTGTATATTTCAGTTAGGTTTTGGCTACTTCCTGGCTGTGCGAGATGGAGAGCGACCCGTCGATATCAAAATGCAGTCAAGAACAAGCGTTTCGATTCAACAGACCAGTCCCACCAGCGCCGCCGATACTTCGACCATCACTTATTTTTTCTTCGCCTACGCAGTCGGAAATACGACTAAACGATGTCTGGCCTCTTATTCATGATCGATTGGTCACCTACCTTAACGAACGTGGTAACGCTGAATCAAACTTGCGTTCAGCCGCCGAGACCCGACTTCACACAATCCTCAAGACGACGGGTGGGATGGGGGCAGCAACTCAGAATATAGAATTGACATTACTGTTCAAGCTCCTCAGGATGTTGGACATAGACACGAAGGAGTTAAAATCTTCGAATCAAACTGTGCGTTAAGCTGTTTAACACTGTTATCTTATACATATAAATGGTTTCATATTCTAAATCGTGTTTTAGATTGATCACAAGGTACTTGTACTCAAGCTGAATGTATGGGCTCTTAATGTGTGGAAAACGTTAGATTTTTCCACTGTACAAGATAAGATGCGATATGTGACCATGTTTGAAGATAAATTTTGCAGCACATTACATAAGGTATTTTACACTAGACACTGGGTGGCCGGAGCGTTAAGCTTGTTTCAAAATGCTTTTTACTTTTTACATTGTTTTTTCTAGATTCGATTAGATTCAGCTCTGTCCTTGAAAGTGGTTTCTTCCAAAAATGCACTGGACTTACTTGGTGTTATGAAAAAAATTCAAACAATATGGGTAGAAGAACTTAATGTGGCGACAATAAAGATGAAAAATGGAAATATTGTTGATAAAATTGAAGAAATCTTGAAGCAAGATATAAAGGAAAAACATGAACTGACCACAACTAAAGATGACCTATTGTTTTACAAGCAATATGTAAATGTAAAGAAACAATTAGAAAACGAATGCCACTTGTCGTACAAAGATACGCCAATGAGCGTGGCAATCCAAGGCAGGCTTATCAAGAAGATGGCAGATGTATTCCTACAAAGTGTACAAACGGATAAGGCTCATGGAGACCACTTTTTTATCCAGGCTCTTCTTCATAAAACGGTAAAATTTTTGTAACAAAAGTTTTTGACCAGTGCGTACATTAGTTTCGAACATTTAGAGCAATGTTTATTTTGCTAATTGTGATAGGCAATGTCGTGCCTTAGCTATAAAAGGGCACTTGTTTGGGTAATCATGCTGATTCTACCCCATTTGGTAGCAAATAGTAGAGCCGGTGGAATCATCCGTTTAATGCATCTAACACAGGGTTTACTCAGGCAAACTATGACGTTGGTAAGTTCTCTTTATTTTACTTTTCTTATTGAGTTTGCATGGATTGTTCAAGACAAATCTCTTATTCCCAGGACCACTCAATTAGCAGAAGAGATGAAGTGTCTGCATGGAAAGCAATTCTGACTTCCAATTTGAGTTCTGAAGATATTTCCTACTTCCATTCCATTATTTTGTCCAAACGTATTTTCGATAAAATTCCTTTCAATGAGAAAGTTTTTGAAAATTTTTACCCTGAAGTGGATAAAGTGGACAAGGAATCGGCATCACAAAGTCAGATCTACAATACATCGTCATCATTTGTTTATGATTCCGAGCTCTGCGATGTGGACGTTTCTTTGTTAGTTTCTGATGATTCGGTTGATCCATGGAAAATTAAAGGAACGGTGAACTGGGAAACTGGACTCATCAGTGAGGATTTGTAATTTGCAGTATTCACTTCGGGTTAATACATGCAACACCACTAGAAAAGTATTAATTTTTAACTGTAATATTTTTTCAATATTTTTTATCGCAGAACTGTATTTATTTTCATAGCTTGGTAGTATTGGTTCTCAAAGCAACGGATCATTAGGGTTACCAAAACGAATTGATTGATTGCGCCATACTTTCCAATAGCATAATAATAATTTAAATTGCAATTTTAAAGATTATCAATGAAATTTTATTTTATTGTGATCCTATTCTGTTACTTTTCACTACATGAAATTTTTGAATGATTAGATTTTGATCCGCATCATAATCTAAATGAACTCGATTGCTTTGAGTACTCTTATTATAAATATTGAAAATATCTCCAAAAAATAGTAATCAACTAAGGCTGAATTTTATGCAGATTCCAATTGAAATGATAAGCATGTACTGCACTACTAATTATTACTTGTAAACACTCAAATAAAAATTCAGACCTGACATTTCTTTTACTAATAAATAACATTCGGTAATACTTATTCGTTCGTAGATATTAGATGTATTTATGGATACATATTTATAATTTATTATATTTTTTGTCCAACCATGCTCATGAAATATCTTCGTTAACTTGGTAACTAGAACATAAATGGGTATTGTAGACCCCACCGAAAAGCAACGGATGTAATAATTGCAGTTAAGTGCATCGAGAGGAAAGGTAGAGTCATAAAGCGGAATAAAATAAAAATTCTATTTTACTTTATTACACCCGAACCGAACTCTACAAATCCAAGTAAATGGCTTCATCTGTGGGCACGTTCCAATAAATGAAAAAACATCGGTAGGTAATTTTACAGGTAATATAACATCATATACTTATGTACGCATACATATGCACACAAATTTATGGCTGACTAAAGATAATGCATATTTAAATTGTACATAATCGGTATAAATTGAAATCCCTACCTAAGGACAATTCGGATACATCAAAGAAAATATATGATTTTTATGATCTTATAATTGCTGAGATGAGACAGACAACTGTGTGGTCCCGAGCCTGTGCACTTCCCATGGATGATGTCTCAATTGCATCTTTTCAGAATTTCTACAACACCAACCCAAATGCACATTATTAATGTAAATTACGATTTCTTTTAAAAAATTGACAATCAATGGCTCATTATGTTGAAATAAGGATGCTTCAAAATTATGCTATGGGAACCCAATATAATTTTCTTATAAGTTTCAGTATGAAATTGACAATTTATTTGTATTTATGAAAAGAATTAAGGTGCTGAGAAGAAATACTTACGGGTTCAAGTATTTATAGTATCAATAGAAAATAATATGTAGATATCACTACGAACAATGAATTACCTTTGACAAACTATTTATGTGGAATCCTTTACAAATTTCTAGTTTCCTGCAATTTGTTGAATATTTATGAAACCTCGAAATACGATGTATAAATACCAACCATATTGCAACATTGTTACTTCGCATTTTGATGTAGGGGTGATTTATGTATTCCTCTCTTAAAAGGCTCAACGCCATAAGTAAAGGATACAAATCTATGTTTAAAGTGCAATTCACAAGTAATAGGGTCTGAATTTCTGGCGGCAAAATCACGTGCCCATAAGGTTAACATTGGAGGGCGGCTAAAATTCAATTTGACCGTGGACCCATCAAGAGTGAAACGGATTTTAGAGTTGTTGAACGCTTAAATAATGTGCTTGCTTTCTTGAAGACGAGTGAAATAACATTTGTAAAACAAGTTGGTGAGTGATGATTTGTATGCACTCCTCACTCTCTGGTGGTTTTATTGTTATGCTAATAACTAAAATGTTTTATGACAGAACAAACAAACATCTGAATTCCCAAGGCAGGCAGCCTCCGTTCGTCGTTCAGGGAGGAACAAACTAGAAAACATTAAGAATAGGCGAGCAAATAAAGATATGATGACCATCGCATGAAATTATCTAATTCTTACTTAATTATTGTCATATTTAAAGCATATATTTCAGTCTAAAACATGCGTACGAAACCCAGAAACTGATTTATTTTATGTATGCTCGTATTTGACAAAATGATAATGCAAACTAGATATGCACGACATTTTCAGATTTACATCGGTTGAAACTTTATTAGTGGATACGCAGTAATATTTAGTAAATTTAATTCTGGCATTATCTAATTCTAAGAATTGTTCCAAGTCTCGAGATAAGATGAGATTGAGGGGGCTGCGGTTGGTGCGTTTTGCGAGTGATGCTGAGAAAGGAGGCGGAGAGAAGAGAAAGGCAGAACCAACCACCACGCGACGCCAACTTGGTTGGATCATCTTCAAGAAACGGTGATGGAGTCGTCACACCACTCCTCACTTTTTGAAATACAATGTTGAGATCCTTTTTTGTGGAAAATTATTTGTAAGAGCAGGAGAAAGTGTTCATCAATAAATGGGGAAAGTCTTCGCCATGACATTTTCAAACATTGAAGCGAAGTACAACCGATAAGTAATTCGAGAAGAAAGCAAAATAAAGTTGTTACACATAAATCACGGGATGATAATAATGGAAGAAAATTGGTTTAATTTGATTACGAGATTATGAAACTATAATAAATCCATGCATGTAAATTATTTGAACAATTAGATAAATTATTATGACGGTGTTGAACATGTACACAGGTATGTATGTACATGAATACTTCCATATAATGCTCCTCACACGAATTTACCTCTGTGGATGGGCGAGATGGCGACTCTACTTAATAAAATGTATCTACAGAAGCAATTAAGCCATCACTGATTATGACTCCACGAAGTGACACCATGCCGATACACACCTTACACCATGATGGCAAATCTCATCGTATGCATGTGTTCTGTTGTATCATCATCTCCTCATCTGATGCCTCCTTCTTAGCAACACGGCGTGGCTCATCCCTTCCATAAATCGTGCACGAATGGATGGTCGTAAGAATATGTGTGTACCCTTTTTTCTTAATTTCCCATCAAGTAGGTTGGTTTGTCTGGTGAGATGGTTGGTGGTGATATTCTCAATTCCAAGTCCTCGGCTTAGTTTTCCTTCTGAGTTTGCGAGTCTCAGTTAAATCTCACACCTCTCCACCAACACACATTATTTCGTCTCTTATCACCTCCACTCCTAATCACAAACCCAATCAACCCTTAATTTACATGTCCTTGCTAACCCCATCGAGAAATTCGGCACCCACTCACTCTATCAAGGAGCAGAAATCGAAAATAAAATATAATGCATAAGCAGTCCAACTCCAGACGTGGCAGTGGTGGTGGTGGTGGCAAGAAGCAGGGTGACGGCGACAGCAACAGCGGCGTCGTTGGCAGTGTCGCAGGTCAACGACAAGTTGTGGTGGAGGAAGAAAACGACTCCTCGCCCAGAGTGATTTGTCATTATGGGGAGTGCGGTGGTGGTGGTTATGGGGAATTGTATGGGTGGGGTGCTGTCCACCCAGAACAGCAACAGCAACAACACCATCCTCAGCAGCACCACTATTTGGTGGGTGGAGGTGGTCACCTGGGTGGCTTGGTCGACTCGTCCCCACCACCAACAGGGTCGCAAACTCTGCTGATTCACACCCTGCATGGAGGAGGAAGCAATAATGGGGGTAAGTTCCAATCTGGGTGAAAGTGAGATACGTGTAAAGTATCAAAGTTTTGCTACATGTATTTTGAATATCACAAACATGCGACGATTTGCCGAAGTGAACCGACCCAACTTTCACCCCGTGCAAGTATCTATCGTGCAGGTGCAGGACACCTTTCCCACCGTAGGCCCACTGTGCCTGCTATTTTTACCCGTTTTATTGATGGGTGTACACCTGTCACCTGTCAACTTTGGGCTAATTGTACTGTTTTATGACATATGGAACGTTTCAATTACCTGGAAAAGGTTGAATATACTTGTTTTTTATTGGGGACTTTTTATTGACAATTTGTTCTCAATCATGAGGGTCAACTCTTTGTGTCGTCCAAGGCAATGTGCATATGTACATAAATGTTTGAGTGGTTATTTATTGTTACTTTGATTACTTTTGATTAGGGGCTGGCCTGGTGGAACTTGAGGACGGGCCGAGAGTTGTCTTGGAAGATCGAGAACTTTGGGACAAGTTTCACGGATTGACAAACGAAATGATAGTTACAAAAAGTGGTCGGTACGTTAAAGTATAATGAAACTTATAATTATGTTTAGGAATTAGAATGATTGCAGCAAAGCAAGAATGCAAATGTAAAGGACTGCAAGTAATGCTATGCTATGCTATCAAATTGCCCCACAAAACTTTCTCCTTATTCCATCCAACACCACTTCCTCTAATAATTACGAAATCTCACTTTCTACTTGCTCAGTTTCGTATTTAATTTGCTTCATAGCATTCATAGATTATTTTCCTTTTTAAAGGCGAATGTTTCCCGTCGTACGGATTCGAATCTCAGGTCTGGTTCCGAACGCCATGTACAATGTTGTTCTAGAATTTGTTCAGATCGATTCACACAGGTAGCACACCATTCATGACCATCTATTAGGACTACACTCCGTTTCTATTTTCTAAGAACTGGTGGCTTATCTTCTTAGATGGAAATATGTAAATGGGGAATGGGTGCCAGGAGGCAAAGCTGAGTGTGCACCGACAACTGCACTGTACATACACCCAGAATCCCCAAATTTTGGATCACACTGGACTAAAGACATTGTTTCGTTCCATAAAGTAAAACTCACGAACAAAACCAATGGAAATGTTCAGGTTAGTGTACAGCAAATTATATCATAGTAAAATAATCTAATACTTAAACAGCTCGTTTTCCACATGGCCTGAAATTTTCCTTCAGATAATGCTCCACTCACTCCACCGTTACGAGCCTCGCGTCCATATTGTTCGCGTGGGCGCAGACACTGCCGGAAGTCCAGACGCGCTATTACGCAACAGCCGAGCCAGCAGCATCCATCCACTTCCAGAGACGCAGTTCGTGGCTGTCACGGCCTACCAGAACGAAGAGGTGAGGAACTACGACAACAAACATTTTCCCTTTTTTGCAATGCCCCATTTCAAACAACTTCGAAATGCATGTGTGAAACTTTTCCATGTTTGACCGGAAACGCCTTATTTTGGTTGATGATAATGTGACCATTGGTCACTATGTTGGTTAGCATGGACCCTCACCAATTATGGTGATACTGAATCAAGGTCTCTTTCAAAAACGGTGTATATTTGTTCCGATCAAACATTGCTCACAGATTTGGTCAACCTGTCCTAGTTTTACTACAATGAGATTTCGACTATGTTGGATTTTTTTTGCCGCAGGTAACCGCATTGAAGATAAGGTACAATCCTTTTGCTAAGGCATTTCTGGATGCTAAAGAAAGGCCAGGATTGGACCCTCGAAGAACTGATTTGTTTTATAATCATCCACAGTGTAAGGACAAATTGATATTTAGGATTAATAGAAACAACTATTTTCATACGATGTAACTCCAAAGGGCAATGCGAGACATGAAAATGAAATGCCCATAAATGAAAAACTTACAATTTCGTTCCAAAAATTTTGTTGGCAGATTCTGCTTGGTATCTCCACCCTCCGAGTTCCTACTACGCCACGGCTGCCTCTCCATCCGCTTCCAGTGGCTCTGGTCAACGATCATGGTCATCTCCATACTCTTCTGAGCCCAAGAGGACCCGAATCGAGGGTGTAACCTCGGGTAAAGCTTTATTTTTATATTTTCCTTAGTCGTTTAGTTCTAATATAAATAGATGCACAAAATCTGCATACTGATCCTTGCATGAATGACTCGTTGGGGCAAAATGACTTTCTGTTCTCACTTACTTATTCATACACACGTCTGTCAGCCCAGAGAGAGAGAGAGACGGCGTTGTAAAAGAGTAATTAAAGGCCGTAATCTCATTAGGCTGGTAGTAAAATCGCAAATTCAATGCAGTTAAACTTGGCGAATGCAATTAATGTTACAAACCGCCTACATAAAAAATGAAGTGCGTGCGTGCAGAGTCTTAATTCAAAAAAGTCAACGGACGGGTGCCACCACAGCATTTATGCTCATTTCAAATTAAATTACCACCGAGACTTTGAGCTTCAAAAATGTTTGGTTTCTGATAATGTCGGTTTTTAGAGTTTATTGGATTGATAATGGTAATTTTTGTTCGTTTCATAAATTATTTTGTTTTATAAGGTGTCTCTGGTATGTAGACCACCCCACTAATTCTGACCGACTTGGTTTGTATTCCTTCAACATTACATCATGACGGATTTGGATGCATGCACTCTTTAAATGTTTAAGTGCTGAGCAAGTGTGATTTTATAGCAAAGATGAGCCTGAAAAAATATTTACAACTTATTTTGTGGCCACTTGACTGGCATTTATGACCAGAACTCAAACCTCAGCACAATGGTCTTTCATTTATTCCCTGCTCTCTCTCTCTCCGTGTTTATTGTTTCTTGGTTCAATATCCCACAAAGAAAGAAAAGAAAGAAAGACAGCAGAACAAATGGAAATCAAACATTAATTATCTTCACCACCATAACCATCAATCAGAACACACACGTAATTATGAACGGGACTTGTCTACAGAAATGGTCTCACAGGAAGAAAGTCGTGTGATTCACAATCAATATTTTTCATACTTCATGTGTGTTCACTCACGATTGAATGAAAATTTACCCAAGTACTGCTCAATGCCTTACATCTTCCACGGGTGCTTATATATGAAGTTAGAATGATGATGCTCACTATATCCAGGGCAGGTGCACTGTGAGCCGAACATTAGAAAAAACGGACAAATTATTTTCAGGATCGAGCCCCAGACGGAGCATTATTTTTGTTTGTATTTTTGTTAACTTTTTAAAGGTGGAGGGTTCAGAAACCACAATCCCTTTGCCCTATAAAGACCTAGTGACCGTGTGTACGGAACGAAAAGTACGAAAATTTGATATTTCTCACTTTTCGTTCCGTACACACGGTCACTAGGTCTTTATAGGGCAAAGGGATTGTGGTTTCTGAACCCTCCACCTTTAAAAAGTTAACAAAAATACAAACAAAAATAAACCGTAGTAACGTTAGAAGTAGCTCACCCTGTAATAATGATTTGGTTATAACTTGCCCCAAAGGTGCAGAAAAATGCAACAAAATAGTTACATAATTTTTTGCAATTATGCACCAATGGTGCAGAAAAATCCAACAACGTGGATCAATAATTTTTATGCAATGTTGCACCAATGGTGCAGAAAAATTAAACAAAATAGATCAATAATTATTATGCATCGAGAAGAGTCCAAAAATTGTGCATCACTGGTGCAGAATTACCTACCAACGATCAACGATAATTTTGAAAAATTTATGTCAAAATTGTATGATCATTTCTCCCGGATATTCTGCACTATTGGAGCGTTTTGCATCCCTTCCCCCAATTATTTCGCATCATTTTGTGTTCCCGATTGTTAGATATCAATGGTCCTATTAACTTGTTAAAAAATTTGATTCGGTTTGTTTAGTACCAATGGTGCGCCTAACGTATCCAATAATGGTCAAGGGGATTTTTAATTAGCATCAATTGATGCAAAAAGGTCGTTAACAGACAGACGGACAGACAGACGGACGGACATGAGGAATTCAATAGCTCTCGTGCTACGCAGGGCGAGCTAATAATGCCCCGTCTGGGGTTCGGCTCACCGTGCACCTGCCCTGGATATAGTGAGCATCATCATTCTAACTTCATATATAAGCACCCGTGGAAGATGTAAGGCATTGAGCAGTAGTCAACTTGCTATAACCCATACTTTTCTCCTAATTTCAATATTGCTATGCATGCACATTTCCAAAGAGACAGAGCTTAGATAGTTTTCTGGTCATGCATTGTACGTAAAGTGTGAAAACGGTAAGTTTGTGGTTGGTCCTGGAATGGCCACTTAAACTTTTCCATTTTATGAGTGTATTTTTAGGTTGTACATATAGTAGCTCACTAGCTTTACAAGGTTTCTATTCAGTTCAAATCTTTCTCAATGTAGATGTCCCTGTTTTGTTGGCGAGTAAATGTAAATAGAAAAAACATTAAATTTGGGAAGCGTTAGGTAAAGATCATAAAATTTGTGGATAGAAGAATGGAAATAATTCTCTGAAAATTCTTGCCCAACTCGACCATGGTACTAATAAACGGATGGTAAAGCTATGAATGAGCCACACAGACGAACCAACCACCTTCGACCAAACAATTCACACAATGATGGGTCTCGAGACTTCAAAGAGACCGACGACGTCTATAAAATGGTTGGATGAAAAGAGGATGACTTGGTCCAAGGTGGGAAACGTACTCGTATCAAGAAATCCTGGTGCACCTTAACACAATTAAACAGTTCAGAGTACTAAAAAACTGCATCTCTTCGGTCAATGCAGCTCGTACAAATTTAGTTGCATCGTTTCATTCAAATTCTGTTAAATATGTAGCGTTTGCAAGATTGTCGTGTATTACCTAATTGTCACAACATCAATTACGTGTGTATGTACTTGTTGACATAGGTGTTTCCTTGTACATGAGTTTACTGAATACATGAATCAACTCTAACAATAAGTATATCATGAATTATCTGAACCCAATTACCACGCGTGCATGTTGCGTCTGCATGAAACTATCACTTCGAATTAGTTTTCATTTATCATTTATGCTTGTTGTGGTAGTTTTGTGCAAATGGACCCCTCTTCTCAGGTGTATCCATTGTATTCCATCCAGTCATTTCACCATCCATCCAACGTCGGCACAGTGTTTTATTGGAGGCCCGTCCTCGTGAAGGCCATTAAGGGTTCCTCATAATACGAAGAGGTGTCGGTGTCTTTGTCTCAAGAACTACTTGCAGAGTGATCTTCCTCGCATAAGGAATAATAAGATACATAATAAATGATGTATTGCTTCATATATGTATAATCCCACCACGAATACAATGCACACAAATAGTGATGAATTGTGAAAATGCGAATTGATGGAGATTTGAGAGCATTAACTACTTTATTTGCAGGATATGAACAAACGAGCACCGTGTGGTCGACCCCTACGAACCCCAGCGTTGGGATGACCTGGCCGGGTGCCTCGTCCGCCACGACTGGGGGCTCGTTCTACCCGTGGCACGAGACGACGCAGGTCGGGGTGGGACCACCACCCCCGCCGCCAAGTAACCCGAAATCCTTCTCACCCCCTTACCAACTGCCCCTTGCACCTCTCGAGTATCACCACCACCACTACGCGAGCAGCAGTCCTTTGCCCCTGGGGAGCAGTTGTGGGGCTGGAGAGCTGTCTCCCTACCATCACCAACTCCAACCCTCTTCACAACAAGGGTCGCCACCAGGAGGGCAGCAGGAACACAGCTACGACTCGTCCGGCAATAACAAGGAGAGGGAGGAGGTCGGAATCATTAAATGGTCGCCACTCACTCCTCCACCCACTCAACCAGGGCTGAACTTTGGGTTAAAAATTGAAGGAAATTGAAAGATTTGCATATCAATCGTCGACTTCTTACTTATATTTAAATTACAAAGTATGTTCCTTATTGTTATACGTAACGTTGTATTAGGAATTGTTAACTTTCATTCACTCGACTAAAGCTGCATCCATACTTCACTTCATCTTCAGTTGCTGCTCCCAATCCGATTTTTTGACTGGCTAATCAAAAATAATATCATCATCACAATTAAGAATTTCGACCAATCAAAAAATCGGATTGGGGCATGACATGAAGATGACGTGAAGTATTGGTCAAGCTTAAGGAAAAGCATGTGCAATACCGTCCGAACCGACTCTGCTAGTGATATTTGTATACGATCACGTAAGTAAGTATTGTGTAAAGTTCAGGAATACATAACTTATTAGTTCATTAAAATGAAGTTGAAAATGTAATCACTTTAACTCTACTTATCATAAGTTTATATGCATAAGGCGTAGAAGGTAAATATAATAAAGTCTGTTATTTAATGTAATTTAATGTCTTCTATCCTGATGTATGTGTTTGTTATTTATCAAGCATAGTTGCAAGTTCAAGATCCAATTTTGTAATAATTCGCCGAGTCAATTGCAAGATTAGGTTCAGTTAATATCATGCATAAATTTAAATTTAGCCTTAAATGTCCAGATTCCAAAACACAAAACATTCCTATTTCAAATTAATATTACATACACATTTACAAATAAATTAATCTAGAATTGCTTATTCTTTAAAAAAATTAAAGGGCCAAAAATTTCTTAGCCAAACAACTGCGTACGTATATGGCCCAAGACCAAATGAGAATTGGTACACAGTGGTCACTAGCATGACTCATTGGGTACAGCAGAATGTGTTGTCCATTTTTACAATTAGGCCACGCAACACTGAATTTAACAACAATAACTTGAATGTATGACTTCTTATAGATAACATGCATAAGTCGTCGTGTATACTTTTCAGTAGGAACCCAATCGCATATAAACTGGTTTAATACATACCCTTCCCCCAACAAAACCAATCTTGAGACATCTTATCACCCACTCCCACTACGTACACAAACTTTCGTATTTGTACCAGCCAGTTGTGTGCACGAACAAAATTCCTCTACGCAATGCGATCATGTTCAGTTGATTTCATAACGCGTACGAGCACAGGAAGTGGATGCAGAAATCGAAACGATAGCATTACCAAAAGAATACCACTGTTAAACACTTTGGATTCGCTTCGCAATGGATCGGAAAACTGCAGTAGAGTAAGAAATTTTAATTATGTTTTTTTAAGGAAACTTATTATCTGTTTATAAAGATTTCATTAAAATGCAAATATTTATTTTATATTTATTATGGAGGTTGTTCAATACCCAATCAAACGTGGCAATTCCTGCCAGCGAAGATCATAGTGCTGTAAACTTGCTTCGAACAAGGATAAAAGGTTTGAATTTTTAAATGCGTATGCAATTCCCAACATTTAAATAAACTTGTTTTAAATAATTTCAGAGAACAAACCGGAAGCTTTTGCTAGATTACGTGAAATATTTGACGATCAATTCATTCACCAGTTTTTTCTGGCTAATGCTCGAGATGCTAACAAGACCTATGAATATGTATGGTTTGAATAATACTTGGAATATTGCATTCATTAGTGCTATTAGATAACATGTTAAAATGTTGTGTTTATTGTTAATCATGTTTAGCTGGAAAGCTACATATACTACAGAATCACTAGTTACCCTGGAGTGCTTGAAAAATTTCCAAGTGTGCAACTGAAAATGCTGGAAACCAACAATGTTGCCCTGCTCAAGTATCGAGATGATGAGGACGCCATGGTCATTTTAACAAGAGCCAGTGAGTCAACGTTTCAATTTTTATTGTAATAAGGTTTCTAAACTGCGTACCCCTTGGAATACTCATTCATACTCCGTGAATTCACAAGGTGGTTATCCTATCAGTAAGATAATCACCATGAATGAAACCACAGAGTATTAATGGCCTTACTACATCCAATGATTTTAAATAAATATTCATGCTTAAATCATAAAAGTCTCACAAATGTATTGCAGAATTTTGGAACCCAGCCGAGAATCCGGTGGATGACTTTATTACACAGGGCACACTTCTCGTCGAGCTTGGTTTCCGGATAGACGAAAAGCTTTCAGAGACCGGAGCTGTTATCATTCTCGATTGTGCCGAATTATCATTTTGGCAAGCCTCCTACCTCACACCCATGGCTGTCATTAAAGGCTTCAATCTAATTGTGGTAAATAGTCTGGCGCATTCATAATCGGGTTGACACAGTTGACAAATGTGACTAATTAGGAAATGTTTCATTATTTCTACAGAGCAGCTTACCCGTTTTTCCAAAGGCAATTCATGTAGTGAATGGAGGAATGCTGTGCAACATGCTGTACAACGCGTTGTATCCCGTTGCGAAACAGTGGATCGGAGACAAGGTTTGGAATAAAATTTAAAAAGACATATATTTCGGCCTTAAAAATAAAATAGAAACTCATAGGGCTCGAGTTATACATATGCGTCTAGTTTTTATCATTAGCGTAAATTTTGTTCTTTTGAATAAAACGTTAATTCTTTTATTCTCAGGTTCATATACATTACGGAGATTTGTCAACATTGCATGTAAAGGTGCCAAAGGCGATATTGCCAGTGTCCCTCGGTGGGGAGTTGGAGGAACATGATGCGTTTGAACAGGATATATGTAAAATGATGCAAAGTCTTATCGCCAGTGGTTATGGGGGATACGCGTCGTAAGTTTCGCTTATAAAATATACACACTAATCATTGCAAACTAGTATTTATTTACGTCTCTCTTTTTTTGCATAATATTTAGAGTTCAAAAGACATTGTCTTCTTAAGGATTTTCTGGAATTTTACTACGGGAATTTTATGCTTATTTTTACTTGATGTGACTTTCTTTAAAGTATAAAGTTAAGTAAAATTTAATTTACAAAAGGAATGTTGAATTATTGACCAGAATTTACTAATCATACAATTATTGCGATAATGGAATAAATTTGTAATGTTTAAAGAAACTTAAATTTCCAATTACTATTTAAGAAATTTACTTCTAGTGAAGATTTCGTACACTTGTCTTATCGTATACAATCTAATGAATACTCGGCTACTTGGACCTAATGAGCATAACTCCGTCTCTTAGTGGGAATACCATCTGCAATTGATAAAGATTCGTGATTACTAGCAACACTATTCAGTTTAAAGAAAGCACTAGTATTTAACTAATTGCACACGCATAAGCATGATGAACTATGCATATTTATGTATGCACCAACCTGGTCAACCCTGTCGTCCGTCTTCACAAACTCAACGAAACGATGAAGTGCTCGCCCGATGGGCGAGGATTGGTCCATGAAGGTATCACTGCCCCACATAATGTTGTCACACAAAATTACTCCGCGTGCGTTGAGAAGATTGTTATCCAATATGCACTATCAAAGTAATTAAACGATTAACATATCAAGCACAACAAAATTTTTAATAATTAACTGGTTTTTAAAGCGAATTACCTTGTAGTAATCCAAATACTCGGTTTTATTTGAATCAATGAAGACCATGTCAAAGGACTTTCCTTCGTCACGAAGCTTCTGAAGTGAGTCAAGCGCATGTCCGATCACAACACGAATCTTTTCTTCCAGCCGAGTGCCTTTTAGCTGGCGTTCAAGGAACTCTTCACAATAAGGATTATTGTCCAAAGTAACCAATTCCTCCTAGAGTATATATGATAAGGACGAGAAGTATGAAAAAAGTTGCATACTAGATACTAAATGGGACTTCATAGTTCACCAAAAACTTACACAAAAAGACGTATCTGCCAAAGTGACTGCAGAATAACCAGTGAAGGTTCCAATCTCCAGGATCGTTTTAGCCCCCGTCATTTCTGCCACCATTTTTAGTAGTTCACCTGAGGAAATATTTCAAAAAACGAAATATACCCATCCTACTCTGCCCAAAATTTCAAGTAACCCTCGGTAGAAGCCTGAATTAATTATCAGACAATAACAAGGAACACTTTTTTACTAACCGACTAGATGTCCACTTAGCATGAATGATGCGCTTCTCAAAATTGGATCAGCCAAAGTAGCGGATGAAATCTTTTTCTGGATTTCAGATTCACGTGGGAGGACATGGGAAAGAAAGATGTTTTGTCCGCTTGTGATCTCATGACATCGTTTAATCTTGTCCGTCAGTGGATCATCAATGTCTCCTCCCAGTTCTCTTTGGGTAATAACTTCTTGGAGCAGATGCTCGACTATCTCAGAAGCCTCACCCGTCCAAAGTGCATTGCAACCTATTGTCAGAATTTTAAAATTGATTTGATCGTATTATTTTGCTCGAGGTGGGCAAAACGAAACAAAAATCTATTGTACACAATATTTAGAAAATCACTTATTACCGTTTGACATTTTCTGAATATGAAGGAGATTTTGGGTTAATTTAGCGACTCGGAACTTCTCTGCTGACACAACTTTTATCCTTGAGGTCGAAACTTGAACTGGGATCTTGCATTAGGCATAAAATGAAGGTAGGTAATCATAAGTATTAGACTAATTTCTAGGGTCTAATGTATGTTAAAAGTTACAACCAAGAAAAATTTTATCATTTACATACGTGTGTACATAAATATTAACATAAGAATGCTTCAGATTTGTTTCAAGTAAGCCAAGACATGAACATATGCATACATTTAATCTCCCATTGATACTCTCCATGAGAGTAAATACCTGCAGTCCAGAAAGGCATTTATGCAAAACTGCTGAGGCAAAGACATGTAGTAGTGAACTTTAGGATTTTGAACTCGGTTCATGATATGAAAGATGGTTGACATCAATATGCGTAACTATATTTCTTCAGCGTTTCGTATTTATGGAGGATGATGTATATAACATAGCTCTATGGTATTCCACACTGCTTGAATGCTCTTGGTCAAACATAAATATGTACATGTAATGTGAAGTTCACCTGAAAAACTCAATACTAATCGTCAGGACATACAACATGCAACAAAGCTTTACAAAACTTGTACTCATGCCAAGTTTCGTAGTTTACCGTTTCCTTTGGTCAACTACAAGTCAACTTATCAGATTCTTTGCATCAGATTTCTAATTTGTTTACCGGAGTTTATCACTTCGTGGCGTCACTTTTTAGTCGAAGTCTGGACTCACATGTAACCGTCATGTCCGTCTAACTCGAGTAAAATTATTCTATGTATCAACTTGAAATTTAGTGCACAAATTTAGTGTGTTAACATACGTAAAATTAGAAGTTAAGTTCGAACATGAACAAAATCGGTCAAGTGGATCATCAGGTCAATATTCGGAAAGGTCGTACATAATAGGCTAATATTCGGAGAATTAATCGTATTTGTAAACTAACCTGAACATATAATACCAGCACGACTAAATTATGATTTGGGGAGAAACAAGTGGCCCCCGTCGAATTTCCAAAAAATTGGTTTGTTGAAATTTGGCACGAAAGTGCAAGGGGACAAATAATTACGGATATAAAATATATTCCAGGATTTTACATGACTCGGGCTCTGCGGAGCACTTTCTTTACCGGTAAACCAAAGTACAATTTCAAGCTGTTTCTTGCTTGAATGGCATGCATGGTAATGTGTCAAGCATAACACTCACCGTAATGTAATGCAATCAGACTTCTGAAATATTTTCTCCGAGGTAAGTTTCATGTCATCTAATCTTGCAAATAATCTAATCAATTTCTCCTTTTGCGTGTTCACTTTGAGCACGGCAGGATACAAAGATTGCACAATTTCGACCACCACTAACCAAATTAGTGCAGGTTTATTTTTTGTAGATTGCCTTTCACGGTTTGTTTGGCGTGACATAATTTGTGAAGGAAATATTAAAGGGTTTCAATCACAAAAATTTTCCCGAGTCCTTCATGTTTCGCCGTATTCACCCAACAGCAATTTGGAGATGGCGCACCTCTAAAAATAAATCAAAAAGAGAAAGAGAAAGAAGCAAATTGGCAATTTTTCTCCTTATTTTTGCTCCTTTCTAATTTATTCAACGACCTTGTATATAAAATTGGATGTTAACAAGAAGGAAAGTTTTTTATGAGTGGGCTTAATGGCGTCGTCTTGTGTACTTCTTATTTTTAGAGCAAAAATTACAGATAAATGTAAAAATATAATTATTTATATGCGTCTATCATTGTAAGTGAACTTTGTAAAATTTGTGTGCCATTTTATTCTGAAGGGTGCAGTCATTGGTAAGCATGCGACCTTGAACAATATTTGCATCTCAGAAACGCCAAGTAATCCCATGTGCGCCCATTCCTTTGTTTTTAAGTAATCCCGAGGCCTACTGGTGATATTTCGATGCATATTGATTTCTGTTTTCAATTCCGCAGAAAACATCACAATTTGACAGGTTTAGATTGAAAATCGCATAAATCAAATCACAGAAAGCGATGAAACAAAAACATGTTTACCCCAAGAATCAAAAAACCATCTTAGAGAATTTAGGAATCAAGTTATTTTAACATTTTTGTTCAAACTTTGACACGTGAGCACTTTATGGTCTCACAGAAATAAGCCATCTACTTACTGTTTCTTTTTCATCTTTATATATTTTTCCCTTCAACGAGGCCACGGTGGATGTTTTGGTGACTAAGAAATAAAAATTTATTTCAGGAAATGTAAACCACTATCCGTGCGTCAAAATAACATAAACCTAGAATAAATATTTCCAGCTTGACTGGTTCCTTCCTCTCGTCATTGTCTCCGCATCAAATGGAAGAGGGATGAATCTTAATATTATGAATACACTGGATTCACCAGCCTGGAAAGCGACCAAGATTGCGAAATCATGTCAACAGCCACGCCATTATCATGAACAGCACGAACGAAGATGAGAACATTTCAAGTCGCAAGTTTTAGGAAATGAAACATCACTTTCAGCACTGCAAAACGTGTGCTAAGGTACATACGTAGATACTTGTCGTGCCACAAATAATGCTGCTTGAACATCCTGAAATATTTATTTATTAACAATAAACAAATGAATCACATCGTATACATCAAATGGTAATATAAATCCTGGCATATGTACACATTTACATAATATTTAAAACAATATGTGGAAATCAATCTTTAATTTAAAAAATCCATTGCTTAGTAAATTTAAAATGATTTATATACAGGTTCAAACTATGTACAGGACTGAGGGATAAATATGTCGTGTGTGAATATGTCAGCTTCACACGCACTAAAATACGACACTTTAACATTTATAAATTATTCTCATCACATTCACATAATAATATCCAATGCAACTCTCAAATTCACATACTTAACATTTTTAGTGGAACCTTGATTTCTTAAAGCATTTTTGATTCTATCATAAGCTATGTCTTGCAGTACTTGGCCACTGTACGTACCGTTATTGTTTAGATTTTATGCTCCTAATAATAGGAGAAAACAAGAAGTACAGCACCGTGATACTACAATAAGACCTACATATGAATAGAGGTACATGATTCTCATTATTTATTTTAATACGTATTATATTATGAATACGTATATATTATTCATATTTTATTTTAGTCTGAGTATCACAATACTCCAGGTCACTCGATTCCACAAACTATTAATTCATCAGCCCAAATTGGAATAATTTAATATTTTTTAAATATGATTTTGGATACAGACATCGACTATAACCCTGTAATCTAATAGCACCACGCATCGCATTACCTACACTTTACAATGACTAAGTAATCTTCAATTGTTGTAGTTGATACTTTTCACTGTTAAAATAGCTGCGTACATTTTGTGACTAAAACAATTATATCAGAATCAACGATGGAGGACATATTTACTTTCACCGAGACAATTGGATGCACATATATTATTTTGCAACAATTTGGTACAGATAATGTGGACCGTTATCCTTCCTTATTAGAATATTGATAATCATTCGGATAATTCAGAGGTTTCCTACTTACCAAACGTGGGCCTAGAGACCCTGCTGTAAAGTAACTAATTATACAGTGGTGGACACGGTGGCTTGGTTGTTGCACGTGGAGAGAGTGATCCACTTTGGCCTCTTGAAACATAGGTGAAGTTTAAAAGAAATTTGAAACTGTGTTCGGAATTGTTTGCTCACTGAAATTATTATTTTAGATTGTTTTATAGCAGACTGTAAGAATTTTAGTTTCAGAATAAAAATTAAATTTGCTCGATAGACTTACTGAAGCAGTAGAGAATGAAGTTGATGCCTGAGTTGATGAGGGCTAAAACGTCCCATATCTCGCCCCATGGATTGTACCTTGATTATTAATTAAAATTACAATCATCCAATATAAGGTATACTACTTGTGTAAATAATAATATATAATAATTCATACTTGCAACGGAGGAATTCTGGGCCGTACCATCCTACAAAATATAATTAGGAAAATTATATAAGAAAACATTGCGCTCTCTCGGATTCATTCATATGTATTAGATTTAGCCATGTTTGTGTATGTAAATCATACCCGTAAGGAAATGCATAATTCCTTGTGGAAATTCGGTCAGTAGAAAGAGAAGCAAAACAGCAATCAACATTTTGGAGGTGCGATCTGTCCTTTTGCAACCCTTGCCGGATTTAGTACCCTTGTCAGCACTTTGCCTCCGAAGGGATGGGAGTCGGATGAAACCCTTCGTAAAGCGTCTGACCCCACCGGAAAGAGTACCAAAGTTTTCCTCTGTGGCACCTGAACCAGCCGAAGCTCGTCGGCTATCTGTCCCGATCACTAGAAATAAATATGCATGAGTAATTAAGTAATTGTACACCTCAGTAACCCATGCATCATAAGTAAATACGTAATGCAGTTATTGCGACATTAGATGGCTTCGAGTTTGGTGCATGATTATAATTATGTAGATTCGAACCTTGGTCATTCACCACAAGGGAATTAGCATGTTGTGGGCTCGGGTGGAGTGAAAGGTTCACGTTCGATCCGACCACGCTCCCGTTGCCGTGATGCTCCGCTGCCAGCAAGGACGCTTTAGGACTCTCGCTTTCATCTTGATTTTTTTCTACCAAAATAATTGCATTATAAATATGGAGATTTTGTCATTTGCTTATTTGATGGATTTTCAGATTCGCTCGTGTCCTCTTTGCCAACCAGGCTTGCAAAGGAGCTGCAGCTCTACGGTGTGTGCAATGGTGTGTACATACTCCGTGGTTTCTATCGTTGTACGACCTTCCGAATCGTTCGCAGTTCCAAATTGAAATCTTACCCTGTTTGGTTGCAGGAGTGAAACGGATGGAGCGTGATGGGGAGACTGCATTCCCACCTTTCGTCTTGTTGGGCTGTTGGACTTCCGGGTGTATGAGTTTGTTGCCACCACCAGTCCCCCCACCCTTTGAGGGGGATAAGGGTTGGCACTCCCCGTTCTTCCCAGCAGCTGCAGCGGTCGTCGTAATTTGACTCATGGGGAGGGCCGACTTGTTCTCCAACATTTTGTGGTGACGTCTGGCCTTATAGAGGGTCTAGAACGGAGAATAATACAAACAACCTTGTTTATTGCTCCTTTGAAATATTGAGAGAATAAGTGATTGGTATGCCAACTGCATATTTCGGGTTTGGTTGTTGAGGACAAGAAAGGAGGGCTTAAGAATGCATATACGTTGAAAAAATCTCATAACTAAAAGACAGAGACGACGGTTGCGTCTCCTTGTGTACCGAGAGATTTTTTTCTATGGAGGAGGGCGGGGCGAAGAGAGCAGCTGATTTTCATGTAAACAAGGCAGGCAGTTGCATGTAAAAAGTTGCTTTGGATTTTGAGAGTGACCGTTCCCAAACTCCAAACGGGGCATCGCGAACCAGAAAGGGAGAACAATCCCGACTAAAACTTCTAATTTGCAGCTAATACAAAATGGATTGATTTCGTTTTGGTGGCAATAAATTCCTGAGTTTGTGCTTTACAATTTCCATTGGGCAAAAATTCCATAATAAATCTCAACGAAAAGTATTGGACTGAAAACATGATAGCTTACATGTTTCAGTCCAATACTTTTCTTTGAGATTTATTATGGAATTTTTGCCCAATGGAAATTGTAAAGCACAAACTCAGGAATTTATTGCCACCAAAACGAAATCAATCCATTTTGTATTAGCTGCAAATTAGAAGTTTTGGTGACAAAAATCATTTACATTACTGGTAAGTGGCGAGCAGGAAAAGTCAACTCGCTCACTAGGATGCACAGACTGTACCCGAACTCAAACTTTAAGCCTTGGGCATATTGTGTCGTCTCATCCTCCGCCGCAGGAAGGAACAATACCTTAAGCATATTTATATACCTATGTACCTTATTGCCATATTGCTATTATACAACGCGATGCTATGCTGAGCTTGCTTGCTTAACTCGACAGCCGTCCTGTCACTCTGCTCCCCTGAGAATTCAGACGTCTCACTGCAGATACCGATGAAGAGCGAGGCAAGATCAGACTAGGACAGATTTTTAAGTCGAGAAGATCGAGGAGAGGAGAAAGTCAACCCCGCATTCCGATCAGGTATTACTCATAATCCACCGTTTGCGGACAAGCAAACAGGGGCAGTGGAACCATCGGAAGGAGAAGGGAATTGAGGACAAGATAGGAAAATCAAGTGGCCACGTATGTGATGATGTCCCGTCAAATGTCGTCGTTCCCAAGATTTCCCCTCTCTACACATAAGAAAAGCCTGACATGAGCCACCGGCCTAATACGTAAGTAGGTCCATAGGTACGTAATATAAGATTACGCGTGATACCACGTATCGCATTGCAGTTGAAGGAAAAATGCCCCAGCCACACATATCACGATGCACTTTCATTTACGGAATTTGTAAATTAATGTCTCTTAGGAATCCACAAGAACGTGAAAATGGAGCACATGTTACGTGGACGAGAGTAATAAATATGTACAAGAGGCGAGTAATGATTTTTACAGTGCGTATCTGGTTTCTAGTTCAATCGTTCAATAAATCACAAGTTCGGCCTGCTTTAATGACTGACTTTTTTCTTGAACCCTGATTTCATACTTTCACTCCACCAAATACCTACTTCAGAAATTAGTTCTAGACTTGACTTTTATTTTTCTAGAACTTCGTAATAAATACATTTTGCATGAGAAACATGCTCGTGGACTGCTGGTCGATCTATAAATTTTTTTCGGGTTTCCTTTTGCCACTGGCTCATCCGCCGCATGATTTTTGGTGGTGCAAGATCTGCGATTAAATGAAGCGTGAATTCAGAAACGACAGACATTATTCATATCTTGTCTGCTGCAGCCAGACAGCAACTCAACAAAAGGAATCGAGGAATGATACCACGGACGGAACATCATCGTGAGCGACTAAATAGACACGACACCAATCTAATCAATAATCAGTAGTCAACAAATCACTGCTGGGCAAACAGCGTAACACGATAGAACCAAAGCAAACAAGACGCAATGATGTGAGTGAGAGAAAGAGTTTCAGAAAGACCTAAACCACGGACGATCGTATGGAAATTTTGAGATTGGCCAGGAGTACCCGCTGGAGAGCATGTTGATGATGATGTTTTGCATTGCGAAGTGATGAGTTTGCACTGAATTGATTAACATAATACTCTTCTGTCAATGTACTCAAGACATGTTATTCAATATTTTAATTGAATTTGGACATATCGATTGCAATGAGTTGGTTTCAGTTACTTCCGCCGTATGATCGTTTTTACAATTGGGATTAATCTTACATGTAGATTTAATTTCAAATTTGAGTAACGGGAGAAAATTTCAGACAGGAAATCAGTATGCGAGTTGTACATATGTATATTTTAATACACCCTCCACATACTGAGGATGAGTTTAAATACGTAATTTTATTCTCTTATAAAAGACTTGGAAGACGTAGAAATTTGTTTAATGGGATGTGAGAATAAAAATAAAGCATCACTTTGGTAAAAATCCATCAAAACTGGATATCAGACTAAGAATTATGTGGGGTATGCACTTAAAAACACTTATGTATATGCATACTGATGGAGATAGAATGACCTTTTCAGACAGCAAATATTGGAAAATCATAATTCATTTCGTGATAACTTGGACGCATTTTTCCGTACGGAGAAGAGCGAGCACGTCACAAAAGGATGCTCAGCACACTGGAAGATCTAAGTTTAACTGGCGAGAAATTCACAAATATTATGCACAAGAGCAGACTATATATTTATTTTATCCTATTAAATATTCCCGTATCCTATTATGAAGTTATATATGTTACATAAATATCTAAAGTGTCACACCTTATACATATAACTGCATTCAATGCATTGTGATTGCTGGCTCATGGTGACAGTTCACGACTTGACAAAGACGATAACTTTCACTGACTGAGCCTTTCACTGAGGAGGGGAGCTTCACCACCTGCCCTTCACAGATCTCGATGCCCTTTGGATATGTGGTAGGGTCCTATGAGTGTACTAAAACCCTGAAGTGGTTTGACTCCATGGCCACATTTGCGCCCGCCACACCCACTCAAAGGCGCCAAAAACACGAAAAAAACCCTGTTTTCATGTACTTTAAATGTCACCAAAAACCCAATTTTGCTCGGATTTTGATAAAATTTACATTTTTGTGATCCCAGATACTTGTGTGATCATATCCAGTAGATATCCCAAATTTTTTGAATTTTTGAATTTTTTCGAGTAGTTCATCAGCTCGAAAATTTCGAAAATTTCAAAAAAGTTGAGATTGCTATTGAATATTATAAGGCAAGTATCTGGGATCACAAAAATGCAAATTTTATCAAAATCCGCGCAAAATTGGATTTTTGGTGGATTTTTGAAGATGGTAACTTTTGTGGTTTTCATCCCTTTGAGTGGTTGTGGCGGGCGCAAATGTGGCCATGGAGTCAAACCACTTCAGGGTTTTAGTACACTCATAGGACCCTACCACATATTCAAAGGGCATCGAGATCTGTGAAGGGCAGGTGGTGAAGCTCCCCTCCTGAGAAGTGATAGATAGCATTCGTAAGAATTTAGTATGCCTGTTTGGAGTCACTCCAATGCGAGATTTGTGATTGTTCTGGGTTGTCCTCGAAAACCTTAATTTAATATTGTCTTTATGTTCGAATTGAATTGTTTGTCGCTTGCGGCTTGTCCAATTTGGAATCCGTGAGAAATGATCATGAGTCAGTAAGCAAGCACAAGTCAACTTAGCATATTCTTATATAGCTAATCCTAAATACTTAAGTGCACGTCACTGAAGATATCTGAAATAGAATTGGTATTTTAAGACGACTCAAATTGACTCAATAGTGGGATTCACAATGAACAAAGATGATCCATCGTAAACATGTTGTGAGCAAATCGTAAAATTTCAATGCAAATAAACAAATTTTGTATTGTCTACTTGTCAACTTTATGCATGCATTTATTTGTATAAATAAATAAATAATGCCCTTGTGATCAAGGAAAGGTTGAAAGGTTATTCCTCTTAGCGTCTGAACTATTAATACGAGTTGTTTGATTAGATTAATGCCAAGTAAACCATTCTATTTGTTAATATTAACGAGGTAACTGTGATTGGCAGTTGTTGAATACTTCTCTTTTCCAACAATTCATCGTGCTCAATTGACAAAAAAGTATGAAAGGAAGTTTGATGTCAGTAACAAGCTTCTTTTTCAGTCTTGTGATCTTTTTTCGTGGAATCTGTTTTGGATCAGTAAACATGTCTTCTTTTTTTACATACTTAATTTTAGAGCAATCAGAATCAGGACAAAAACGGGTTTTGTTGACTTTGTCTCGAAAGAAGGTCTCTCTATCATGACATCAATTTGTGATCTTTCTTACCCCAAGATTCGTTATCGTATCAAGTGGAAATAGTTGCCCATAATTGTTTACCGGACGTTCTTAGGTTACACAATGTATACCAATTATATTTACCATGGGAGAACAAACAGTGTACTTACACCCCAGTGGGACTTATGTAGTCTTGCTTATCTAGAAAATTAAATATTTACCAACGAAGTGTATTTCATAAGTGGGAAAGAATGCAAAAATTTGGACAGGATTGCAACTCGACAAACAAAAGTCATGAAATAAGTATGGCAAAATGTGTAAAATCCGGACGAATTTAATTTTCTTTCAGTTTCAATCCGGTTCGATCCTTTAATAACATTAATAACATGGGAACCATCGCGGAGAAGAGGAAAAGTGGAAGAGAAAGCCTGCCTGCCAATTCCAACCTCATCGATTTCCTTTCTATGTAAGCACCTGATTACTTGGAAATTTGTATGGATGGCTCGTCATTAATCTGTGAGAGTAGGAAGCAAAACACAAGTGAAGAATTCCACCGTGGAACAAAGAAAAGAAACAATGAGAACGATAGGAGTCATTATATTCTCTTTGTTCGCATCCTTCACCGTCTCATTCATAATTAATTTCGCAAGATGCTCCAATGCTTACTTCCTTAATAAGGAATTCAGTAGAGTCTGACTTATTTTTCGACGGAAGCATGACATAAT